TTACTTATATATTGTCACTCTAGATTAACTTATTGTTCTTCAATTCTAACAACTTACTCTGAGTTCCCATTCTAGCAATCTAATGAAAATCACTTCTGCTTCCTATAAACTTTGGTAGACTACTTAACCAACACGTCCATAACCCTATTGAATACTCACTCAATCCATTTATTCTTGTATTACTATCATCTTATATCAGAATCTAATTGATCAATGACTCCTTCTAATCAAATGATATTTCGTATTGATCCTATTAACCTCTCATTACAAATGGTTTGACCAACTAAAATAATCTTACTGCTCCGTCACCATATCCAAAATTGTAATCCAATTTCTTAGACTTTGCATAACTTTCAGGTCCCAAATATACTCCAATCTGAGACACTTTACCATTAAAAGAAGCAACTGTCTGGTCTCCCCCCAAAGTAAAATATAATGAATTAGTATTCTTATGTTCCAGTCCTTCTATTAGAACTTCCTCATTTGCTCCCACTCTTATCATTATACCTTATGCTTTCTTCTCCTCTTAATTAAAACCAAAGTAAACATAAGTCCACACATTAGTTGTATAAGGTACTGATTTCACTATCATATCACTACCTTTCCCTTCATTGCCAGCCACTGAATATGTATGAAAGTTCAATCCTACATTCTATAACCCTCTTATAAAGTGAATTTCCAAAGCTCTATCTCCCAATTCTCTTTTGTCTTTCACTCTCTGTTTATTTGATCTCAAATTCATAATCTAAAACGAATTCAACTCTTTCACATCCAAATTATCAACCCATCTAAACCAACCTGCAATTGCATAATGCTCATAAATAAAAGAGTCCTTAAATCCCTTCTCAAAACTGCAATTGGTATTTCCATCCATATCCACTGGTGGCCCCACTATCACTTCCTCATGGTATGTTTTCAATCCTTGTGGCATAAAAGACATTGTCTCAACTAAATTAAACAACTCCTATTCATTATCGATCAACGCAGGTGCCTCTACATCGTAGAAGATATTTGCAAATTAACCTTGCAATCCTGGATAATGCATATGCTTTCCTCCCACTATCAATTACATATAAAATGGAGGAGCATGAGTCCCAGGTATCTCAATCCTCTAGAACTCCCTGCCTTTACCATATGTTAAGACAAACCCTACTGACTTCTATTTACGACTGCTATACGAGAACGACACGAAATACCATCTACCGTCGATATTCTGATTCAAACTTATTTAAGCCACTTTATTCTTCTCTCTTCCAACGTAATCATATGTAGCAAAAACAAATGAGTTATCAACCAAAAAGTTTGCCAAAGTCCTATCGCCATAATTTTAAAAATCCAAATAGTCTTTTAATGAAGTCAATCTTGACAAAAAATAGTATTAATTTTATTGCATCTTGAACTCTAAGGTACTCTAATATCTCACCCAATATCCATATCCATACTCTTCTGAATCTTATAATTCTTTATTTGAAAATTAGATCTCATATGATGCCTTCCCATCAACTGATGAATCATAATATTTTGATTATCTCACCAAAATATTTGCTGTGCTTTACAAAGGTTTATGCTTGAATGGAACAAATTTAACCGGATCAATAATTTGATCAGGATTCTCATCAAGTCCTTTCGCAGGAATTTAAGATTAGGTATCTGGAACCAAATCAGTTGGCTAAAGTGGCTTTTACTCACTAGCCTTTTGAGGTTAAAGTTGGCTCTAGTCAATTTCTATCGATTGCTATGCAGAGTCTTGTTATTAAACTTGAGGTTAGGTTGATTAATTAGGCACTTATTAATTATTCTCTTATTTTGGTTATGATTATTATGTTGATTACTATTAATCAGTAGGCTATTAACTTCCTTGTTCTTATGTTTACTGCACTGTTCCTTATTAAGCAGATGGTTATTCGCTCTATAAAGGATTAACTTATTAAACTTAGGATTATTGCTATTAATTAACTTGTTAGGGTTCTTATTATTTAGCCTATTCTTTATTTGCTTCCTAGCCTTATTAATTAGTTTAACTTTATTATGCTGGTTGTGATGCTTGCTACTAAGTGAGTGGTAAATCTTTTGTTTAAACATTTTAATCTTAAGTTTACAAGGTATTTTATTATTATTCCTGTTATTCATTTGTTTATGATGATTTTGTTTATTATTATTATTAATTCTCCTATTAAGCCTATTATTATTGCTATTATTATGGTTGTTATTGTTGTTGCTGTTGTTATTGTTATTGTTGTTGTTATGGTTGTTGTTGTTGTTGTTGTTACTATTATTGTGGTTGCTATTGCTATTGTTAAGCTTACTATTAAGATGATTATTATTAATCCTACTATTAAGGCTGTTATTGTTATTATTATTACTATTATTATTGTTGTTACGGTTGCTATTGTTATTGTTATTGTGGTTGCTATTGTTATTATTAAGCCTATTATTAAGATGATTATTATTAATCCTACTATTAAGGCTGTTATTAAGTCTGTTATTATTATTATTGCACTTATTATTTTTGTTACTAATCTGAAGCTAATTATTATTCTGTTAATTTAAATTCTTCTGCTTGTGCTTTTATTTAAGTTGTTTACTTCATTGAGTCAGGTATTGGCTAAATTTCTTAAAAGGATTCAGTCTATTCATCTTGTAAAGGTTTTAATTTTTAATCAGATTAATTCTATTCATCATTTTCAATATAGATTTCATCATTATCCTACTACTATTAGACAACATCTTCATTCTAGATTTAAGAATTACTAACTTCCTCTTGATCAATATATCTAACCTCTTAGTCATCCTATAATTCAACATCATCAAGGTTAACTTCATCAATTACCGCTTAATTAGTTTAATCATCATCTTGACTTTAAGAATAAGAATCGTCAAATTCATCAAGAGTCGATGAATCGGAATTTGGAGATATATTTTCCTATTCACTTTAGTAGTCAACATCTTGTTGATCATAATCATCATTATTTAATTTAATGAATCTTTATTATTTCTAATTTTAAACTGGCTAAATAGATTCTGCATCTAACTAATCTTAATCAGATTATTGAACATATTCTTAATCCTCTTTTAAATCAATTTAATTATAATTGTCATCCTAAAATTCTTAGTCATCTTGAGAATCTGAATATTATTAATTATTATCTGATTCTCCATCCAAATTAATTTAATTATTACCTTCTAATATGTCTTCAAATGAATTTTATTCTTAATTATTACCTTAGTCTTAATTTTCTTAATCATTCATTATATGTTAATCTTATATAATATTATATTATGCCTAAGAATCAAGAGAGTCATATGATTTTAAATCACTCACTGCATAGTAATCAGCAGAATCTTAAACCTATTGCTCTTCTTAGTCCTATATATTAGATTAATAATTATCGTCTTCTTCATTATTTTGAAAAGGTGGATTTTCATATTATTATTATTAGTCTGTGTCTGTATTAGAAAAATCTTAATCCTGTAGTTATTCTTCGTTATAATTCTAATTTTAGAGATCTGTTTAATGAACTTCTTCATCTCTCCTTCTTTTGATTTACTTTTTGATTCTAAATTATTGTGGTTATTTTTATTATTTGGATTCCTTTCTTGTTCTTGATCGTTAATTTGATTATGTTCTTTACTTATTTTGATATGATCTTTCCTAATAGTAATCATAATCATCATAATCATAATAATTACTATAATCATAATCGGAATCACCATCATATAAAACTTATTAGATAGCATCTTCATAATCATTAACATCATATTCATCATAAATATTTGGTTTAGAGTGCTTATTTGTTTTTTGTATTTTTTATTTTGTTTCTTGTGATTAATTTTAGCATTATTGCTTAAATTACAATAGTTACTTTAGATTTGAAGTCAGCTACTCTTTATCATAATCAGTTGCTTTTGACGATTGAGATAATATTAATTGCATTTTCTGCTTTGTTGCTTAAATACAAACATCAATTTCAGTTAATAGATCTAATTTCTCTTTTTTGGTTTGCTTTTGATTCATTTATTATATTAACTTCATGATTTTTGCCAGATCCATCTCAAATTTAGCTTGAAAGTCTTATTTAGCAGGCATCTCAATTTCAATCAATAATGATTAATGCAATAGTTATTGTTTTGTATTTTTAACAATTTTTTCGACTTCCAATAATCCATTTAAATCATCGCCCAATTAATTATTTAGCTCAATTGCCTCTTTCCACTAAATGGTGTCGGAGATCATTATATTAATGTCATCTAGGTCTTTGCATCTCAAATTTTGCAAGTTCAAACTAACTGCTTATTGGAGTGTTAGCTCTAAATATTTTATAGCTTTTACTTGAAGTTGCTAAAGCAAGCAAACTCACAATGACTATTGTTACGTATGCGTTTTTCATTATATTTATAGGGAACTATTAAAAGAATTTAATCAATAAAATAAAGCAGTCCCTATTCTAACTTATTTGTATTTAGATGATATATGTAAATAAGACTCTAGAAAGGTTGGTTACTTCAAGAATTAAAAATAAAATATGTATAGCCTAGAACCATGACTAACAAATTTCCAAAATTTTTGAGTGAAACACTTAGGAATTTTCCCAGTAATCATACGAAACACTAACAAATATAATATATAGTTTAAAATATTTTTATTTAATGGAATTCTGTTTTTATAGAATTGATAGAACATTGAAGGTTCTTTACCTAATTATTTTATTAATATGTAAAATCTCACTAGTTAGATTGAAATCATTATATCTGATTATCTTTAGTTAGGTTTGAGTTAAAAATAACCTAATTAATGATATCTGTAAATATAGCTGAATAATCAACTGAAACTTCATTTTAAGTTTAGTTGAATAAAAAAACACACTCTTTCTGAAACTAGTATTATGAGAATTCATAACTTCTGGATTATTGTTGAATTAGAAACATAGTTACATATATATTATATATATAGAGTGTAATAAATATACAAGGGACTGCAATATAATTTGATTAATTTTTTAATGAACAACAATAGTAACACTAAGTTGGATATTCTTCCAAAACTTATGACTTCTCATCATAAACTTCTTGAGCCAGCTTATCTGAAGAATACTCAATTCAAAATTAGCCAAAATGAGAGCAAATTGTTACCTCTCATTCAGAGGAGTTCCATGATGTAGCCTAACTAAAGTTCAAAATAATTAATCGTTTAGAGTAAATAGAAATTTAATCTTAGGGTTGATAAGCAATTTAGAATTTAGTTCCAGGCATTTTGGAGCTGCCTGTGATAGAGGCTTTTAGGGGTTATCAAAATATCACTATTCTCAAAAATTTGGTCATTCCGCTGTACGATTGGAGCCACTTAACAGAAATGTTATTGCAGAACTCACTGATGCAGAGGATACTGAAGAAATTCCAAAGGATGAAAGGACCTATTATAAAAGAATATATAAATTTAAGAACATGCCAATTTTAGCATTAATCAAGTCTTTTGAGATAGAATGGGTAAGAGAGTTTGAAGATGAAGTTAATAAGAAATCCACCAAATCATTGCAATTAAGTTTTTAAACTGCCCTTGCAATATTTAATACTTACCCTGATCCATTGGAATTTTTCCAAAAAAATCTGTAATTGCTTGAGAGAAGTTCAGTTGCTTTAAAACAAAAAGGATTGACTTAATTAAAATATAAAGTGAAGAATTTTGACGAGGATGAATTTTAGAGGATGATTGTCATAAAAAATTAATCAGGTTAAGGATACTTTAGAATTTATTTTCCAACAATTTAACTTTATTTGTAAGAATACTCTCATAATTAAACAATTGATTTGTCACCTCTTAGATTATATGAAATCGTAAAGAATAATTTTTTTGAAATGGCCTCCATAGTGGAATAATTTGATTTTGAAAAGTTTAAACTGTATATCCAAGATTCAGAAAACAAGGGAATTCTAGAACAATTAGAAGAACAAACAAGCTAAAGAAATGATAACACGTAAAAGGTTGAAACACCTTAGCCATAGGAGATAGCGTAATAATCATTAAAATAAGATAACGAACTTGAACAAACTGTTGATTAATAATAATAAAAATCATAAGAACAAGCATAATTATCAGAATTGAATTAACAATAATAAGAATCTACATAATTAGAATCAACATAACAATAATAAGAATCAACATAATAATAATAATAAGAATCAACATAATAATAATAAGAATCAACAGAACAATAATAAGAATCAACAGAAAAATAATAAGAATCAACAGAACATTAATAAGAATCAACATAGTAATAATAGGAATTAATATCATAATAGTAATAATAAGAATAATAATAAGAATAAGAATAAAAAGAATAGTAATAAAAAGAATAGTAATAATAGTAATAATAATAATAGTAGTAGTAATAATAGTAATAATAATAAAAATAAGAAGAGTAACAAAAATAATTAGAATAAGTTATTATCGGCAATCCTGTTAACACTGATATTAGCATAATTATTATTGAGGGTATTAGTAATTGTATATTTAGAAAAACATGAGTTTCCAGACTAGATTCTATAAAGGAAATGGATCAAGAAGGTTGTTCAAAAAGATAATACATATTACACTGTTGATTTCCTACCTTTTTAAATTTTATTGAGAGAAAAGAGATCATAAAAAATCATCAAAATGTATTCTCCATCCTTAAAGGAATTGGATTTTATTATATTCTAATTAAACAATAAAAGCTTGCTTGACATATTAAATGATAATGTGAAGACAACTTTTGATATGCCTCCCGAAGCATTTGATTATAAAGAATTTAAAAAAGGATCTAAAATTTCATTCCTTTTAGAAGAAATTGCAGAAAAGCCTCTTGAGATTACTGAAGAATAACTTAATAACGGTTTATTGAGTTCATGGACAAAAGAGATTGAAGTGAACAATAAAGATTTGTAAATCATAATAGAGTACAAATATGATTAAATTTAGACCTTGTATGCTCGAAATCTATAATTAACTAAAATGCAGTACAATCAAACGACCATGCACTTCAAAAGAATTAACACATATTCTAACGAAAAGATATTCAATTGGGTTTAGATTAATATGAAGTTTATTAAAATTTTTATTAATTCAGACATGTTTATCACATTCACATTGACATACAAACTTGTTAATATATAACTCCTTAGTTAAATGTTATTGATGGCAGTCATAGGAGCATAAACGGCATAAGGATTTCTTGCAAGTCTTACAACTATGAAATTTAAATAATAATAAATTACTTGAATTGAATTTGATTTTTATTTCGATCTCTGTTTGGAATTGATTGAGTGCATGTTCCTAATAGATGGCAATAACATCGATGATCATTAGAATTGAAAGATTCAATAAATGTATGATTTTTTCTAATTTCATTTAGAGTAATTTGACTCTGTACCATAGAGTCAGATCCATGAGTCACTGTCTCATTAGAATTAAAAGCATTTTCACATTTAGAATGACATTATGTAACACATGTGCTGCATATTTAAAATAAATGATTAAGGAAGAAAGAATGAGTTTTAGAACATTTGATACAGTAATACATTTTGCTTAATTTAATTTGCTTGCCTTAATTACATTTAGTGATACCATAATCTTACAGCTTCTATAATCCATTATTATGCATAATTATTGTTAATGTAGTGTTAGTTCCATAAAATTAGATTGTAAATTATGACAAGAATTAAAATTTCTTTTGAAGTTGTTTTATCTTTTCTTTTTCAAAAATTCGATCAAAGCTTAAAACAATGTATTTGAGATAAGTGAGTGATTCAAACTGAGTGAAGAGTCTCTCGAAGAAATCATAGTTGATAGTATTGCCAATTAAGGATAATGTCAGTCTTTCCAAGTTTTTTAATTTTCCAATGTTGTTTTTCAGCTTCTCCTAAACCAACTTATCATAGTTGGTCATGTAATCCAGAATCAAAACTAGATCTTTTAAGCTTTGTTTCGAACCCAAATATTCTAAGAATAGACTGACTTCAGAATTTTTAGATTGTAATTTGGTTAAATTAAATTAAAACTTTTTTAAATCTAAAGTTCTCAAAGATGCTACTAATAATGAAAAAGCTTATTATAATCCACAATCTTCATAATCCAAACTTAGTTCTTCTAAAGATGATTAATTAAATTACCAAAGTTATGACGTCTGTGTATAATTTAATTTAATTCTTGGTATTTTAAATTCGAAAGCTATGCAATTGTATTTACTTAATTTCCACATAATAGTTCTGTGATCCTATTCAGACAGCTCTGTTCCTATTGTCATGCTGACCTTAGGAATATGTTATACTTTGGTTAAGAATTAGATGATATTATTAACTTAAGAACTTTTATTAAAGACAATGATATCTAACTGAGTTATGCAAGGGAATTACATATTACTTAAATTATCAGACCACTTATAGTTAGTATTGTGATTTAAGTCCTCTATTAGTTCCAGAATAAGAATTTGAATATCATTCTGAGGGGATAACACTAGTTCTGGAGTTTGATTGTTTAATTTTAATATAAGTGTTTTGCATTTGTTAGGCAGTTAACATTTAGTTTAGTGGTGATTTTGATTGTTTTAATACAAACTGATGTAACTTTGATTTTAATAAAGTACGGCAACTTCATTGTAACTACAATTGAGTAAGTCATCTGTAGGTTTAAAATCTTCAGGACCCAACATTTAGATCGAAGGCATGGTCTAAGAAAAACTTTCCGGGTGCATTCTTTTAGATTCTACGACTGAATGATAAAATTTTGACTATTGCCATTATTATCTCTGTTATAAGTTCTATGAACTATGGCTAGGAGATGATGGGGTTTTGATTTATCTAGCCTTGGTTGATTAAGGGAGCTTTAATGGATTGCCAGATGGTGGCTTGCTGCTAAACTATGTTTCCTTTGTTTAGAAATGTGACGGGGAGGATCGGTTTGGAGATCTTGATGCTTGTCTTTTTTTATTGGTATCAACTAACAAATTAGTTGATGATTTCTATTTTTTCTGATTACTAAGGTTGAGTTGGATTTATTTGGCTGATTTCTATCTTTCCTGTTAATAATAGTTTGAACCTGTGTTGCGACCTCTATTTGATATGACATCTGGAGAAAGGTAATCAAATTAGGACATGGTCTTTTTGGGTGATTCGAATGATTCAATTGTTGTTCCTTTGGATAGTACTTATTATTAATAGGATTGACTTTCTTTCAATTATTATAATATTGCTTTTAATTCTATGAAATCAGGTCGTTCATTCGGATTAATCTGCAACATTTTCTTTAGAATAGTTAGAATGATTTAGTCTGATTCAGTTATACGTTGAACATGTCTCATATAATCAGTAATTATCTCCTCTTCAATTTGAGAATTGATTTTCTACCTGGAATACCATTATTGCAGAGTCACTAGATATAGGAAGCATAAGCCTAGTGAATAAACATCACTTTTGAATGGATTATGCTTAAGTTTAGATGTTTCTGCATTCAATAATTCTGGAGCCAAATATGATTTAGTACCCACAACACTTATAGTCTATATTGTTTCAATCTATGTACTACAGCCAACATCACATGCTTTTATTTAGAATGGCTCCATTATCAATAGGTTTTCTAATTTTATATCTCTATGAGCGATATTCTTTTGTTACAAATGTTCAAAAATGTTTATAAGTTATTCTAAAATTTTATGTAATTCCTCTGTGTCTATGAAATGCTTTCTGATTTTGATATAGGAATCCAAATTCTGCTAACCTTTTTCCATTAGTAAATATGCAAATTATTGGCTTTAGGCATATTTGTCTGCTGAGACGGTTTCTAGTATCATGAAATCAATCAAATTAATCACATATTCTGAAGGAGACAATTATTACATGATTTTGATTTCGTTTTCAATATTACACTAATTGATTATGACTTACTTAATACAAGAAATCTCTTACCTTAAGAGCATACTTCTTCCCGTTTACTAAGACACTATACACTCTGCTATTGCCTTACCCTAAATGTCCATTATCAACCAAATTCTTACGAAAGTCATTTCCTTTAATTAATTTCATCTAGCTTAATTGGAGAGACAGATCCATTTTAATTAATATATAAAATAATTACAGATTGCTAGAATCCTATCAATGCTATACTGTATTTGATCTTTAACTTCATATTGTGAAGAAAATATACAGTTCAAAACTAGAAAAGAATAAAAATACATCAAAAATCTCACAATAGCGAATGTAAGTAAAAGAATATAAAAAGTCACAAAAGAAAAACAACGGTCAAACATGATTTAAATTCTATGAATAACAATGATCATATATAATTATTTAAACTGTTATTGGAAAACATCTAGGAGAATTATTCTGTTCAAATTTAGCAAATTACTTTAAATTTTTATTATTATTTATTCATGAGCATAAAATAAATTTATATAACTGTTCATTTCTAATTACATTTGGTAGAAGTATTACTAATGTATATTATATCTTATAGATGTCTAAAATTCAAAAAGTTAAGTTGTAGATCTAAAAGATGGAGTTATTAAAAAAATTTTTTTTTCACATATTTATCCTTTAATATCCTGAAATTATTCCTTCTTATATATATTATATCCAATGCTTTAAAAAACAATTTCTCTGAATTATATTATTTTATGAAAATTATGACCTATAAATACCTTATAAGAGTTATTTCGAAAATATCCTAAAATTATTTAATTGAGATAAAATCCATTTTCGAAATAAAAAACTTAATTAAAAAAATTGCATTATAATATCTAAAATAACAAATAATTAATCGAAGTGATATTAGCGTATTAATAATAAAAAGTTAATAAATAAGTTTTGGATGAAAGTATTGCTCTCAGTAATAACTTAAATTTTATTAAATAATTATAATAATTTATCTTCAGTCATTTGAACATTTATTCATCATTTTAATAAAATCATAATATACAATTCTTAACAATATGTTTTTAATCATATATATGTGTTATTTATCAATAAATTTTTTTGTTATAATTATATTTTTTAAAAACTAATAGACTCTGGACAAAAGTAGAGAGACTTTCAATATCTCCTGATTTGCATCCTCTTAAAGTGTGATGTATTTTAAATTAAATCATTTGAGCTTTTTTAAGAATGTTTGTAATTAAGAAATAACAGAGCATTTTATAAGCGATTGAAAAATTGAGATTATTTATTATAAATAAATATTAATGTCGAAAGAAGTGACGGAATATACTCCTATAAAATTAATTGTTCGGTATCGCGATGAAGCTTCAATTGGATTAATTTATCAACCATTAGATTAATCATAACCCATTATGATTTACAAGATTATACTAAAGAATATTTATTCAATAGAGAATCCTACTCGAAATGGCATAAAAGAGAGGATTTTCGCAGATCATCCTTTTCTTTTTAGATCTAAAAAAATGGAAGAGAATGTAAGATAACATTTCTTAAAATTAGATAGAGCAAGCATTAAAATAGATATTCTAAGAAAGGGAAGATAGGATATGTAAAATTTAGTATTTATAGTAGAAATGCAATAAAAAAATGATGAACTAAACGCTCATGAAAATAAAGAAGGAACTGCAGCCACAATGCCAACTACAAAAAAAAAATGAATAAATTATATTATTATTTAATTATATAAATATAACTCTCCTTAGTTAAAGTAATAATAGAATTATCTATAAGAATAATAATATATACATAATTTTGAGTCTCTTATAATAGTTTATTATTCAGAGAATTATGAATTATACTATTCTTATAAATGTTTCGGACAAATTATCTTATAATTCTGAGAAGTTTTTTATATTATGCAATTAATTGAGTTATACCATTTATTTTAATAATATTTATTTGAATAGTATGGGATGTTTATTGAGTGTATTTACTCGCTAATAGCTTGATAAAAGAAGAATTGCATTGCTTTAAAAGTTGTTCTTATTATTATAATAAAAGCGCTGATGAAGTTGAAGATATTAGAGAGAAAATTACTAGTTATAGTATATAAAATTAGTACATTAATTAAGAAAGAGTTATAGATGAAAAACCTCATAAAGATTTTACAAAAGTAATGAATAATATAGAAATTAAAGATAAAATGTTTGACTAAAAATGATGAATCTAAGATATTTTTATCATAAAATAAATCTGATTAGGAATACTATATTTTGAAATCCATCAATAAATAATATCTCGAGTACTCAGGAATGCAACAATAAATCCAAAATGAAATAAAAGTTGGTAAGGAATGCAAAGGAAAATTTATCTAAAAATTCCATCAACATTTTATCACCAATAAAAAGTGTTATATAATTTTAGAAAATGTACAAGGAGGTAATTTAAAATCTCTGATGAAGAGAAAATAAATGAGCGTTGCTGAAATTAGATTTTACATAGCAGAAATATTGATGGCACTTTAGCATCTTCATAAAAATAATGTCATATATAGAAATTTGACTCCCGAGAATGTTTTGATCGATAATCAAGGTCATATTAAACTATCTGATTTTTCCTTATGCCATTTCGGTACTGAATGTAATTTACTCACTGGGAATATTTATTACCAAGCACCAGAAGTTAGTAAACTATAATATCAAAATTACTTATCTGATTATTGGAGTTTAGGAGCGATTATGTATGAAATGTTTTTTGGTTACCCTCCTTTTTTCCATCCTAACATAAATAAGTATAAGAAGAACAAGAGAGAATAAATTATCACTATTCCAAACTCAATTTCAGAGTCAGCCCAATTATTACTTAAGCAATTATTAAACAATGATGTATTTCATACTTATTATTACAGATTTAACAAAGAATAATCAATGACTCAACTTAAAAAGTATAATATCATCCATTTTTCGATGGATTGGATTGGTAGTTAATCAAAAAAAGATTAGAGTAAAGTCCATTCATTCCTGATCTAAGGACAAAATCAGATATTCATTATTATTTGGAAGAATAATAAATAAATGAGAATAACATGTAACAATAAATTAACTGAAATAAAAGAGATTTTCTATTCATGTCATAAATTTAATTATAGATTAATTTTTATAATCATTTTATCTAAATAATATACTCTAATTATACAAAGGAGATTTAATTAAATTCCAAACACAAATAGCACCAACTTTAACTTAGTGACCTTAAATAAACGAATATATATAAAAGATTTTCCATTAATGGTTCAATCTAATTTTATTTTAATAAATAGATTCTTAGCCTGATAAAAAATACAATAACTTATAATAATTTCACTTGCAAATCTAATAAGACTCCATTAATAATCGAATTAAACTTGTTAATATATTCTTCAAAATTTGGAATAGCCTCTGCAATTAATTATTTTTTATTGTAAAATTATTCGATTGATATAATTAGAGTCTTAATAAAGGCTATTTCATCAATATTTAAATATAGAATCTCATTGATCTGTGTAATAGTTGACAATATGTTTATAACCTTTTACTCTCCGATTTTCTTATTTCTCTAGTTAATATCATAGAATCTACAACAGTACCATTATATATCTAAAAATCCTCAAATCCTCTTCTAGTTATAATAAATATCAATTCTGGCATTGGTTTTGGTCTAAACAAATTATTTGTTTAATTCATAAGGAATAGCTAGATGAATAAAAATCTCGTAATGGCAAACGATTTTTTGTCTGTGTGACTATGGAATCTGAAGATAAGGTGTTTTGTTGGCATGCTTTAGTTGTGCAAACCATAGTTGACATCTTGCCATGATTAAAGCAACGAATCATTATAATTATAATTATAAAGAATATAAGAAATGAGTAAGTATAGTATATTAAATATTAGGGGGTCATTTACAGGGAAGATAATGTACAAAATACAATAATTGATGAGTCTATATTTGGACTTAATGACAACAGCACCAAAAGTGGAATTGACAGAAAATTTATTCAGAGCTACCATAATATTTTAATTTATGTTCCGTCTTCACTATTTATTGCCAGAAGATGGATGGGGAGTATGGAATTACGAGGATTTTAAGATAAAAATCCCACAATAAATACTATCAACGATCTTTTAGCAAAATGCAATATTACTCAAAGTAATTCTCATCATTTTGAATGGTTGTTGTTTATTGATGAGTTTTATGCGAATTAAATTGATGTACTATTATAACAATGTAACTTGGCATATCTTTTTTATGCCTCAGGTCTCAATATTGATAGATTTTGAATCAGATCCAACCCTTTCAACAATAGCAATTCTTTTGCTGCTAATTCAATCTTTCATTAATTTATACTTCAACAGGGCAACCAAATTCTTACACAATAATCCGTTTATAAGGAAGTATACCAACCTTACTCTTGTGTCTATAGCTATTGATACTCTCTGCTACATGAACTTTCAATTTTATTTGATTAGATTGATATTACTTCATTTTTCAACAATAGTGTAAATAGTTGATGTCTACTCATTTCATCCCTACAAACCAAAACTTAATTCATTTGTGTTTTAATGTGCCATATTGCAGTACACTCTCATTTTCATCACAACAATATCAATCATCCAGTAATCAGAGAATAATTTATTTTATTCTTATTTTCTATTTGGCTCATTTTCAGTTGCGTTATCCTAAATAATAATTGAAAAGAGCTCCAAAAAGCAGACCTTCGATTAATACTTTGTGTTAGTCCAGAGTCAATCATTGTATCTGGCATCAAGCATATAGAAGGCGATCATGATTAGTCAACATAGATAAAATTGCAAATTCAAACATGAAAGTAATGTGATTGAAACAATTATCTGTATACTTGACAATTCAATCAAAAAGAACAAATAAGTCAAACTAGATTATGAAATTTTGGAGTTGGCGTTAATTAATTTCCTATCCTTATAAAAAGCTGCATTAACAGCCTTCTGTAGATTAAAAACGTACTATAATGCAGTAGATGATCATACAATATATTTTTAAATATGCTTTCCCAATATTGATAAAAAATTATGGAAGAGAGTTAGAGATGTTTAAAATAGAATTACTAAATAGATCAGATCAACATCATATTATGATGAGAAGGATCTAAAAACAAAAGATATTTATGTTGCATGTTTAATGAAGGATTAATTTTATCCAAAAATCATAGAGGTATTGAATAGAAAACTTGAATACTGGAATTAATTATTGTCAGATCTTGCAAATTACGAAAGACTCTTTGAACATACAATAAAATGTAGCTAAGTAGTCCATAATTTTAATGTCTTTCTTTAAAATCTATTCTCATAAGATTTGGATGAAATCTAGAATGTTAAGACTGTCATAGAATTAAAAATGTTAGAAATTTATTTTTGTGTTGTTAGAAACGATTAGGTTTAGGCCACAAAAATGCAGAAACTTATTATTGAGATGCTGAGGCAGGAGACCCAACAAGATGGGAAGCTATTAAATTGTAGCATCCTGGAAAACAAAGTGGTCTTATTGTACACTAGTATAGTTAAAGCATAAGGATTCATAATTAAAACCAATAGCGATCAATTAGCCAAGTTTTGGGGATATGAAAGTGAACTAGATTTCCATGATATTAAACATATTAATCAGTTGATGCCAAACTTCTGTGCTTCTGTCCATGATTAATACATAGAGAGATTTTAAACTTTAGGTCATAGCATACTCTTTGGGAAGTGCAGAACTATTTTTCTTAAAGATAAATATGATTTACTCATCCCAGCAAGCATTACTATTGATAACTTCTTCATAAGCTATGATGATTATGTCATCACAGCAGCGTTTGCTAAAAATAAAGAGACATCTTTATATATTCTATTTGATTGCAAAGGGAAAATACTGGGAGTCACTCAATTGATGTATAAAGTATTTCATACCATCGATTCAACGGTTACTCCAGAATTATTGAATACTGGATATATATTTCAGATTATTCCCAACATCTTCTATCTAATTAATAATCATACCAATGCTGAATTTGATAACCTTCTCTATGAGGAGAGGATTCATTTAACTATTGGTAATCCTATTAAATAGCAGTTCGATAAATAAATTAATTTGTCTAAACACAAGGGATATTATGATGATTTATGGACTCTTTATGAAGATACTAAAAATCATAAAACTGAGTTGTTTCTTTAAGAGTACTAAGATGCTTGTAAGTCATACATAGACCATTAACTAAAAACTGTGAATTTCGAAATCATATGCCAACTTCATTATCAAATAATTGGACATTACAAGACTATGCCCATGTTTACATTGGAAATTTTGGACATTATCAAAGCAGATCTACAATCAAGTATAATGTATTCATCTGACATGGAAATCAAGACTAATGATATATTTGAGCCAGATCCAGTTGACTTAAGTTCCATTTAAGAGGAGAGCTTCCAGAAAGTAAAGAATAATGACATTCCATAATTCGATAATTAATTACAATAAGTTCCTGAGATATCTTTGCTTAAAGGAAGAGTTGAATAGCCATTAAATGAATAGACTCCGAAAAATATTAAGTAGAAATAATTAATGTAACCTTAATCACAGAAGGCTACTTTTTAGGTGATCAAATAAAAGAGTTTAAATGATGATCTGAAAAGCATTGAAGAAGAAATGAAAATTATGAAGGCTAATAAAAGATATAGTTAGAAGCAAATTGTTGTAAATGAGAAATCAAAAGAGGAACATAAAAGTTCAGAAAAGTTAACCAAAAGAAAAAACATAATTGATTAAATCTAAGAAAAACGCAAATAGGACATCAATGAAATGGATGCTGTCAATTCTGTTAATTCGATTGCTTCTAATCTGATCAACTATAAGTAAGATCTTGTGAAAAGTGTTTACAAATCAAATAAAATTCCGTATTCACTCAAAATGATCATAATTTTTGACCTCCTGATCATCTCTTCAATACTAATCTTTAACATATTTCCAATCATTACCATTCACGACAACAATCTCCATGCTATAGAGTAAATTGATGCTATTATGGCTCCATATTTGTATAATTCTTATTATTGTTAATTGTATGTACACAATTTGATTTTTGAATTACAAAAGCTCTCAATTGTGAATTACAGTCAAGAATTAATTAATGACATAGAAGCAATCAATAAAAATAATACACTTCTTCAAGATCTAAGCAAATACTACCCAGTGTTTTTGGATATAGAGAAACTAGATTACTTTCCTACATTAAACATTCACTTCATCAATACTGCAGATTAATTGAATGTGTCATTTACTTATATGTACAGTGTCCTAATAGAGAAGCTGTAATATTTCACATAAAAAGGATAGAACTTTTCTAAATATTAAATGAATGAATCAGAGATTATCTCCTCCTTATACTTGTATGCCAATTTATAGGATAGTATATCCCTCTATTCCGATTTGATTGAATTGATTGTACTCACCTTTTTTGAGGACATGGTTTATGACGAAAACAATTTCCTTAAATATCTAATGGTTGCCTTGTTTGTAATAATCTTTTTATTTTGGATATAGATAATATATTTTCATTAAATTTTTAATTACTTTAAAAAGATAATATACTTAAATTGTAGACTGTTAGAAAAGGATGTTCATCTCATAGTTTAGAGATTGCAATTAATACGGGAGATTTTAATTGAACATACAGTTACAAACTGGAAAAAGGCTGACTATGTTCATTTGATGTTTCAGCAGATTAAGTCTGATCAAATACAAATTCAATCAAAAATCAATAAACATACTCTTCTGTGTTCCAGAATTGCACAAAGTAGATTTTCTCTATTGGCCATCCTTGCTATGATTATATCCGTTCAATCCCTCATTGTAGGTTTCTGTGTTGGTGGGTACTTCTTTAATGAGATTTAGCAAATAGAATTAACTCCCTAATACGAGTTGATGTCCCAATTCTTTCAATTTTCAGTCACCATGGACTCAATGGTTACTCAGTCTATTAGAGTGAAAGGTCAGAGACTCTATATGCAAAATAACAAAATCAATGAGTCCATAACAGTCTAAAAAAGTTTGGTGAATTAAAAACTGTTAGCCATGAGAACTACCAATTTAACTTTTTATTCAGTTCTATATGAAGATTTTGTTAAATCTGAAGAACTAATCATTAAAGGATTGATCAACGATGATTCTGTAGATCGATAGAATAATTCTACGTTGTATCAACTCTTCTTTAATGATCTATGTCCAATAGTGTGTCCCAATTCTACTGATGAAAAAGATTAGAATAAATATTATGTGAGTGAAGGCATATCCGGGATATATTCAAGTCTCAGCAAATATATTAAGAGTTCTTTTAATTATGAACTCGAAAATTTGAAATAAGACCCAGATGTCAAGGCTCAAATAAGTGTGGTAAATTCCCATGAATTTATTGTGTTATTTTCAAGACATTTTATAAATACTAAAAAAGCATTTCTAAAATTTTAAGAGGAAATACTTAATAAAACTTACAAAGTTATTGAAATAAACGATAAGGAAATCCAAGCTTATTTTTCATGTGTGTTGTTAATTGAAATCATAATAGCAGGATGTACATTTGTATATTGTATCAAATTGAAACAGTACCAAATATAACTAATGAGATTGTCCTTAAGCAGTATTCCAATAGATTTATTAGATTAACAATCAATAAGTATTCTTAAAACATTATGAATTATATTTTATTATTTTTGGTATAAGTATAAAATCTATGGAAATGTATGATTCCATTGCTCTTGGAAAACTACATTTTCATCTAGTTGTTTCATTAAAAATTGTCAATATTTTTGGGGTAAATACAAATTCCATATTTTTCATAAACATTATATAAATTAATTTAATATGTTTATTGTTAAATGGTAAAGAGAAATAAATTTAGAACTATTAAAAATAAGTTTAATTTAACCATAATTAATAACATACATATAATAACTACCTGTTCATACTTGTCTCACTTATTTTGAGACTATAATCAGATGAGACTCTTTCAATGAACCCTTGAATTATTCCCCTTTTTTACAACTTATCATCTAAACATTCTATTTATTGAGCTGGCAGTTTCAATCTTAAATCAAAAAGCACTTGCTAAACAAATCAATAAAATTGGCAATAAATTAATATTTTAAATAAAATTATATTCAAATTAATTCATTTCGTCATAGAAGACAGATCAAAGGAATCAAGTTTATAAGTTTAAATTTGAAGGTTAATAAATAAACGCTCATCCAAACATGGTTTTATTTAATGGATGTCAAAATAAAATTATCAAACTGAACTCCAATTATACTTGAAGAATGAAAAGAATGCTCAAATAAAAACTAATTAAAATTTTAGTGGATATTTAAGGCAATCCTCTCAATGACTTAAGGATGGTGATTGATTTCGATACATAAAGATCAAGGCGTTCAAATAATTGATTTAAGAATATAATTAAATTTACTCCTATTTCATACATCTAATTAAATATAATTATTTTAATTATATTTAATTAGATGGTTAATTTAACTCTAAATAAATGTATCTTCTTAAAATTCCAAGCTTATCAATCAGATATCAAGAAAAAGTAAGTCGTAACTCATACCCACCGATAAATTAGGTAGCTAAACAATATTATTATTAGACAATACATTTTCCTGGGATATTTTAGAAATTTACTATATATTTTCAAATAAATAAATAAAATAATTCAAAGATCTGCATAGGAATATTAACTAACCGATTTTCAATAGAAAAATGGATACATTGTTATTTTGGTCAAGGATATAAAATATGATTAATTATTTTATTTAATATGATCCCATCACTTCCTTCCAGAGGCAAATAGCTTTTAGAATCACCTTTCATCTGGTTAAAAGAAAAGGCTGAAATGGATAGGAAAAGAACTGGGTATGTAAAAAGATGATTTTAGAGTGCCATCAAATATGTGGTATGTTTAGGGGAAGATATACGATTTGTCTAAGTTCTTAAAGGAGCATCCAGGAGGTGAAAACTTTTTGAAACTGACTCAAGGATAAGATATAACCGAAATGTATTATGCTCATCACTTAAATTTGGATAAATGCTAAGCTATATTGAACAAATATTATGTGAGAGAGGCAGACAGAGTATAGTAATATTTTAACTTTGACTAAAATGGGTTTTATCGTACTCTCCACCGAAGAGTAGGTGATTATTTCAAAGTAAGGGATAAAGGACCATCATTGTCAATGAAATTAACAGTTATTTCAGTTCTATTTGCCTTCTGTTTAACATTTGGATTAACATGTCTCTATCAGAGTTTTTGGTGGGCATTGTTATGTGGATACACTTTGTTTGTTTGTTTTGGAATTGCTCATAACTTTATGCATTAAGGTCCAAAATAACCATTAAGATACATGTCAGATTTACTTTTCTTTTCGCATTACCATTGGGTTATCACACATTGCATTTCACACCATCACTATCCAAATAGCAATATAGATTTCGAGATGACTTCAATGGAGCCTTTCTATATTACAACCAAATCAAGGCTGCCAAATAACCGTTTTTTACCATATTACATAAACATTGTTTTCGGATTTATTAGTACGCTCTAATTTATTTCAACCATCATTTAAATTATAAAAGGTGAAGAATAACTCAGAAAAGAATACTTGATACCAGTAATAGAGTACATCATCATCTATTCCTTTTGTTTGGACGGAGCTTTGGCATTTAAGCTTTTTATGGCTATACAATGTTTTGCGAGCTTCCTTTCTCTTAAATATCCGTTGATCATTCATCGAAACAACTTTAATTACTCAGATGGTAGTACTATTTAGCCATCAAATGATTATGGAATCTATGTCATATAGACTACGACCGATCATGATCTATGGATTCAATTCCCATTAAATATGTTTCTCTTTTAGAGCTTCAATCATCATATACTACATCATATGTTCCCTACTGTTGACGAATCAAGGATTCCTGAAATCCATCATATTTTAGAGCAGACACTCAAAGATTTTAATCTATAACACATTTTGAAGAAATATTCTTTTCTTGAACTTTATAAGTCACACAACGAACTTATTTTGGAGAAATCATGAGATTCATTATAATATTAAGGATTTTATATTAGAAAACAAGTTCATTAAAATGCTTTTGACTTCTGGAAACAATTGCACTGTCTCAACTATCTCTTCTTCCTGAATGCAACTCTATTATTGGCTCTCCTTATATAATGTGTCGTAATCTCTAGATTATAGATTGATGACTTACTTCCCCATAATTTAGATCCATCTATATCTAAGAAACTTGTAATATCGATTCTTGACAGTGCTGAGTGATTTTGATGGAAAGTATGTAGAAATCACTTTGAATTTAGGTCCAAGTTTTAATACAGAAGAAAGAATCAGCCTATCTTCACTTGTTGTAAACTATTCACATGCAGGTATCCGTATTATTTTCCGTAAACCACTTCGCTTTACCTTTGAATATAGACGTCTTCTTTTCAATCTCTTTTTTACAATTCTACTTTTGTTGTTGATTTGTTAAACTACTTTTTGTACTCCAGCTTTTTAATTTCTTCTATTGGATCTTGTTTTAGAAGGCTCAAGATCGTTGGTTTTTATTTATAAATCAGTTTCTTCACTTATGCTTGACATGTAGGGAACCAATTGATTTTAAGAATTTTAATAATTTAATATCTGTTTTGTGAATATCTGTTTTGTGAATTTAAAAAAGATCCATTCAACTGTTACGCTTGTTCCCATCAATAAATAATCTTTTAAATCTTGTATCTCATGTGATTGACACACTCTATTCTACAATTTAAATAGATAATAAATAGTTTGATTCTTTTTAGATAAAAATATTATAAATTATAGACAAAGGGTAACTTCTTTTTAGCATATTTCATATTGCTAATTAGCTTGATGAATTTATAAGCGCTATTATTAATTTTATAATGATATAAACTAATTCATAATTGTAATCACTGCTTTTGTTCATAGAGTAAAATACTGTTATCTAAATTAAGTCATTAATTTATATTTTATAATTTACTACTTAAATATAGTAAGATCTGGAGGAAACAATTATCGTGATGCTATAACGTATTGGTTGTATCATTTATAGAGATGTGAATTTGGAAGAATTTGATGGTTTTAATTCATCTTATAATATAAAAATAAATAAATAAATGGGAGGATTCTGCCCTAACTCAAACATAAAAGTACTTCCGTCGCCAGTAATTCAAGAAGAGAATACTGTGGACCCACAAATAGAAATTGATACTCTTATTAATTAAGAAACCAATTACAAACTTAGTTTAATTCATAATTTCTCTCTAGAGAATCCCACGTTATAAACGTGTGATGAAGTAATCTTAGAAATCCTCTCCATATCAATTTCATTTATGGTTAAGGATTTTTCTGAATAATCCAACTTTCTTAAAATCCAAATATAAAAGCAGATCTAAGACTTAGTTGGTCATAAGGTTGATTTTCAAGAAGATCTTCTAACCATGCTTATAAATTATTATGATTTTCTGAGTTATGTATAGGAGAATGGAAGAACAAAAGTTGTTTCTTGGTGGAAAGATCCTGTTGGCGTAGTTGAAGTAGAGTAAGCAATAAAGCATTGGTCCCAAGAATTTATTAAGTATGGAGGCAAATTGAGGAGGGAGAAGGCTTTCAGGAATCTTACCAATGATCCCAAACCTCCAGAACGCTTTGTAAAGACGAGAGAATGGATAAAAAAACAATCAGAGGGTTAGGAGGAGGAGGAAGTGAAGCCAAAAAGAGAGTAACTGGCACTAATTAACAACCCTGAAGAAGGCTTTGAAGAATCTTGATGATATTTTAGGATATGTTTATTTAATATCTATTTATTTAGATGAAATACAATAATTATTCCAAAAAAGTAAAAATAAAAACTGTTTATATCAAACTTTGTTTAAGTTGACGATCATTGCTTTTGGAATTTCAATTTGACTTAATTGTATTGGTAAAATATATTAAAGAAATTAACATGATCTCCTCAATTAATGTGAGTCAGACAATAAAGAATATATTTGTAATTAATATAATATAAAAATGGCTATCAATAATGGCATGGTTGTTCACTTTAGAGTTAACTGTGAATTTGTATTTCAAGGGTATTGATAATGATTATCATAAGATGGTCCACAACTGCTGATGAAACAGGACTATTCTTCTTTGGATGTCTTATTGTAATGTTTTATTGTATGCTTCATATGAATCTATACACTGTTAAGTTAATTTTACCAAAAAAGTAAGACTCATCTTTATTATAAGTCTGATTGTCGATATCTGTTGGTATTTGGTTTATGCACTCTCAGGGATTATGGTTATGCAATTGATAATGACAATGAATGGATGGGTCAACGTCGCTGTTGTCATAGGAAGCACAATAGGATATTCCATATAGGAATCTTGGTCATAAATTTATGAAAAAGAAAATCAAGCTCCTCCAGGTGGATGTGAATTTTGTAATTGAGATCATTCATATTTTATAATGATGTATTCAAAATATTATAATTACACTTTTTGAATTAATCAAAGCATACGGGTTTTTATATAGGATACAATGAATGGCATTAACAAGAATAGGTACTATTAATAAATTTATATTTTTTATTAAGTTTAATTGCATTATCAACTCATTTATGTCTCTTTTTTGATTTCTCTCTTCTTTTTTATTTTTTAATTGGACTCTCCTCTCTCTTCTTATGTTTTTTGACAGACTTGGATCGAGATCTCTCTCTGGGTTTCTTGGTCGGTTTTACCTCTTCTAAGAAAACTAATGAATATTAAATACCTTTTTTCGATTTCCTTCTTTTGTCTTCCTCGTCCTTTTCTACATGTTCCTCTTTGGGTTTTTTAGACAATTCTTCACTTCTTGATCTCCTCAATTCTCCAAGACCACCACCGAGACGACGGGGTCTCCATTTCAGAATTGTTCTACCTCTTTCGATGTCAACCACCAACTTTCTTCCATCAATACGCTTATCTACTGCATATTTATAAGCTTATTTAACACTGTTCTTGCTCTCATACTCTTTTAATTTAAGATCACCCCCTTACCAATGAATGCATAGCCTCTAGGCTTATCTTAAGTAGAATCACGTATGATTCTTATTGATTTGATTGGTCCATATTCTTCAAATTCCTTACGCAATTTTTTATCCGTTGTGGCATAATTCAATCTGCCCACAAACAGTGTTTTATAAGGTTCAGATGTGATATTAGGATCTTCAAAGGGATTCCATAATTACAACAACTTCTTCAATTCCTCGTTGTGTTGATGCTTCTTTTCCAATCTCTTTAGAATTTTGAGCGGCAATCTCGATGGCTTCACAATATCTTTATTTTTATAAATACAGAATATACCCTTCTCTCTTTCTTCCCTCTGCATCTGCTCGTACTCATCCTCAAATTTGTCCAGCATCCACTCAGCCTTCCTCCCCAAACCTAACACTGGGTCATAAGGTCTGCACTTTGGTTTTGGCTAAGATTTAATGTGCGCTATTTAAGGAATCACAAAAATGGGTTGCATCTAAATATGATCATACCATAATACATCAGGTGGGAAGTCAGGCTTTCTTATGTTGGTGGCCTATTGCATTTGCGCGGGGTTGTTCATCATATGAGCCAGCGGCATCATAGGAGGTTGTGATTGATAATACATTTTTAATAAATTTATATTTATATATATAATCACTTTCAATTTATTATGTTCTAATTGAAAAATCCAATATTATCACTTGTTTTGGACTTTACTTCTACTCAAATTTTGGAAATCCTTAACTTTAATTGAGTGATGAAGATGAACCTCATTCGAAACCTAGTGATTACAAGCTTTATCCAATTGATTTCACCCTTACATTTTATGTTTTATGACTGTTAGTTTAATAATTGCGATTTGCATTTAATTTTATATTAATAATTCGTTAACTCATGATCAATGAATAAATGTTTCAAGAACTCAAATGCTAAAACTTTAAATCCATCATGGATAATTGTGTTTACCTAAAGAAAATATCAAATACTCTATATGGAGATGCAGAAATTTTGATTCATAAGACCTACAATGTTCAATTGGTTCTGATCACAAAGATTTTCCATCGAAAGGAGGATGCCAAGAAATTGCAAGAGGAAACAACTTTGAGGCTGAATCTTATTTCTGAAAGAATACTTCGTTTACTTTCGTATAATAGTAAAATCAATTATTTAAACTAGTAAAGGAAGTCAAAGAATTATGCGGTAGCTTCTACAGAATCTAATGGATATACGAATTTCATTCCCACACTCTGCAAGACAATATCATGTATCGAAAGAAGAAAGACCTCCCCTTTACTGAAGTTGAAATCATTAATCTCTTAGAATCAATACTCTAAGGATTTCAAATTTTTAAATCGGTCTCCATACGGCATGGTTATCTATAACCCAAACATATCATACAGAACACCAAATCCCAAAACTTTTGCATCTCCGACATCAAGTTTATTACTAAAATGACTGAGTATCAAGAAGCTTTGCAGAACATCGACTCTACTCAATAATGTTTCCTGTCTCCTGAACTGCTAAAGGAATTACAAAAAGGTTCTTAGGAAAACTCAAGTTACGAGAAGAATGAGATTTTTTCGATTGGTTTGATCCTTTTGAATTGCATGTTGCTTGAATATCCAGAGATTTACGATATTCCCAATTTTGCCATCAAACAGCAAAAGTTGTGTGAGTATCTGAGGGTTGCTGAATAAAGGTACTAAAGTGCCTAAATTGTTAGAGAAATGCTTTTAATTGACATTTATCATAGGTATTCAATTGATTGATAGTAGACCATCCTTAGAATAACTCATCTCTTTATTAATGCAATTGAAATTCAAAATATAAAACAGACCTTCTCCAAAACCCTAGTCTAATTATATTCTGCATATTGATCAAAGCAAAGAAAACTATTCTTCATAAATTGATCGGAAATATGCCACTGAGAACTAATATACTTCTACTACTCCATTGAAACACAATCATGAACGAGCACACTCTCGTAAAATTTCACAATTAACTCCAATTACTCATCTATCGCATTCTCCTATCGTTTTCAATAAACAAGAAACCACTGAAATTTCAACCATCAGCTAAAATAGTTACTTCTAAATGGATACTTCTAACATCAATTCAAGTCTAAGGGATCCCTATAATTTTACATATCGAGATGTTACTCCAGAAAGGAAGACAAAACCCTGTCCATCGCCATTTAAGTAAATTTCTTCCAATAATGCTCAAAATTCATCAAGAACCAATTACTTTTTTCCATCTACAAAACAAAATGAAAATTCATCCTTCTTACAATCAGAATCAATCAGTTATGATTTTGCTGAAGGAATCAAGTTAAATGTTCCGAGTTCATTATAACAAGAATTTACTAAATTAGGGAATAGAAGTAATCAATATTAAAAGAAGTTATTTTGAAATATATATCTTTTAATCAATAATTATAATACTTATATCATATTATACATATTTTATCTCTAGCCTTTTTTTTTAATTATTGAATAATAATTGATTTATGTCTTCTTCAATAATTTAAGTATTTCAAATAAGATATTTAACATTTTAAATGAATCATTTGTAACAAAATCTAATTTTCCATCTTCTGAGTAATCTTTAAAACGTATAGTCATTTTGGTTGTTAAGAAAATAATTTAAATTTGCTTTTACTTGAACAATTCTCATAACTTTCATTATAATATTGTACTAATTCATAATAAAGTTAACAAATTTTAATGACTAAATATTAATTAAATTATTAGAAAACAAATTTTAAATAAAGATAATAACCTTCTCAATAATATTTCAATGATATTATTACAACCCAGATGATGAGAAGGATCTATTCTTCATACTTCTTTAACATATTTACATTTTTTCCGTGATTTAATTCAAAATCCTTTAAATTTAATTCTTAACTCCCAAGACTCCTTCAGATAAATGGTCTTAATTAATACAACATAATTAGTATTTCAATAAGTGAAGCCGATTTCGCCTACATATATAATTGAATATAAAATGATATGAATTTTAGTCGTTTTTAGTGAGCAGAATGTGTAATTGAGATCACAATTTTTTGTTGACATATTTGAAAGTATATGCATAATATTTACATACATTTACTTTAATTTTACTTGATTTCGAGATTTATTTCTTAATGAATAATTATAACTAAAAGTAATCCAAATCAGTTAATTCATTTTATTTTGTGGTTTGAGAAGATTTTTCTAAATAATTCTAAATGAACTTTAATTACTGCGTATACGAACGATGCAATTCCCGGAGTCGACCTCAAAAGGAATTAAGATGGACCAAAATAATATTAGTTTAATAACTATAATTACAATGATGGGTACAAATATTGATATTATATCATTCACATTTTGGAAATCATCATTTTTAAGTACAGTAATTATGATTAAAGATCATTAACAAGGGCTATCTTGTATTTCAATTCCTCTTTGGTATCAATTAAACAATTTTGGATAGATTATTTATTTTACTTTTCTCCTTTTCTTTATTTAGAAATGCCTTTTGAATTCACTTTTTTTATTAGTTTCCTCCTTTTAATGGGTTTCTGAGAGGATTTGGGAGAAATAAGTTGGTAAGAAACAGTACAAATTGTTTTCAATTCTTGACAAATGAACTCAATATTTTAATTTTCTGAATTTTTTGGTTCTAAATTTGTATTAATAGCTTTCATGGATGGACTTGATATTTACATGGAGACTTTCTAAATGAATGGAAAATTTAATATATTTTATTAATTAGTGAAAATATTCGTAAAATAGTGCACATTATACGTTTGATCTATTTTTGAAAAAAGAAATTTATTTGAATAAAATGATGTGATATATTTTATGTTATATAATTAATTTAATTATATAAAAATGACTGAAGAAATTTTAAGTCAATATTATCCTAAATATAATCCCTAGGCTGCTATTTTGAAGGACATCCTTCGAGATGGATTAGAGCAAGCATTCGTTGGGAAATTCAAGAACAACAACGATCAAATCAACATTTCGGAATTCAAATTGAGACATCATTTCGATAAAAAAGATAATGATCATCTTTTAGATTAAATTAAAAAGAAACTCAAACTCAATAATCAAAAGGCTGAGATGAGGTGTGTTAATACAATACAGAATATAAGGGTTGAAACTGATCTAAATTACGATCCCAAATATTTCCAAGAAAATACATTCTACATGAATTAAAATTTAGATGCCATTAAATAGAAGATTATAGAAAAGAATGTCGCAGAAAGAGTTAAAAAAGCTTAAGAATTTAAATCTATGCAAAAAGCACTCAACATTTGGTTTCAACAATCTTAATAGTAAAAGAATGAAGATCAAAACAAATAATAGTAATAAACAAATAAAAAATAAATGAATTCATCATCCTAAATTATTGTTAAACAACATCAAACTGAAGGTATCCAGGTCTCTGGTATCATTACAACCAGATAAGGTTATAAAATGACCTATCCTAATTTGGCTTACATTATCAAAGCTACAGACATTCCAGAGAGGGAAACCTAGTGTTCTTTTGTTAAGAAAATCAGACCATTGTAGCAATTAGATTTCGATTAGTTAGATGATTTGAGAAGATATGTTTGGAAATACAAGCAATACACTTAATTTTTCAAAATTCTACTCAAAGTAGCATAGGGAAATCTAGAAATTTCAGAAACACTTGTTAAAACTTAACAAAGAATGAAGACTGGATTCTATCATGTTATGACCTTTTACCATATTTCCAATAGAAGTTGGGCAATTTGTAGATTAATCAAAGATCTGAATAAAAAGGGACTCTATCAAAGAGAAAGGTAAAATCTATATGAAGTAATAATACTTATCATATGAAAATAGACAATGTTGGAAAATATTCAAGAGGATCTTGAAGAAATATTCAGTCCATTATTGTTTGAATCTGATTATGTTCCTGTTGAGGAACAATTCATTTCATTTGAATAGTACAAAAAGAGACTCCAAGAAGTTATTTTAATGAGAGAAAATGGAGCTTGATTGGATAGTTGATAGTATGATATTTATTTATAATTAAAACTCAATATTTTATAATTAGTATATAAAGTGTATGAAAAGTATAAGAAATATAATTTAATAAGAATAAGATAGAGAGTAATGTAAAAACCAAAGGTAAGAAAGGTGTAATTTATAAGTTATATTTTTGTAAATGGATAAATATAAAATTAAAATTTAATGTGGTTTATTATCTGAAATTAATAGTTTATAATTAAAATTGTTTTGTTTGAAATATGATGAAATTACTAAAAATATTTTATTTTATTTATAAAAATGTGCATGGTTGTTTTAAATTCTTGTTTATGAGAATTTCTTCTGTATAAGAATTTAAAGAGAATTTCAAATAAGAACTGCAAGGACTTCAATTAAGTAAAGAATCTTGATTGTAAGAGTGCTCTGAATATTATAATAGTGATGTATGGAGAGGAGTATTTTATTAATGTGTTTGAGTTTTTAAGTCTGAAATTAAAGTAAAATATAGGTTTGGAGAAGGAATATCTATGAAGAGAATGGAAAAGCTTAGAGTACATATTTTTAATTATATGGAAATATAAAAAGATGCGAGATTTTAAATTTTATTTTCAAAGAATGGACCATCTATAATTGAAGCAAAAATATGGATTATATGTTATATAAATGATTATGATAATCAATCTCTATCAAAGAGTCTGTCTAAAAAGCTCTTTTACTTCTATTGTGGCTATTGGGCTGTTTATGGGTTTGGTCGTGGATTTTAAGCCTGTGGTTATTTTAGATGTTATACTTATGTTCTGTCTAATGGTTATTGGGGTCTAGCTTATGGGACTGTTCTGGTTGGTATTTGGGTCTAGGCTAATGGAAGACTGGCAACTGGAGCAGGAACATAGGCTGTTTATTAAAGTGGAGCTGGGGCATATTGAACTGGTTATGGAGCATATTAGACTGGTTGTTGAACATATTGGACTGGTTATGGGGCATATTAGACTGGTTGAACGACTGATTGAGTAACCACTTATTAGACTGGTTGGGCAACAACTTATTAAACTTGTTGTTGATGAACGACTTATCTCTCGACTGGGTAATATTCAACTCTTTCTTGATATCTGTCTACAGGGACATATTCTGGAAATTTAAATTTTTAAATGTCATACCTGTATATTTTTCTTAGAAGACTTATGGAACATATTCAGTTTGATATTCAACTGCGTAATAATCTGTAACATATTTCTCTCTTGGCACTTAGATTCTTTATCTCACTTCTTCATATTCAACCACAGTTTTCTCGTATGGAACATATTCGATTCTGCTCTCACCTTTGATTGTTGGTTATGCGACAACTGGTTGGGCAACAACTGGTTGAGCAACGACTGGTTGAGGCACGTAGGTTTGGGGCACAACTTGTTGAGGAACATAGGTTTAAGGAACGACCTATTGGACGACAGGAGGAGCATAGGAATATCTCAATGGTGAAAGAGGAGCACCATATGGTTGGGCATAGCTGGGTTGTCCAAAATATGGTTGTGGTGCTTATGGTGCTTGTTGTGGTTGTTATGATTGTGGGATATTGCTCATAATTATTTTATTTAAAAGGTGAGAGGGAAAAAAAGATATGAATTAGGCCTTGTAATTAATTAATATAAAATGAATTAGGAGCAATAACCTAAAGACTCAATTGAGCAGGAATCAGATGAGAATGAAAAGAAAGATCAACTCTAGCCACAGGAACAAAAGAAGAAGAAGAAGAAAAATAAGAAGAAAAAGAAATGGGGAGAAGAGGGTAATCTCAAATTAATATATATTTAATAGAGGAAGTACTTACAGATTTTGATGATGATTGGCAAAATAAAGTTAAGTAATCTAAAATCTTGTAAGATCCAGATCTTCCTCAACATATTAAGGAGAAGTATGCTATTTATGAAAATAATCCATTCATGATGATCATTTCAAATGTGCCTCTCAATGTTTAGTTGAAAGAACTGGAAGAATATTTTAATACTCTCATCACTTCTCTTGATCCAAAAATAAGTATTTTCCTTGCTTATATTAGATGACAGACCAATCAAATCAATTGAATATGGTGCCACTAAGTCTTGGGTGGTTTTAGAATGCAGTTCTAAGGAAGCAAAAAGAGCCTTAGTGACTCAGGACTAAGTTCAATTTGTCAATAATTGCAAAATTAAGGTGGAAAGACCCAGAAAATTTTTGGAGAGAATCCTCAATCCATAAGCAAGGGATGGGGAATTGAATCCAGAATAGAAGTAGGAGGACAATACCAGATTATATTTGGGTGGGTTGCCTACTTATCTAAGAGATGAAGATGTGATGAAATTAATTCAATCCTTTGGAATAACCAAGTATTTTAATCTCGTTAAGGACACTACTTCTAATACAGAAATCTCAAAGGGTTATTGTTTCTTTGAATATGAAAACACTGTGTCTACAGCCAAGGCTCTGAAGGCACTCAATAACTTGTAGATTGGGGATAGGAAATTGAAGATTTGCAAAGTTCAAGGCGAAACTCAATAAAATAAAAAAATCAATGGCAAGGATCAGCCATCCAATTATGCTGGTTCATTCTTAGCTTCTTGTGACTTACTGAGAATACCTTAGGTTCAATAGATGCTCACAATCCCATAATCTGCCTTGATTCCTAGTAAAGTTGTTTAATTTTTGAATATGGTTTAAATACTTCCTTATTCATTTTAGTGTTCCATTTAGGATCTATACGAGGATGACATTTTCGAGGAGTTGATGGAAGATATAAGGAGTGAGTGCATACGTTATGGACAAATCGAAAAAATAGAGATTCCCAGGCCTGACAAGGAATCAGGGTATTAATGCTTATAATTGTAGTTTCTGCAATCCTGCTGTTGGGAAAATCTTTGTTAAGTTTTATTATTAGATTCCTGCCAAAAAGGCCAAGTTCCATCTGGCTGGACGTACTTATAATAAGAGAACTGTTATTACTTCATTTTATCCTGAAGAATAATTTGATTATAAAGACTATTTGATAAATGGGTGATTTAATAATTATGATATAAATTGTTAACGATGATCTGATCCCTTAAAATATCAAGGCGAATTCTCGATTAAGGGATGCCTACATAAAGTATTAGGAGTTAGTTTCAAGAGGCAAAATCAAATTGAAAATGAACAAATAAATTAATTGCGATATTGGCTAACAACTTTATTTCTTCAAACACAAGGATGCCTTGTTTTTTCAACATCCCGATAAACAACAAGAATACTATGAAGGTTTGTTGAATAGTCTCACATAATAAATTAAGTATTTTGAAAATATGAATTAGACCTTAGAAAGCAATTTCCTACGAAAAGCAATTACTTTTATAAATTTAAGCTCTGAATCAATAAAAATATACGCCGGATACTTTGAAAAATGAAATAATCTCGCTTTTCAAAAGAAAGATCTCGTCATTAAAGATCAGAAAACAGAGAACCTTTTAGTAAGAGGATAATGTTTAAAAGCCATAAGCCGAGTCAATTTATAAGTACAGAATATAGTGGATTGACAACTAAATAATAAATTTGAATTAACGATTAGAGAGACTTAAAATTGATGACGGGATCAAAATTTAATAAGACAATCAATAAGCATTATATAGTAATATCTTTGTGGATGATGTTGAAATTTATTTGAGAAATAAGATTTATTTTGATAAAATCAAAATGCCATTTCGCAAATTGAAATATGTTTTAAAATGGATGCATTTCTTGGATCGATTTGAAATCTAAGAGAATGCTAACAAAATTGTAAATCAATTAAGAGTCTAAAATGGCGAATAGAACCAATTATACTTTAATGATATTGTGACCAATATTGAAGGCAAACTAAACCTTAAATATTGTAAATATATGAATTTATTTAAGAAATGAGTAGAGATGTTGTGCTCCAATTATAAGAATATCTGAAACCACTTAAATTTTCATTGGATGAAAGTAGAATAACTTAAAGATTTGACCGTCTCCCTTTAGTGATTCTGACAGATTATGAGATGCAAAATAGATTGTATTAAATAGCCTCTAAATTCCTTAAAAACCCTAGACAATTTGGAGAATAGAAACTTATCTTTCACCTATGCAATTTATAGCACATGCTTGATGGATACCAGAAGTATCTCTATGCTTGGGACAAATCCGAGAAAAATGAATACGATGGCTATAGTGGCCTATAGAAGTTAACAATAGAACTAAGTGCCTTTGATGACTCAGAAGAACTTATCAAATAGTTAAATTACCCATTACCAATTTACCCTAACATATCACTATTATATGTCAAAAACGATTGGAAAATGCTTTTAAATTGTAAGAATATCGTCCCTGATGAATACTAAACTTTTATGACAAATCAATTAAACTTTGTAACTGTTGATGCCTATACAGAAAAACTGATATAGTTATTACCCATTCATTTGAATAAACCCATGTAAGCCTACATAGATTAACAAATTAAACAAATTAGAAGTGATAATTACGCACTTTTCAATATCATAGAGAATAACGATTACATTGAATGCACAAGAGAATCCTTAAGGTTAAGGTAGATTAATGAACTTTATGAACAAATAAGCAATAAAGAGATCCATTATAGACATAAGACAAAGTTCAAATCAGACTTAGTAAAAGCTTTTGAAGAGTTAATGATTGAATTGACTCCTAAAGAAACTCATTTGTAAGCCTACTTTTCAACAATGGTTTGCAAGATGAGAGAATTCCATCGCAAAATATTTTATGTTGTTAATGCTCTTTAGTCAATCGAAAGAAAACTTACTTTTAGTTTGCTTTCTTTGAGAGAGTGCAAAGTAAACACAACTGTGGACACTTAATTTCTCATCAAAGTTAATTCACTATTAAAATCAGATGCAACTGAATAATAAATGAATCAACTCATTAATCAAAGGAGAAATGCTGTAATTTCTTATATAGATGCTACTGAAAAATCTTCTTAGAAAGTAAAATCAAACTTATCGCCAGAACTAAAGTTTTGTAGAATTGAAGATGAAATCTAGTATTCAAATGAAGAATTGCCAGATGTTTTTGTCCAACAAAAGATTCAAAATCCTATTTATGACAGTGCCATTGAGGAATTCAAAAGGATAATGAAAAGAATAGTTTAATCAATATCACTTTACATAAATAAATATGAGAAAATTAGCAGCATCAAATCTATTAATCCTATAGTTGATAGATTTCAATGTGCATTAGATTGTCTAGAACAGGAAGCTATATACTAATTTTAGAAACTCAAATTGGTTTAAACTTATATGAAAATATTTGATAATACAGTCGATCAATATCAGGCATCAGAGATAATCGAAACCATTTTTGAGATTATCCAAGCCATTCCACTGTTAGATTTAGAGTCATTTTACTTCAAAGACAGTTACATTCTTAATTAAGATTTATTGAAAAGTCAAAGAGAATTTATGGAACTGTTAATTAACAAACAATAGGAACATGAGAACGCACAAGTCAAATAAATACACGAACAATACTTGTTGATGCGGATGCAACAAGAAGATATCGAAAGAGTACTCAGTAGAGCTGAGACTCCTAAGATTGAGTAAAAGACTGCTAGAGACTCTAGATTGAATGAACAATATGACTATTACAATGTAAGCAATAAAATGTCGTAGATCTTTTAAGAACTGAATTCTACTAATAAACAATCTGCAGTCAATCTAAATTCAGGCTCAAAAGACCTGAAAATAATTGATCCTAATGCTATATTGCTACCATTTTAAACTCTAGAGGATTACAATGGACTCAATTTTACGGAATCCTTGTATTTAGTTACTGTTATCATCAAAACTTTCAAAAACAGCTTTCAAATGCTTTTAGAATAATTCCCTTAGAATTCTATATAGGGCTATTTAACTCTGCAGATAGCCTCTTTGAAATAGGCATAGGCATACTAATATTAAGATTAAAAATTACCTTATGTTAAAAAGTTTCATGAAAATACTTTCTTTGAATCCGAGTATGGATTAATCTAAAAGTATTTTGATAGAATCAAATCTACGGTGTAGACTGACATCAATCCATATATTCTGAATGTTTCTTTGTATGATTTAGAGAGGACTTTAAATCAACAATAGATTCAAATCACAGATATTGCAGCAATCAATAATCTCTTTGAGTATTTGAGATTGAGGAAGCACTTCTTAAATATCTAATTAGAGATGAAGGTTCAGCACAGAATACATAAAAAAATACATGGATATCAAAAGATGAGCAAAACAAATGACTTGTATTTTAAGAGCAATTTAGTTGAAACGCAAAGCCAATATAAAAAGAACTAAGCTGTAAAATATTGTTTTTCTCCATTTTGTTTTGAGATTGATGCGACTTAGGAAGTACCTTTTATTTTGTTAAAACAATCTGAAGTGTTAGTTTTCCATGATGTAATAGAAGAATTTAGAAATATCGTATTATATGATTAGATCAATGTGATGTTTCTCTAAACTTAAAATGAATTAAGATTTAATTACATTGATGATTATATCAAAGCTTAATTAGATCTGAAGCACTTTGCATAGGTTGGATACTTGCCCCAGAACTCAAAATTAAGTATAAAGCAAATCAGTCAATATGAATTCAATGATAAACTGTAAATGTTTAACATTAACATCTAGATTGTTAGCCAGTCTCCCGAAGAAGCTTTCAGAAATAGATGAGTATTTGAAATAAGCTAAATCAGTAAAAGCTGAATTGTTTATAAAATATGTTAATAAATACAAGGAAAGACCGAGAGTCAACTCTTTTCAGAGTGAGAAAATGCAGATTTTAAGTGTAAAAAAGGATTAGAAGTAAATCATATCAAATATTAAAGTTTAAAACTATATCTAATAAAACGCTTGATTTAAGATTTCTTGAGCATCACACAACACGAAGCCATAAAAGTTGATATTTTCTATAATGAAATGAGAATTAAGAGAATTTCATAAGTGATTCCTAATTCTAGCTAAATAGATAAGAGTTTCTTGCTCTCATTCCAAGAAGAGCAAACGATTTATGTGTAATAATTTAAAAGGATCGCTGAGAAATTGGAAACTCACATTCATATTGATCAATTTTATTCTAGAGATGACTTTTAAAACCAAAAGTAATAGGATCCGAATAGGGAACTCAGATAATACTATAAATCCTTATACCAATACTTGATGGAAGTATTGAGACACAACACCATATTTCTAAATTGGTTTGAGTTAATGCATATGAATGAACTCTACTTATTCAATCTATCATTTGATTACTATGATCAAACCAAAGAGATGCTCTATCAGGGTAAACTTGGAAAAAATCCAATTAAAAGTGTTTTGGAGTATGATAAGTAAGATATGCCTTGATAATTAGGAATCAAATGGACATTAAATAATGCATATCAGATTAAGTCATAGAGCAACGTCCTTTGGTAGCATAGGCAATTGATAAAATGATAGATAAAATTAAGTCCTTTTATTCAATAAACAAAGCCTTTGAACCCTTTCTTCAGTAGATAGAGCTATTCAAATCGAAAAATAAAATTAATGAAATCACACCAGAAATCAAGCAATCATACTTAAATCTGTATTCCAAGACTTATTACATTTATAATCAATGTTAATTCTTAATAGCCAAAGATGTAATAATAATTATAATATGATATTAGTATCCAGACTCTGAATATTACTAATAGTATTAATAGATCAATTAATGTCTTTTCTTGCAACATTAATTCAGCGCTGTTAATCTAAATTTCTTCAAAACTATATATGTCAGATACCAAAATATGTATAAGGTCAAGCAACAAGACTTGTATAGAAAATTCAAGAAATTAAACTCAAATACTTACTCTGATCAAATAAGGATGATCAACTTAGTGTTGCCCATAAATAATGAGAATCTTTTGACTAATTACCATAATGAATAGCATTAAAATGTAAGTTTGATGTTGTAGGTTCCAGGAGTAATTGGAGTCAATGAAAGGATTATGCTAAGGAAACAGAATGTAAATGAAATTAAAGAATAATGCATTTCAACTCTTTTGTCAAACACATATGTTTTACTAAAAAATCCCTATATCTTTAATATGAGCAGTGTGGAGTTGAAACTCTACTATAATGATCTAGAAATATAATTGAAAGATTAAAAGATTAATTTAAAAGAATTAGTATATAATTAACTTACCAATACTTCAATAAAGGCCATGAATGAGAATGTCCAACTGTTGCAGTAATACTTGAATATTGCTCCAGAATACATTGAAAAAGCAGAGATTATGGATAAATTAGTGTCTAAAATAAACATCGCTATTCCAAGAGTGAAATTCATACAAAGTTTACAAAGCACTTTAAGTCAAAAGTGTGGAGAAATACACAGTGCATTGAAGATAGCATTCATACAAGGATTTTTGAATAGATTGAGGAACAAATCAATTCAAACTAATCTTTTGGTTAGTGGAATGGGTTACTCCATCAGTTCCTAAGACATTGAGGATTGTCTCAATATTTTGAATAGAGACTTATACACTTTTGCTGAAAATGAAATTGCTGCAAGAATGGAAACTTTCAATTTGGTTTATGAGTAATAAAAGACTTAGATTAAGTAATTGAATAGATAATTGAAAGAAAAGACTTTGGAACATGATTAACTGAAGTCGTCCTTTGATGAAAGATTATAAGCACTTGTGATAGCAAAAAGCAATAAGATTTTATTTGATCTGGATATGCTAAAATCGAAATTTAAGGACTATCAGAAGTATCTAATTTAAATTCTATATTTAGATGTACATTAGGATTAGAGGAGAATATTAGAGAGTAAATTGAGAGTAAATACAAAATTCATGTTGAACAATTGACATTTGAGAGAGACAGAGTAATTGAAAAGTTTATGGACTTAAAATAATAGTTAATAACTCTATTTACTCAAGAAGTGCAAACTAATTAAGATGCTCTGATTAAATTCATTTAACAGAAGACTAATGAAATGTTATCGGAAATTCCTTTATATAAGAGGTCGCATAGTTAGGGAAATGATCTTAATGAGAATGGTCATTAGGGAGAACACTAAAAGGTTGAACTGCTTTTTGAACCCTACAAATTCACCAAGGCCTTGCATCAATTAAAGGATAAATGGCAATAGGAGACTGAAGATTAGAAGATCAATTATGAGAAATAGATCTCGTACATTTTTATATCCTATTCTTAGATTTTATAAATAACAATGTTTGGAATTTGAAGATTTATAATTTTAATTGAATGAAAGCAAAAGAAAAGAAACTACTATGAAAATGGAGATTATTACTTTGCAATAGACAATCAGTCTATTGATTAAGTAGAAGGATGAATACGCTGAATAAATTGACTAATTAAAGTTTGAGAAAAAGCGGATATTGAAGGCAAATGACGATTATCAATAATAGTTGAAATAGTATAAGGAGAAGTTCAAAACACAAGAGAAAAAACGAAATGCAATATCAGTTGATAATTATTCCATGACTTAATCAATTGTTGAAAGGAAAACGTTGCCGAAACTATTCAAAAGTGAACAAAAACCCAAATTAAAATTATGATTAAATAATTTAATATGCAATAATAGACATACATTGAGAGTAGTTACAGTAGTCATAGCAGTAGTAGCAGTGAAAACGAGAATAAAGATGTTCTTTTCTCGCCTGTATTTAATTTTTAGAGTCCATAAGTTTAGGGATGCAAACGAGATACAATTGCTATCTGAGTAATTTGACATAACCAAGTGGTCCAAACATGTTTTGCCGCAGCAATCTTAAGTGGAAAAGACTCCAAAGCCCATTAAAAAGCAAGTGGGCAAAAAAACTAAGAATAAAGTCAACACATCTTCATCCATTTCACCTTAGAAAAAGAAATCAAAAATCAAGAGAGTATATAGACCAACCCTCTATGTAGCCCAAAATGAAGGACATTAAGCCTTAAAATTTAGAAAGTGAGAAGCATCTGTTTTTTACCATGAAAGCTGCATACAATCCACAATTTGAATATGTTGAAGTCAAGGTTTGATCTATATTATATTCATAGGAACTTGGTCCAGAACAACCCCATCGCAAATATGAAGAAATTGCATTAAAAATTATTGATCAATGCATTAAAGAATTTGGTTCCGATTTGAAATATGCAGAACAGGAAGGAGGGAAACTACTGTCAATCGAAGAAACAGAACATTTCTTTAATGATTATATCCATAAATTAGGTGTCTAAGATCTGATATCATATGAATTTCAAGATCACACCGTAGCTCCAACAAGTGTAGTACACAATCCAACTGATGGCAAAAGCAAAGTTATTATAGGGTTGCCAATCAATTATCGTATCAATCGTATTGAAGGAGTACTGAATCATGAGATTGGAACTCATTTCATTAGAAAAATAAATGATAGACAATAGCAATGGTACAAGAAGAGGTATTAAATAAATTGATCAAGAGCTAAATATCATATGGAACCATACTTAAAACATGAAGAAGGACTGGCTGTGCTTAATCAAGTTCTACCATAGGCTCTTAAATAGAAAGGCAAACCTTACTTATTCATGGCTGCGCTGCATTATATTTCTGTATATATATATTTGTTAAAATTAGTCAATATTGGCTAGTTAAATGAGTTTTGCAAAGTTATTCCACGAACTAAGATACTTTATTTAAGATGATGAAGCCAGATTCAGAGAATGTTTGAGAGTAAAGAGAGGAATGAGGGATACATCATAACCAGGAGGAATGTACAAAGATCAAGTGTACTTGACTGGAGCGATTAAAATATTAAAATATAGGGGCAAACTAAACTTTATTCATTTACATAGTGGAAAAATAACAATTAAAGATTGCATTCGTTTGGGAGAAATTGGATAAATATATACAAAAAACATCTATATACCTCCATTTTTACAAGAACTAGAATAGTATAAAAAAGGTTTGGATAAAATAGCATAATAAAATTTCATTAATTTTGCATGTTGAGACTATTTATAAAAAATATAAATTAATTATTTGATAGATTAATTTAGTTTACATATTTAAATCCTTAAATATCAATTAATTGTTTAATGATTATTCCAATTTTCTTAATGTTTTAGTCTTTATTTAATGTTTGAATCTGTTGAATTAGAAGATGTAGGGAATAAATTCAATCTGAACTTTAAATTCTTGTATTAATTTAATTCTTTTTTTAATTATAACATATAATAATAATAATCAATGACTTGTTAATTTAACTATAGTATAGATAAATGAACACAAACCTCCACATATTCCAAATGTTAGAATTCCATAATAAATGAATTTACTCTTTCTTTTGGTTTCATCTTTCTCAAAATATTTCTTGTGAATCAAAATTGGAAATAGAAAATTCAAGGAAGCTCCGCCTATGGCTCCTAGTATATTCACAAAGTAAGCAAATTTAGGTATAGAATAGCCAATCAATCCTAGTAGTAAATTGATAAGTGATCTTATTGCTAATCTACGGAAACTTGAATATTTGAGTTCTGGATTAATGTAATTTTTTAATTTTTCGATTCTCTCTATTTATTAAAATGCTGGCAACACTTAAAGAGGGTATGAACAGATCAATCCAAAAGCGTAGCAAATTTAGATTACATAAGATAAAGGATTCTTGTCGAGGCAAAATAAAATGATTTATTGAGTTTCCATTCTACTGCCCAAACCCCAAACTGATAATAATGTAAATGCTAGAAATAATCCCAAGTTGAAATATGAAACCACATTGAAAAGCTAATGGATAGTAAAACTGCTTACATTTTTAAATTAAGTAGGTTCTGACATGGTGACTCTGATTGCAAAAGCAAGAGGAAGCACTCCAAAACCATAGGCCGTCACTCCTATAATCATAGGAAATTACTCAAAGTGTGCCAAATTCATCACGTTCTCTTTGATCCCATCTCCCTCGAGTATTTGATAGAAGTCATAGACTAAGTAGATAAATTCAAACTTTCTTACAAGTAATGTAGACTAAGCCAACTAGGATGAGAGTATTAGCAAATAAACTTAATTTAGCAAATCGAGCCATATTGTCAATGAAAGAAAGAGGAAGCACAATACAGAATGCCATTATCAAATATATCCAATTACCCGCTCCAGATTAACTATCAGCACTTGAAAATATGTGAGCAAAGAAGGAAATAAAAAATATTAAATATGCCACAGCCTTGCCTAATTGATAGGCGATCAAAACAACTTTGGTAATTTGTTTTCCCTTCTCCCCATATGTGACTTCTGCCACTTCTGTGAGACCTTGATTTTCTTTGTTTTCGGCATTTGCCACTTCGATCAAATAATGAACGCACAACATTAACATGTAGGCACTTATCAAAAAGATGAATACTGCCAAAAGCCACCCTCCAACATAAAAACTAAATGGCATTGCCAATATTCCTGATCCCACATATCCCTTAATAAGTGTCATAGCACTGTCCTTGTATGTTCCCTTGACAGGATCCTTACCTGTGTACGGTTTTTAATGCATATAAACTTGATCGAAGTTTTTCTCTGCCTCCTGGTTTTAGTTATTAACGCTCTCATAAACTTGAGACATTTTTTTAATAAATAGATTTAATATAGCAATTCTTAATCATTTTTCAAGAAGTTTAAGTCATTCCGCCAATAACTTAATCGTGCCGAATGAGAATAAATAATAATCTGTATTAATATCATAGTCATTATCAATTCTTGCGTATATTCTTATTGATTGGATATTGGGGTTCACCAGTTACCTCATCAAGGTCTGGAGCTGCTTCTTGCTAAACTCTTTGAAATTCATACTCTTGCTTCCAAAAAGAATTCATTATAACCCCTAAACACTGTATAGACATTGTAGGCGATAAGACATAAGATCCCATTAACCACGTATACATGAGCCTTGTTAGCCATCTTGAAGCCCTTGGCCTCGGCCTTCGATAACAGAGCATCCAATTTTTTCCAAATCATTATATAAAATAACACAATTATATTTTAGAATATCAGAATTTTATTATGATATTAAAATGAAAGACACACTCCTTTCTCACCCCACAATTAAAATTAGTACTCAATCATAATAGATTTCAATCGATGTAAATAAATTCATTTCTTTTATAAAAATTTAAGTAATTAAGTTCCTTAAGTATTTTTAAGGCGTCCATTAGATATTTATTTTTACAATGCCATCAAACTCTTACCAACTTATTCGAAACTCTAACTCGAGACTGTTTACTCTTACTTCTAAGAGTCAAACTACTACTACTAAGATAAAATCACTAATCAACCTTGGACAATCCCTTGTACTTGTTCATTTGCACTTATTTTTCAGGACTGGTTGCTTGATGTTACAATTCGTTGGTTTTATCTGACCGTTAGAGTTTGTGCCTCACATTTTCCCTTTATCTTTCAGTCTCTGTAATTTTGGATTCGAGAAATTGCTGGGTCTCATCATTCATTCTCTGTAACCCTAATTCTCTTTTGGCAGACAGTTGTCTTCTTCCTTTGGATAGGGATCGATCAGCATCAGTGTGACAGACCTTCATGAAAGTCTTGAAATTTGCCTCGTAAGTAGAATTATGAAAATTCTTTTGAACCTTGTTTTGAACGAATTTGCCCAAGCGCTCAAAAGCAGATGGAGTTTTCCTATGAATAATTTCCACAGGGGAGTTCTCCTGCAGCTTCTTGTTTTGGTCCTGAAATATATTATACTAGATACTTTAATAACCAACTCTAATGATCTTATTTTATCTTGTTGCTATTATATTAGGAGATCCTTCTCCACAGTAATTTCTTCGATCCTCTATATCAAACCTTCGATTTAGAGTTTCTGCTGTTGTTCCACTCTGATATGTGTACGTATTGACGCTTCAAGATTTTGTATAATAGATTCATAATCATTATTAATGTGTTCTTCCAATTACTCTTCAAACAGCATCTTGATTCTAGTATGGTATTAAATAACATAGCAACCGATTCAAATAAGCTACAATTTACAGAATGTATTCATATTATTATATTTCAGACTATCCGCAAATCTCTTTGGTAGTCTATTTATTCATTTATTAATAAGCTTCCACGACATCCTTATATGTAAAACATTATACTTTGTCTATAATATCGAGCACATCTATTAATAGCTATTTTATACTTTGCATATATATATATAAATTAATAAAAACTGTAAGATCCTATCACTATAGAAGTGAATGAGAAAAGAGTAAGTATTTATTCTTGTTTATGGTTGGCTATGAAATTCGAATTGTCCTAAAATTATTAATAAGAAATTAATATGAGAAAATTATGCAATAAAAGATGGTCACTGATATTTATAATTGATAAATTAATATATATATAAATGTTGAGTTTGTATAGAAACCAATTGGCAGGCTAATAAAAGAAGGTGCTTTTGATTGGAAGTGGTTTGATGGCAGAAGCTGTCATTGATTAATTATTGAAGAGAAATGACGTACTATATGGATACATTTTTAGAATTTTGTCGTTGTTGCTTCAGCTCATGTGGAAGATGCTCGAAAAGTGATACAGAACAAGGAGAGATGTTCAGCCCATCATTTAGATGTGACAGAAACAGATGAACTCAGAAAATTTGTTAAGAATTCCGATATTGTGATAGCCTATATTCCACCATAATTTATTGTTCCAATAGCCAAGATGTGTGCAGAAATAGGCAGATCGATGATCACATCACAATACACATTCCCAGAGATCAGAGCCTTGGAATAGGAATGTAAGAAGAAGGGAATAATCATGTTGAATGAAATCGGTTTGGATCCAGGAATCGATCATTTGGCAACTGTAAAAGTGAGAGATGAAGTGTATGCAAAAGGAGGAAAGTAAGAGAATGTAATAAATTTAAGAATCATTGAATACGAGTCTTGGTGTGGAGGTGTCCCAAGTCCAGAGTTCTGCGATAACCCTTTTGGCTATAAATTTTCATGGAGTCCTTTTGCAGCCATAAGGAATATCAACAACGATGCCAAATACTTAGAACAAGGAGTTTAAAAGTATATTCCAGCATCTGAGTTACTTTACTCCACAGAAATCATCCATGTGAATCCATCATTACAGATGGAAGGATATCCAAATAGAGATAGTTTACCATATTAAGAATTGTACGGTTTGAAGGACTGTTAGAAACTAGTGAGGGGAACATTAAGATATCAAGGTCATTGTGTATTGATGGCAGCAATGAAGGCTTTGGGATTCGCATCAGAGGAGGTCATCAAAGTTGATAGAGAGATGAGTTGGTTCGAATATTTATTGAGCAATATAAGGTTTGAGTCTTGCTCATCTACGTTTTTGGGCAATCATCACATTACTCAATTGGCTAATACTATCGATTAGAAGGTGTTTACGTTAGCTTAATTGGAAACATTGTTGACTAAAGTGTTCAATCGTGTGTTCTCTTAATACTATTACAAAGATAAAAGCGAAGAATAATTATACAAGGATGCCGAATAAATAACTTATACTTTGAAGTGGATGGGAGTATTTGATCCTAAAAACTTGATATTGAACAATGTCACTCATGTCCACAACTTTGCTGCTCATCTACAAACTCTTATGAATTATAAATAGGGTGAAACTGACTTGGTAGCTATGCAGCACATCTTCAAAATTGTATATCCCAATGATCCAAGAGTGTATGTCAAAAAGTCCACAATGGTGAAGATTGGACATCGAAATGGAAAGTATTCTATTATATATATACAATCTTTAGGTCTGCCATGGCCATCACTGTGGGTGTGCCAACTGCTGTGGCTACTTAGTTGATTCTGGATGGAGTGATCAAGGTCACAGGAGTTCATATGCCAAACATCTCAGAGATCAACACTCCGTTGTATGAGGAACTCAAGAAGGAGGGCATCTATTGTGAGGAGGAAGATTATTGAGATTGCAGTTATCTGAATATGTATAGATTATTCCAATTTATTATTTTATCATCTTGTCACTTTAAAAGAAATAAAAACGTAATTAACATATGCAAATGTATATATTTTTATATGTTATACTAAACAAATCATCCACTTTTGAATAAGAGTATTGCAACTTATCCCATATAAAAATAAATGAAGTGCTTTGTCTCATGTGTAACGTATGATCCAAAGTTTCTGCCAACTATGCAATGCCATGTTGGATTGTACTTTTTATCGAATTCCTTTTTGATGAATGCCTACATTCTTAAACATTAGATTTACAGCTATATCTTTTTCAATGTTGAATTTCTCCAATGCTTGATTGGCACAATCGATAGCATCCTGTTGCATTTCCTCTGACATGTCTGCATTCTTTACCACTGCCTTTCTGTCTGCTTGAGCCATTTAACTTGATTTAATTTTTAAATTTATTAATAACTATCTTCATTTTATATGATGCAAATTTATATAGTACTTTTAATTTGTGAATTTATCAGTCAAATTTTACAGGTTATCTACATTTCGGACATTCCAATCGAGCCTTCAACCAGTCCGATATACAACCCTTATGATAAACATGATAGGGATGACAATCCAATCGTACGAACTCCTCCCCTTCAATAAATTCCGACAGACAAATCACACATTCGTTATCATCACTTATCTTGTCCAATCCGACCGTCTCCACCTTTAACTTATTTAGGTTTTCTTGGCTTGCCCCAGTTTTATTAATTTTTTAAAGACTTTGTATATTAATACAATAAGCAAAAGGTAACACCACTACGTATATTACAAATATTAAAATGGGAATCCCTAATGTGATATACCTCAGTATCAAATAAGTGAAGGCCACTCCCCAAGTGAAGTCAAACTCCGACTCCCCAATTGTGCAAGCTCCATGCAAGTTCTTGTACAATTCCACCTACGTGAACACAAAAACCACCACATCCAATCTACAAAGTCTTAGCAATATTCATACAATATGGTCAAATACTTAATGAACTTGTAACAATTGTGATAATCTGATATAGCATCAGATAAGTATTTAGTGCTAGCAAATGAGTATTCAGGATAGGGTAATCGATTCTCAGTTTCACTTGAGTTTATCTCTCCTAAATCATCCCATATTATCAATAATAAATATAACATTTGAAAAGCTTACTATATTGAATTTTTAAAGTACCAAAGCATTAACTATTATAGCTAAAATGAAAAATTCTCTTAAAGATGTATCCAAGCAGGGTTCCGGCAAAAAACCCAAGGCTAAAAATAATAGCAAAAGCTCAATAAAGGAAAACATCAATTTGAAAACAGCCTCATTACGCAGACTCTTGAATACAATTATTTAATTAGATCTAAATGCTTACATATTTGCAGTACTCTAAGCCATCTAGTTTTCTTATTAATGTTAAATTAAATCAACATACCAAATTGTATCATATTAATAATCTGTTGATCAGTTAGTTATTCCTCAGGAGAAATTTACTGCATAAGTTTTAATCCTACTTATATTAATTATAATATTTTATTCAATTCAAGTGAGAACTTTTTTTTAGTGAATGTTAGATACAACAATTTGTGAACCAAGTTGACACAGAAATTCAAATTGATTTAACTAAGTTTATTTATGACTGTTTCATTTTTCAAGGCCTAGTTAAATTAAAAAAGAAAAAGCATTATAAACCTAACAACTTTAAATTAGAAAAAATATAGGATGTATTGATAATCAATTTTGATATCTATAAATTGTGGATTTAAGATGATAAAACTCACGATAATTATTAGTCCATGATAATTAATATTTTTTGTGGAGAATAAATCTATTTACAAAAATTTAGATATTTTGAATATTCTATTGCTTTATTCCTCACAATAGATTATCAGATTACATCACTATATATTATCAACAATTTCAATAAGATATTGCAAGAAGAACAGTTGATGCTCTTCACTATAAACCACTCATTAAAATAAAACTATATTAAGAGATCTTTCTTGAGCCTCAAAACCATTTGATAAATAGATAAGGTTTGTTATTCACTTTAAGAGAGTGCAGGAATAAAAATCTATGGGATTAATAATAAGATAATATATAAAATATCTAGAGCTATTAACGATTATTAAGATATTTCCAATGTTGCTAAAAGTTAGATGGATATTAAAACTGAATAACTGGAACCTTAAATTTAGACATAATCAATATTGTAAATCGACGATGGTGAAACAACTCAATATATATTTGAAGGTACCAAATTATGAAAGCACTTGACCAATATAACTTGATTTTAATAGACTTCTTAGTTGATAAAGCAGCAAAAATCATCTCTTTTATCAATTACCTATCATAATAATCTACTAATAATAGCTAATCATATGAATATGTTCTATATAATTTTAAACATCAATATTATTTATTTAACGAATTTAATATAACATGTCATCTATACCATCTATGAATTTGTTCAGTGGACCATAGATCTAAAAGACTAGGTCTATTTATCGTCCTTTTGGAACTCATGAATCTAATTACTATTCATAACCTCCTAAATAATTATATCCGGAAAGATATTCCTCTATTCCATCTTATCATGAATATTTGGCAAATCAAGGAAGACCAGATTATAATTCATCCTATCCTGAATACATTGATAAAGAACATTATGTTCCTATTAAACATGAAAGCCCCTTTTAAACACTCTACAAATATGAAAAAACTAATCCTACTCCTAAAGATGCCTTTATTACTCCATATCGACCTAAAGTACCAACCGATGAGGAAATATAAGAGTATGTTCCTGTAATTGATTTAGTGATTGAATAACAGAGATTCTACTCTCATTTTTCAGATCATGGGCTCCCTAAAGGGTATGCCGAAAAAGATTATCAAAGAGAATTAGAAGACAGATATAACAGAGATCTAACTCAACAAATTAATAACGGCTTTAAACTATAAGAAACAAGAACTAAGAAAGAAATTGATGACTTTTATAGAAATATTAAAGTTGCAGTTGACGAAAGAGGAAGAGTTTAAATTAATAATATTAGACAACCATAATAAACTTAAAAGGGAGTTTCCACTCTTTATAAAACAACTGAAGACACTGCTAAAGTTGCCAGCAATTTACAACCATTTGATAATAATTCTTATCAATAGCCTAACAAATAATAAGAATAACAATAATATATTAACCATTTTTAAGGATCTTTTCATCCTTATTAGTAACCTATTTAATAACAATAACAATAATAGTAGCCAATTCACACAGAAGAAAAGGCTCCATCTGAAAAAAATTCAATTGTAATACCCATGCCTGGTGATTCAAATTTATAATAATCATAACTTGAATAATCCAAGATAATTACTAGCAATGATTGATAAATAAATATTATGATTTTCAACAAGTTTTTGGATATAAATTATTGTTGTCAATTTCTTAAACTATTTTAAAATTGCCATGATTATCTATGCATAATATCTTTAATATTTTTGATCTCTAATAATTTACATATCTTGTATTAGAGACTCCATTAAAATATATATTAATAGACAAAGACAAAGAATTATAATTATTTACTTCATAATCTTGCAAGAATATTATAGCATTATTGATGTATTCTTAGAATTAAAGTAAAGAATCTAAAAGTATTAAATAATTATTACAATTCTTGTTTTATTTGCTTTTTATGTGTCCACAACCAGTGAAATAGCCTCCAACTTGGCAACTCAAATTTTTTCCTATTTTTTGGTTTGCAATTAAGTAAACTGGTGTTTCTTATTCATTTTCCCACTTGATTATTACCGTAAATTTATTGTTATTCAATTTATACGGACTAATGGTCAGTTTTTCTTCTGAAATTAAGAAATTTCCACAATAATCAAAATATTTTTCATTTTAAAACTCTATTGTTATATATGATCCTTTTTTAATATTGTATATTATGTTCTCATCATCTATTGATTATTGAAAATAAGGTTGATCTTTTATGTGAGCACATTGTATGAATTCTTTATACACTCTATAAGTTCCTTTTTTTATTAATCTATTGCTTAAAATGTCCATAAATTTCAATTCTACATTTAATAATTTAAGTTAGTACTATAAATTACTTTAAAGTAATCTATTTTTTTATTATTTTACTTATTCCACTTAAACTTCCATTTAAATTTACGAATTATCAGAACACACCTAAATATTATTAAGCCCTTAAATAACTGAATTCTTATTCCCTTTGATAACAAGTTATTGATGAATATCCTTTCTGTTGAAATATTGATTTGTAAACTCCTGATTAAATGTTTTTACTGAGTTTGGTTCTAATTATTTGAATAAACTATTTTCGCTTGTTAATGCAACAATAAATTCATATTATTCACAACTTGTATCGCAATTAAAAGCTTGAAATTCATTAATTGATTATAATTAATTTATTGTTTAACAATCTTATAAATTAAAGCTGTTTGCAATTTGGTTAAAGTTCACTTAATTAAATTCTGGTAGCATATCCGATTCAATTGAATGGTACATAGATGGCTAAGTCTGAATCTTTGGCAAAGGGATTGATTCTAACCATACAATCCCAACTATTGTTGTTAAGAAAAATAAGCTTATAACTATCTTCTATGTGAGTGGATTAAGCAACTTACTGATTTGATATTTGACCGAAACTGTATACATAGCATACGTATTCATAAAAAGCAAAGAAGCTTCAAAAAGAAATACTAAACCTAATAGTAAATTTAGATTCTTGACAAAATTTATTGCTTTATCTTCACATAGTGATGATAAACATTTCAGTTCATTGTTATACTCCCAGGCCTCCACCTAATATACTAAAGGACATTGTTCATTGTTGATATATTTGACACAATCCAAATCTTCAATAATGTCATTGTGTAAGGCTCTCAAAGCCAATTAATCATTAGCTGGAACCCAAAATTATCCATTTCTAATTACTAAGCAACCAAAAACAGTATGCAAGATGGATAAAAGCAAGAACACAGTTCCAAAAATATTATATGCCTTTTTATTGCCCATATAATTGAATAACATTGAAGTAGCCAAAAATATAAGAGTAGGGATTTAAAGTAATGTGTTCCATTCAATCCAATAATCAGCTGTTTATAATTGTGAGGGTAATTCTTAAACCTAATATATTTTAATCCAACTCAAAAAAATCACAAGGGAAAGTGTAAGACTTAAATTATATTAATGTTGAATACCTTTGGAAATAAATTGATAATCTTAATACATTTGGTGATTTACAAAAGTAACTATTCGTTATTAGAATTACTATTTATATTAAAATTTAAATTGAAAATCCGATGATTATTAAAAAGATGATTAAGTCCTGCATCGCTTGTTCTTAGATTGTTATCAATAGGAATCCCATAAATTCATAAATAAATACAGTTGTTAAGGTAACACTGAAGACCAATTAAAATCTGGTTAAGAAATTGTTTGTAGTCTCAGTGTGTTGTTACTATGCTTAAATTGTTTTTCGATTTTAATCATAGGACCAAAACATTCTCTAGTTTACTTAGAATGGCTTACAATAAAAGTGAATACACTATTCCGATTCCATCCACTATCATATAATTAATAAACCCCAGATGCAAGTACATTAATCCTCCTGAAACTATTAACTGTAATAGACTAAAAAAGAATATTATTTTGATTCTTCTGAATATGATATCAACATCATCAGAATCCAAATCCTCTATTTCCTAATTTGGCTGTTAATTTATCATATTAATATTAATTAATATATATAATGTTTTCACATTTTTAATTGCATTTTTAGCATTCTATTTTCTTCTTTAACTATATTACAATTCGCCTATTCGATATGCAGCAATTGTAAATTCGTTTTTAGCTAAAATTATTTGGCTTCGAATTCTTACTCGCATTGCTTAATATTAGGATTAATATTCATACATCCAAAAATTCGAAATATGATTTTACTTTCTCACTTATTGTTCCTTCGTTTTGAATTTGATAATTGCAAAACCTCTTCACATTGATATTCTTAAAAAAGTCTTCGAGTATTTTTGTTTCATCAAAAAGTTATTGATATTCTCTTTCCTTCTTATCTAATTATTGTTTTAATTGATTAGTGACATTGATATCTTTTCTTAATTTATTGATATCCACCTAATACATTAGTTTTTCTTCAAATTTTTTTTACATTAGATCCTTCTCCTCTTACAGTTGCTTATACTGTCTCTATAGAGTAGCTAAATCAGTGTTTAGCTTCTAATTGGCCTTCTATAACATAAGAACATTATCAGATAACTTCTTTTGCTTATTATCATCCCCCTCATTTTGATTGTTACATTGAATCTATTATATGGTTTATTCTAATTCTGTTTTTAAATTCGATAATTCAATCTTGGCTGTTCGTAATCTTTGATATTTATGAATAATACTTATCAATTTCCTCTAAAGACTTCGACCTTTAAGTTTACTCTAGTTTCAATTCAGATCTAAGTTTCAGTACTTCATTTTCTTTCATAATTAACTTTTGATTAATGATATCGAAACTATCCAAGAACCTACTCAACTTCTCCTTTTAATACTTAAACTCCTCTTACAATTATCCATACTTCTAGACTTCCTCCTAATTTACTTTATTTTTTTCTAATTCTATTAATAATTCTTAATTTTGTCTTTTAGCTTCATCCAAATTAATCTAAGTTTTATGAAATAAATTAGAGTAATAAATTTTCTCATCATTTAATGTGTTAGATTCTTATTATTATTTATCAAATTGTGTTTTGACATCTTGAAATTTAGATAATACTGCCTACTTAACAAAATCATTAGTCAATTTGGTCTCTTCTAATTCCATAGATGCATTTAATTAAGAAAAGAATTCAATTTACTTTTATTCCATTTGAGTAAAGTTCTCCTTTTATTTTTTTAAGAGTTTTAAGGACTTTAAAAATTTTTTTGATTTCAGTTCACTTCTTTTCTTGCATTTTAATAGTTCTTTTAATTAATCTTCAATCAAAGTTTCTTTTGATAGCATCACCTCTTTCAGTTCTGAACACTCAGTTTATAATTTATCTACCAAAGATTTGTTGAATTCTATTTCATTTTATAGTCTTTCAATTTCTCCACTCTAAAAATCAATGGTTTATGCATCAGTATCCATCTAATCTTTATTGATTTATAATTAGTCGGTTAGTTCAGAGATTTTGTTTTCAAGTTCTTGTAATTATTAAGCCTTATCTTCTTAGAATGTCTCTAACTGGGTTTCATACTTTTAGGTTAATTGAACTTACTCTGCAAACTATTCCATCAGCATTTCCTTGTCCTTTTATAGCATCTATAAATTCTACTCCAATTAAGTGATAAGCAATTATTATTCATTCCTTCTGTGTTTCAAGATTGTTTCCTCCTACTGAAGTTCCAAGATTCTTTAATTCAGCGATTCATTTTTATATTTCAAATCTTTTTACATGTCTAATGCCTATTCCAATTGCAAATCTTTATCTTACATGCCTAATTGTGAACACTTGTGATTCATAGTATTATAATCTTCCAATTCAGTTATTCTGGATTCATAATAATCCTTCATTTATTTAAGTTCCTTAGTCAGCTGGTCCTAATATTACCCACTTTCATTTAATTGATAGCTGAGAGTATTTATTCGTGAAACTAATTCAACCTCTTTTTATTTTTTAGGAATAATCTCAGATTGAAACACAGATTATTGTAATTCATTTTTCAATCGTTTTATTTCAGCCTTCAAGGATTCCAAATTTCCACCAACTTCTTCATTAACAACTGCTTAATTCTTAATGTTTTTTGCTCTTGAGGCAAATTTCAAAGTTCCGAGAGTTTCCTAGAAAGAAGAACTGGCTGCAGAAATCGTTGCTATCATGACAGTTTTGGAATTTCCTCCTAAACTTTCTCTTAGTAAGAAAGTCAATTTGCTATCTCTATAAGGTATGAATTTCTTTGGATTTTCAGCCAAAGAATTAATGACTAAACCTAACACAGTAAGAGACTTATTGATATTCGATGCTTCTTTTAATCTGTCTCCGGTGGCTGCTGTTAATTTTTATCGTTCACTTCCAGCCAAATCGACAAAATTCAATTTACTTCTCCGTGTGTACATTCCTTTTGTTCGCTATTCCAATTGTAAAGTGAATATGGAATGACTTCTGGAACTCTCCAAATTCATTTAGGTTGCAGAAACATGTCTATTGGCCAATCCTCTTTGCATCAGAGATAAAACATCATTGAAGGATGATGCTGCGATTTCTGTGATATTTTCAACATAAACTCGTTTAGAATCTTCTCTGATTGTTAATGGCATAGGTTTGGCATCATTTAACAGATCAATCAATTATTCATTATAAATTTCTAAGTAAGTACATTTGATTGCCCAGTTATTTTCCTTTGGCAATTCCTTAAACAATTGCTAAATCAAACGTGGTTACAATCCCAAATGTACATCATCATGTGCACTGTCATCATAGCCCTTTCCTTGCATTGTGTAAGTCTTGCCAGCACCTGTTTAACCATAGGCGAAAATACAACAATTCAAACCATCAAGAAATGATTGAAGTGTAGAATTGCCTATCTTGTCAAAGACTTGCTCTTAAGTAGAATCAGCACCCAATACATGATCATAAGAATATTCCTTCTTATTATCCAATGTAATAGAATTCGGAGTTGTAGAAACACAAGCATTTGCACCCAAATGAGTTTCTCTGTAATTTAATGGTCTAACTCTAACTAAGACTCGAATATTTTCCATCAATTTAATGAGTATTTAAAATTTGTTTAACGAATTAATTTAAATTAACAAATGAATTAAATGGATGGATTGATTGAAGAGAATACACAATTAAAGAAGGCTATCATATCCTCAAAAGCTGTCATATCACGGAAGATAAGTAAGACAATCATAGCATCATTTAGATGAATTTGAAACATTACAAGCTATAAATGATGAATTAAAATAACAAATTGATAAATTGAAATTGGATAATAATGAATTGAATCAAAAACTTAGGATTGCACTCCACGAAAAAAAATAAACTGAATAGCAATTTGATAATGCCAGCAAAAATTGGAAACTATTGATTGAGCAAAAACAAAGAGAACTAGAAGAAATCCAAAACAAATTAAGTCCTTCTTTTGATTAGGACATGATTAGAATCAAATTGTTGAATGAATTAGAAATACCTCATAGATAATAACTTGAAGTTAAATAGAATGAGATTGAAAAGCTAAATGAGGTTATCTATCAACTTAAAAGAAGCCTGGATCTTGAAATTGCTAAAGTAGAAACCACTAAATTAGAAAATGCAAAAGAAATCAAATTGATTCAAGAACGATTTAAATTGGACAACTCTGATTTATAACATCAAATAGAAGAACTAACTAAAATAATAGAGGATAGTAAAGATAGAGATGTAATCAGAAGATTGAGAAAGGATTTGGATGAATATAAATTGAAATTTAATAATGTAGACTCAGAAAATGTAGAATTAAGAAATGAGAGAGACAAAATAAGAGAAGAAAAAAACGAAATCATGATTAAGTTTGCCAGATAAATAGATTAAGAAAGAAATGATAAACGTCAATATAAAAGCGATTTTGATAAAATACAAGTGAGAACCAGATTTATTGAGGATGAACTAAGAAAGGAGAAGTAAAGAAGAGAGTAGGTGTCTACAGATTTTGAAATTATGAAGACAGAAAAAGATTAATTACTGACTGATATTAGAAAGAAGGATGACACTATTCATTATCTGCAAAGGAAAATTGGAGATATGGAAGAAGAACAATTAGAATAAGAATAAAAAATTTAAGATAAATTAACTCGTCTTTATTAGGATGAGCATGATAAATATTTACAAGAGAGAAATAAAGCAATTACACTATAGAAAGATGTTGATAATTTGAAGAAAAGGTTTAGTGATTTGCAAGACGATTACAAAATACTTAAAGATAGATACTAAAAGGATAATACTGATAACAAGGATAACAGCAAGACTTAAAATGAAGAAATAGAGAAATTAAAGAAGATTGTGTCTTAGTAACTCAAAGACATTTGTGATCTTGAAAGATCAAATAAAAATAGAGAAGAGCAGATACATGACATTGAAAATGAAAATGAAACTTTGAAGAGAAGAAATAGAGAATTGTAACATAGAATATAATTGATTGAAGTTAATCCTTTACCCTCTCCCCCATAAACATAGATGATATTAAATTAATCATAATATCCAAGTTTCGCTTAGTCTCCTTAATATGTTTAATAGATATAAGATTAATATGAAACTAAACCTAAACAAAACACTACTGCTTAATCAGAAAATGAACCCTAACATTAAACTTAGGCTTAGAAGTAAACTCTCTAATAGATAACAGAAGAAAATAGAACATTAGTTCAAAAAAATAAAAAGCTTAGCAAAAAATTAAAGGAAGCTAATGATAAAATTTTAGAACTTTCTATGAAAAATACCCTTTTAGAAAAGTAATTGTAAAGGTAACATTCAGACCCTTAATATCCACATTAGGACTATGAAGCTAATTAAACTCATTCTTAATCTCCTCTAAGATACAATTACGAAAACTATGATTAATAAGACATTAGGTAGGTGTAGCAAACTTATACTGATACTAGGTTAGATAGATTTGATAAGTAGGATAGATATGGTTAGCCCAACTAAGATAAATATCAATCTCGAAATTAATCAGGAATGAATTAACAATATAATTAAGGCCATTATAACTAGATTCATGAGGATGACTTACTGAATAAGGTGATGATGCTGACTAACAATAATACGGGGTAAACAAAATATTGGTGACTTTCCTATTTTTTTAATAAATGCTAAGTTAACATATTTATAATTTATAATTCAAATAATGTTTCTGTTTATGTTGCTATAATTTGCATTAGCTTGTTCAGGTATGCATGTGAATCTTATCTAGATCAGAATTGCGTGGAATGTAATTAACCTACAATTTGCACTGCTTGTGTATCAATATTGACCAAACTCTTAGGTTTCTCCTTTAATATTAAGCAATAATCAATGTGTATCCAGTTGTCCATCAAATTATTACCCCGACATTGTAAATAATGTGAGATAGTGTTTGAAATGTAATGACAAATGTTTGGAATGTTTTGATGGCTCACCATCTGGTTGTACTAAATGTATGAAGCCTTTGAGATTGATGTGTGGTTTTTGCATTGATAGTGTAGCAGATTCTGGGTGCTCTGATTGTAGTTCCTAATGTGTAATGAATCCTATCAAATATTTCAGATAACATGTTTTGGCAGAACTTCATCCGAATGCTACCTTTGTAAACTTCCCAATTTCCATTCTCCAAACACTGACAGTTGTGAATTAATATGTGAATATCCTTTGTATGGAGACGTGAATGATTTCTAGTGTAAAAACTTTTGTCCACAAGGCACTTACGGCTAACCAATCACACGATAATGCTTGCCAAATTGTCCAGATCCTTATTTTAAAAATGAATTGAAGACAAATTGTGTTAAGGAGGTACTTCTATTATTTCAATATTAAGTGTCCAATGGGTACCTATCCCTAAGATAAAGCATGTCTGATATGCCATACAACTTGTGAAACATGTTCTGGTGGAAAATCAACAGATTGCATATTTTGCAAAGAAGGATATTACATGAATAACCAAGAGTGTGTATAGTGTGAGAACTAGTAATACTCAAACAACGAAACAAGAAACTGTGTAGATTTCATTACATATTCCTTAAATATTTTAGAAGCCCATGATTCAACTATAGTATTTGAAATTTCATTTTCAAGTGCCATTAATCCAGACACTCTTGATCTTAAATCTCAAATTGATGTTATGGACATAGATAGTTCATAATATTAAATGTAAACAATGGTTAATATCAATTAGGGCATTAAGTTCTGTTTAAGATGATTAATTCTTTATCATTACTTTAGATTTTGACATATCTCATAGGAACACTCAAATCTCCTGTAATTTTACTAACAATATTATGAATGAAAATAACACTCCCATTTTATTGTCCACTGCAATTTAAAATTTGGAAATACCTGCATAGTTTATTCCGCCAGAATAAGAAGCAAATAGTAATACAATTAACACTTATATGATCATCAGTTATTTATCTTACTTTTGCTTTTTGTTTCTCCTTTGTCTACTTTTAAGAACTTAGAGAAGGATGTTCTACTTAATTATCAATAATTTGCAATTTATTTAAGTAATGATTTTTATCAATTTTTCATTTTCAACACTTACCTTGAACTCTCTTTAGCTTTTGGATGTTGTAAATTTAAAGAGAATACCAGCCTTGGGAATTTCTTATGATGGAGCTACACTACATTTCTTCAACACCCCAATTTACAATCAAGTCCCAAACAACAATTTTCTTTACAATGCAGGCTATTATTATAATTTCATAGCCAATGGAGGAATATAAATTCTAGGAATTCTAATTATATTTTGGATTATTTGGGTAATAAGCTTTATTTTACACAATTTAATCTTGATCAATAATAAAATAGAGACATTGAAATTTTATAGAACAATGCTTGAAGGTAGCAGTGATTTATTAGTGCGTGTTAATGAGTTTCTCTATTTTCCATTGATTCTCATTTCCATTTTATAATTATGGGGATACGACTTTAGTTCTGATATCAATATAGCCTCATTTGTATTGTCAATTGTCACTATATTATATTATCTTATATACTTCAGATGTGTATACAAATCATAATTCCTTGATATAGATCAATAGGAAATGGAAAACAAGTACTTCACATTCTTTGCCGATTTCAAGCAATCAAATGAAATCAAAAAGAATTATGAATTTATTAATTACTTTTTAAAATCTAGTACTGCTTGTTTGTTAATTTTACTCAATAATTTTCCTTATGTTTAGTTTTCAATTTCATTTTCTTTGATTTCACTCTACTTCATACTTCTGATTCAAAAAAGACCATATCTAAGAAATATAATGAATTATTCGGCTATTTTTGGATATCTCATAATTATTGGATTGTATATAACAACCATTATATCAGAAATAGAATATCAATCTAAGATTAATGATATTGCAATAACAAATAATTATGTTGAAAAATAATATAATTTCGGATTATCTTTTATGATATTAATTTAGATTATTCTAGGGTTTTATGCCATTACTTTTAGTTATAATAAATTTCAAGATTATTTAAAGTTCTTAGACAAAAAACCAGATTGGGGTAAGAGTTTTTTATAAAAAATGGAAAAGTTCATGTTTTCAGATAAAATTCAAGAAGTTGAGATGGGCAATATATCTTTAACAAATTGAATACTTTTAATTTGTTTTTAATTATGAATTTAAATTATTATTTTTGACTTAAATTATAATTTACTAATCATTTATAGTATCTGCCCGAATTAAATCATTAGATAAATATGATAGAGTAAAATCATCTAAAATATATATTCATAATTTTCGTTAGCAATTAGGATTTTAGATGTGGTTAATATTTTGAATTAGGATTTATACTGTAAATGATGTGATTTATTAATTAAAAAACTTAAAAAATTAATGCACAAACCATATTATCTGAATATGTTTTACAATAATCTATTATTTTTTATTTATTTTTACATTTAATTGCTCATGGTGCATTAGAATTATTATTATTTTCAATGAGAATCTAAATAATGCTTTAACAAAAAATTTAAATAATATATATTTTATTTTGATGTTTCTTATGAAACCTTAAACACCAACATTCGGAGATAAAAATAATTCAAGAAAACCTTAGATTTAGATCAATGAAATAAATAGTAATTCTCGCTTTTATAGTATACCTACTCGCTAGACAAATGCCCAAAGCAGAAGTTCATCTCAAAGAAAGAAAAAAGATTAAATGGTATTAAATTTTTTTCGAATTTTTAGATTAAAAAATGGAAGGAACTTTATGATGAACAAACCAATTTTTACATGAGATTGTTAAAAGTAAATAACATTGAATTTATTGAATTACCTAAGTTTTAACTATAAAAATGACATAAGCTTAATTAATTTATAGAATTAATGTTTATGTTTTCATACAAATCTTTAATGACTATCTCTTATTTATTAAACTCAATGTATTATTCATCAATGATTCAAATAAATATATATATTTTAAGAATCTCATTTATCCTGGAATTAAATTAATTGAATTGATGAACCCGTGTGCTTCTCGTTTAAAATTACGACCTATAAAAAATCTCAACAAAAAATCATTTGACCTAGATTTAATTGATGGAAAAAATGGTTTAAGCAATTAATAATTCTCAAGAAATTCAAACTCCAACATTTTCTAAAAGTTCAGATAAGTTTGATGAATTTGATGTAGGTGCTATTAAAAAGTGAAAAATATTAATCCAAAGTTACTCAAATTTATATTGAAAGTAAGGAAAGTGAAAATAAAGAACAAGCAACACTTCCTTATACCTAATAAACCAGAAAATAATGATAAAAAATGATAGACTACAAGAATTATGATAAATGAATAAAATAATAAATATCACTTAGTGGTTTTGTAAATAAAATTTGGATTTTCTTTATATTTTTGTTATAATTTTTATAGCCATATTTGCAGGACATTGGCTGGAGTAATCAAAACATCTACTTCTTATCCATTGATTACAACTTCTTTATTATAGGCAGTCATGAAATTATAAAGGTTTTAAGCTATCGTCAAACCGTACTTTAGCTTATTTTAAGCATCATTTGTAAGTTGTACTAGTTCTGTGATTTATTCATTTATAGGTTCGACACTAAGAACCAATTTTATTTAGTCTTGATCCGTCAAAATTTAATTGAAGGAAGTAGCGAAAATATCTGATGGTCTTTGATTTGCAATGGCACCCAAGAATGAGATTCCATCAAATGGATACCTAGAGTAAAACAAACACACTGCATATCCTTCAGGTATTGGGTTGAGTAAAAATAGAGCAATTGAATGAACTTATTAAGCATTCTGAATGTCCATCAAATAATAGTTTCCATTTAACAAAAACTAAGTCTAACTTAAATATCCAGGAATCATGACTCCAAATGGTGCTTGCACTACATTAGAACCTATTTGATTATACATTTTATTAAAAACATAATAATAAAATTAAAAGCAAAGTGTTTTATATTTCTCAAATAGAATGTTCCAGGTGTTTCTTTTTTGTTTATGGTGTCTTATAAATAATAATTACTTAAATATCTATAAAAATAAATAAAAAATTGAAAATTATATAATAATAAAGTTGTTATCAATTTCAATCATCATCCTCCTAAGATTCTCCATATACAAATTAAGATGATACTTGCCCTCTTAATGGTTTTTATTAAAATTATTTTTAGACAACAGGAGTTAAATTCTAAGACATTTATGATTGCTATTATATTTATCTGGGCTAGGATTGATTAAAGCTCTTTGACATAACAAGAGATCCATTATCAAAATTATTATCATCTTGTTTTGGAGAATCCATTTCATCATTTTTAGCATATTTAGACAGATTTTAGGAAATCTGTTTCATTTCTTAATCTCCTACACCTCTAAGTAGTTGTTGTTATCTGAGTTTTTCTTCATTTTGATGCTTATGTCTTCTGATCTTGACATCCACTTATTCCTGTTGCAATAATCTCTTATGACGCAAACCCCTTATAATATTGACAATATTTACACTGAAGGGATTAACGCTAATAATTCAGATTATAGACTTGTTTTAATCTAATATAATTTATCTTCCTTTGAGTACAAATTCAATTGACTAAATCAATTTCAAATAACATACCTATTTCTATTTCTTTACAATATTTCATTGACTTAGTTGAGGTAATCTGAATACTTTTGCTTTTGAGAATTCCTGATGAATATATTTATAAGTATAGCTTTACTTTTCCAATTTTAATTATTTTAACTATTCAGTTGTCAACTTAATAAGGGCCTGATTGATTTTGTGGTCACTTTAATCTTGCATGGATTGTATACTCTCATCGAGAAATCTTCTCTTGGCTTGTCTGTATTAGAATAATCTATTTACAATTCGTTGTAGGTTGCATCATAATCTGTGACAGCGATCATTAATAAATTTTAAAAATATATATATATTCAAGCATATTTATAAACTAACACAATTGAAATACTAGTCAAAAAAATAGCAAAAACAACTAAGAATATTACTTTATGTTATCTCATCTTTGATTAGATTCTTGATAATCGACTATTGGATTCTCCTAAGTCGTATTATATTTCTGGCATTTTATTGATATTCCTATCTAAGATATCAGATTATCCTTTCAATTAGACTTGGATATTATTGGAAATTGATTCTATTTCAAAGCACACCTTCTTTGCATCTTCCAGTTATAATGTTTGCTTGACCAATTTGTCTTGGGTATTTATAAATTGCACCTGTTGATTATCTTATTCGCCAAATAAGGAATCCTTAGTTTTTTGGGATGAGACCTCATCTTGTAATATTCTAAATTATTTCTTTAATGCTTCAGTCTCTGATTTATATCTTTTCACTTTATTTTTTAACTCTTATCTATCTGAGACTGCAATACTGGCTGACTCTATATCCATTTATTGTAACTATACATATCAAATAGCTATTTTACACAATTCTGCAAATCACTAAAAACTGACTCTATCTCAGTTAAAGCTTCATCTGATTTATTGATTTATATTTATCGAATTAATGAACAAACTTATTGCTAGTATTTTTCAAATTCTACTTCATAACTATTGAAAACTTCAGACATTTTTGATATTTTTAAATGTATAAATAAAATAATAATAAAATTATCAAAAAATAAGTGAATAAAAATTAATGATCAAACTACCTATCTCCTACGTACATTGTCTTCAGATAGAACGGCTAATTTTGTTTCTAAGTTCCTTATTTTCTATTTATATCCATTCAATGCCCTTTCACTTCTTTCTGTTTCTTGTGATTATAATTGATCTATCTTTTATTTAAACCTAAATAATTATTCCTCAGATGCACTTAGCTAATCTTGTAATTTATCACTTAAGAACTTCAATTATTCATTTTCATTTAAAATAAAATCTATCTTTTGATCAATATCGCCCAAATTGTTCAACTCGTCCTGACTGAATTTCAACTATTCTGTTAATTCAGCATTTCTCTCTAACAATTGTTTAATATGTTCCTCTTATGCTACAATAGTCTCTTTTTTATTTTCAACCTATTAATCCTTATAATCCAACTCCTTCAAAACAGCTTAGTATTTGGTCTCTGCCAGGATTCTATCCTCTTCAGATTTACTGATATATTAAAATAAATATATTACATTAACTATTCCTTAAGGATGGCTACTTCTCCTCTTAATTAACTTAATTCAGTTTAATCGCATGATCTTTATTTCTAGTATTTAGACTCCTTTGTCAGTAGCTATTTAATGAGTTCTGCTGATTTCTCATTTTCTTCTAGCAGGACGATAATCTTTTTAACTAAATCCACTCTTTATTAATTTGGTGACAGATTCTCTTTGTTTTTTGGTGATTACCAAGTAGCATACTTGCAGTCAGTACTAACAGAGCGAACTTACTGAAAGGGATGTCTTAGTAGGGCTGGCCCTTAAACTTTGGAAGGAGAACACACATTCATTAACGGTATATTTTATATAATTCATTTATATTTTAAACTAAATTTATATATTGCATAGACTAACTATTAACCAATTGCATAGATAACAAACCAATTCCAAATTGAGAATACTATCGTTGAGGTGTGATGCTTCCTTCAACATCAATTATAAGTTATTATTTTTTTATAATAGTTAATTGATGATATTTCATCTATCTATTTTATCTAACATATCATAGATAAATAAGGATTTTATTTAATGTATTTATACATAAACAATAAAATAAATAACAAAATCATAATATTTAAAATCCAACATATGTTCTTAGTAACCATTTTATTACTTCAGCTATTGTTAGCAAAAGCAAACAAAATGGAAGGCCTGCTGAGCCTAACAATTCCCAAGGCATATTAACTGTCTAAAATACCTATTGAATCCCTGGAACATAAACAATAATTGGTAATATAATTAATGATATCGTTAATCCATATATAGCTAAAGTATTAATTCGAGTAGAATTATAAGATTTAACTAGAGTTCTTAATGCAAAGTAATTGATGCTATTATATGTGATTATTTTTACCATTATGATAATACCAAGACTATATAGAAGGATGTCGATGCATATTCACTTGATTTGGCAGTATAACAGTATTAAGAGTTGCTTAAGCAATTAGGGTACTCATATTTTGTATTCCAGCATTCAGTTAAATACCCATTTTCTATTTACTTATCAGAACAGGTACCACATTCAACAAATATTAATCTCTGATCAATAGTATTATTAGGAGAACTCCATTGATAGTTTTACATCTCACCATAATATTAGCAATTTTCTTATAGATTTGAATTGCCTAGAGTATTACTTTATGGATTATAAATATCTTGATCGCCAACAGGATAGACACTAGCAAACCTTGAGAAATAGAGATTCTATAGATTAAACCCGAAATAACGATAAGCACTGAAACTTGCCATAAGACCTCCTCCTGCCTCAATACAACCAATAATCAAAATAGCAAAGAGGAAGAGATTGGTTCTATTGGGGATTCTGTATTCCAACTCTTCTCTGGCTAAACTAATACCAAGAATCAAATCAACAGAAATGCTAGTCAATAACATAAGGTTTTGTGAAAAGGGTAAGGGAGTTCCAAGAAAACAATAGACAAATAAAGCTAATATCATGGCGGTATTTGATGATAAGCAAAGCATAATGGATTTAGTAACATTATTGACTGCTCTTTTTGCTTCTAGAATTGCTTAATAGCTATCAAGAAAAGTTTATTTACTGGAAGTAAGGACTAAATCACTTGAATTTATAATCATTTGTAATGATCCATGTTTTTTACTGATACTGATGTCTGCCTATCTAAATGCTCCTAAATCAGTTAATCCTTCTCCAGTAATGGCAACTTTATAATTTAATTGTTATAGAGCCTTAACAATACTTAATTTCTGTTCTGGAGAAGTTCGAGCAAATACGATTTCTTATTAGGAACACCAATTTCCTAATTTGTTTTCAACAGAACTTAATCTAGTGACTTCTTATTGATCATCTACATGTAGATATAACTAATGACCTTCTATAATGGTTGGATTACTGTAATTCCCTGTATTTTTGCAAATAACTCTTGCAGTTTCTGGGTGTTCTCCAGTGATGATCACCAACTTAATATCTTATAGTTATAATTTCTCTAAGATAGGAGTAGCTTATTCATTGAGATTGTTGTTTAAATACAAAGTGCCTAAATAGATGAAGTTTTAGTTGTTGAATTCATAGTCATTTTCATTAATTTTCAAATCTTATTCGTTTTCAATTTCTAAATAAGCAAATCCTATGCTTCTAAGTCCCTTTGAACATTGATTCACTAATTAATCATTAAATAATTGAGTCTATTTGACATCAATCTTGGCAAATAGAGTCTTATTACAGTAACTCCATATTACTTCAGGTGCTCCCTTGATGTAAACAAAATATTTGTCTCCCTATTCCACAATGGATAATGAATATTTCTTACTACTATTGAATGGCAAATGATATTGAATGCCATTCACATAATATTTAGTATTTTTAATCAAGCCATCAGTATCGTCATCTTTAAAACAATCCATGATACTCTTTTCTGTTCCATCCAAATTTCCATGATTACAAGTCAGTATTGCACAATACTGAAGATGAACAGAGTTTAATCCACGACATTCATATGATAATTATTTACAATCATTAAACGAATTGAATGTGCAATTCTTACTAGTGATCACTTCATTTAATCCAATACACAAACAATTGATCTCACTTAATCTCTCAATACTCTCAGCATCCTTAATCAAGAATCTAAGTTTGGCCAATCTTCTAATTGCCATTTAAAATGAGATCGTAACTATCACTAATAATCCGACTGGAACTATTGCAATGATCACCTACTCAATAACTCTAAATCCATATGCAAACACTTCAGATGTATCCTTTTCAGTCATAACTGCGCTCCAAATTATTACCAATACAATCACAAATAATGCTATTAGAGTCATTATTTATTAGAACAAAATCAATTATTTCTACAATAATTTACTACCCTGTCTCTTTTGAATTTAAGCAATCGTAGTACTTGATCCTGTCTTAATTACTACTGCCCTTCCAAATCCACACCTTATTAGTGATCCACAAAATATCTATGACCCTTTTATTGCTTAGGTTATATCTTGATTCATCTATATTTATAAATCCGAGCATTCCAATACTCTCATGTCACAATAAATTACTAGACCCTCCTTAATGACACAAATATCTCCGGAAACCAGATTCTGAATCAAAAGATGTTATATTTTCCCATCTCTGTATACAGTGATTGTTTATTCATTGTCCTTCTCTATTGCATACTAGGATTTCTTTCTTTATTGATATCCCATTGCAAAAGTTATTGTTATAACTATTAACAATAAACAGGATGTAATTATTTCTTCTCCACTAAATTCAAGGTCGTTTTGACTTCCATAAATTGCTAAACTTATCGAAATTATTGTTGCAATAATAAGATCAAAGGCAAATAAATTCAATTCTTTTATAAACATTTTCCAATCACTTACATCGATTGCTTTTGATTATTATCTTTTCGATGCTTCCTCATTTGATAGTCCAATGCCGAAATTGGTTTTCAAAAGTCTCTCCAATTAATCTAAGGGACAAAAGTATTCCTGCATTTCAGCGTACTTTTCATACACACTTGGCGCCGGTCTCTCTATCTATTCGTCTTATTCAGCATAATTTATACTCATTTAGAGTTTAGTCTTGATATCAGGTCCTTTCTCTAGAAACCTAAATTACTCACATTCCTACCTAGGTTTGCATATCAGCATATCCTACATTTCGGAATCAGTCATCTTCTATTTATAAACTAATATATATTAAATTTTGGATCTTATATGGAACACAGAAGTATCTTAAATCAAAAGATTAATATTTTTGTGATCATTCTTCAACAAATAACTAAATTTATGATGTATTACAATAAAACTATCGATTATTGTAATCAATCTTCTTGTGTTATTTATTATATTTGCAATAATACTGGCATATTAAATTGAATAATTGCAATTATTTTACAGATACCCTTTTTGATTTTCGACTAACAGAAACCATTTAAGTAGCATCTGTAATGGACTATGTATTAAATATATTCTAAGGGTGACATACAATAATTTATTGAAACGATATATTTTAAATTATCATTAAAATGTAAAATACTGAGATTATTAAGAATAAGGCATCTTAGAATGTGGGTATTTTAATAATAGGATATTAAATTACTCAAATAAATTAATAAATTTCATTAATAGCTTTAGTAATACTCTGAATTTCATTTGATACATTTGAATAATCTTATTCTAATTTTAAAACTGTTTGGAACTATTTAAATATATTTAATAAATCAGATTCCATTTTATCAATCTAAATAATATTGAATAGAATTATACTTAATCTTTTTGATCTTCATATTCAGTTTATACGTCATGTAAAACTCTAGTCAAGACTGTGCATGCATCTTCAACAGATTTGATTCTTTCTTCTTTTTCATTAAGATCATTCTAAATTTATTCGAATTTCTACGGTATAGCAACTAGAATCTGTTTGCCGGTGTCAGTTAATTCTGCAATCTATTACTACAAAGATTCAGGAATGACTGGAGTAATGCAAGTTAATTTGTGGATGACATCCTCCAGATTTAAAATTCTTTTTTCAAGTTCAAACAATTTATCATTACTATTTTGCTACAATTGCAACATTTCTAATTTATTAACCACAGACCACATTTGTTTGAAAGCAAGATCAAAAATTTCATAAGTTACATATTAGTCAGGACAAATAGTTTTGAGTTATTCAATTGATAATGATCCATCTGATGAATGGATTCTCTTGGTATTTTTCTTTTAACTCATAATTGAATAATAAATTTTATGGGAAATAATTGTTGTGAATGTTGTATAAAGAAAAATTAAAAAGATAATAACAATGATACAAACGAAAAGGAAATTGAATAGACAGTGGATTATAAAATACAAAAAGGACCAACTCATATTAACGTTCTATATAAAAATCTGCAGGCAAGTAATTGCATTGTATATGTATCTTGTTGTGATGATAGAGGGAGAAACTCATAAAACCAATTACTATAAAAAGTATTTAGATCAATAAAGATTAGAATGAACAAGTTGCAGAATAATTGTAGAGAAAGACAAATCAATTAGGCCAACTTAGTGAAGTAATAATAGGGAAAGTCTTTTTTTTCTTTTTTGTATTGCCATTATACTTGGGGGAAGATCAGTAAGTCCTCCTATTGAAACAACAAATAAAACAGTTGGCATAAATTATTATAGACAAAAATTTGACTGAAATAGCAATCGAAGATATCGGAGTTTAAAGATTTGGCTATCCACGACAAGTAAGTGTGACTTTATTATTATAAGCTAGTTGCTAAATTGATAATCGAAACATTTGCCAGTCTATTAAATAAGATGGTAAGCTTGAACAGGATAGATTTTATGATCAATGACTTAAAATCAAAATCAATGTTTGAAGAAGAAATTCAAGCAAGAAGGGAACTGTTAATAAAAGGCGATTCCTTATTGAAAATTGATCAGACAGATGAGAAATCGCTAAAACAGCCTTTGATGGTTTGAAATATATTATAAAACAGTTAGTTTTTATTAACTATTTAATAATTAAAATACTATATGCATAATAGAGAGTAGCTTTTAAAGATGATAAGCAGCAATCACTATTAAAGAAGCATAAAGTATCAGGATTTTAAGGATCTTGCAAGATAAAGATTTCTCTAATTAAATGACATTTCTAATTTATTTCGGAATTTTTCAATCAGGAATGAAGATGTAATATCTTTTATTACAACTATTGATTTGCTCTATTTCTGCAGTATATGAGAATGAGTAGATTGAACATTCAAATTTTTGGATTCAAAATTAATCTTAAATTAATAGTTTCAAATAAGGAATGTAAGTAGTTGAATTTATATCTACTCCATTGAGTTATAAAGGTATATCTATATTTAATAAGTTAAATAATATTTACATTCTAAATAAGATAAAATTTTATTTATGATTTGAAGATAATAAAATTGACAAGCTTGAAGTATAAAAACCATTCAAATAACTAATAGTTCAATTGATTAAAGAGATCCAATTTTTATGATTAGTGATAGTCATGGTGGTAAGACTACATTAAGTCCAAATCTTATAAAATTTTATATCATTAATTTAGATTTCTAGCTGGTGTGATGGCATCTAATTTTCCATATAGAAAAGTTCCTAATGAATTTGTAAATATTCCATAAGGGGAAGGTGAAAAAGAGAGGATGGAGAATGGGTTATAGCAGTTTGAATCATTTTCAATTAATCTGTATATATCATTTCAAATATTGAGAGAGAGGATTCTTGAAAAACAAATTTTATGCTTAAAAATATTATAAAAAATACATTAATTTTTAATGCACAATTACCAAGACAATAGTTAAAAACTCTTTTATGAATTGTGGAAAACTGGTAACAGAGTATTATGTAAAGGAAAGTTATTGGTTGGGTAAAAAGTATTTTATCAAAAGTTCCGAAAATCATAAATTCATTGCGTCTCTTGTACTAATTACAATACCCACAGTTCTGTATTATGTGTTCATGGCACCAGTAAGAAAATTTAAATACTTAGGCATTGGTTCAAAGAGACCAAGTTGTTTAGGTGGTTATTTTTGTAATTCTGAATTGCCTAGTTTATATATTGATCACTATTACAGTTCTAATGGATCCAGGAATCATCCCCAAAATAGTACGTATTGATATATTAGCAGACAACAAATTATGAAATGGATGAATAGCTAATTTTAATTCCTTAAAAATATTTAAAAGTTGATCCTTAAGTGTTATTTGAATCAAAAACCCTATAAGTGAAAGGACATCAATTTAAATTGAAGTTTTGTAACACTTGTAATAACGAGATTAATAATTTCTAGGCGCAATATATAGACCTCCTCGAGCTTCACATTGTCCTGCATGTGATAATTGTGTATTGAGATTTGATCACCATTGTCCATGGATAGGAGCATGTGTTGGAAGAAGGAACTATATTTATTTTTATCTTTTTATCTTCTTTCTCTCTGCTACCATGATTTATGTTTTTTCTACCTGTCTTGCATATATCTTTGGAGATATGCAAGATGAAAAGAATAAAGGGGAACAGATAATCTCAACATTGTCGAGAAATCCATATTCATTGGCCTTAGCAATTTATTGTTTCGTTGTAATTTTTTTACAAGAATTAACCAGTTTTCATTTTTTGTTGTCGGCTTGTGGGGATTCCATACATTTTTAGTTATAACTAATATGACTACTAATGAATATCTAAAGAAACATTGGGTTATTTAAAGTAAGAATCCATTCAGAAGGTAATGCAAGTATTTATAGTATAGAAAGAATATCTTTAAAAATATTTAACATGTCCTAGCTTGTATTAGAGATGTCAAGTTTTTAGAACTCCGATAATTTGTATTCGATCCCAAAAGTTATAATTAGGTATTATCACATTATTCAACAAGCCCATGACATAAAATCAAATGAATGAAATTGAAAATTTAAATGCAGTTGAAGATAATCAAATAAATGTTGCCAGAAGGTAGTCCAAGTAAACTGTTGATCATGTGGAAGAGCAATGAATATTCAAACTCTTAATATTTTAATCCATTTGAAATACAATTCCTCTCTTTGTTTGAATTAAAATATAAGCCACCTACCTAATATTCAATAATATCATTTAATTTTTAATATTTCGAGTAAATTGATAATATAAGTGAATTATATCATTTATGTATTCATGGTATCAAAGGCAATTTATATTAGTCAAGTTGCAAACCTTATTATAGTTGTATAGGAATTTAGCCGTTAAATTATTACTAATACTATTTAAGTACTCTGCCCACTCTTTTTCTATGACTTTCAGTTGCAGTCTGTCGAAATAATTTCTCTTACGTTTTGATATCCTAATTTAGCAATTGCCAATACTTTCAAAGTTTTAGGATCTAGCAGAGCAACATTCTATGAAAAGTCAAGCGGTTTTACTTTTTTTAAGATCCATTTTGGACTTAGATTTGAACTTCCTTGGGCTATTTGAACTCCAAATTATTTGGTTAAAATTCTTTAAGCCCAATCAGATCCATATGGATCTTTTTTCTAAGGATGATTACCTGTAGACTATTTTATTTAAAGAAAGGTAACTTCTATTCGATCTCCCTTTTGGCTATTCTATATTTTGTAATTTCTCCGTTTTCAAAGGTTTTTCCTAGATTTCTTGATTATCTTCAGACAAATACTCCAAAATGGATAAAGGCTCACACAACTAAGTCACAAATAACGAACTTTATTTAAAAATTTCATCCTTTTGCTGTTTCATAATTTAATTATTAAATTCTTATGATGAAGTCTGATAATCTTGATAGAACTGAATCATATTTAATAATTAAACTATCCAATACAATAATTATAGTTTGTTCCCCCTATTATATCTGATTAAATCCTTAATCTATGTTAGCTATTTCAGATTTTCGAAAAATCTGAAATGGCTTAAATTTAGAATTTAATTTATCTCAGTTGACTACACTTATATCATAAAATCACTCTCCTAAATATTATTTTATTGAGTAAGATGATTAGAATCTTTAAAAAAAGTAAAAATATGTTGTTTTATACTTTTCAAAGATGTTAAGTTATTAAAATGATAAGGATTTATTTTTAATCTTATCATGCCTTGAACTTTATTTACCTTATAGATTTTGAGATTATTCTTAATTTCATTCCATAGATTTATTGTTATTTTTATAAAATAGTTTTAGATTTTGTTCTTCAATCTTAGATACTTGTCACTCTCAATTGTTTTATAAAATTCAATTAACTCTATTAATTATATAATTTTATCATCTTATTTTACTCCATTTCTGTAGTTCCTATATAAGATTCTCTCTTAATTGAGTACTTTGGTGTAAAAATTCTCAATTCTTGAGTGTATTGTGTTTATGGCGGTTTTTGGGTTCCTACTTTAAATGATTTCAATTACATTGCTATGACAAACTACTTATAAAATTAAGAATGTATTTAAATAAAATATGTTCAATTATTCAACGTCCTATTTTGCTAGTTCCAATGAAAAAAACAACTAGTTGAAAGAGAAAATCTATAGTGCTCTCTATTAGTCTCCAAACACATCCTAGTAATAATTTTTTTATCCCAAATAGTGATGTTATGAAGTGGATTCCGAGCAATGATATTTCCAATTTGTCTGTGTCAATAGAATAAGAAATTGATAAAATTCTATAGGTGGTGCCTCCCTTTCAATTTTAACCTAATAAATAGATCTCCTTTCAAAATTGTTCAACTTAACAATATGTTGATCGCCAACCTCTAACAAATTTAAATTCATCTTAAACCAAGTATTCTGAAAACATTTGTGAACCTGAAGTACAGCAAATCGAACACCCTCAAACGTAAGGTAATTCAAAACAACGGAGAAGAGAACAATAACCTCCTTCGAAGTAGAATTAATACATTCAGGATTTGAATACGAGATATTAAGAACCTCCAAAAAATGCTTTTTAAGAAGATTACAATAATCCATCTAGCAATATTGAGGAGGAATATGATGTCAATACTAAATAGTCAGTCACTAATAGAGATTCTCGAGAAAAAGGAGGCTTAATTAAATAAGAAAAATACAAAAGTAATGAACTCTCAAAGTTAACTGAACAATAAACTTGTTTAAATTAAAGCGTTGGTAATTCCTTTATATTAGATACATTAATCAACGAGGAAACAATCAAATAAACAAATTCAGTAGAAGTTGAAAACTAACCCTTTAACACAAGTTAGAATTGGGCAAAAATGAAGATAAGAAAAGAGGCTAAATAAAACGAAAACTATAAAACACAAAACTTTTTAGATCTTCTAAATTCCTTGCCCTCTTTCTTCATTCATTAAATGGAGGGTGAAATTAAAGTTGACAAATTAAGAGCTTAAGATAATCAAGAAGGATAATATTACCAATCCTTTGAACTTACTGTCAATCCATAAAAATTGATTGGACCAATTAATTTTAAAAAGCATCTAAAAATTGTAATTTTCCATAATATACTAATTAGCATGTAAGATTCAAGAAGGGTTACTAAGGTGTAGTTTATTATGATAGACAATTGTAAAATGTTATTCCACAAAATTAAGTTGATGGAATTACATTAAAAAATGAACCATTTTTGTTAGCAAACAATTCTGACAAACCCATTAAAGTGATTTGCTGCATAGTTGGAATTAAAAAATGATATTTATTAAATCTATAATTAATTTGATTTAGCTATCATGAATATCTATTTACTTATTTAAAAACGATTAATTTGATCTTTGCTTTTAAAATGATAATAATAATGCTCCCCAATAATTGATCCAATTAAATGAACATGTATATTTAATTTAATATTCCTCTAAGGAGTGATCTTAAAAGCTTGAATAAAATTTTAAAAGCCAAAATTATCTTAGATAATTGTAGAATTAGTTATAATTTATGATTTCTTTTGGATTCAATAAATTATTTGAAATAGATAGTAAAGCCTATTGAATGATTATAAAAAAGGAAAACTTAAACGAAAAGATTAATATGTTAGTGTAAAACGGATTTTATTGTTAATTATAATATAAATGTAAAAACCTTTGTTTCTTATATTGTTGATTATGGGTTGTCTGGCAACTGAATTTGATGATTAATTTGCAGAACTTGAGGAAAGTTAATTTGGATAAACTATCTTATAAACAATTTAGATGGAAATGTAAACAGATGATCCAGTTGTTTCTAATTTGGTGGATATTATGCAAAATTTACAATAAACATTAGAAAGCGAGTAAAAAAGAGATGATGACAGGATTGTCAGATTCAAATAAAACTGTGATATTGCTTTAAGCTAATTGATAGAGATTATAAATACTAATACAGTCTCCTCACTTACGTTGAAGAGTGACTTGGATTCATTGAATCCTTAAAAGGTCTAGGCTGTGGCTAGTTTGGAGAGAAAAAACTTAGAAATTGTAGATTTGAAGGCAGAATTAGATTATTAAACATTGAAAAGACAAAAGGAATCAGCTACTTATTAAACAATATTGGATAACCTAGAATAAGCTTTGTTTGGTGTCAATTAAGTGAAAGGATACTTCAATAAATATTTAGATGTTTTAGTTAAGAACAGAAATAGATTCCAATAACCCTAACCTTCATTCTTATAAGAAGATGCGAGTTTTCAATATAGTGATGATGAAGTAGAAGAGGACATTGACACCAAGGGTATTTCCTCATTTGCCCAAGTAGCTCAAAAGGTGAACAAATTGAAACATCATGTATCAAATATAGATTCATTTTTAGGTTCATTTGGAAGGTTACAAATCGATGATCGAAATCTTGAGTCAATTAGCTAGCCAAGCTTAGACATCAGCTGATGAACCAAGTCAATGTGAAGTGTTAACTAGGAAAGTGTTATCCATTCTAAAACAAATTGAGAGTTACATACAATCAGAAAGAATCAGAGAAGATCAAGCTGAGAATTTGAGATTAAGCTCATATGAAGACTTAAGAACTTTGTTATCTGACCAATTAGTGAAGGCTAATCAAGACAAAACCTATATGGAAGGTAAATTCAGATTAATCTTTAGGATTGATTGACTCGTTGTCAAATAGAATTCAATAGGCTAAAAATGAGAAATTTGAAGTGGATTAGAAGATTACAACTAAATCAAAGGAAAAGGAAAATAGAGAAAATGATTGTAGATTGAAGAGATAAGAGTATGAAACAGATACTGCAAGCAGGTTCTATTATGATCCTATTTATTTAGAATTAAATAAAAGAGATCTGTTGCAATTGCTGTAGATCTAATTTCCTCGAAATTAGGTTAACTCAAGAGGAAATTGTTGGAAAAATGATAAGAAATATCAAAAAATAATTATCACCTAATTTTATTTTATTAAATAAGACTAATGTTTTTGTCATTTATAAATTTTATTAATGGATTAAGAATTAATAATCAGCCCAAATGATAAAAAATAATATTCTTTAACAACACTCCCAAATTAATTAGAATGTCTAATAATATCAGATCCAAATACAAAAATATCTGGAGCATGTTTAGAAATATGTGTAGGATGGGTAAATAATTAATACAAATTTTAGCTTGATGATCCAAAAGAATATTAAGGCCTTGCTCATTTTTGTGAGCATATGCTTTTTATGGGATCTGAAAAATATCCAACCTAAAATGATTATACCTCCTTTATCCAATTAAATTCAGGATCATACAATGCATCAACTTGGCTTCAAAGTATAAATCTTATATATAATAATCTAGGAACAAAGTACCATTTCAGTATTTAAAATGAAGCCTTTGTTGGAGGTTTAGATAGATTTGCATAATTTTTTATATGTCCTCTTTTCGATAGTAGCTGTATCGAAAGAGAAATGAATGCAGTAGAAAGTGAATTCAATTTGTCCTTAGCTGATGATCAATCAAGACTATGGGAGTAATTATACAATTAAATGCTCTCTTTAGAATATTTGTTCAATAAAGTGATCCCGAATCTACCTTTAATCGTTTTGGCTGTGGCAATCTATCTACTTTAAATAAACCTGACATAAGAGATCAGTTGCTAGCGTTTTATGACAAATATTATTGTTCATCCTTAATGAAATTAGTTGTTTATACAGATAAAAGCATCCAAGAAGTAGGATAAATGTATATAATATATTAGTATTCTAGAATTCATGATATTTTTTCTTTGGTCCCAAATAAGTGTAGAAAAAAGCCATTTCATCTAGATAACCCTTTCAGAGGATAATTTCCTAAAGTTGATGTAGTTGGAATCAAGTAAGAAGATTATCTATTTTTGAACTTTGTCATTCCTAATTATGAGAACAAATATTTAGGATAACCAGAAAGCTATATTACTCATGTCTTAGGACATGAAGGCCAAAACTCATTGGCTTCTTTTCTTAAAGATGAAGGACTTGTCACTGAATTAATTGTTGGATCTCAAAGGCTAAATGATCAGGTCTCAGAGATTTATTTAGAAATAATTTTGACAGAAGAAGGATTCCAATCATACGAAAAAGTCATAGCCTTTGTGTTCAAATAGATTGAAAAAATCAAGGAAAAAGGAGTCAAAAAGGAAATCTTTGATGAAATTGCCTAAATTAAGCATCTTGAATTCAAATTTAAGGAAAACACATCCTCCGTTTTAGAATACATAGAGAAACTTAGTGAAAACATGCACAAATACCCAAAAAATCATATTATTTATGGAGAATATGCATATGAAAAGTATGATCCTTAATCCATTAATGAAATACTTAAATATCTTAACCCAAATAATATGATTATTTTCCTCAGAAGTCCAAACTTGTATTTTAATTCATAAATTATATAGTGCTGATGAAAAAGATGATGAAGATTTCACAACTGAACCTTACTGTAAAACTAGGTATAGAAAATAGTAAATTTCAAACTTGATCTTTTAGGCTGTAAAAAATTGCAACAATTTAAAGGGAGACAAAACACAAAAAATAATTGATATTTTCCCTCCAAACTTATACCTCCCTCAAAATTTTGAAGTAATTAAAGAGACTGATGAAAATCAATATCCTCTTAAGATCTTTGAAAATGATTATATCAGATGTTTCTATTTGAAGGATAATCAATTTCCTATATGCAAAGGTTCCTTCGGGATGTAATTTTTTCCAAATTAAGATTTTGTGACAGATGAAAATTAGAGGGTTTAATTTGATCTATGGTCAAATATCTTCTATTCTTAATTTGAAGAAACTCTATACAATGCAGAATGTGCAGGAATCTCTTATAATCTAGATTCTGCCTATAACTTTGTTTCTTTTAAAGTACATGGATTTAATGATAGCATTTTAAGATTTTATATAGATTTTATTCAATATTTGTTAGATTTTCACAAATAACCAACAAATTATGTTAAGAAACATTTATTCTACGTTCAAAAAGATGATTTGGAAGATAGATATGAAAATTATTTTATGAAAAGTCCATATGATTTAAATGCAAGTTATTGGAAATGTATGGTTTATAAAACAGGAAAGTTTATGAAAGAATAATTGACCGAAGTTGAAATCAAGATGAATGATTTCATCTCTTTCACTGAAAAACTATTCAAAACTGTAAGAATGCAAATATATTTTCACGGCAACATCTCAAAAGACGCTGCCTTGAATTTGTGTTAAATTACACACAATCTATTTTCTGAATTTTCATAACCCAACAAATCAATATAACCTTTATAAATAATGAAGATTCAAAATAATCAAACTTTCAAATTTGAGAAACTCATTACAGAAAATCCTGATGAACCTAATTCAGGCTTGAGGATATCATATTAAGGTGAGTAATCACTTGATCCTACTCTTCTTTTATACTTTGATTTACTCAATTCAATAATTTCTGATCCATTTGAAAATTAGCTTAGAACAAATGAGTAGCTTGGATATGTTGTTTATACAAATAAAAGTAACAGAAGAGGAATACATTTCTTTAATTTTATTATCATATCAGAAGCTAAATCAACGAAATATATTGCTAATCGTATCGATACTTTTTTATAAGAGTTTTTAACTAAAGACCTAGCTGAAGTAATTATTTGAATTAAATTTAGTTTAATGAAGAGAAATTTCAAAAAGTCAAACTGAGTTATTATAATGACTAATCATAGGATTTTTAAAATATGAATGAAAAATTCAAAGATTTTTGGAATGAGATTTTGATTAACTAATATGATTTCGATAAAAGTAACCCATATTTTAACAATTAGAATAAAAATTAAAAGAGAGAATAGATTCAATAACCCATGAAAAATTCTTAAGTTTTGTCCAAAATCTATTCAAGGACTCAAAGAGACTTGAAATTCATATTATTAATAAAAGGCACTTAGATTGGGAATTAGAACATGAAGAAAAAATAACTGATTGTGAATGGTTCAATGATTTATTTTAATTAAAGTGAGTTAATTAAAATTTATAATGATATTATCTTAGATTTTTCATTTTAGATAAACTGAGAATTATGAAATAAATTGTTTGATAAATTAATATTGATTAATTTTACTCAAAACGAAATTCTTATGAGTTTAGATTATATAATTTAATTCATTAATTTGATCTATTATAAAGGGGATGATTAGGTTTAAATACTAAATTTAAATTCGAAACCTAACGCTGTTAAACATGATTAGGCAATAGTTATATTAGGTGGTTTGTTTGAGGGTACATCCATATTTTTATTGGATATTGAACTTCTTAAATTTATAATAGCTCTTCATTATTTTTTTTTCTTAAATTTTCGAATTAATATATTTCATTAATTTTATGTTCAAGTTAGTCAATCCAATTAATACTTTTAATTTTTCTATTTTTCAAAAAGATTTTACTTACTTTACCATAATGCTATTTCTAATCTACTAGTTATTTTAGGCGCTTTAATGGTCGAGATATACAACTTTATGCTATATAATTCATTACTAGTAATGATAATACTGATCCTATACAATAATATAATTGATAAAGTAACTATTGAGATACTCTAGTTTGCATCTAACTAATAAGTTAATCCAATTTTTATTGATAAACGTTTTCTTCAATTTATAAAATAAGTATTTAAGATTTTATTTATTATGTTCTTATGAGTTGATGGGATGTTTCATTTATTTTAATGCAAAGTGTTTGTTTTAGTTCAGGTAAACACTAAGTTTAGAAATCATTTAAAATTGTATATTTTAATATATCCTGAAAGTTAGTTTCATTTAAACCTGTTAAACTTTGATTTTAGATAAATTTAAAGTCTAAAGAGAAATTCTTATAATAAGAACTGATTAGGAGTCTTCCAGCCATATCAATTAATGATATTTTGATTCCATCTATTTAAAAGTTAAAGACAGAAAAAGAGCTCATATTGAAATCATGCCCAATAACTCCTTTTTAAATATGGTCCTAATCCTTCATGGTAGCAGTTTCAGTAAACATAACTCCACTAAACATTGAAATATAAGGATCGCTTAATACATACAAACTTGCATTTTATTTAAGTTAATGGTTCTAATACCAAGGTCTAGAATGAGGATAATAATTTTTTAATATAAATGTTGGATAAATTGAAAAATATTAATCCTCTTGACTAGAAACAAAATATAGTTTTTCAACTGGTATTTAATGTTTCAAAGAGTCCAACACATTTGTCAATGTAAAATATTCGCTAATATTAGTTTAACTCGATTAGTTAGGCACTAAATAGCAAAATTAATTGGTTTCTTTTTTAAAACATTCACAAATTCCGCTGTTTTCTAATGAGTAGATGTTATACTTTTTCATAAACAAATAAATTTCTTGAATTGATCTTATTGATTATTGGCTTTGATAATTTACTTATTCTATGCTTCTAGCATAATATCTCAAAGCCTCTGTTGTAAGAATTTCAATATTGGATAAAAGCATTTTCCTTTAATCTTATTCTTGTTATATGATTAATAAATTTTGAACAAATAACAAATACCCAGTTACCAGAGCAGCCACCAGCAAATTTGCAATAATTTGTAAAATTAATATTTGCGATTTAATTTTCCATCGCCTCATAAGTCCAATTTAATAATTAAATTATTGAAATTATGGATAGATGAGATAGGATACAAAGGAATATATTTATATTTTCGCAGAAAACATGCGTAGTGACTATCAATTTTCTTGTTTTAAAAAAATAACATTTAAACGCATAAATGATCTCTACATAAAATCTAATTAATGAAAGTAAACTAAAAATAGAAAAATATACTGATAAAAATACACTGGCAAGACTTCTATTTTTAAACATAATTATAAGAATTTAAAGTAAAATTAAGTTTGAACATATATAATGCTTTAAAACAATTTTTGTTTATTTTAAGAGAAAAAGTCTTGAAAATTTCAAAAAATGTTATTCTAAAAATAAAATATTATTAACAAAAAAAAAATAATTAAAAGTATATATCTCTAATCGTTTTAGAATCAATTATAATTTGACATAATAGCATCTAAATAGTAGTATTTTGCAAAGACTTTATTGTTAGAATCATTGTAGGTTACTTTAATTTAAATTAGTTTATAGTCTTTTATTTGGAAACTTTTGACTATTTTGTTTACAAAAAAAGTCTCATTTCCTATCAATTGAATTAAGCCTTCAACTTCATTACAATAAGTATGAAATCAGAGATTAACTAACCAGTCATTATAGTTTTTAAATAACTCTTTTAGTATTTAATATAAGTTCTTATCTACCCTAACCTCTTAATCTCGGTTTTCCTGATCATTTAATTTTGAATAAAAATAAACAAATTAGATGAAAAAATTTGAAAAATCATTTTTTATCCTAAAATATTATTTTAATTAAATATACCATACATCTTAAATTAATCAAAATTAACTCAACTTTGTATGAAGGATTTAACAAAATGATTAATTTCATATATTTATTGAGATAAGTATTGTTTATTGAGCAAAAGTTTCGAATAAACTGAGTTCAAAGGTAGGTTCTCTGAAATTAATAATAAATTTCTTGAACCAAACATAAGAAATTAGTGGGTTATTTAAAATCTAATAATATGGACTTTAAGGGAAAATATTTGATAATCATACCCATTAGGATTATTTTCAATTTAGCTTTTTAATTAGATCATCTAGTGTTCCGACTTGAGATTTTCTAAGATATTTATGCTTAAAAAATATTAATTATTCTTAAATATTTGATTTATGTTTTCGAAAAAATAATCAGCTCTTTTTAAGGTGCATCTATCAATGATAATATTACTAATATTTCATTTCATAAGATAACTGACATCGTATTATTATTGTATGGATCAATTTATAATATTTTTGATGTCAAATTGCTTATTCCAAATGGCATCAGAAGTCTTATAATTTAACAAGAAATTTTGCTCAAAGAATGTATAATTTGTATTCATATTGATTAATATTTTTCTCTTTTAGATAGAATCAATTAAATATGGCTTTGAAAATGTCAATACTAATTCATTATTTATTATTTTAATATTCTTACTGGAAGTCTGTTAAAATTAAAATACTGGAAAAAAAATTAACAAATGATGAAAAATGGTTTACTTTTCATTAATTTTTTAAGTTTCACTTATTTTAATTAAGATAATGAAAATAACACGATTATTTTTTATTATTTTAGAATTTTTAATTAAAAATTAAATGCCGCACTTTCTATTTACATATTATCCGAAAAAATGAAAAATAAACCCAAGAACAGAATTTGCATTGTTAGTCAATTATAGATGAAAAAATTATACCAACTTAATAAAAAGCATTGAAATAAAGGGAATGTCAAAAAATAGGGACAAAAAGATATTCTTTTTAGGAACTAAGGGAATTATTACGGAAAGGAAATTAACTTACTAAAAATATTTAACTTCATTTTCGATAGATGAAAACATATTATTAGATTTTTTATCAGAAGCAGTTATAATTATTAAGTTTGAGAAATCTGAAGATTCTTTCCATAAGCCTCGAGTTGAATATTAAAATTCAATAAGCAAAGTGATGTTTTAGAAGAGTAATTCAGATTTAATACCTTTTTTTGAAAAGATTTCCAGTGAAGTTTTTAGTGATGATTCACCTGTTAATCCTAGAAACTCTTTATTATAATTTTAGAGTTTTGCATAACAATAGTATAAAAACATGAAAAGATCAAATAAATATAGCCCATAATAATTTATAGTAACAGAGTTAAAACCAAATATAAAGACTGGAGATCAATCTCTCTCACCAAGATTGAGATCTTTAACTGTTTAAATAATATCAATAATTAAATTAGTTAAACACTGTGAATAAATTTTTGTACTATGTTTTTAATACTAAAAAATTACGATTTGAATCGATGGCAAAGTGGAAGCTTTGATTGATAATTGAAACAAATTTTGAGATTAATGGCTAAAAAAAAACAGTAGAAATAATCACAACTATTGGGGGTGAAGACCAAATACTTATGATAGCGAGATATGTAATGCACAGAAAAAACATAAAAGAACTTTTAGAAATAAACTAATCTAAATCTAAGATTTTATCATTTGTAAGTCATGAATTTAAATCTCCAAATGATTTGCTGGATTTAGCTCAAATTAAAAATGAAACCTTTAGTTTAAATTATAAAACAATAGATATTATTCAATTAGGAGAAGAATGCATCCATATGTTTTAATTATAAGCCAAATAAAAAAAATTATAGTTACTTATAAATGCTAATATTAAACCATTATATTTATATACTGATAGGAATAGATTGAAATAGATAATTATAAATCTTATAGCAAATGCGATGAAATTCACATCAAAAAGAAATATAACAATTAAGATTTAATAAAAAGGAATGTTAGTTAACATTGGAGTTGAAGATACTGGCTTAGGAATTTCATAATAAGATCAATCCAAACTATTTAAAGCTTTTGGCAAACTCAAGGAATGGAGCATTAAAAATTAAATGAATAATGAGTTGGATTAGGACTAGTAATTATTAATAAAATAGCATAATAATTATCATTTGATGGACAAGGATTATAAGTGATTTCTAAGGATGCAACTTAAGAAGATCACGGATCATACTTTTTATTTAACACTAAAAATTAAATATTTTCATACAAAAACCAATTTATAATAGCTCTAGCAAGTCTATATCAACGATAAAGAGTCTCTAATATCAGATACATAAATAGAATTTTAATAATTTAGAATAAAATATAATAAAGAAACTCATTCTTTTGCTGATGCTGAAAAATTATCTGTTGTAAGCATATCCTTATAGTTGACGATAACGTATTCAATTAAGCAATTTTAGAAATGCATATAAAATAATTGTAAATCTATTTGTTTTTAGAATAGTACAAGTACTTAAATTGATAAAAATGATAGTGGAATAGAAGCAATTGAATCTGTGAAATCTAAGAAATGCAATGAGAGTTGTATAAGGTATTAGGCCATATTTATGGATATGGAAATGCCAGGTTTAAATGGAATCTAAGCATCTGCTCAAATTTTAGAAATTGATCGAAAAATTAAAATATTCATAGTTTCTGGATATGATAAATCTCAATTTAATGAGGAAGCTAATACAATTGGGATTAAAGACTATATTGTAAAACCAATCTGTAAAGATGTCATTTAAAAAATAATATTAGAAAATCATTTATGAATTTAAAAAGCAAGTGAAATGAAAAGTATTATCAAACTTTATTTTTTAAATTCCTGGCCAACATCTCTTATTCTTTATATTTATTTATTCTTCTTCTTAACTCATCCTACTTCTGATCAGTTACCTTTTCCTTGAATAATTCCGGTTACACTATTCTTATTTAATTATTATACATTACATAATTTTACGATCATCTTATCCTCTTTCACAAAATCAGATGAAGTTTTTACTTAAAGTGGAAATCTACCTTTTGTATTGATTAATTATTTTGTAGGGGATGGTAACTAATTTGCGTAAATATAATACTTTAAACATTTCAAGTTGTTGTTCTTCCTCTTTCAATATTTATTCAAATTCCTTTATAGATCTACAGTTCAAATTTGATTTTGGAGGTCTGTTGAAACTTTTATAATCATATGATTTTGAATCAAATAAATTGCTCATGTCTTTATAATGTTATTCATTGTTCAAATCTAGATTCTAAGCATTCTACATAGATTGAATTTGCTCTGGCTCAAGAAGACTTTAGTAATTTGAAATGCCAGTTGTAATTTTCATTTAAGGTTAGTTCTTTGAAAATGAAACAGGAAATACAAATTATTTTTCTCTTTATGTCTATGACATAAATGATTTATTTATAGTTGTAAAATGTTCTAAATTAGGAAGTTACTTAGGTCTTGGACATTGAGAATACCATAAAAATTTATTTCCCTTAGGAGTGTAGTAAGTGAATCTAGATTGCAATGATTTTGCTTTAGCCGGTAAATATGAAGGCTTAAGAGCCAATTTTAATCGTTATTTAAACCCAACACGTCCTGTCAAAGAAGGATCGAATTCTTTGATGTAATCTCCTGTTTTGTAAACTCTTTACTTTTCTCCAGTCTTATTGTTTATTAGGTAATAATTATTTGTTTCTTAATCATTCCAAAATGAGATCATTTTTGTCGAATAAAAATTATATAATAATCATTTAGTTTAAGCAATTTATTGGTTATCTTTTTAGTTACCACATTATTCCTCTTAATCCAAAGTAAAATGGCTTAATGGACTGAGTTTTTCAAAAATTTCATTTTAATTCTGTACCAAATTGGGACTAGCCTTTGGACCATAAAGAGGAGTTCGAGTAAAAATAGATAGCTTCTTTTTATCTTGACATATAAATTATTAATTAGGAGTATTATAATCCTAAAGATATTAATTAAATGAATCATTATTAAGATTTTCTTCATTATAGGAAATTTTGAATTGGCCCATTTTCTATTGTATTTGCTATTATTCATTATTATGAAAGAAAGGATGTTAAAGACATTCTTCTGAAGTAAATCGTTATTATTAATCAGGGGCTGTCATTTTTAATTTAATATAAATATGAATATTTTACAGTAGATCTTTAGATAGCTGTCTAATTGTTTATATTTTGGTTTTGAAAAATCTACCTAACATTCTTTGTTCATTTTTAAAATGTCTTAGTGATCACTCCCAATAAATAAACCCTATCCAAACAGTAATATATGAAATATCACTCCTGCTGAAAAAACATCACAGGCAGTAGTGTATGGCTAAGTTTTATCAATCAAGTTTGCAATGTCAGGAGCTACAAATCCAGGTGTGCCACATTTTGGATATAAATAAGGATAAGCATCAACTTCTACTGAAAGACAAAAATCTGCTAAGGGTAAAGAATTTAGATTCCCTTTTCTTTAAATAAAATATTTTCTGGTTTTAAATCCATATGCATAATTCGTTTAGAATGCATATACTGTATCTAAAAACAATTTTTTCTATAAATATTATCAATTATTCTACACTCGTATTGGTACGATACTTAATAATTTGCTTAAAAACAAATATTTATTGATGAATATAACAAATTTTATTTCTAAATAAAAATTATTTGGTAGATTACAAAACGATTATTATTAATCAATATGTAGTTTGACCTAATAAAAACTTTATTTTAACAATTTCTCCATTTCTATTTTTAGATAATGTTATTTACAAATTTATCAATTATTTCCCCAAAATGGTTCGTTAAAAGTATTTAATACTTAGCTTTGCATTGTGAATGAGTCGAAATATCAGTGTGAATATCTCTATTCCTAAGTAAATTACTGAATATTACTTTTTACTAACATTATACTTGTGATATTGATATGATACATAGTTAATATTTAAAGGTTGTTAAGCATAACTTTTTCGATAGGAAATTTGATTTCAAATTCTTTCCATAAATTAATTTGCTTGAAATTTCTACTTTGGTCATGAATATGCTATTAAAGTTTTTAGTCAGAGAAAGAGGAATTCTGCTTCTTTAATATTGAAGAAAATAGGATTTTCATCAGTTATTTTTATAGAAAAGCAATTATAGTTTCAGAGCTATGCTGGTATGATAATATGAGGAAATAAAATGAGGAGGGTTGTTGATTAAGAAGAATTGATTAATTACAATCTAAACTTCTTCCTTACTATAAAGATTTATCCTATTTTTCATTTCTCTATATAAACTTCCACCTTAAGCAGATCCATTACCAAGTACATATTATTATCTCCTTCATATACTTCAATAAGTTTATTAGTGATTTGTGAGGACTTAATAATCTCATTATTTATATCTCGTTAAAACAGATTGCTTAATATAACACTTTTGCTTATTACTTCTCCTTATTCAATAGATTTAACTTTATTTTTGTCAATACTCTTGCAAGCAAATCGCTAATTTGAATGCAAATGCTGTAATTCAAAAACCTAAATTAANTATATTTTGGTTTTGAAAAATCTACCTAACATTCTTTGTTCATTTTTAAAATGTCTTAGTGATCACTCCCAATAAATAAACCCTATCCAAACAGTAATATATGAAATATCACTCCTGCTGAAAAAACATCACAGGCAGTAGTGTATGGCTAAGTTTTATCAATCAAGTTTGCAATGTCAGGAGCTACAAATCCAGGTGTGCCACATTTTGGATATAAATAAGGATAAGCATCAACTTCTACTGAAAGACAAAAATCTGCTAAGGGTAAAGAATTTAGATTCCCTTTTCTTTAAATAAAATATTTTCTGGTTTTAAATCCATATGCATAATTCGTTTAGAATGCATATACTGTATCTAAAAACAATTTTTTCTATAAATATTATCAATTATTCTACACTCGTATTGGTACGATACTTAATAATTTGCTTAAAAACAAATATTTATTGATGAATATAACAAATTTTATTTCTAAATAAAAATTATTTGGTAGATTACAAAACGATTATTATTAATCAATATGTAGTTTGACCTAATAAAAACTTTATTTTAACAATTTCTCCATTTCTATTTTTAGATAATGTTATTTACAAATTTATCAATTATTTCCCCAAAATGGTTCGTTAAAAGTATTTAATACTTAGCTTTGCATTGTGAATGAGTCGAAATATCAGTGTGAATATCTCTATTCCTAAGTAAATTACTGAATATTACTTTTTACTAACATTATACTTGTGATATTGATATGATACATAGTTAATATTTAAAGGTTGTTAAGCATAACTTTTTCGATAGGAAATTTGATTTCAAATTCTTTCCATAAATTAATTTGCTTGAAATTTCTACTTTGGTCATGAATATGCTATTAAAGTTTTTAGTCAGAGAAAGAGGAATTCTGCTTCTTTAATATTGAAGAAAATAGGATTTTCATCAGTTATTTTTATAGAAAAGCAATTATAGTTTCAGAGCTATGCTGGTATGATAATATGAGGAAATAAAATGAGGAGGGTTGTTGATTAAGAAGAATTGATTAATTACAATCTAAACTTCTTCCTTACTATAAAGATTTATCCTATTTTTCATTTCTCTATATAAACTTCCACCTTAAGCAGATCCATTACCAAGTACATATTATTATCTCCTTCATATACTTCAATAAGTTTATTAGTGATTTGTGAGGACTTAATAATCTCATTATTTATATCTCGTTAAAACAGATTGCTTAATATAACACTTTTGCTTATTACTTCTCCTTATTCAATAGATTTAACTTTATTTTTGTCAATACTCTTGCAAGCAAATCGCTAATTTGAATGCAAATGCTGTAATTCAAAAACCTAAATTAAACATCAATTGCCAAATACTAATGCATAATTTCCTTGTCCAATCACTTGCTAAGCCATATATTCTTCTTAAACTTTTGTTTAAAAGAAGAGTTTAGAAACATTTATTTTAATCCACGAAGTGTTTCTTCTTCTCCAAAATATTCAAATTACTAATTCCCGCAATCAAAAATGAATCCTTTCAATTTTGAAGGAGTCTCATTTGTGTATCTCCAGGCTAATCGCTTTGTATTAGAGCTGGGAAATATCCTATCAGGTTTTTTTCTGTTGGAATCCTATTATTAGATATCTTTCTGATATCTACTTTATCTGCAATCACAATGTCAGAAAAACCATAGAAATAACGAATGGATGAACCAAGAAACAATTTTTTGAATAGTCAACATTGATAGAATTCATCACAAGATTTAGGAAACATTATAATTAATGATTATGTCTTCAATTGATGCAGTCAATAACTAGATTTCTTCCTGTTTAATCTACAGAAGTTCATAATAATCTCTCTAAGTTATTTCTAATTATTTATTCATTAATGATGATTGAATTGTCCACACTTTCTTTTTCTTCTTACTTTTGAGTTATTCCTCTTTTTTCTAACTTGTATATTATATAGTTTCTTCCAATTACTCTTTAATTAATTGAAATTCCACAAGTTATCTATCTTACAAAACGATTTTTTGTAAAGATTACTCAAACTAACTTCTAATTACATTATTATCCTAAAATGGCTATCATAATAAAATTACTTCAATCAAATTCAACACTTTATTCTTTGCCTCCTATAATTCTTATTCATATTTATGTTATTCAATGAAGAACTATTCTAATTTAATTTATAATTCCTTCATTTCATTCTGCAATTAGTTTTATTTCTCTTCATATAATGCTCTCTCTGCCAGTAAGTCAGAACATTAAGGTTTCCAGAAAGATAATTAAGATGACAAAATTTCTTCTTAAAAACTTGAATCCTATTTCTTTATGAAATTATAACATTCATATTTTTCATCTGTTTAGGTGTGTACATCTAATTTCAGTTTTTGATCACTTTCTACTAAATAATTAGATTTAGTTATTAATTAATACAATTCCAATACAAGATTCCTCTTTTGTGTAAAAATTCCACTGAAATTTCTTCTTTCTACCCCATCAATTAAGGAATTTAACATAGTTGAACTAGTTTCCAATTAAGTATGTTCTGTTTTATTGTGGAAGTTATGTTCAATATCTATAAATTCTTATTTCAATTTGAATATTTCCGATTCTCTTAATTTCAATTATCTAATTGATCTGGCTTTGGAAATATCAAATTCTTGTTAATTTATATATTTAACTTTATTTTTATGACTACTTTTACTAATCTAATTTTTTTATAACTAAGTGACTTTAATTTTAGGTTTTATTTCAAATTTCCCTTATTTTTGGTTTATTCTTGTTAGGATTCAGAAAGTTGAGTTTTAAGTTATTCACAACATTTTTCTAATTTTTGCATTTAGGTATATTTTCTATATCCTGCTTCCTATATATTTCTCAAATCTCTTACTATCTATTCATGAACATTTTTTCATTGTATTAATCATTTTTTAAAGTTTCAATCATTTATTATATCCCTTTGATATCATCAATTCTATATGAATATATTCGCAAACTTCACTAACAGAATTTGTTTATGTAATTTCATAAATTTGATTTAAATCGTCATTCAATGAATTTATTGTTTTCTATCGTAATTCTAAATCTGCTTGTACAATTTCAATTTCGGCATGAGTCTTTTTTTCTTCATTTCATATCATTCTTTAAAAAGAATTAATTCTTAATTCAATATTTAATTTTCATACTCTAATTCTTCAAATTTCTTTAATACCTCATCAGATATCTTATATTCATGATCTTATGAGATTGAGGATTATTCTTCCTAAAGTATTTTTAATAGAACCATTTAAGATTCTTAATCCAAATACATCATTGGAGTTACTAATTCACTTGAATATGTAGATTTAATAAATCCTTATATGAGACTTATAATATAATTTTAATAATAAGTTTAATACCATTTCTAAAATACACTATTCATTTCTATTTTTCACTATTTAAAGAAAATTTGGCTTTTATTAAGTTTAGTTTACTTTCAAATCTACTCCATAATTCCTTCATAACTTTCATTTAAATTTCCCAATTTTCACCATATTCCAACTAAATTTCGATTTCAAAACTGAATTATGATAATTGTGTATGCTTGTGATATAAATTTTATTATAGAGCCACACCTGAACAAAAATCTGTTATTTGATTCAGTTTGGATTGAATAAATTAAAAGAGTTGATCTACTTACAATCGTATACTTACTAAATTTAAAATAGATGAAATTTGCTTCTAATTTTTACTACTCATATAATATAATTCTTGAAATTATTGAAAATAGAACTAATTATTCTTGATAAATAAATCAATTAATGAAAATTTCAAATTTACTCATGCAATTATAGGATTTACAATTATGATTGATTTATTCTTATAAATACATAAATTAAACTTTTAAATTATTGATTTAAAGGAAAATTGGCATATGGAAATTAGAATGGTTTCTTTCAAAAATTTCTTCTGTTACAAATTTTTATAGTCTTAGTTATACAATATGATTAATCTCTTGATTATCACTATTATTATTTCACTTAACAAAGGAGACTCAACATCTTTTAACTTTAAATTAATAATCCTTAACTAAAAGTCCTCTATTAAATTGTGTGATTGCTACGAATAAATAATATTGTTATTATTAGAATACTTAAGCTTCTGCCTATTATTTTATACTATGAAATTTTCTTCTTTGTTTTCGTTGACCAATTCATATCAAAAATTAAAAATAAGTAAATCACTTTAATGCTATAATTCTAACTTTAATCTTATCAAATTACTATTTTTTATTCTCTAATTTATTTTAGGAATAAAAATAATTATCAACTAGAAATTAATAAAACTACTGTTTTTGAATTGCAATTTGTCTATATATTTAAAATGAGCATTAGGAGAAGCTTTAGTAAGTTTAAATTGAAAAATATTTGACATTTTCAAATGCATCGTGAAAAATTTATTTACTGTTTTTTTTTTCCATTGTAGAATTGCCAAAATTTTTGAAAAAGCAAAAAAAGAATAAAATGAGTAAAATCAAATTACACATATGAGGATCGAATGATAATAAAGGTTTTGATTCTTTGATTAACATCTAGCCACATTATTAAAAAAAATAAATTGAAAATTATATCAGAGGCTCAATTTTAGAGAACTGATTTATCAATTTATTTAATTATAATTTTTTTTACATAATAATAGATCTTTTATTATGCATCTACTCTTCAAGAAGAAAAATGTTTAAATTAATATATAATTCTGTGAAAATACACTATCAAATCATGCAATTAAGGCTAAGAGGACAAATGCTCCCAAAATGACTGAATTACTGGAGTCTGAGTTGTCAACCAAATCATCACATGCAACACATTTGTTGTCTGATGACCATTTGTAATTTTTTAAGGTTTTGGAATAACAGTTATCTTTGGTTAAAGCTGAAGTATCAGCAGCATCGGCGCAAGCATTATTGCTCCAAGAACATAAGCTATAGGTGGTATCACCTGTGTTAATAGAGGTACATAAAGCTTCAATTGAGGCATCTGAGCATTTTCTAGCACGGCAAGCAGATCCATCATAGACGCAATTCCATTAGTTGTTACATTCACTTGTGAAGTTGTTATAGTCTGAACAAGCACTGAATGTTCTTGCCAATGATTTGCATGAGCTATCGTTAGCCCAAGCGCATCTTGTTGTTTTTGTATCATATCCTTGGCATGTAGCTTAAGTCTATGTTGAGCATGTCACAAAAGAGTAGTTAGCACAAGCTCCTGATGTTACTGAACACCATTCGCTTGAAGGGCAGTTATCTGTTGAGTAATCAGCACAAGCGGAAAAGCTAGCACAAGCATTGCTCTTGTTCCAATAACAACCGTCAATATCGTTACAAAGGTCGGCGGTTGTACCATCAGAGCATGAGGGATCCCAATCTTCACATGATCCACTGTTCCATTTGCATGAACCAGCAGCATCACAAAGAACTTATGTTGTTAAATCTGAGCAGCCAAAGGTGTATGACATGCATTCAGAATCTGATTAATTCCAAACACAGTAAGCTAAAGCGAATGCACAATCTGTTTGATTGAGTTCTGAGCAGTCACAATGTTGGGAAGCATCGACTGTGACAGTTGCTGTTGTTAAACCAATGAGGCAAAGTGAGATCAACAGTTTTCTATACATTTTTTTAATTATTAATGAGTATCCTTAAAAACCCCCTTATAAACAGCGACAGGTAAATTAAAATGCCAATAATAAATAAATTAATTTGAATTAATTCAAAAATAATATATTGTACATGTTTTCAAATTTTTTTTACATTAATTTTTTTAAAATTTTGAAAAAAGCATATTTTTTATTTGTGACATTTATGAGATAACTATATAATCATGGCTATAAGCTTATACCCCATTAATTTTTATGATTAGTGGCTTTTTCTTTTTTTTAACAAACTGTCTACTACATCTCATAAAGAGTTTGATCATAAACGAGCTTAAGAACAGTAGTTCAAGAACTCAAAATTTGAAGTTGCTTCATACACTAACTGCAATATGCATGAGTGATTTTGGATAAACACTGCTTTTCAGGGACCATTCCTTATATTTTATTTAACATAAGTGGACTCAACTTTAATCTTTACTAGAGAAAATAGTATAAAGAGTTGTCATTGTTAGGATTTTTCACTTAATATTCAAGACCATGAATGTTAGGGCAGAGTTATTTATTTTATATTGTTGATATTTTTAAGGCAACAGTTACATTTGAAAAATTGATTTAGAGTTATGGCATTGTTGATGAAATTTAAAAGGATAACCAAAAATATGAGAATTAAGTTTAAATAACCCTAAAAAGTAGGTTTTGTAAGAGTAAAAATACAAAATATTGTTAACTGGAAATTCAAATCATTTACGAATAATTTTATTTAAATAATTAATAAAGGCTTGTGATTGTTATATATAATATATTGTTGATCAATTCTTAAGAAGCAATTTTTGTTTTATCATGAGTTGTGCTAATAAAAATTTCATTTTTCCAATATTTGATTTGAAAGGTGAAAAATATAATTTTGTTGTTTTAAGAAGCAATGTAAACATAAGTTGATAACTAATAAATAAGCTCATTAAGTAAGATGGCATTTTACAATAGAACATCGTATGATAATGATTCTAAAATGAAAAATCTTAGGTACATTTAATATTGGATTACATTATGAAAAAAAAATATTAAGATTTACAAAAAATCAAGAATATTGCAGGAATTAACAAAGAAGCCTTAATATAATTTGAATTCTATGTTTATATGTTATTTATAATCACAAATTTCGGAATAAGTGAGAAATACATTGTTTTATATTATAATAAATGTACTCTTAATTAGATTAATATTAATGCATACTCTAATTAAGAAACAAATGAATAATTATAGGAATAAACTAAAATGCACTTCACTTTTGCTCTAAACTTTAACTTTATCAAAAAAAGAATTATAGGGGCATAATGACTTATTTGATCATAATTGCATCAAATATAAGGTATTCTTAAAGACTCTCAAACTATAAAATTTTAATCCATTATCATTTCGGCATATTTCATTCATGATAAGTTTTGAAACTCATCATCGGAATCATCTTATCTCAAAAATTTGAGGTAAAAAATGATTGAAATTTTAGATCATTAACAAACGTAATGTAAATTTATTTTTTTATGAAATATTTAATTTAAAATTATATAATGAGAGATTAAATATAATTCGAATATAATGAGTTAGTTAAATAAACAAAATTTTGAATTAAATTGAAAACATAATGCAATCAAACAAAGGGCATAAGTTAGATGAATTACTCACATGCTTTATCTGTCTATCAAACCTAGCAAATCCTCATATATGTCCATGTTGCTCGAAATTATGCTGTTATTCTTGTATTACGAAATGGTTGACTGAAAACAGACAGGTTTATTAGTTGTTCTTAATTAGAATAATAGTGTCCACATTGCAGATCCTCTTTGAGAATTTAATAATTGGTAAATTGTAGGTTTTTAGAGGATATCGTGGCACAAAATGATCCATGTCCCCTCCATAATGCTCAATTGTAATATTATTGTGTTACATGTGCACATCCTATTTGTTCTGAATGCGCAATGTTTTCTGCACATAAAACGCATGAGTTTGAACACATTTAAAAGGTTTTTGACTCAAAAATCAAAGATGTAAAAACAAAAATTGAAAATGTTTAAGAATAATTGAAAACTCTGAAGCATTCAGCAATAGTGATTGATGAATTGATGGATGAATTGAATCGCAGCAAAGACGAAAGAGTTCAAGAGATATAAGCATACACAGAATAATTATTGTAAAAATTAGAACAAACACACACAGCAAGAATGGGCAATCTGTAAATGTAAAGATAAAGATTAAATGAAAAGATTCTAATAGCATCTGCAGAATTGGATACTATTTCATAATAGATAAAAGGCTATTAGAAGAGCAAAACAATAATGACAGCATAAGAACTCTTATAAAGAATAGAATAGGTTGATGTTGAACCAGAGTAAATAGGTGGGATATCAATGAATTTCTAATCAGAAATAACTCCTCAGTATGTTTGTGATAGTTTTGAGTTGAACAATTTTAGTCAGAGTGAGGAAATTGTTTATTCTGATCATCTAGTTACAAATGGGATTAAGTGGAGATTAAAGATTTATCCTCACGGGAATGGAAATGCCAAAAATATTTACATATCTATATTTTTGGAGATGGATTCCAAATATTCAGAAATTAGAAGATATGAATATAAAATCGAGATGATTAATTAAAAGAATGGTTAATCAGTAATAAGGGAATTTGCAAGTGATTTTGAAGGAGGGGAGTGTTGGGGATACAATAGATTTTTTAGAATCGATTTANTTGCATCAAATATAAGGTATTCTTAAAGACTCTCAAACTATAAAATTTTAATCCATTATCATTTCGGCATATTTCATTCATGATAAGTTTTGAAACTCATCATCGGAATCATCTTATCTCAAAAATTTGAGGTAAAAAATGATTGAAATTTTAGATCATTAACAAACGTAATGTAAATTTATTTTTTTATGAAATATTTAATTTAAAATTATATAATGAGAGATTAAATATAATTCGAATATAATGAGTTAGTTAAATAAACAAAATTTTGAATTAAATTGAAAACATAATGCAATCAAACAAAGGGCATAAGTTAGATGAATTACTCACATGCTTTATCTGTCTATCAAACCTAGCAAATCCTCATATATGTCCATGTTGCTCGAAATTATGCTGTTATTCTTGTATTACGAAATGGTTGACTGAAAACAGACAGGTTTATTAGTTGTTCTTAATTAGAATAATAGTGTCCACATTGCAGATCCTCTTTGAGAATTTAATAATTGGTAAATTGTAGGTTTTTAGAGGATATCGTGGCACAAAATGATCCATGTCCCCTCCATAATGCTCAATTGTAATATTATTGTGTTACATGTGCACATCCTATTTGTTCTGAATGCGCAATGTTTTCTGCACATAAAACGCATGAGTTTGAACACATTTAAAAGGTTTTTGACTCAAAAATCAAAGATGTAAAAACAAAAATTGAAAATGTTTAAGAATAATTGAAAACTCTGAAGCATTCAGCAATAGTGATTGATGAATTGATGGATGAATTGAATCGCAGCAAAGACGAAAGAGTTCAAGAGATATAAGCATACACAGAATAATTATTGTAAAAATTAGAACAAACACACACAGCAAGAATGGGCAATCTGTAAATGTAAAGATAAAGATTAAATGAAAAGATTCTAATAGCATCTGCAGAATTGGATACTATTTCATAATAGATAAAAGGCTATTAGAAGAGCAAAACAATAATGACAGCATAAGAACTCTTATAAAGAATAGAATAGGTTGATGTTGAACCAGAGTAAATAGGTGGGATATCAATGAATTTCTAATCAGAAATAACTCCTCAGTATGTTTGTGATAGTTTTGAGTTGAACAATTTTAGTCAGAGTGAGGAAATTGTTTATTCTGATCATCTAGTTACAAATGGGATTAAGTGGAGATTAAAGATTTATCCTCACGGGAATGGAAATGCCAAAAATATTTACATATCTATATTTTTGGAGATGGATTCCAAATATTCAGAAATTAGAAGATATGAATATAAAATCGAGATGATTAATTAAAAGAATGGTTAATCAGTAATAAGGGAATTTGCAAGTGATTTTGAAGGAGGGGAGTGTTGGGGATACAATAGATTTTTTAGAATCGATTTATTATAGAAAGATGGATACTTGGTGAATGATAATTTATTGTTTAAATATTATGTTAGAGCTCCTAACTATTACACACAATGTTTGGATATGCAAAGGTATATCAAGCAATTAGAATCATAAGTCAGCATTTAATAGACTACCAGAAAAATTGAATAGCATTCATCCATTTAAAAGTTGAAGGAGGAAATAGAATAATATGCAGAGAAAATAGAATAATTGGAACAATCACAACCAAGCAATACTTCTGAAATTTAAGAAAGTGAAGACGATCATCAATTGTAGTAGTAAGAGGAAGAAAGTAGTGTATCTAGCAATCACTCGGATTATTATTTTGATGGCTAATTTTAAGAAATCCCCGGCTCTTAAGAAAGCTTGCCTGTGAGGAGAAATCTTATACAAAAATTCAATTAATCCAGCTTAGTTAACACATCTTAAAATCTGAGGAGTCCTCTGTCAGAATTTAGCGAAAATTTATATTCTTGAATTAATTGCTTTATAAATTAATAATATAAAAATTATGTTTCAAGAACAATCATTCGGAGGATAAGACAAGTCGACTATAGAATGTCGAAATTTAAGGAGACATGGCAAATGTACAGTTTCTGGCTGTCCATATTCACATATTGCTGCATCTGTCAAACCCAAAGTTCTAAGGAAGGTATTTTAAGGATAAAGTGGACCAATGTCTGATCCAAATTAGCAATAAAACAATTATCGTAACAATTTTTGGAATCAAAATAATTACAATAACAACTAAAATTACCAAGGCAGAAGAGACTTTCAATTTAATAGATTAAATCAGATAAATAACAATCAATAAGACAGATTTAAATAAAATACCTATATGAATTAGAGTAATAATTAATATTAGCAATCTTAACCCTTGCAACAATATGATAATAGATAACAAAACCAGCCATCATATTAGGGTTTGCAATAACAACCAACCATTGGACTTTAGTTATTATACAAAATGAATTTCGAGAATCTTAGAGGCTTTTTAAGGATAATCAATATTAACAACAACTATTACTTTGGTCTCATTCACAATAAAGGTATAACGTTCTATCCTTACAATGAAACCAAAGGGATTGATATTCTATCAAAGATTGATTTTGTAATTCAATTTGATGTTGAGGATGCCTTCATTTAAGAATATACTTCACAAAATAATAGGAAGGAGCTCTATTGTTTGGCAGTTGTGATAATTGAGTCGAGTTTGAAAAGCGTGTTGATTTATCCGGACTTTTTAAATTCTTAGACTAACTTTGTAAAAGTATCAGACATTTCTAATACATACTTAAAATATATACATGTTAATACATTGAATAGTGAATTATACACTTTTAGTTCAGATGGTATTCTATTTGCTTATTGAAGGATTTATCAGAGTGTTCGACCTTCAAAACACTCAAAATTCATTAAAGCATTATGCTTAATAGACAGAAGTCTTTTGGTCCATATTTTTCCTTAATGAAACATCAAAGGGCAGCAACTTCCTTATTTCAACTAAGAATGGAAACATTTATCATTACATCAATCAATAATTTACTAAATTGCATTCTTTAGCTGAGCAAACCTTAGTGGATGTCACTATTGAGAATGATTCGAAACGAGTCTATTTGGCCACTAAAAGTCAGGAAATGTTTTATATATATATAATAAATGAAAACAATGCTGTTGAAGGCCCAGTTTATACTCACAGATACCCTATTTAAAAAGTGATTGGATTCAAAGATTTCGACTAAATTAATTGTTTACTAGTTTCGGATAACAGAGGCCAATTGGATATATTAAAGGAATAGCCATCAAATGATTAGGTGAAATTCTTAAGATAAATACAATGTATGAAATATAACATCTATGATAAGATAAACAAATTATGGGAGATATCAAGAAAATCATGTTCTTTAAAATGAGTAACATCAATAAAGTTGTAGAAAAAATGATCTTTGTTCAAAGATCAAAGGATCCATAAAGACAAGAATCAACTAATTTTGAATTTTATAGGTTTTATTAGATATTTTGAATAAATGTTAACATTTTAAATAAACCATATAGATATATCTATTATTCATATTTGATTTTTTGTTGAATAAATACAATTTTAAAATATAAAAAAAGTAGAGAAATTTTGAAATGGAATTATTGAGGGATTCAATTAAATTGCAAGAGGAAAACAAAATGATGAAGAAACTTGCACTTTTATAACAATAAGTTGGATATCCTCTAGACACTTTAATGAAAGATGAGTTCATTCATAAATTACCAGAAGATAGTTTTATTTGGTAGGATGTCATCATTATTAATATTTAGGACAATAATCTCGAAGAAGTATGAATTATTAACCGGGGAACGAGCCAATAAAGAAATGATCATTTAGGAAGAATTATATAAAAAAATCACTTATGAAATGTTTGTAGATGAATGTTTTTAAGCAATATTGCATTTCCATTTAGTAATTACTGATTATAAATTCAACTTACATATTATTCAAGATTCCATAAGAACTCTTAAATAATAAATATCACTATTGGAAGGTCACAATCAATTCAAGTTTGATCAACCAAATAGACTATCAATCAGTTATACCAGACATAAGAGTTTAAAAACAGATATATTCAATCATTATCAAATTAAATATAAAGGATATCTTAACGGATAAGAATAAAAATCAATCTATGCAAGAGGGGATGAATTGGTATGTTCATTTCCAATTTTAGAAGAAAGTAAAACCCTAACAATAGCTGTGTTTGGTAAAAGGAAGGAAACTGGAACAGAATTTAAGGTTTTAAGTAAGATCGAACTAGAATTAAATGAAGTATTGATCTCCTTTCCTTTGCAAACTTTCTCTAAAGAAACCATATAACCTTGCTTATTGACTTTAGATTATTAAGATGAATCGCTGGATGCTCCATTCCATGGAAAGAACCCAATAGAACTATAGTATTGTTTGATTAAAATTATAGCTTTTCGCTTTCCATGCCATCAGAACAAAGAATACAAATGATGAAGATTCTTAAGTTGAGGCAAGAAGATTTTGGAAATCAGATCAGATAAGAAATAGAAGGCAGGAACTCTTATATTTAATCAATCATTTAACCTTTTAATGATTTACTTTATATCACTGGAGAAAATCTAAAAAATAAGAATGAAGTCGATTAATAAAGATTTTCATGTTCAGCTTGTAAAATATTCTGATATTTGAAGTTCTTAATATTAATTATTTTAATTTTATGCATTATATACAATAAATCTGATGAATACTGCTCAAATTTTAATTAAGTGTTTACTATAATTTCCTAATAGGAAAAATCAAGAAAAAATTAGAGTTTAAAAATGAACATCTGAGTATAAGGTAATCAATAAAATAAGAAAAACAATAAATAAATCATAATGGGTATTCCACTATCAACTATATTTGATTCATGGTTCTCAAAGAAAGAAATGAGAATATTAATGGTCGGCTTAGATGCAGCTGGCAAAACCACTATTTTGTATAAATTGAAACTTGGAGAGGTAGTTCATTCTGTTCCAACTATTGGATTCAACGTTGAAAAGGTTGAATATAAAAATATCAGTTTCACTGTTTGGGATATTGGAGGTTAAGATAAATTGAGATTATTATGGAGACATTACTTCACTGGTTCTTAAGGAATCATTTTTGTTATTGATTCATCAGATAAAGAAAGAATTAATATAGCCAAAGAAGAATTAATGAGATTAATGGGTGATGAAGAATTAAGAGATGCTGCACTTTTAATTTTAGCAAATAAATTTGATATCTCTCAAGTTACTGTTGATGAATTAATATCTAAATTGGAGTTATAAAGCATGAGAAGAGAATGGTTTGTATAAACTACTTGCGCAATTACTGGCGATGGACTTTATCAAGGATTAGATTGGTTATCAAAACAATTCAAAAAAAGAAAAAACTGATTAATATTATATCTGTATTTAACTATTAGTTTAATATACATTTAATACATTATGATTCTATTGTATTCAATTTAATGCTCCTATTATTTAATGGAGAAAAACATTTAAATAATCCTATTATTATCATATTAATATTTTAATATATATAAAAAATATAATATTAAATAACATCTATTTCAGTAATTACATCTTAGGTGGAAGGAAATAATGATAATGATCAAAAACATAGATTTCTATTTACAAAATAGTTATAAATATATGCAATTTCTGGCTCTTATGCAGATTAACAATAATAAATCTTATTTAAGTGAATTTATAGTATGGTTCAATCAGAGTAGCCTCTTTATTATTATGAACCTCACAAATTTAAAAGTTTTAGTGTGAAATTAATTCGCTGCAATACAAACTTTATTTCTAATATATTGACATATATATGTTAATAATTATTAGAAAATAATTAATGAAATAAATATAAGACAAGTCATATAAAGAGTTTGCTGATATTAAACATCACATTGGTACATTACAGAGCCAATAACTTTCTGATGAAGAACTATCGCTTCTTTATGAGAGATTGAAATATCAATTTACGAATCTGAATTAGCAAGTTGCAGTTACTTAGACTCTTAAACCAAGCAGCGAGCCATAACCAATTCATAAGAGATAAAAAATAAAAAGAGATAAACCATTGATCCAATAGTAAGGGAAATCAATAGCACTTCCAAAAATTTTGAAACAACCCTCTACAGAATAGAGACCAAAGAAAAATAAAGGGAAGCTTAAATCCGCTCATATTTATTAGGCTAATATCCTAAATAGAGAATTAAGATTAAACCCATTTTCAGATTTGCCAACAATATTGGATGAAGATCTGAATAAAGGAGTTAGCAATCTAATATAATCTGGTTTGATACCAAGAGATGTTGATGTAGGTCCAGCCTTCAAGAGAGGAGAGGAATTGCTTTCTATATCGTAAGTTTAGGTTTAGAACCCTACAGAGAAAAGCAAGTATTATAACACAGGATTGTCTGAGAATCTATCTAAATATAAAGTTGCTCCATAGAAACAAGCAGCCAAATAGATTGCTGATTATTCATCTTCTTTTGTTGAGAGGTAATCTATTCCAAGAGAAAAATTGCAGTAAACTAAAATTGTTAGAAAAGCCAAGTACATAATAGAAATCAAGAATGGGCATTACGTTCCAGATTTTCATTATCAGATCAGACACCTCATGATTTGGGGAGGAATCATGCACATCATAAAGAAATTAGAGAAGATTGCATCAGGATAGGTGGATGGTGATAGGATAGCATAATTGGCTTAATCTTAATTCAAGGTTCATTTGATTGAGTTGTATGAATGCTACATTTCCAGACCGATAATGGAGAGATTGTATATTTTAAATAAGAAACAGTTTTCAGCTGATAGTGCCATAGTGAAAATCTAGGCAACTGTGAGGATGTTTGTTGCATCTAGAAAGTACAGACATCAAAAAAGGATTGTTTAAAAGGTTATTAGAATTTAAAAGGAATTCAGATTAAAATAGACTTATGTTTATACAATCAATCAAATTAAAAAGAATATGGGATAATTAATAAGTACATTAAAAAATAGATAGCAGCAATTCTTGTTAGAGGATTTAAACTAAAAGAGAATCGAAATTCACATTCCCTCGTACTCCATAAAAGAATTCTAAAGATTATCAATGAGCCATTTCAAAAGTAGAGAAGGTTTACAATTGACAAGACTATTTGCTTTAAAGGATCCTAATTTAAGTATAATATATGTGTGTGCACCTTTGCAAGAAGAAATTATGGCATATTTCTATAAATTACTAGAAGTTGCAGGTATAAATCCTGAAGGCAGATTATTCTTTATTCATCCTGAAAATATAAATAGATTCCCATAACATTACTCATTGGCATTGTTATTGTACCTTTCTCCAAAAGCCATTCATTAAATTTCTGAATTGATCAAAGGATAGTTATCATATATTGTGCCAATGAGAGTGGGAAAAGAGGAGTTCTTGATTGCTGAGTATCTAAAAACAAATATATATTCTGGTCCTTATGAGTTAATAGAGAAATACTCTAAAAAATCTGAAGCGATTGAGCTGTTTCGATAATTATCATTTCCTGTGGCTCCAGAGTATCATAAATTTGTTAGCAAAGACGATTTTGTGGATAAATTAACTGTGTTGATTATGAAAAATCTAACAGTATAAAAATGGATGTTTAAAATAGACATTGAATTTAATGGAAGAGGAACAGCATGGTTTAGTTTAGAAGGAGTAAAACAGTTTATTGAAATCAAAAAGTTTCCACATGGTATTGAATTTAAAGTACTCAGAGAATTAGTTTAGACTGTAAATTAATTGTAAATATTTAGCTATTGCCAATAAAAACTGTATTGGCCTTTCCCTAGATGTTCACTTTCGAGGAATACTTGGACAATTTTATTAGAAATGGTGGAATAGTAGAGGCTTATCCAAATGCATCGAAAGTATAAACTATAAACATCTAAGTGAATCTTGAGAATTAGGGAACATATTAGATATTGAACACCTCCACAAGCATCATCATAAAAGAGTAACTATAATACATGAGTATTCATTAGAATGTCTAAAGTGGGTTGCATATATCCTTAGAATGTGCTCAATTTAAATGTGGATTCTCTGATATAACCATTAGTTGAGGAACTTTATAAATAGAACATATTTGGTTATTTTACGCTGTCTTTGTTATCCTTTAATGGAGCCTTCTATACTAAATCATTGAAATTCGGATTGGATGAATACGTTGGAGCAACAGTATTGGCAACAGCTATGGACACTGATCAGTTCACTTATATACCTTTTGTTTATCATCCAGGAATAGCAGAATAGAAATTCAATGATTTGTTTATAAAGTGTAGGAAGGAAGGAATATCCTTTGATATTGAGAAGAAGGTGGGAACATTGATATGGTTATCTGATTAGATTGAAAAAGGAGTTTTGTCATTGTTATGTTTGGGTGCACCTAAGAAGGCTGTAAAGTTGACTACTGATGCTTTGAATTTCTTGTAATAATTTGGTGGGAATATAATGAAAACTAATAGTCATTAGAAGCAGGATACATTTTACTTTATAGATATAGTTAGTAGATTAAGATAATTAAATAGTGAAGCTTAACAATGATATTTATATTGTCATGATTATAATTCTAATGTTACTCCTTGTAAAGTTTTCTCTATCTAGACGACCCGATTTGTTAATTATTATTACTTGTTTTCCATATTCATTTTGGCTTTCATCAATAACAAATACTCTTTGGTCAATCTGTATTGCTCTTCCATATAGAGAACATTGTCCTCCTTGATTTGTCGATACTTCTTATTGAGATTATCTCTGAAATTCATTTCAATGTTTTTCAATTCCTATACATGTCTTGAATTGATCGAAGACATCTCCAATCTAATTTAATTTGCCTGGTCTCTCAATTAAGCAATATTCTTTCTACTTTCAGCAATATAACTCTAGATTAAAATGGCATTACATTAACATGTTTTGTAGGATGATTATAACTCTCCAAGAAATGAATTTGAGAGTTCTGATTCTAGTGATCATCCACATTGAAACCATATCTAAAATTATTCACAACGGGTGTTTGACTATGGATGGTTGTAAGTCTGAAATCACTCAAACCTGTCGATCTGAATCTATTCAATTTGTGTTAAGTAGTTTTGACAACCCGTTATGTTTGAAAAGGAGTGCCTAAATACAATGTTTTTGATACTAGAATCTTAGGATTTAAAATATAACAGTTGTCTAATGTTGATTTCAGAACTCATTGATTTTTTATTTAATTAAAGTAATTATTCTATAAATTTTAAGTAATATTAACATCAATGTTCAGCCATGAATTTATCATTCATCCATATCCCTTCAACACTATGACTTTAATAAAAATAAATCCCAGACCCACAAACAGCATCATCAATGAATGTTCCCCTAAAATAGTTTTGATTTTTAAATCTCAGCTCTCCCTTCCCCTATTTCATCCCTTAAGCAACCTACCCCTTAAAGTATTCCCAATCAGATAAATCCACATGAGTAGTATCATCTTAAGCCTCCTCTCTCCACATTTCTATGTCATCCCCTTCAGGTAAATCATTCAAGAATGTTCCTTAGATCAATTTATTCCCGTCTTTAGAAAAGAAGATCCCTCTACCCTCTCGTTTTTTTGTTTTTGCATTATATGAACCCACATAATAGCAGCCATTTGTATATGGTAAATGGCCTTACAATATTTCCACTTTTGGAGGCTTTGGCAATTCTAATACCTTATTTTCAGGAGTCCTAATATCTATGATGGATTCTGTCGCATCAGGAGACTAGGCTGTTTTTAAGATCTATTTATTGTAAACTACCATCACTGTCTTGAGTTCAGGCAATTTGTAAGCCTTGGTGTAATTACTGACTGATATTGATAATTGAATTGGGTCTGGTCTACCATACTCATCCATTTCCAACATTGATCGAAGCAATCTGTCAAAATAGAGAGGTAATTTGAATCTAGTTATTATATCATCTAATAATTCAAAGTCAAATGCCTCTTGCTTATAAAGAATTTCAGTCTTCTTGAATCCCAAAGAATATATACAGACTAATCCTAATGAAAATGTATCTGATTTGAAAAGATCATGTTCTGGATGAGTCTTATAATACATTATTGGGCTGTAAAAGTTCTTCATTATTTAATTATGAAATAGAAAAGGATCTGCTAATTTATATACATACTATTATTCAATTGTGTAAACTCTGAAGATTCCCTTTGGATTTATATTATTGTAGTGCTGCTTCTATTATTATAATTTGGCCAAAGCTGCAGATACGTATCCTAACATAGACCAGACTTCAGGAATTGTTAATTTAGTTGAAACAAAATCTTCTAATCTGATTGGAAAGTCAAAGAACATATTAATAGATATGAAATCGCTATCATATTTATGAATCACTATGTTGAATGGATCCTAATCGCGTTTAACTAAATATTCTAGTTAATCTCTAATTCTGAAATAACTATCATAGAGTTTAGCTCTAACTAATTTAAATTGTGGATCTCCTGTGTGTTCATACACTTCCATTTCGCTAAATTTTAAGGCCTCATTCCTATATGGATAAGGAGGTCTGAAATCCTCTGTAAAGGCAGCAATATCAGCACTTGTACATGCTTATCCCATTTTAGAATATAATTTATTAATAACTCAATAATATATTAATTCTGCATATAATATAAAATGAAACTGGTTATTATTCATGATTCTATAAATATGCCTAAATGTGTAATTTGATCATATCTCATTTGTATGCACTAATCTCACATAACAAAAAATCTCCATCTTTATAAAATACGTCTTATTTCATTCAATAACCGAATTTTCATGCATAAATGTAATCTATAACCTAACAATAAAAAGGCTTGAAGCAAAAATCTTGGAAATGATATGGCTCTTTTTTCAGCCATCTCCCCCCTTATTTTATTTATTAAACTAGCTCGGATGATATAGTTCTCTTTCCCAATAGTTAATTAATTTCATAAAAAAAAATTATCTTCTATTTGTATTTATATTTAAATATTCTAACGTATCATAGTTTCTTGATGTGGGAGAAATTCTTAGGATTTTTGATACCCTTATATATTTGTTGACGATATCGAAGATGCCAATTGTGCTAAACTATCTTTGAATTAAATATATAATTAATTGCGTACTTCTTAACGAAAATACGACTAAAAAGATAATAGAATTAGGCTTACCTCAAAATTCTGAAAGTTTGATTGAATTCTTCCTCAAGAGGGTCCTCCGATTAGGATAGTAATCCACTGAAAGTGCGAATATTCATCAATTTCCTCTTGTAGACTGTGATTCTTTCTAAAAACTTGACTACCTTAAGCTAGTCTCCCAGTATTTAATGACAAAGAGCTTGGTGCTTTGAAGCAAAAGTGATTATAGCCTTGCAATAGTTCTTGGGAATGTTTTTGGTGTCCTTCTGTTCTTGATTTAAAATTCCTTTTCGTTTGTGGATACCTAATTTAATGGAGAGACATTATTAAGTATTTAATCTTGGCACAAACTGTTACATATGTAATTATTCTTAGTAAACATTCGTATCAGGTGTGTTTGCAACATCAATTTTGTGTCCACCCAAGTGTACCTACTTATTTAATAGAGATAATACCAAAATCTCATTGTATGAATACTAAAGTACAAATGGATATGATGGAACGCTAATATTTTGGGAGCGATGCTAAGCCAATTAGAGGATATGCAAAGCAGACAAGAATTTACTTACAGCTTTTAAATAAGCTTATGAAAAGGATTGATTTTCTTCTCTATCATTCCTTTTATTTAGGTTATAAAGCGTTGTTTTAGAGGTGCTCACTGGAGTTTAGACATTTTACTCCTCCTCCTTTACTATACAATTCCTCATTGTACAAATCTTTTTTATTATATACTATACAAATCTTTTTTATAATATACTAACACCTTTTTTATAAATAGAAATTGCTCCTTGAAAATAGAATGTATCATAAAAAGATTGAATATATAATAATAATTTATTAAATATTCAATTGAAGACACATTGTTTACACTCCTCATCGATTCTATAACATCTGCAGTAGATCTAAATTAATATGAGTTACTTGAAAATAAGGCACTTATTGTGCTATTAATATATAAAAAGAGCAAAAATTCTTACTTAATTTTTTATATATTATTAAATAATAATAATAATTAATGGAACAATACTCACAAGAAAATCCATTGTTTGATCTGCTCTATATTTTGAGAGGAGGAATTCCTTCTCATCCATTCTTATTTCATCATATCTTCCAATACTTTGACAAGGATCAAAAATTAGCCATAAAACTCTGCAGAATTTTGATGAATCATCAAGATTGTAATCAGAAAAACCAAAATGGATTCACACCACTCCAAATTGCTGTGATTTACAATCAAATAGGTGCAATAAGATATGCATAGAAAGACGGCCGATTTGATTTCAATGATGAAACGTTAATGTAATTAGCAATCACTTATGCTTAACTAGAAATAGTTGAAATTCTCTTATTAGTAAGAATATTCTCCATAATGTTAGGAAGAAGGCTTATCAGTAATTGAAACCAATTACAAAAAAATGAATACTCAATCTTCAACCTATTTAAAAATCCTAAAAAGGTTCGAAAAAATTGAAATTCATAAGGTGTTGGGAGAGGATACATCTGAGTATTAAGAAATTGTAGTTAATGAAGTTCCTTAATTCCCGATTGGCAAATCTCCAGGTAAAATTATGTCAGACAATGTCAATGAATGTCTGATCTCATCTGCTTAGTGTATATAAACATTAGAAGACATTAACCACGATAATATTTAGTAGTTGAAAATTAAAAAAAGCAACCTTTGCACTCAAAGTTCTTGCCAAGAACATCAAATTTAAAAATAACACAATTAAATCAAAGACTAATAAGAAATTCGAATGTCCTATTAGAATTTATTTAGATGTGAAATTGTCGTTGACTAATTACTTTCTGCATTATTCTAATTTAAATATGTAATAAAATATGCATAATTAAGAGCCATAATTAGATTATGTTATCTTATTGTTTCTTGCTTAAAACAAAAATGATTTCTACTATAAGAATTTGGATAGCTTGATTGAATAAGAATTAGTGGCATTCCCTCATAATAACTCTTTTTCATACTCAAACTTCGATTAAACTTAGAAGATTGATAATTATTGCAAAATAATAACAAAAGAGATTTCATAATCCCTTAATGAATATAAGTAGGTAATTTTATTTAATATTAAAAGTAACTAAAAAAAAAGCAGCATCACTTTGATAATCTTAAGGCTCTGCTCTCCTATAAACTAAAATATGATATTTCATATCAAGGCCCATGTGAGGATTTGCTCATGAAGTTCTATCATTCACTCCAAATTTATAGAGGTCTATTTTATATTCTCCATAAACCTTGCATGAATTTCAATTGCTCGTTTTTCACTTTAGAATAATTTGAATTAATAAATAAATTAGAGTACAGAAATTCACTCTAATAACTTACAACTAACTAGACACTATAAACAACCAATTAATGATTAAATATATATAATGAATTAAACTACTTTATTATAATAATAAATAAATTCTGTAAAATTTGAGATAAAATTAATTATTTTAGTACCACTTACTTATTAATGAGTAAATATAAAATATATAATGGAATAAATTTAAAATATATAATCTATCCTTTATAGATCTTAAATATACAAGGAATTATGTTAAAATAAATGTTGAACATAAAGAAGCCGTTTACTCAGACAGATTGTTCTTAACAAATGATAATCGCTAAACAACAGGATAGAATATATTTTATATATATTAATAGATCAAACCAACACATAATAGCTAACGATAATAGGGACCCCATGCAATAAACTAAACCAAAAGTAAATCAACCCTATCCTTTTGTTTTTTAGGAATCTTAATGCCATCATTACTGGAACTTGTAACAACATAATGAAAGTCATAAAAGGAGTAAATTATCTTAAGGCTGCTATCAATATTATCTCATGAAGCATGGCTGAAAATGCAAAAGTAAGTACTTTTGACCATACTCGAGGTACTTTCCATTCTTACAATTACAAATAAACATGAGTATGCAAAAAAGCATAAACTACTGTATTCCATTTTGCATTGAATTCTTCAAAAGTTGTTGCATTCCACCTATTATCAAATCATATTTAATACCAATCATGATAGAATTCCCGATCCCCAAAATAAGTGATTTCTGCCAATAAATTTAATATGTTTTCAAAGGTTAGGAAGAAAAGAACTATCCAAAATGCAGTCAATGGAAATAACAACAAAATTGTTTATAGAATCTAATCAGAAGTTCCGACTATTGAGGGTTCAATGTGTTTAGCTATTATTACAGCACCAAGAATATCAAAATAAGCTATATTAAATAGCTTTGCAAAACAATAAATTAATCTGATCTTCTTTGTTTTTGGATAATCGTGATAGAATACCAATGCAGGGGTAATCATATAAATAAAGAATTCCCACAAACCTATTGGCTTTTTACAATGTTTGATATAGGAAACTTCCTTCATAAACCCAATGCAAGCCATGGCTCCAACAAAAGCTCCAGGTATAAAACCCAGTTAATACTTAATTGTAAACCATGGAAATATCACAAATGGAAGAGAAATGAACAATATTAGCAACATCTTCTTACCATATAAATGTGAAAAGTAAACTGTGTATGGATAGGTGAATGACTTATATAAGTTAGTATTATTTACATAAATAGCCCAGATTATCATTAAAATGCCATCTCTCTTTACGGCTTAGATAGTTGGTGAATTAGCTAGTATGGTCCCTAACTAATTAAAATAGATAAGCTCAAGTAAGTAATAGATTCCCAACATATGTGCATAATAATAGAATCCGTGCATTTTGGACTTAGACAACACTGAGTGATCATCCATATCATCTAACTATGATACACGATGTTGGTAGGTATAAGGTTTCATAATGATAATAAATTTATTTCATGAAATTTTTTTGAAATCTGAATCAAAGAATGTTCCAGGTAAAACTGCTTTTATGTGTCTCCCTGTTGTTACCAATTTCATGCTGTGTTCCTCGTAAATATCGCAGACTGAATAGGCTACATTTTTGCCTACTTTTTGACAAACTGCATGCACTAACAAAGAATCATTTAATTTTGCAGGACTTATAAAAGACAAACCCAATTCAATACTAAAATATGTCAATATCTTATACCTCACTGTCCTTGAGAGATTTTTATCTCCTCTTAAAATAGCAATGGTTGTTGCACAATCCAAAATAGTAGCTAATGCTCCTCCATGAACTGACCCATTCATATTCATTATAGTTTAAGGTACTTTATATCTCAAAACCAAATGATTTGAATTTCTTTCTAATACATGTCCTGGAAGGAATTAAAATGCTGAATAAAAGTGTTCCGCAAATGTATTCTTCAGAATGGGAATTTACACAAATCTCTTGAAGATATCTCCAAATTCTTTATGTACCATTTATGAAAATAAAAATTATTATTTTTATAAAGTCAGTCAGTCAATCTCCACTTGTTAAATAGAATATTAGTTAATCTTGCTTTCTTAATTGGAGTTTGCTTTCTCTATCACTTACAAGACCTACTTTGTTCAATTCTGTTTCTACCTCTTATCCTTGTTGAACAACTTCAATAGGAATTCCTAAATGGTCATTTCTGAATGATCCTAAGATGTTCATTGTGCTATAGCATACCTATTTCACATGCCTCATAAACAAATTAACATGCCACTGTATCAACACCAGCACATCTGCAATCTATCAAATGCAAATATGGATGAACTAGATAATCATTCAAATTTGGTCTCTATTTTGCATAATCTATACCCACCCAATCAAAGAACAGATTTTAAATTGGACAAATGCATTCTTTTGATAATTCAATAGAGGGCTCTTCAAATTCAATTGTGTCTGGATCAATGAATGTCATTTTGTTATAAAAATTGATTGCTATCTTAACACAATCTCCAGTCAAAATGGGTTGTATGTTCATTACTTGAGTTATACTCTCGAAATTATGTTTGGTTTATTCTCTGGCAATCCAAATGAGTCTCTTTGAATTCTGCGGCAACACATCAAATTTATACTAACTTCTGTATTTGTGATTATATTTGAAAGCAATAGTAATGCATTTCCCATTGAATCCATTCATGACTTCTGAGATTATGGTTCTATCCCATCTAAATAATTTCTTAGTTTTAGTACTGTCCACCCAAAAGCTTGTCTATAAGAAATCACTATTCTTAAATGAAAGCATATGCAAATGCGCTTTGATAAATCGATTATCTAAATCCTCAAGCCATTCTTTCAATGTTTGGTGAAATCCTACATACCACTGTCCAGAAACCAGAATCAGGTGTGTAAAATCTGCAATCAAGAACGCAAGAATATTACGACGTATTCTATCCTAGCCCTATTTAATAAAGAGAAATCGAGTAAGCACATCAGTAGCTTCCTAATGTTGAAGAACTCGAGCCATCATTTTTGGAATAGTGGCCTTTTTGCTTTCCTTTCGCTGCATTATATATATATTATATTTATAAATCATTTTAAACCATTAATATGTACTTTGAGCACAATTTCAGTATAATTTTTGATACCTTAGGTTCAGAATTCAATTAATGATACTGTTTAAGAGACTTCATTGAAGTCTCAACATGCGATATTTCTTTAGCTAATAGTTTATAAACACAAAATTATTATAAATTATATATAACACCCATTCAATAAATTTATTCATATTTATTAATATGTAAAAAACGATTTTAGCTTTGCTGATTGTTATGTGTACAGCACTCCAAGTGCAAGAGCTACAATAGGCCAATAAATAATTCGATAAGCTATCTTAAGACTCTCCTGTTGGAAAATTCTTAATGGATTTGGCTTAAATTCATGCAGAAGTGCAAGGACCATTGGATGATTTAAAAGAAACAATTGAAAAATTTTATGAGAATTTGCAAGATAGTCTCTCTCAATTGGATGGCGAATTTCAATCCAAATAAGCAATTCATTTGAAGTAGTTTAAATAAATCAAATAGGGTTCTTTAAAATTATGAATCTAATTAATAAGATGCTTAAATCGACATTGCTTAATCACAAGATCAATTAGACAATGTATTGTCAAGAAACAAGGAAAACATTGAGAAGAGATTGAAATAGATCCAATAAAACATCAATGACAATAGATCAAATATTCAAAGAGACAAATTATAAAGAAATCAGTAAAAGGATTAGAATGTTGAGCATATCCATGAGCATCAATAAGCAACTACATCAATCGATGAAGCATTGTCTCTGGTGTAAGGTTTGAGCAGTGGAAACATTGCCTTTGTTGAAGCCCCAATGAAAAAGACTCTGGATTATATTAAATAGAAAGTGAACTCAAGAGAGGAGTATGCTCCATTGGTGGATGCATTGATTAGTTTATCTGGAACCTAAGATACTAAATAAATCAAAGAATTGTTGAATAAATTGAGAAATTAGATTGTGGATTCAATGATTCAATTGACAGGAGATGAAAATGATGCTTAGAAAATGTTTGAGGATCGTTAAAAGTAATTGGATTCAGAATTCTCAGTAATTTGCAATTTAAATTCGATAGGAATTCTAAAATCAAGTGAATTAAGCAACCTACGATTTGGCATCTATTTCAGCTAGAATTGATTAGGAGAAGGAATTCACAAAGCAGAGACAAAGTGATTTAGACATGTACAATAGCTAAATTGGTATTTAATGAGTTAATTTAAGAAATGGAGAACAACAATTTCGCTGCAATTACTGGATTATACAATGAGATTAGATCTGTGAGATTGAAGGAGTTAAAGATTGCTGAAGATGCTAAAAAGTATGGAATTAATTCATTATATTAAGTTTCGCTTATTCATCACAATTTAGAGAGTTGTTGCAATCAAAATTGAACAAATGAATTTATATATATATATATTGATATATAATAAATCATATTAACGATGGTTTTGGTTCAGTATTGTATTGCTAGGGGGATTGAATTAGATGTATCGATCTAGAAGGTGTTCTAGTTATAATTTATTTCTTTGATGAGGTTGGTGTTTGTGGAGTGTCAGATATAGCTTCATCATATAATTTGGACAGTTCTTCAAATTGTGACTTTAAGTTCTATTGTTTGAGACGAATCTTTTCAAACAAATTGGGTGAATGAGCAATATAAGAGTTATTGTTTGATAGATTGATTTATTTATGCAAAGTCTTAATAGATTCTGTTTGATCATCAATAATCTATTACAAATTGTAGGTTCTGATTTCATATTATTCTTTCAAATCCTTCAATTGCTTATCTTTATGCTCTATCATTTTCTGTTGTTCCTTAGTGTAGGCTTCGAATTATTGTAATCTGGATATAATTTTATCCTTTTCATCTAGTTACTCATGCAATTCATCGATTTCAACTTTTTAACAGACCTGCAATTTCTATAAAGCTATCTAGAGTTCTTCAATGTCTTTTTATTATTTAGCATTTTACTACTTTAGTGTTTCGATTTCTTGATCTTTTTTGAGGCTTTCTTTGTTATCAGGAATGAAATGAGATTGTTATAATTAAGAAAATAAGGAGTGCTGACTCTCATTGACTTCTTCGATTTTACCAAGATTCGACCTCTCGAATTGGCTCATTGAATAAGTAAGTTGACTATTCTGTACAGCTGATGTATTGTAAGAGACAGTCTCCTCATCCGGTATTACACTATTGATTTTCTTTTGTAATTGAGAATAAGTCATGAAGTCTCCTTTTTTGATTGGAGAAGTGTCAGTTATTTTGGTTGGATGCTACTCTTCTATTTCCTCTTCAGAATTAACTTCACTCATTAATAAATTTTATTTTCTTATTTCATTAAGTTTAATTTCTTAAGACAGAATACAATTAAGATTATCTTATTTATTTACGTTAAATATAAATTATAAAATTCACCCCATGTCCCAATATCCTCAAACTCAGAGACAATAACGATCAGTAACTAATGTGAACAATGTTTCCTTTGCCGGATCTCAATTTAGCAATGTAATTGCAATTTGAAATAAGTCTAGCAAAAATAAAGTGAAGCTTCACTTTCCCCAATGAAAAATCAAGAATTTGTTAAACCGAAAACACAAAGAGTCTATAAAACATAAACTATGAATTCCATGCCTACAATGTAAGGAATTCCGACAATGACAGGAATCCCAAATGCATTCACAGTATAATAAAATTGTGTTGCTGCTCAACCATTATGCATGAACATTATTGTAGTTTCTAAAGAAGAAATCGAAATGCCTTGGAGACTTGAATGCGAGTATTTGCAATCACTAATTACTGAACTTCAAAATAAATAATAGGGCAAATCTGTTTAAATTGTAGAGAAAACAATAACGGACAACTCAAGAGTCGAATTGTTAGAATCATAACTCAAAGAATTAAGAAGATAGAATGAATCCTTATAGTATGAATTGCATACATCCAAAATTAATTATGAAAGAGAATTACAAAGAATAAATAGCACATTTGAACTTAGGAGTGCCTAAGTTGAAGATATTGCATAAAAAGAAAGCGAATTCTATCTCATTAGAATCAAACTAGAAGATCAAATATCCTAATTGGAAAGTAAAACGAAATAATAAGAATTATAATTGAGAAGATCATCTGATGAAAATGTTAGATTACAATAAATAATTAAGTAATTAAATTTCAATATTGTAGTTCTCGAGAAACTGAAATCAATTCTCTTAGAATCTAAATTACTTCAATTTAATCTAACACTAATTCTAGCGAACTTGTTAGAATCAGAGAATTGGAAACACAAATTAGGTACTTAAACTAAGAAATTGATAATGTGAATGCAAAGCTTATTAATTCCAATAATGAAAATTAGCAATTAAGAATCCAAATCTAAAATCTAGATTATAAAACAGATTAATAAAATAACGAACTAATACTTAAATTACGAGAATATGAAAGCAGAACTACAATGCTTACATCCGAAATCGAGCGTCTTATTTATTCAATCAAATAAAAAGAAATTGAATTGGAGGAATGGAAGTCTCGATATTAGTAATTAGAAATGTCTGGATCCTCTGTTTTCTAAGAAAAAGTAGAATACCTATCCTAAGAAGTTGAAGTTTGGAAATCTAAATTCATCAGAGCAAATCATGAATTCAATAGATGCTAAGAGGAAATCACTATGTTGTAGGCTGAATTAGAATCATTGAAAAAACAAAGAAAAGTATCATAAACAATCATTAATTTTAGTAAGAATTAACAATTACTTCGAGAGTAGTTACTAAATAAGCAACAACAACTTAAAATAGTGGTTATAAATAATACTAACAGTGAATATATTAATGATATTCAATATTAAAAATCAGATTACTATTCATCTTACATTTAAACATCTGAAACATCTGGATGTGGTGACTAGTATGGTCTATCATTCACTCTTTCAAAGCATTTAGAAATCTTAGGATTCGATAATGGTGATGGGTTCATCTAATCCAATTCATCATAAACACTTCTTATAAAACTAATCATTTTAGACTTATTTTTACTTCTTTAATCCATCTGAAGCACTTTGTCCTGATTCTGCAACCAAGTTTTCAATAAATTCAACAATGTTGTTTAATACTTAATCGTTCTCTGCTTTCAACGCTAATCTTATACTGTTTGCAAATATTTTATCATGATTTTCAATCTATACTTCTGCTTTAAATTATAAATCAAGCAATTGTTTTGCTAAATCATTAGCATACAATAAAATAGTGGGATCACTCAATCCCAAATAAACATATTCTTTTGTTACCTTAGCAATCTATTCACATGATTCCATATTCTATATTTTGAAGTCTGTATTTTAGAAGCACCAATGTAGCAATTCAAAATGACCTAATGGTAGATTTAACAACTTCTATGTATTGAGCTATAAGATAATAATCAATTTATTACTAATTCAACTAAATGCAATAGGATAGAAAATGAAACTTATTTTACATATTAAGAGTTGATATTTAATTTGAATTTAAAGCTTTTATCAGAAGGGATAAAGAAATCATATTCATCTGGCTAATCTTGACTAAATAAAGCCCATTGTCTTGACTCTTGAGATACTTCAAGAATGATCTTTACGAACAATTCTAATAAGATTTTGCTATCTCCCAATAAATCCACGATATGAATCAAGGATTGAGTCATAAGGATATCTGAATCTATAGGTAAGGAAGCTATTTCTATTCCTTTTGAAAAATGATTAACTTATGCTTTTAAGTCAGAAATAATTCTGTCATTTTCAATGGAAAAGAACTTCTATCCCTGTTAAGGAGACTTAATTAAATTTTAGTAATTTGGTGTTTTGATAACTGCTCTAATCATTTCACTAAATAATATAACACATAGACAACGATTTTGCCACCATCTATTCTTGGCCAAAGCCATGACATGTTTATCAATTTTCACTTAAGAATTAGCTTTAGCTGCATTGCATAAAATTGCTAAAGCACTTGAACTCAAAGATGTTGAGGATGATGAAAAATAGATATAACCAAATCGTTTCATTTCAGCCCACAATTCTGATGATTCTTATTCAAAACTTGAAAAGACAGCCAAACATTACATAAAATGTTCTACTGATAAATTCGACTTCATTGTTTAGATAACCTACTATTTAAACATAGGTTCTTAAAAGGAACATATCATTTAAATTAGTAATTATTTCTTTTCAAAGAAGACACTCTATTTTATTAGAATACATATTTCTGGTAAAAAGAATTCCAAGAATAGGGATCTTGTTTTCAAAGCATCCTTTTATAATGATCTCGCACCAAATTGATTAACCAAATCTATACAAACATGAACTCTTTAAACTGGTAAATTTTAGATACATTAAAAAGTAAATTTAAAAAATTTCCATACTTCATTCGTATCTTTAAATATGAAATTTATATATGCTTCTTTCTAAGTTATCAATTCTTAAAAGAATCCATTGACAAAATCATCAGGATATATATCAATTAAGTCTATAAAGCTTTATAAAGCTGTTGCATTCTATTTGAATTAAACTGTTTATACAAACTAAGGAAATTATTATCTTTATGATAGAGCTTCATTTAGAATCTAAATATGTCTAAAATTCATACATCATAGATGGATTTATCTAATTGTTTTTCTCTTGTTGATGTGGCTTCCCTCTTGTTTTCATCCATCGGCGTTTTTTAAAAGGAATCCTATATCTGTCTATCGTTGTTTGAATTCAGCTTTTCCTATTGCTTTTCTTACTATTATTGTTCCTCTTTCAACTTCAACAAACTCCCTTAAACAGGTCTGTAACTGATATTTTTGACTTCAATTTAGTAGTTTAGGTTCTCTAAATTTTAACTGATTGGTTTGCTTGGAACTCTCATAAAATTAGTTCTTTTAGATGAAACCGACAATGGAGCATGTTTTTCAGAAAGTTATTCTTTTTAGAATTAATCTTCCTGTTTCTGCTCTTCTTGCAATTTCTCTATTCCCTTTTCTTTTAATAAGAATGTCTATGTATTTTGGGTTGATGTAGCAAATTCTTTAGAATTCACATAAGATGCCAAAGGAGGATTGATAACCCTTATTTAAACAAACTCAATACTTTCTTTAAGTTAAGAAACTATAAATGCTCACTAGAAAGTTATAAAGTGCATTCCAATCATTATCTAAAATCTCAGCAAATCCTTTATGATTCGGAACCACTATATCATTCTTTTTAAAGAAGAGCTCTAATTGCTTATAATTGTTCAATCTTCTTTCATCTTTTTGTGAATTATCAAAAGAGTGCATTTAAACTCTGCCAGGATAATAACGAGAAAATATTTCAGCTATCAAAAAACCATTACTCAAATCTCTATATAAGTTATCAATAATAGTCTATACCTCCTAGGATCTTTAACCGAATAACTTAAATCAAGCCCTTGAATCCATTTGATAATCTCTCTCGGTAATGCTTTTCCTACAGGTTGAAATGTTTGAGTATTTGAGTTAGAACTCATAAATTTTATTAATATTTTATTATATATGTTAGATTTTGATCAAGAATCAAATAATGAATGAACTTTACTGTTACATAGTTTAGTGACTCTATAATATGTTCAAATAAGATACTTTACATATTAGAGCTAAATATTAAGATCCTATAAATTGAATATTTTAAAGAATTTTTTGTTGATAATGACTAAAATTCTCATTATTCATACAAAAATAAATGGTATGAAGAATCTCATTTTTAGAAAAAAACTCTCCTTATTGATGACAATCTAATATACTAAATCTTAAATAAGTAAAAATTCATAGATTGTAATCTTTAATAACTCTTTCAATTATTTGTTTAGAGATTGGTTTAACTAAAAACTCTTTGATTCCAACATTTTAACTTTGGTTTTTGAGTATATTTTCATCATACCCAGATGTGATAAATATTTTCATTTGCAAATTAATCTGTAATATCTAAATTGAAGTCTATATACCATTCAAGCCTGGCATTTCCATATCCATAAATACGGCCTTATAACCTAAACAAGATTCACAACATTTTTTTGATTTAACATAATCTAGTGCATCAGTACCATTAAAAGTTTTGTCAATCTAAGTACTTGTACTAATTTTAATATAAAATTATATTACAATTGCTTAATCTGCATTTCTAATACTTATTAATTAAATACATTATCATCAACTATCAGAATATGTTTACATTTGTTATGATTATCTTAAACTGCATTTTTATTCTCAATAGATTGTGAGATACTTTAATATTCACCATTTATATTTATTTTTTGTTATTATTATTAAGTCTAGGCTTTCTGATTATTTAATAGAATTTCATTTAAGCATGGAGTATATTCATCTATCAAGTCTATTTATTAAGGTTTAACACAAGAACACTTATGGTGTAATTATTGAATTCTTAAAGTTAAATAAAAGTAAGATCCATGCTTAGCTTAGGAAGTATCTTGAGAAATTACCTTCAATCCAGAGTTATCATGAGATAATTATTGAGCTAATTTGTTACTTATCAGAAGACCCAATCCAACTCCTTGTTCGTTTAGATTCTCAGAGAGTCCTTCTTTAATTTTACCAAAAGCTTTGAAGAGCTTTGTTAAATTATTTTAGGATATTCCAACTCCTGTGTCTTCAACTCCAGCACTTACTAATAATCCTTATTAAACAAACTTAATTGATATGGCTCCTTTTTAAGTAAATTTTAGAGCATTTGCNATATAAGTTATCAATAATAGTCTATACCTCCTAGGATCTTTAACCGAATAACTTAAATCAAGCCCTTGAATCCATTTGATAATCTCTCTCGGTAATGCTTTTCCTACAGGTTGAAATGTTTGAGTATTTGAGTTAGAACTCATAAATTTTATTAATATTTTATTATATATGTTAGATTTTGATCAAGAATCAAATAATGAATGAACTTTACTGTTACATAGTTTAGTGACTCTATAATATGTTCAAATAAGATACTTTACATATTAGAGCTAAATATTAAGATCCTATAAATTGAATATTTTAAAGAATTTTTTGTTGATAATGACTAAAATTCTCATTATTCATACAAAAATAAATGGTATGAAGAATCTCATTTTTAGAAAAAAACTCTCCTTATTGATGACAATCTAATATACTAAATCTTAAATAAGTAAAAATTCATAGATTGTAATCTTTAATAACTCTTTCAATTATTTGTTTAGAGATTGGTTTAACTAAAAACTCTTTGATTCCAACATTTTAACTTTGGTTTTTGAGTATATTTTCATCATACCCAGATGTGATAAATATTTTCATTTGCAAATTAATCTGTAATATCTAAATTGAAGTCTATATACCATTCAAGCCTGGCATTTCCATATCCATAAATACGGCCTTATAACCTAAACAAGATTCACAACATTTTTTTGATTTAACATAATCTAGTGCATCAGTACCATTAAAAGTTTTGTCAATCTAAGTACTTGTACTAATTTTAATATAAAATTATATTACAATTGCTTAATCTGCATTTCTAATACTTATTAATTAAATACATTATCATCAACTATCAGAATATGTTTACATTTGTTATGATTATCTTAAACTGCATTTTTATTCTCAATAGATTGTGAGATACTTTAATATTCACCATTTATATTTATTTTTTGTTATTATTATTAAGTCTAGGCTTTCTGATTATTTAATAGAATTTCATTTAAGCATGGAGTATATTCATCTATCAAGTCTATTTATTAAGGTTTAACACAAGAACACTTATGGTGTAATTATTGAATTCTTAAAGTTAAATAAAAGTAAGATCCATGCTTAGCTTAGGAAGTATCTTGAGAAATTACCTTCAATCCAGAGTTATCATGAGATAATTATTGAGCTAATTTGTTACTTATCAGAAGACCCAATCCAACTCCTTGTTCGTTTAGATTCTCAGAGAGTCCTTCTTTAATTTTACCAAAAGCTTTGAAGAGCTTTGTTAAATTATTTTAGGATATTCCAACTCCTGTGTCTTCAACTCCAGCACTTACTAATAATCCTTATTAAACAAACTTAATTGATATGGCTCCTTTTTAAGTAAATTTTAGAGCATTTGCAATAAGATTGACTAGGATTTATTTAAGTCTATTTCTGTCTGTTTTTATTTGGAGACATTTCACATTTGAAATAGCATTCAATTTAATATTTTTTAATTCTGCTTGAAGTTTAAACATCTATAAACACTCTTCTCCTAATTCAGTTAGATTAAATGTTTTTTAGATTAAACTAAATTAATCTGCCTTAATTTAAGCTAAATCAAGTAAATCGTTAGCTAAATTTAACATATAATTAGAGTTTTCTAATACAATTGAAATATTCTGACAGATATAATCAAAATTGCTCAGCTATTCTTTAAGTCTACTTAAAATATTAATAACTACATTTAGCGGAGATCTGAATTCGTGACTTACAAAAGCTAAAGTTTTAGATTTAGATTGATTAATTTGAAGAAGTTCCTTGATATTCTTTCTATGAATAACATCTCTAGCGATTATGAATAATAAATCTTGACTTGCGATTGAAATACTTATTTCTATTGATCTTTTTGTATTCTCAATCTCAAAACTTGTTTCAACAACCAACACAGGTGCATTTTCAGCAGTTTCTCTTCTGAGTTTTTTTGCGCCAAACACATAAAGCAAACATTTATAGACAGTGTTAGCCTAAATCATTTATGAAATAATACTTAACTAGTCATTGATCTATATCTTGGAGATTGACCTTATTCGATATTTCTTAAAGTTATCTGTTAATCTTAAGAATAATATTTAAAGAAATTCATCTTTGAATTTTTAAGATATTTTTTTTATTGTTAATTCAGACTTTACAATGAAAATTAGGAATCTCTAGAATGAAGTGGAGATTCATCAGTAAGTATTTCACAAGGCAACTATTCAAAAAGGGTCAATAAATCATGGTTGTTTTTTTGAAAAATCTTTTTGCTGATTTAATTTTAATATTCAATTCTAGGTTTTGAGATAGAAACATGATCAAATTTTTCAAATTAAACTATTATTACACCTTCAGAGAGGACATCAAATAATAAACTATAATCAATTTGAGAGAGCGCATCATTTATTTGAATATGTTATTGCTTATCTGTACTTATAAAACTTAAATCTCGGATCATGGTTCTTTTGGGATTTATTTTCGATTGAGTTTAGCGAGCAGTTGTATTTTGGAATGTTTCAAAAGGACTGTCCTAACATCCATTCACAGTTGAATGATTCGGCTTATTTATTTAAATGATATTTTTTTAAGGGAGTAACCATATTAAAAGCAGCATATATAATTTTTGATTTGCAATTACAATATATTATTAATTGTTCTAAAGTGAAATGCTACTTTTTAAATTTAATTAATATGAAAAACTCAAAAGAAGTATTAGAAAAAAAAAAATCCTAAAAGTCCTCCATATTCGACTATTAGTTAAGCTTATCTTGATATCTGTCTGATTATGCACAATTTCTATATAAAAATAAATCTGATAAACATTCTCTACACCATACATAAATGATTCTACTTAAAATAAAATAATATCCATTAAAATAAGAGCAAGTCTCATTTCTGTTTAGAATAAGCTTCTCTTTTTACAACACAATAATTCCAAACCTAGCTAGACTAACAAAATAATCATCAAAAAGTTAATATATTCATTCTTTAAATCCTAATATTAGATGACCACTCTTATAAATTGAAAGAGTAAAGAAATAATCATTGAAATTTATAGTTTGTTAGAACTTGATTAGTTTATCGGCATAGTCAAATTTAAATATAGTTTAATATATAAATAAGAAATTAAAATTTATTTTTTCCCATTTAAAGCATTAAATTGTTTTTCAAGAAAAATATTAATTTTAGGGTAACCTTATCGGTGGTGTTAAGTTCCCAATTCTTTTTATAATAAATAAAATTTTATTTTTTTTGTAATGATTATGTTGTCCTTATTATTTACGATGTAAAGTCTACAGAATAGTAATAACTCCACATACAGAAGATATTCATATAATAAATGACTTTTTTTGCAAATGTAAACTTTACAATTTTAATGTCTTTCATAAAATTTTTAAAATAAACATCGAATAATAATTATATAAAAAACATCTCTTTTTCTAACTTTGAGTGAGAGGTAGTTCTAATTACAGTATCTACTTTTCATTAGAACATTCGAAATATTACCTAATAATACTCAAATGTATTATCATGTTAAATTTTATACATTTCTTTGGGTATCATCTTTTGGGATAAAGATAAATTAACCATAAAGTATTATTTAGATGATTAGATAATTTGCCATTGTTTTCTGAAATATTTTCGAACAAATCATTTATCAAATTATTTTATATTTTGCCATACAATAACTAAATTATCAAAAAGATTAGACACCTGGCCAAATTGTAATTATTTTCCAACAACTTTTCCACTTTATGGCTTATTAACCTATGTAACAAAAACTATAAGGATTAAAAATTTTCAAATTAGCCTTACTTTAGGAATTATATTATTATTCAGAGACATTATTTTTGATATTAATAAAAAGTATCAAGATTTCAAAATTACTAAAATATTGATTCTTAATACATTCCGCCTCTGTAATTGTAATTTTTTATTAAATTAGACAATAACATTTAACTATTGATCTATAATTTAGAATGATGTTTTATTTATTTTCATCAAGTATAATATTGCAATTATTCAATTTATTATTTATATAATTATTTATTAATTTAGATTAGATTCTTAATGACGTTTATCATAATGTAATTTCATTATTATCGATCTTATCTATAATTTATATATAAGGCATTATTTTAATAATATTCAAAATCAACATGGTAACATGTTATTTAGCTCTTTTTTTTACTTTATTAATTCCTTGTTTTTGTTTACCATTTCTCTCACTTTTTTTGATTTAGGATGAGAAAGATCTCCTAATTAAAGAGACCAATTTTGTTGATCTATAGGTTAGGGATCATCATTAAAATATGAATAAAGTTAATCCTTAATTTAAGATGGCTTAATTGGCAGGCTAATTTCTTCATTTTCTGGATTTCTATTTTGAGTTTCAAGATTTTAAGTTTGCTATTATTGTTCATCTTAATCAACATCATTTTTAATGAAATCAGGGAATTACTATTATGCAGCAGTCTCCAAATACTTATTATCTAATACTGGATCAGATCTGATTTCTTATCCTGATTCCAAGGCATCTGGTAGATTTGATTATTGACTTTAGGATTCAATGTTCAACTTTAAATGGCTAAGAGAAGTGCTTTTAGAGATGGCTAAGTTATACTTTGAAGGATCCTTAATTTGGGTAATACTGATTACATACTTTAATTCGCTTTAACATCCTTTATTGGACTCTGTGGTCTTACATTTTAAAGTCATCAGCAATTATATTTTCTTTCTTAATTTTTTCATCAATAGCAGCCGTCATCATCTATTAGACTTATTTATTACTATCCATTTATTAGATGAATTATATGTTGTTTTTGATTTATTCCTTTTGCACATGTTGTTATTAAATTTATTTGGATTCTTGTTTGATTTCTGCTCCAAACATTTTATTCACATAGGGTTTCATCAATAATGCTTGAATTTTATTGGTAAAAACAGTGTATCTTTCAGATTTGATAGAAGAATAGTGCTCTACAGCTTACTAGATTAGTAGATCAGATTACACTATATAATTATAATAGCTCTTAAATTTCTTCTTTTGAAGCAGCATTTGATTCAACATCTAATTCTAAGTTTAAGACTTTCTCTGCAAAGTTTGAGGGGAGTTTAGGTTATTGTGCTGGCTGTTAAGCTTTATTAAATAACCAAGACATAAAAAATATAAAATTTAATCAAAGCTTTTGATTAAGTAGTATCTCAATGAATTCTTTTTCTGTTATTTCTCCTTCTGCCTTGCACTCAGTCAGAATCTATTGCCAAAGTTCCTCATCAATGCTCCCAATCATAAGTTCCAATTCTTCTTTCGATATTTTCCCATCATCATTCGCGTCGAATATCTTGAAGGCAGCCTTAACTCGTTCAAGCGAAACCAGTTTTTCTTGATTCATCGCTGCCATTAAAAATTCTAGTATAATTAAATAGACTATTACCTGAGAAATCAACTTATCCGCTTTAATTGAGATCCACAATCTAAAGAATCTTATTGACTTCTTTGATTGCCAATTCCTTATCCTTTAAGACCAAAGCATAACCCTCTATAAGTTCATCCTTTGACAGAATCCCATTCTTATCTTAATCCAAAGTTTGGAATGTCTTAACTAATTCGTCTTACTCCTATTGAGAGGTCATCTGACATGCTATATAAGAAAGAACGGCTTAAGTAAAAATAGATTTAGCCTAATGAGTTCAAAAATTAAATTACTTGGAATTTTTGTAAATTTTATAACACTATTTAATTGACTTTTTCATTTAAATTGTGTTTATCAATCCACGGATCATGCAAGGCTTGTTTTGCTGAGATTCTTTAATTTGGATTAACTTGCAACATCTTGGTAATCAAATTTTTAGCTTCTTCCGAAATAAAGCCCCAATCTTCCTCTAAACTAATTTTGAATTATTAATTACAATCAAATTTAAATTTGCCCTCACTCACTTTATGCATTATATCTTTTTCTGTTTTTCCAGTAAATGGAGGATATCCACATAGTAAAATGTACAGGATGACACCACAAGACCAAACATCGCATTTTTCATTATAATCTTATTTTAAAACCTCTGGTGCTATATAATAAGCCTATAATTTAACGATAAACTTACAGTTCCTAGCTTTTTGGTCATTTTCTTTTCTGTATCATATTTTCTGGAAGTTCCAAAATCAATAACCTTTAAGGGTGAATTAGAGGACTCATTGGTAAATAAAATATTTTCAGGTTTTAAATCTCTATGAACAATTTTTTATTCATGACAATAAACAACGGCAAGTAAGATTTATCGAATAAATTCGGCAGCTTTTTTTTCACTAAAGTATGACATTGATTTGATTCTATCAAATAATTCACCTCCTGATAAATATTCTGTTATCAAATAGTAGTTCTATTAATCTTAATATAATTCATATAGCTTGACGATGTGAGGATGATCTAAATTTTTTAAAATGTTCATTTCTGCAAATAGTCGTTGTTGTTCTTCAACGATTAATGAACTTTTTTTTAATTGTTTCATAGCTCTAATCATTCCTAGAATTCATAAATTTAACTACCAGTATTTTTATGAGTAACCTTCCAAACTTTGCCATAAGCACCTTAACCTAAGACTTCCCCAGTTGTATAATACTTGTGAATACTTCCTTACTTAAGATTCACAAAAACATCAGCTCCTAGCTTTACTGTTCCAATAGAAGAAACAGTTAACTTTTTCTTAATGCCATACTTGGGCAAAGCTACATTATTAATATATTTATTACTATCAACTTTACTTTCTGATTGCTAAAATACTTTACATTATTATCCTGTCTAATCATCTTAAGGAGTCAAACCCTAAGGAGATTCTGCAATGACTTCAAAGTCTTCATATTGTTCCTTTATCTCTTGAACATTGTCCAATCCAACATATTGATCATTGTTCACACTTTTCTTAGATAATGTATGTAGACTCCCTTTCACATCTAATACTATTTCGTTTGTTATCTGTTTCTATGGATATGAACAGCACGAAGCTCCCATCTTATAATAATATTTTTAATAAATAATTGAAACATCATAATAGTTAATAATTCACCCCATCATTGATTTCCTCAAATATTTCATTGAAAAATTCTTCTTTAATGCGTGTGCTGCTCTGAGATCCATCTATTTTGGTATTGACATAGTAGTTATTTTCGATTTAATCAAGGATTCTCTTTTCATTTAGCTTTGGCTTTGTTTTTCCTTAACTTAATCTTACCATTCGACATTTCTTTCATACATAGGTTTTCTTCTGTCAAATATATCTTGAGTCGTTTTGAGAATTTTGGGTGAGAAAGTGCACTCGATCAATTCTTATTCAAGTTTCAGTGTTTGTGAATCCACATTCAGAGCTCCTTCTTTATTAATGTTTCTTGTAGAATGATTTATTTAAGAGACATTTAATCTAGCAGATAGTAGACGAGATGTTTATGATAATTGAGGTTGAAAAGTGCATTTCTTTTTGAATTCCTCTTCCAATTTAAGTGACAGATAGTCTTATTTCTCTTGTTTATGCTTTAAAAAATTTATTCCTGATTGATACATATCACTATTTGGTCGAACTCTCTATGATTTAATCTCGTTTTAACTGATTAATTCAGATCCTGAAAAGTATTTTTATTTGAGATATTTTTGCTTATTTAATGATGATATCGTATGCTTTTCATGAAAATTTGATGTCGACAATAAGCTTAAACTAGCCTCATCATAAATATTGATATTCATTAATTAAAATATTATTATTCAATAGAGGCAAATTAGATGATACATATAATTTGAAGAAACATGATATCTCCATTCTATGAAAAGGGATTACTTAAAGAAACGCAAACAATTTTGTAAGAAATAAATAAATCAAATCTGGTTATGTAATTTAAGAACATTCGGTATTAAATCTATACTCACTTATTAAATACAGTTAGTACTAACTAGCAATTATTTTGATGAATGAATAAGAAATTAACGTTTTGAACATAATGATAATAATATATGATTTTTATCATTATTTTGCTTGGTAGTTGTAGTTTTCCATTTAATTATATTTCATATATATTTTATGTAATGAATTGCAATCAAATTTTGATAGAACTTAAATTGAATTGACATATGAAATAATTTTTGATGATTGCTATCAATAAGTAGTAGTATTGTACCAAAATTAATGTATTCTAAGTTAATTAGTCTATACTGATTGTAGAGAGTGTGAATATTAATTGTCTAACTGATTATTCGATAATATTTTATACATCTAGAGTGTAGAATTTAATAACGAATTTTTTATATTTATCGTGCTTGTAGAGTGGTTCAATTGTATTATAATTTTGGTTTAATAAATTTAAGATTAATGGGGAGGGCTGGGTATAAATATTAGGTTTCTTAATTGAACTTTATTATGAATAATTATATATATTAAATCAAAAAACAAAAAGAATAGATGACAACTACTCTTCCTTTTATATCGAAGAATAAGAACTAGTATTGAATTTAAAAATAGTAGTGTGGAAATGAAGGCAGTAACTTGGTAAAAGGACTCTCATGGACTCTTTGATTATGAGACCAAATCTTTAAGCGTTAAAAAGCATAGAGTCGAAGGATCGTGTAAAGTCTGCAGAGAAGGTTTGATAAGTCGATTTATAATTAGACAACGAGATAGTTATTTAGGAAGGCAAAAATAAAGATGAAGCACACATGCCATTAACATCCATATAAGCTTAAGGAGGTAATATTAAAAATGATTTTGAGACTAATATTTTATATCACCTAATCAAAGTTCAACAGAGAATGACAATTATTTGATTGTTCGTAGTTTAAAAAATGCAGATGGAGTGTAGAAGGTACGAATCTATATTTTATACGATAGGGTTACACTTTATAGGAAGGGGACTTGTTGAAATTGGGTAGAGTAGAGTATCATGTCATTGAGATTCGAGATGCAAAGGGATAAATCAGATCAGTGAAGGACGTTTTCTAGTCGGAAGCAAAGTTGGCCCCACCATTGGAAGGTGGTGTTGCTAAACAATGCAAAATATGTTTGCTAGAGGAGGAAACCCCCGAAGATCCCTTTATAACACCTTGCAAATGTAATGGAAGTTGTGCCTATGTGCATTTCAATTGTCTCAAACATTGGTTGGACAGCAGGGGATATAAGAAAGAGTCTGGCAACACAATTTCTTACAGATGGAAAAAGTAATCACAATTAATTCTAAAATTGTAGATTAGAATGCGAAGTTTGTTAGGAATTGCTGCCTTAACAAATAAGATTCAAAGGGAAGGTACTGGATTTGGCATCTCTGGAAAGGCCCAATCAACCATATATTATATTGGAAAATACACAAATTTCTGAAAAGGATAAGAAGGCTCAAAGAGGAATATATTTGATAAAAGGGACAGCTGATGATTAGGTGAAATTGGGTCGTGGTCATCAATGTGAAATTCGTATATCAGATATCTCAGTGTCAAGACTTCATGCATTTATTAAATATGAGAAAGGCAATTTTGTTATCATTGACAACAACAGTAAGTTTGGTACTTTAGTTCGATTATCAACACCATATCTTATCTGTATGGATAAAATTGCAATTCAAGTATGATTAATGATTTAGAGACTTTTAGGTTGGAAGAACAGTGTTGACATTTGTTATGAAATCTTTTTCAAGTTTTAATACAAATACTCATGCTGGAATTGCAGCTCTACACAATGGAGAATAAGGCAGAATAATGGTTTAGACTGGGTTTTAAGCAGGTAGTAACAAAACCTAGTCGATTAACAATAACTAAAAAAAGCATGACAAGCACACTGGATAATGATATTTATTTTAAATACAATCTACAAATACACTATATATGACTTCAATCATAATAAACATTCTATCAATCTCTAGGTCATGAATTCAATTCAAAATATCGATGGGAAGTACAGATATTGGGTGTATTTACTAAAATATATAAACACAATCATATAATATACATTTTTTGTAAATAATCAAACAATGTCATTGAAAGACTTTAAGATGTTATCTAAACTAGGTAAATGACATTTACATAATAAAAGGCGATGGCGCTTTTTCAAGTGTTTATAAGGTAAGAAGGATTGAAGATCATCTTGAGTATGCTTTGAAAAAAGTTAATCTTAACAACCTATCTGATAAGGAAAAACAGAATGCCTTAAATGAAGTGAGAATTTTGGCATCGATACGTCATCAGAATATCATTAGCTATAAAGAAGCATTTCTTGACCCAACCAGTAATTCCTTATGGTAAATTATACTTTATTCATATTTCTCTAGTATCATTATGGAACTGGCTTCAGATGGAGACTTGTTATAAAAGATCAAAAAATACATTAAAGCAAATAGTTCCTTTAAAGAAGCAGAAATTTTTCGATATGCTTTTTAACTATTAAACGCTCTGAAATCTCTCCACGAAATGAAAGTGATGCATAGAGATATCAAGAGCGCAAATGTTTTCATGATCAATAACGAAGTCAAATTAGGAGATATGAATGTATCTAAAGTTGCAAAGCAAGGCTTACTCTACACTTAAACTGGCACCCCCTATTATGCCAGTCCTGAAGTCTGGAAAGATCACCCCTACGACTGTAAATCTGATATCTGGTCATTGGGATGTGTTCTCTATGAAATGGCAGCCCTTAAACTTCCATTCCAGGCCGAGGATATGGATGGACTCTTCAAAAAAGTAGTCAAGGGTACTTCTTATTCTTACATTAGGATTCTATCCAAAATTACCAGTTGCTTACTCCTTTGATCTATAAAACCTCATAAGGATGATGTTGTAAGTGTCAACAGCATTGAGACCCACAGCTGCCTAATTATTAGAATTGCCCTTTTTCTAGAAATACAAGTTAAATACTCCAGATTCAACTGCTTAATTACTGAATACTATTTAATTTCCGAAAAACAAGAGTTACATTAACATATTCCCCAAGCCTAATTATAAATTTAAGACTGAATCAACTGATAAAACTGATCTGGAACAAGTGCATCGCAAAAGATAGGCAACGTTGGGAGGCAATGCTTCTATTTTCTCAAATCCCACTAGACTATCTTAATATGAAGAAAGCAGTAACATACTATATCTTAATTTAGATCATTAATCCTAAATACCAATAAAACAAGAACGATTAGATTAAATTTAATTAAAATCGAATCGTCACTCTCTTGTTAAATTACTGTCTGATGGTTCATTGCCTCGTTCTAATAGCAAGGTCAACTCCAATAAAATCATTCAGGACAAGATCAAAAAACGATTGCCCATTCCAAACTTATTAGAGAATATGTCTCCGATACTCTGCAAAAAAAGTGTGAGAGTTGGAAATGATTCTAATTCTACAATGCTACCATAAATTGCTTGAATATTTAGTATTAAATAACTAATTTTAACGAATATATATATATAAAATTAAATTGCCTTAAAATTAATGCAAGAAATTGACTTGTTAAGGTTACATAGAGAAACGCTGAAGTATTTGGAAATCGAAAGCATCTTTAAACGCTTAACACAAACCTTCATCAATAAAATTTACAATCTTGTTAAAGACATTTTTGCTGAAGAACACAAATTCACAATTTAAGTATATTCATAACTGAAAATAGGAATTATTGAAATTGGCTAATTATAAGGAAATTCCTCTCAAAGATTTCAAATTGGTCGAGCACTACAAACTCAATTCACAAATTTTCAAGACCAATCTATAAACTATTTTTACTATTATCATCGACGATCTCTAAAATACATTCAATAAATAAATTATAATTGAGGAAAGATCAATTCTAGAACCCAGATTACTCACTTAAATTGATGAAGAATCCCAAATCTGCTTTACTGAAAACTGTAATGAAATCTCTCAAGAATACTCAAAAACGCAAAGAGATGATGTTAAAACAGAAGAAGCCCCCTTAGTTAATGAAGAATCAAAATAAGTCTAGAAAATCCCATTAGCAAAATTGTTGTCATTCGACAAGATAACTAGTTTATCTGTAGCTAATTCCCCTAGGCATTCCAGAGAAAATAGTTTAACTACTAATACTTTTAGATAATCCAACAAACCAATCTAATAATTGATGCTGAATACTAATAATGGAACGAAAAAACAAACTGTTACTCAACTAGCCAAAAATAAAAGCTTGGAATTAAAGTCCATAGCTGAAACCTTAATAGCTCAAAGCAAAATCAGTCCAAAAGGAAATCAAACTATTATCTTTAATAATTTAATGTCAAAAATGAATAATCTGAAAGAAAATGTATCAAAACTATGAGATTAATTTACTATATATATAATGTTCTTTTAGAAATTTTATTTTATCTTAAGATTATTGTAAAAATGATATCCCCACTTTAATAATGAAATAAAGTATATTCACCATTAAAAATTGCTTTCATTCTTAATATGCTTGAATTGAGTCAAATACATCTCCTATTCATTTTGTTATGTAGTTTCCAATTATATTTTTTAAGATATCATTATATCTTTTAATTTTGGTATCTAATGATAATAAATATAAATTACTAAATCATTAGCTTTTTCAGTATTTTTTTATATTTGAATCTGTCCACCTCCATTCAGACATCCTAATGGACAAGCCATGATTTCAACGTATTTGTATTTACATGTTTTTGTTTTGATTTAAGAAATTAAATTTGCTATATTTTTTAAACCAAAAACACGAGCATAAATGCTTTATAATACCATTTCTTCATTGTAAATTGTAATTTCAATAAAATCTTTGTTCTTCCTAATGTTCTATTTGACAGTCCAATTTGGCATCACAGTACTTTAGATTATATAATCTAAGTAATTGTTTGATGAAATATTATGATATTCTTAAAAATTGATCGCCATAGTTGAAAGTTGAATTTATTGAGGTGTAATCTATGATTTCTGAATGTAATCCTTTATGTATTACTCAATCTCCCTAGTACTCAGAACAATATTGATGTCTTCACTATTTTCTTGTCTGACAGCTTCTAGCTTTTTGTCATAACATGGCATTATAGTAGCAATGTAATCGTGATTTTTCTTAAGGATTGCTCCAAAAATTTGTTATGGACTCTTAACCTTACTCATGTGATTAATTATAGATTCATCCAAGGTCTTTTCAGCATAACACACCCATCCTGGACATTCTGAACAAAGCAATGGTGTTATTTTTGTTTATTTGAACTCTTAAATTGAGTTATTAATAGCTATTTTCACGTACTCACTCATGTCATACAATTTAACATTCAATTCTTAGAATAGTTAATGCAAAATCGAATGCATTTCAGAATCTGTAAAGTTTAATACATAAGATAAGGAGGCTCTTGATTAAGGACTAATCCCAATTGCAGGATTTTGATGTTTTTTAATTGCTTACAAAAACTCATCAAGACTCTAGGTTTAAATTAATATAGTTTCTGCAGTAGTAACACATCCACTGCAAGCAAGACAATCTTGTAAAGAGACTTTAGCAACATTATTCTAATTTTTAATCAAATTAGGTTTTAATTAAATAGAAGGGTCATCAAGTTGAAGTTTTACATTTTTCATAAGTGGTTTGATACATTCTTAACTTGGTATTATGTAGTCACTAACTGAGGAAATTTTGATGGTGGAAGAAAACATTGTTAATGATTTTATTAATTTATGTTCACCCATAGAGAGAAGAAATATAACTAATTATTAGATGGGTATAATTTCATTCAGAAATTTTGCTAATTGGCTCTTTGATTCCTACAAATGGCTAGAAATAAATGATAGATTAATACCGCATCCCAATGCTTGTTCTTCTCCATTTGGCTTATGATCCATCTTGATAGGGCATTTATCCTTGCCAGGACATTTAGGTAGTTTCTCTCTAGGGATTTTGGACACGTAATCTCCGTTACATTATCTCTTATGACAATCTTCACAAAAATGAGTTGTCCCCCTTTGAGAATATGATAAATTTAATTGTTTACCAGCAAAACCACACAGCAATTTAACAACAAAACTTGCATTTGAATTCTATATAATCTTTTCCATGAACTTAGCATGTTTCTCCAACTGGTACTTCACAACAATTAGCACAAATCAATTCTTCGGGTTTATATTATTTATCGCCTTCATCCAAAGCTCTTTGACAATCTTTAGCACCTCCGAAATAAGGGTTTTTGCATTTGAAACATTGATAATAACAATAGATAGCCATAGCATACTCTTGGGGTTTCCCATAAAACAATTCTCCTACTTTACTAACCTTATCATCTTTGTCCCTGTTTTCATATTTCAGTCTATCAAGAGATTTCTTCATGACATCTTAAAAGAGTTTAAAATAATCATTCACTAGATTTTGTGGTAAAGATGGTTAGAATTCTAACCAAGTATTACAGAGAGGACACAAGCAGAACTTGAAAACAATTCTTGGTCCATTCCATTTCACATCTAGTCTCTTGAGAATACAGGTATAATGAAAGATCTATTATGAGAATACTGGATACATGACCGCACTTTGATTGGATAACAGGGGCATTCTTTAACCCCTCTACAAAACATATATTACAATAGTCATCTCCTTTTTGTTCTCCTTTGCAGCAGTTTTCATTTAGACATGTAGAACATATCTATTCATTTTTGAATCCTGGACAAGGATGTCTACATGCTAGTAACTTATTGCAAGCAAATTAGGCCTTTTCTTAGCATTCCTTTTCTTAACAGATATCCTACAAGGCTTCTGGTACATTAGATTGAACATTATGAATTGGTTAATCACAATATCTACAACATCTAAATAATGTGTTAGAAATCGGAATTACTTTGAAGACTTTTTAATTTTGTATTCTTCGCAATTCATACCTAAATGATAAGGGATGGCTTTGCATTCTTTGCATTGTTCAGTTTTACAGGCTGAATTGAAACACATGAATCTATTATTTAAGTAATGATCCACATATTTTCTAAGTTAATAAATACGATCTTAATACTATTGTAATTATTAATTTGTGACAGGATCTTTCAGAATTGTAATCGAACTGCCCTTCTCAAAAGCACCCCTTTCGGAACATGCTGAACATTTTACTATGTTGAATTGTCTTTCTAACATTACTGAGGAATATTAATCGTGTTTTTCTCTCCCAAGGATTTACTTAAATATTACAGATACATAAATACTATTAAATCTTATTCTAACATTTGCTTTTTGCATAATTGGTTTGGACACTAAAATACTATATTAGTTTTATAGTCTTTTTCTATCTATTTCATCAGGCAGGGTCTGCAGATCGGTTAGAAACAATGTTCGAAATATGTAATAATATCTGCATCAACATTTTTTGCGCAAACTTCACATGTTTGTAGCTTTTGAAATTATCTGTAAGCGTTAAACACAGTTTCAGGTTGTGCTGGTGCTTACTAAGGTTTCTGACTGATTATGCTAAAAGTTTGTTTTTAAAATTGAAGTATAGGTCCATTCGTATATTCAGACGATTTCGTTATTGATGAGTTGAATACACGAATAGCGGGTGGGTTTAATATGCTATCTACTTTTTCAATGAAAATTAGAAACTCGCTTTTTAAGGCGATTAGGTGTTGCCTTTGCATTTATTCAAGCTAATATTATTGAAATGTTTAGAAGAATGGCGATGTCCTTTTATAATTTCCGCAATTCTTGATGTGATCTACCATACTTTGTTGATTTAGTTGAATTATTTGTTGGCAGAAACAATTGAAAGTTGACTGATCTAACAACATTGGAATCAAAATTTTGTTGAAGATTATATAAAAATTATTAATGGGAAAATCATATATAATCTATATCCTTTTAGATGTTATCAAATTGCAATGTGATTTAGAAGGAAGCCCAATTATTTGAAATTCTATTAAAGCAAAGAAAAAACTAAATATGCTATGTACTAAAATACTCAACTCATGAGATCATTATTCATCAATAATTTTAATCCTTAATTAATTTGAGGATACATGGAATGCCCATATATTACGGATTATTAATTTTGTACAAAAGCAAATCGGTTTATAAAATGTGAAAATTAACTGTTTAAAATTGTTATCGTAAATCAATTAAATATTTATATCATATTCTAGTTTTCCACACCAAAGAATAGGCATTCGAATAAATCATTATAAAAGGTTGGCGTGTATTTACATGCTCTTGTGCAATCAGGAGAAAAGGTCATTTCTAATAATTTTGGTTAGAATCCATTGCTATCAATCATCAAATCCATTCCATAAACACTTCTATTCTAATAAATAATCAATCACTCTTTTACCTTTGTGTAATTGGCCATATCTGGCTAATGAGTTCTCAAAGCAATGAATAACTGTCTAACCATTTCTTAAATTGACTCATATTATTTCTCCCATGTATGTGGATAATATTCCTTATTGAATTCCTCTATAAATTCATGCATAAAGACTTATGTCAATTTATGACCGTAATTCATAACAGTAAAATGTGTTTCATATATGGATAATGTACTAAAATATTATAAAATTAATTACTTGACATCTTCAGTATATGGATTATTGGAAATTCTGATCCAAAATGTCTTATATAAGTAAACACTCAAGGGCTCAATTGATTTTAGAGCAACAATGAATCTCAAATCAAACTTTCTATTTCTCAATGTTAGAGGTCTTTCAATATATTTTTGAGCTAATTTTGGTCCTGTTTCAATCAACCTTAGTACAACATCTAAATTATTTGTCACTACCATATCCATAGATCTAGCCATATTAGGAGGCTTGATAATCCATAGGTTGTTTTGATGTTGGAGCTCTCTAGTTTTATATGCTCCCATGAATAAGGGCAATTGAGTTTGTAAATTAAATGTCTCCTATAGCCAAGGCACTTCGCCATAAGTACTTTAGATTGTATTAGCTAATTTCTCTTTAGATATGATGGCATACTCATGTGGGTATTGATTAATAAATTTGTCAGCATACTTTTCATTGATGTCATCATGAACACCAGCACTAAAGAATACTAAATTGGCTTCATCTAAGTCCAACGTAAAAGATACATAAGGCAATGTAAGGTTTTTGGTGACCATTTCTAAATCTGTTATGACTTTGACATTTTCCTTAGGTAAATATTCAATGGGTTTTGCTATTACATCAGGTTGAACAATCTTTAAATTGTGTAATTTGGTTTTGTATTCATTATATCCATTTAGAATAAAGTCATAAGGAATATCAAACCAAACATTCAATCTATATGAACGGAATTTGGCTTCATCAACACCTGGTAAGTAATCTCTAAAAATTGGTTATTCGTGAATATCTTTAATTGGGAATAGTATACTATAGGCAACAGCATCATCATCTATTTTTCCATTTGGTAAATATAAAAATGGTACTACACTTACATTAGGTGTATCTGAATGTTAAATGCTAGATCCCAATTCATCCATTAAATACCAAACTGCAGATTCATCCATTTAGTCGGTTGTTAATAATCTGTAATTGCCTGTCAATTTAAATAGATTTTGCTTGATTAATTAGATATCATTTTGTTCCTCCTTAGCTGGTGTATATGATTCATATCTAATATCTCTCTGGTTTACTAATCGTAAATATGGGGACACTGCATTTAATTTATTGGTTTTGTGTAACTCATACAATACTTCTTCAACTTCCAAATCACATGTCAAATATTCTACATTTGGAAGTAAACTGAAAAAGGCATTAACATCCTCTAAATCATTTAATTTAGTATTTTTGATGTCCAAGACTCTTAATTTAGGGAACCAATTTGCAATCTACTTGACAGATTTCATTCTCAATACATTTCTGCCCGAGAGATTTAAATAGTTAAGTGGTTCTTAACTACTTGCCTTTTTTGTGTCAAAATCAGCTGTAACATATCTAATTACCCATTCAGTAGCATTTGATGTAAATGACAAATCCACTAGTTCTACTTGTGGACATTGTGCTTCAATAGATTATAGTAATTGTTCTTTGTCCTCTGCAACTGGATTGCCATTTAGCCATATTGCCTTAATTTATTTATGATTATTGAGGAAATGGATGACTTCTTCTATTTAAGCTATTTGATTTCCAAAGAAACTAATCGCGAATGTATCTTCTTTTGGTTTAACATCCTTCAATGTTTCTAATGCCATTTCATCAAAGTCTTCAGTATGATAATACACCTTATCTATTTTGAATAATGGCTATTTTTTATTCTAATATTTAAGCATATTCTTCAGTCTGTCAACTTATTTAATTGCTGTATGTAGTTCAGTGTATCTGAAACTCAGAGCATGATCAATCAAGAACACTTATTCATATGCTTTCAATGGCTTGGTGCATTACAATACATATGATTCTTGTTCTTGATCATCGACTATCTTGAAATATTCTCCTGCATCATATATTTTATTTTCCAATTTAGTTTTTAGTTATTATAATAACTCAACTTTAGGTGGGAAATTGATTCCTGCTAATTAGACTCCATGATTATTGTAAAATACTTCTAGTTCTCCTGTTAAATTCTAGAAATTCATAAATTAATTTTTAATCTGAAATAATTTTTAAGAAATTCATAATATAAATTAAGAAGTCAAACCATTTCTTAGAGGGATAACAATTTGCCACCATGACAACATGTTGATCGAATGTTCTACACTATCGAACCAAATGAATTCGTTGATTCCTTCTTGTATTAATGCTTTTTAAATAACTCGTATGTTGTTATTCCTACAATAATCAAATAGGTGTGGAATATAAGCATCCCCCCTGCAAACATCAAAAATAGGAACATTATCACAAATATTACAATAAAAGCTCCGTATTCTTATCCGTATCTCTTTTTGTCCTTCTCATAATAGTCATAATTAGACAAACCATCCTAACAATACGACAACAACAATATCAAAGCAACAGTCTGAACAAGCAAGAATAACCAAAATGATCGTTGATTCAATTCTCCAACACATCCACCTATCCAAAAACAATGATGATCATATTTTGCAACGCATTTCTTGCAAACCTTACAATGCTTTGCTCTATTGGGTATATTAAATTTGCATATTTTACAATATCGTTTGTTCGTTTCAGTTTCCATAATTTACATTTCAACATCCTCTTCATTTGTACTTATTATATATCCAGGGTTATTTCCCACCGTAACAAATAAATAGTTTGAATAAAATACTAATATTACAAATGATATCTATAGCACATCAAAAGGATTTTACATAAAAGCATTTTGTTTGTAAACTATCAAGACTGTCCAACATATAATATGCATTGTAAAATAAAACAATCTTGACATAAGTGAGGCATCGAATTCATTATTCATATAAATTTATTTGTTCAATAAATATTAGTAATAATTATAATCATAAATAAGGGAATTCCACTTATTGCATATAAGGTTTATTTTATACATTAAAATCATAATTAGAATATTTAAATTGCTCTTCATAGTTTGATCAGTATTGTTATTTTTGATGATATTATAGATAAATGTAAATTATTCACAATTCCTTCCATTTTTGAGTTACCATTACATCGTGATCAACATACGGTTTTATTTACTTTGCTTTGGTTCTGAGAGGTTCTAAATTCATTTTCAGAGTTAATATTTTGGACTCATTTACTGATTTATTAGACATAGGAATATATTTTATTGATCTTTCAAGTAATTTTGCTTATTGTTGTTGTTCCTCAATAAAGGATTATGCTCGATACCTTTGATTGAGAACTTAATATAAATGAACTTTCCTTTTGGCCTTTTGGTATTCTTTTTCTCTTTGGCGAAACTCTTTTTCTCTTTCTTCTTGGTAATCTCTTAATTTTGATAAATTTTCTGCAATTTAAATTCTTCGATCTATTAGAATATCTTATAGATCAAACGAAGATTGAGACATCGATTTCGAAGGGTTCCTATAGAGAGAATTTTATTGTCTTTTGTAATTTGATTTGCTATTAATGGAAAGCATAAAAGTTATTATTTTTTTAATATCAAATGGTTTTATTATTCTTTATTTTATTTGGAAATAGAAATATAGATTTAGAGATGGTTCAGACTCTGGGATTATCAAAATGATTATTATTATTAATATAATAATATATGAAAAAAGGTCTGAGTAATTTGATTCCAAATAGTTTGGTGAAGAAGTATTCATTCCGACCGCCAAATCCACCTCAATATACATTTGAGTTTAGGGATGGGAAATACTAGTTTTATCCAATTATAAAAGGAGTGAAGAAACAAATTTTCAGTTATTACTTACTGATAAACTCATACATACTAAAGAATGATCAATTATATGTTCCTTTGATTCATATATAAGGGTATTTGTAGATGCAAACGTAGATTGTAAAATGCGAAATCTGAGAAATCCCAATCAAAGGAATGCTTAGTTGATCTAAAGTCTTTTCAGTAAGAGACCGAGAAATAACCCCAGAGATATAGGATGTTAATCATATTTTCACACGCAAATGCGAGTGATTTAGGAGATGTGTACTTTTTTGCTGAAAGAATAAGCATTGAATATGGGGTGGATATCATTGCATACGATTACACAGGTTATGGAATAGGTTTTGGATAATATAAAATTAGCGAATAGCAAACGTATGAGGATTTGCAAAGTGTATTATCCTTTGCGATTAATAGATTAAATTATTCTCTGAATCAAATTATATTATGGGGTTTTTCGTTGGGTTCAGGTCCTGCCACAGAAATAGCCACTCGTTTTGGAGGATTGGCAGGGCTGATATTGCAGGCTCCGATAGCATCTATATATAATTGGTTTGGTGAAGGAGATTATGGGGAATAGGACATATACGTTAATTATAAGAAAATCTAATATGTTCGTAGCAATATATTGATAATTCACGGGGATTCAGACAAGATAGTTGGTCATGAACAGAGTGAGAAGCTGTACAATAAATATTTGTAACATAATGCAAGAGGGAAGATTCAATTTGCATTGGTGAAGGGAGCTGGACATAATGATTTATAGTTTCACATTGAGAAGGGGGACAATCAATTGGGAGTGTAGATTCATAATATGTTGAGATAGAGAGGCGTGGGGTTTAATGAGAAAGAGTACACATTGTTGAATCTCTGTTATGTTAAGGAGCACATTCCTGGACAATACATGTACTAATGCAATTCTTTGAAAAAGTTCACATGTTCTGATGAACTTCAGAGAAAGAAAGCTGGTGGGCTGTTCTTTTTATGTACTTGCGATTGACTTTATTTATTCTTGTTTTCTTATGTATTAATTTCATATATATTATTTGAATAATAATGGAAGCAATGACTTTTGGAGGTGACAACCCTTAACCACGGTTTGGACACACAATTTGTATGATAGCTCCTAACAAAATTGCACTTTTCGGAGGTAGAATATTGTATAGAGAAAGGTGCTGTTGGGGATACTGGAAAATATATTATAACAGGAGATGTTTATATAGGGGATGTTATTTAGAGAAAATGGAAGAGAATAGAAGCAAGTGGAAGTGTTCCAACAAATAGAGCAGCGCATTAGGCATTGGCCATTGAATTGAATTAAATGATCATATTCGGAGGAGCAGTGGGAGGTGGTGGTTTAGCAGATGATAATTTATTTGTTTTTGAATTGCGTGATGACACTGGTACCTGGGTTACTGTACCTGTCATTGGAACTACTCCAGGTAGAAGGTATGGTCACACTATGGTTCTCATAAAGCCATATCTAATTGTTTTCGGAGGAAATACAGGATAAGAGCCTGTTAATGATGCTTGGAGTTTCAACTTAGAAAAATCGCCTTATTCATGGTCCAAACTGGAATGCTCATCCGAATAACCATGTGTCAGAGTCTATCATTCAGCCGCCCACTGTAATACGGGATCGGCAAATGGAATGATGGTAACATTCGGAGGCAGAACAAGTGATTAGAGTGCTTTGAATGATGCTTGGGGTCTGAGAAGACACAGAGATGGAAGATGGGATTGGGTCAGAGCCCCTTATAAAAACTAAAATGAAATACCTGCCCAAAGATATTAGCATTCAACACTATTTTTAGGAACTCTGATGTTGGTAATCGGAGGGAGATCAAATCAAGTGGGAGACACTCTTCCATTTGAAATATATGATACTGAAACATCTGAGTGGTATAAATTCCAATCAATCCAGAGATTCAGACATTCATCATGGTTGGTTGATTAATTTTTATATCTCCATGGTGGTTTTGATTCAGATCAACCAAACATTCCCACTGAAGGCATCTTGAGATTGGATCTTAATAAGAGATTTGCATAAACTCCACAATTGTTAAGGTAATTGAATACTATAAGAAATGATAATACTTTCATGGAATCCTTTAATCCTAGAGCCCCTCCAAATTCAAGCAATAATAATACCCAAGATTAATTTAGAAGAACAAATCAATAAGCTCAACAGCGAAGTTTAATTTATATTATTATTTTAGATTAATAAACATAACAATAGGTTAGGGTTTCATCTGCGAATAACAAGAACATTAGATTAGCAAATTAAGCTTTGGTCGCTATGGTTTATGGTCCTGAAGAAGATATTACGAATTAAGTTAAGAAGGTTCCTATTGATAAATTGTAAGATGAACACAGAAAATTGGGGGCAGGTTTCTAAGATCCAAATTCCTAGAATAAATCTTAATTCGTTGAATAAATGCTCGCTCCATTTATTTAAAATTTATTATTGCCCAAAGATTACCAATCCATTCCTCCAAATTCAAATCTTATGACAGGCATTAGGAAGGACTCAATTATCAAATTGTGTGATGAAGTTTAGAGAATTCTTGAGAAAGAACCTATTGTCTTGAAATTAAGAAGACCAATCAAAATATATGGAAATTTAAATGGATAATATTTAGATCTCATGAGATTCTTTGATCATTTCAAGGCTCCATATGATAATCTCTATAATGGAGACATCGATTCTTAAGATTATTTATTTTTGGGAGACTATGTTGACAGAGGCACAAGATCTCTTGAGATAATTCTACTCTTATTCACACTCAAAGTAAAATATGGAGATTAGATTCACTTATTAAGAGGACATCATGAGGATCCTAAAATTAATAAGATCTTTGGATTTGCTGATGAATGCTATTTAAAGTATGCAGAAGATATCAATGACCCCAATAGTATCTATCAAAGAATCAACAGAGTATTTCAATACTTGCCTTTGGCTGCAGTCATTGAAGATAAGATATTTTGTGTTCATGGTGGAATTGGATAAACTATACGCACCATTGATGAAATTGAACTCATTCAAAAACCTCTCCAAATTATTCACGATCCTGTCACTGTAAAGTATTTGCAATATTAATTTAGTATCAGTAAAAGATTGCTTTAGAATTGTTATGGTCTGATCCCTGTTTAAACGAAGATGAATTGGAAAACCAACCAAATGTTGAACGAGATCTATTTTAAAATAAATCTATAATTAGATTCGGGAACAACAGAATCAACAATTTCCTTTAAGAAAACAATTTAAACATGATAATAAGATCTCACGAACCTACAAATGAAGGATTTGAAAGATTAAACACTAATGTGATCACTATATTTTCTTGTAGTGATTATGGCAATTGTGGCAACAAAGGAGGTATTTGAATTGATAATAACAATAATCTAGCCATTCTCTCTATTACAAAGCGAGGAGATATAATACCGAAAGTAATTCCAACTGCAAATCTTATAAATGAGGCAAGATGGTTGAATTTAGAGGAAGCTGCTTAAAGAGCTTCAGGTTTTGTCAAATACGTCGATATCAATAATGATGAATTACAATATAGAAGAAGACCGTTTACTCCATCAAGATAGAAAAAAATTGGATCACAAAAATAATTCAAATGACATAATTCAAGTTATTAGAATAAAATCTTCTATTCAATATTTTGCAATTTATTTAAAATTGTACTTACACTCTTATTTTATTGCAAATTACTCCTACTTCGAAATCTCAAATCCTATCCAATTATGATATCTTCCTTCATCCTATTTCAACAATTATGAATTATTTTGAGATTTTCAAATTAATCCAATTAGCTTGTAATTTATTTCATTCAAATCATTATATAATTGAATTCACGAAACTGTTGATATTTTTATAGTTCTGTTTATACCGTGTATTCTCAAATTTAGATCGTTGATTTCATGAAACCGCTGAAATCTAATAGCATTTTATGATTCTACAAATCTCTCTTCAACTAAACTATGATATTAGCTTTCTACATACTACTTAATAGTTATAGTTAGACATTATTAAAAATGTTTGATTAATAAATTAAATCTCTCCAGTGTGCAGCATTGGAAACACAAGCCTATTATGATGTGTATTGGCAAATACCTTAAAAACAAGCTGCTGCTTATAACATGCTTCTCGATAAAGTCTAGAGCCTTGAAACAAAAATTTAAGCTGATTTCAAATAGATTCAACTGCATCCATAAATCATGGAAATCTTAAACTATTTCAATCAAACTTAAACATCTGTTATCCCAAAAATAAAAGAGACTACTCAAGTTCTATTTTTAAGTCCACCTTCAGAGGATCCTAAATAACATTACATTAAATCTATTGAAAGATTGTGGTCTCTTTTATTAAATAAGAACCTCTAAGAAGATTTGATTTATTTTGAAGCCGAAAAGCAAATATTTTAGAATCTGAATAACTTTTTGCAATGTAAAGGCTTAAAACAAGTGTTCTTAGAACCTTGTACAATTCCTGTACTTAGCAATTATCCCAAATGGCTTAGTCAAAGTTTAATTAAAATACTTCAATCGTATTAAGGAGGGTACCTACAAATTGCAGATATTGATTATCTTGCAGAACTTCAGATTATATTCATTCACTAACACTTGAAATACAAATTTTCTTAGTTAAAATTAAAAAATAGCAATAGAAGCAAAAATGAACCAAATACACAGTCACAATCCAATGGACCTAATGCTCGTAATTCTGAATTGGATATTCAGTAATCTTAATCTCAATAGATTTTCTACTCCGCATAATCCAAGCATAGGACCAAAAACCCTCTTGTTTCAAATTGGTTTCATTTCAAGACTTACTCAAACCTCAGATCCAAAGACACTGGCGGTTTAATTAGGAAACATAAAGCAGTATCAAGTTCTTAAGTAGATTTACAGACTCCCTTTAGTCCTTAAAAGTAGAGTCCCTTTAATTTAAAGGCTAATGTAAATCGCAGATGGTTTGAGCATTATTATTAAAAATGATACTAAATTAAATTAGAAAATATTTCTCTAAAGTCGCTCAGGAAGCCTTAAATCTACGACACAAGCATATCAATGAACAATTTTAACAATACAAATCAAATCCCAAAATTTTGAATCCAAGAAAAGGAGATAATATCCAACCTGATTAATTGAAGAAAATGAAATAAGAAGCCATGCAAGAAATTGAAAAATTCTAAAAGAATTACTTATTTGATATCACTTTCAACACCAAAGGCTTGGTCAAATTGTTAGGCTAAATTAGCTATGTGTATGATAACAATGATCTAATATAATCTCCTTAATTTTAGGAAATCATCAAAAGTTCCAAGGAAAATTTATATCAATTTTAAAACATCAGGGAATTAGCTTTGCTATTGAATTTCTGCTTCAAGCATTAATTAGGAGATGAAAATCTATGGTTTGCTACTTATTAGCACCTACTCAATACTTAATCTTAAATATAAGTGGAAGACTTACTTTTAATCTTTGAATCAATCAATGAGACAAACTTTGAATATCTAAAACCAATCTTTAAGCAATTCGAAAATGCAATCTTAGAAGAAGTACAAAGAAATAATCACAAAATTACTATCAAGGCACTCCAAATTTATCGTAAATTTTAGCCTGATAACAGCAACTTCTTCTATTCTATTAAAAAATAGATAATTGAAACACTGCCTTAAACTAATACTGATTCAGTTCTGAATTATCTTAGGTATTATGGTTTGGGCAATGAACCAATTGAAGATCGATAAGAAATCTTAAATGCTATCATGATTCATCTATATAAATTGTAGAAATTCTTAAACAAAAAACAATTGCTTTAAGTCTATTATACTTATGTAAGAACACAGCTAGGATCTGAAGTATTATATCGATTAATTGAAGATAGGGTTGCATTATTAATAGACGAATTTTAATTAAATGAAATTGAGTAATTGTTAATTATAGCTGCTAATCAAAAGAACCAAACCATTTTTAAACATGCTGAAAGACTACTAAAATAAAGATTGCTTGACTGCAATCCTGCTGATCTTGTATAGATTGCTGTTCTTTTTATTGAGAATAATTAAGGAACCCCTGAATTTATTGATTCATTAGAATAACATTTAATCTAAGCCATTTATACAACCGATGATATAACAGAATTGCTTTGGGCCTTAGTCTAAAAATAACATAATTCTAGATGGATGGAGAAAATAGCAGATGCTTGTTAAGAGAGAGTACCAAAATTGTCTGTTAAATAATTGACTTCAATTATTTGGATGACTAGTGATTATTTTAAAAGATTAACCAATAAACAAAAGTAATAATCTAAATACATTGATTTGTATGAACTTATTGAAAAACATTTAATATAATATTTTGAAGAAGGAGAAGTTAAGAACAGGGATGTTGCACTTGTTATGAATGCATATATAAGAAATATTCCAATATCCAAGGATTTAGTAGATTTAATGGAGATTTATATTCTTAATTCTACAGAGGAAGAACTTTAGGAATTAGATGGTTGGAGTGTCTCCCAAATCATTTGGGGATTTAGTTAAATCGACGGTAATTATTCATTCTACTCTTAGACTATTAGAATCTAAAGGAATTTTTAAATTTCATGATTAAAGTGACCATTGAATGTATCGGTGAAATGAAAATTGATGAACTCTTTACAGTTTTGAGAGTGTATGTACATGAGAAATAAGAAACTGAAGAAATGATTAAAGAGGCTATTGAAAAAACCAATTTCTGGATGGATCAATTAGACCTTAATCAAGTTTATTTAGGAATTCATATTTTCACTAACACTTAATTTACAAAGTAAATTTACATTATTTAACTAATTAGTCTTTAAGGAATTAATGAATTAATTAAGAAACTTTTGGATAGACTAGAGTTCTTAAAGTCCATAAAACCATAAGTAGAACCAGATGAAGATGAAGAAATAGACCATGATAAAGAATAAAAACTAAGGCTTGAAGTAGAAAAATATAAATATTCTTGATACTATTATGAGTTATATAATAAATACAAAGATGTAACTTTATCTCTTTTATAGTAAAAAGCATCAAACTAATTAGTTTTAATTATTTAATTATTGATATTTCTATATAAAAATTCGTTTAAAAATATAAACGTTGATATAAATACATACACAAGAAGACAATTGAAAATGTCAGAAACCTTTCAGCGTTATCTAAATTTAATATTAATTCTATCTCAATAATATGTGAGAGAACATTTAAATAAATTTTGATTTTCTTAGTTATAACTTTTACAATTGGAATGTAACTTCTCAGTTTTATCAATATCTATTTCACAATGACAATTGTTTCTAACCAGACAATAACTAAATTTATATAATTTTTATACTCAAAAATATTCTCCATCCTATCTGTATTATATATTATTTACATTTTACAGAGTTACTTAGAAATTAAATACCCATTTTTACCCTACTTTATCTATGATAAATTATCATATTTTTCTCGGCTAGAAAATAGATAAATCTAATATTTTTACTTATTTTTTAGAATCAATATAATTTTTTTAATATTGAGAATTCTCAAAACGAAGTAAGAATTTAGAATTAAGAATTCAAACTTTCGAATAGGATTTAAAATTGCCAAATCCTTTCAATCTTGAAGTTGTAAAATTCCTAAAAAGTTTAAAAAAATAGAGATAGAATTTTAAGAATAAATTTAAGTATAAAGATAAGATGCTGTCAAGTAATGAGAAGGTTAGTTACTTTTTGTGGCTATTAATACTGCATGAATTGAAGCATATTTATAAAATTGAGATATTTAGAATTTGTTAAATTTAGCGACACTGAATTTGTTAATTTTGGATGTAGATATTTTGATTTTCCAGAATATTATTATGTTGCATTCCTGAGTTGAGAAATATGAATCATAAGTTGAAAATATCTTTGATTACATTAATTATATAGATATAAACAAAGTTAGATAGTAGTTTAAACTTCTTTAAACTATATGCAGCGAGTCTTTAAGAATGAAATTAAGAAGATGACAGTTCAAAATAATCATTATTAATAATATTCCATCTTTAAATTAAATTCCATATGAGTTATTTTATTGATAGTTGTATTATTTTTAAAATGAATATCATTCAGATGTGCAACAATATTAACATAGCAGTCATATTGTCACATCCATAACCAGTAGTAGTATCGATAGCCAAAGAAGAATCAAGCAAATTTTCAAGTATTAATGGTGGTTCCATACCCCTTTGTAATCTTTCTCCAATAAATTACATCACTTTGTAACTATTGAGGGTTTCGAACAATCCATCACAACCGAGAAATAGGAATCTAGATAATAGCAGTTAGTCTTACTTGTCTTCCTTACTCAATTTTATCTTTCTTATTTCAGGTTCAGCAATCACCATTTGTTAATTGGCTGGCAATGGTTCTTATTTGAATTCAAAATCGCCAAAAGCACGTGAGACTGAGAGTGTTCCATTGAGACGTCCTTCTTCATTAACAAATCCTCCTGCAAATCTGATTCTAGCCAGTTCATTACATGGAAGGTGATCTTTAGTTAACTCGATGGTTTCATCATCTCTCATTAGAAGACAACGAGAATCCCCTAAATTAGCAACGTACAAGGTCTTCTGGACTACCAAAGCCACCACTGCTGTTGAACCTATAAATGTATCTAAAAAAGAATATAGGAATAAAAAGGATTACTTTTAGCCACATTAGTTTTGATCATTTCATCCAATTGTATGAAACAATCATGTAATGCTTAAGTGTAATCTTCACCTATGAATGAAGGCTGCTAAACTAGGGCTTCTAGAAAATTATCTGCCAAGTAATTTGAAATTCCAGCACCACCATGTCCATCAAATACAGCAAATAATGAGATATCTTCTCTAAAGTCTACTTTCATAATGTGAGCATCTTCCATTTAAAGTCTCCAACCTAAAATTTAATAATACACCCTCACCTTGCATTGACGCAGTATGGCAGTACAGAATTGCATTAGACTACTATTCATGCAATTTCTGGGTGATTGGTTATGACAAAAACTAACCCATTAATTATATTATTTATGCTTTTAGTATCAATTTAATTGCATTTAGACAAGAAATTTAGAATCATTTTATAACAATATCTCATTATATTTGTATTCATTTTATAAATATACTATTGAATCAATAAAATTCTCAATATTTTTATTACTAAAATCAATCACTCATCTCTCTTTGTCCTTATGGCATAAAAAAACAGTCATGCTAATGTTGTTTTATATATTAAAAATTATAAAATATTTAATAATAATTGAGTTATTCTAAATTTATTATACTAATTATAGAACTTCAATTTAAATAAATTGAAGTTAATCATTAATTCTTTAAATATTGATCAGATTATTACGAACAATAATAATAGAGATTTAAAGACTTTTGAGTTAGAGTAAGATAAATAATATATTATTATTTAACAAATTTCAATATAAGTAAAAATAGACAATATTAATATTGCTGATGATGGAATCATAATATAATTGTAAATACTATAAAATAACAGAATATAATGAAGTTATCTTGAATTTAACAATGTTGTAATAATATAATTTATATAAAATAAAATAAATTTTATATGGGAAATGCATTAAATGATATTGGTGATAATTACGACTTTAAATTCATACAAAAGGTTTAACATCCACTTTTTGGTCAAATCGACATTCTTGAATGCCAAATTTAAGATTTTCCCGATATTGACCAATATATGAGAGTTATTCCAAAATTAATTAATCAAGACTATATTGCCTTTATTAAAAGGTACATCAAATTGTAGAATCTTCATAAGCATGAAATGAACTCTCCATTTCTTATTTACATCTCTAACAATATATTTGAATGCCCATCACATTCATTATTTGATGAAATCTAAGTAAAAAGACAGCAAGGAACTCAATTTGCCGAATCTGAATTATGGTATCTAGCCAAGAGTTTGATTGCTGGATACTCCATATATCTTTAAATTCCAGAACTAGTCAAATAAACACAGTTAACTCTCCATAATATTTTTATAACAAAAAAAGGTCACATAAAATTAAGTTTACATACATTGTTTTTAATAAATGCAACTAACTTCAAAAATCAATATATTGAAGAATCATAATATAGTCATAAGATCAGCAAAGAAATAGGTTTGATTTTGCTTGAAGCCAGTTGTTTATCTTTTGAAGATAGTATTAAAGTCATGGATATGCAATATTCTATTGAATATTCCAATTTTGTTAAGGATATGATTGGAGATACAAAGTCATTGTAGTATTTCCAAAATTATCAAATGAGCAAGAAGATATCAAAAACCATCTATGCGGAATCATAACTAAAGAAGACAGCAACCTTACTTGCTCAATAGACTAAATCATTAAAATAATCATAAATCATTGAGACATACCATGTTAAGTCGCCTGTAAAAACAGATACAAATTAATTTGATTAAGTCTCTAAAATTGCAAGCATCCCTGAAGTAAATGAATAAGATTAAAAGAAATCATAACAATTGGACTATTTTTCTGGTAGAAAATCAACCCAACCTATTCCAAATATCCAATCTGAAATTTATTACCATTCCAAATAATAATCATTATAGATAAATGATTAATAACCTTAAGTGATTCAATAATAACAGTTCTTCGATCAATAAAATGTTTAATATCATAGTCATAATTAACCTGTAATACAATAATTCGATGTATTAAGTGAAAAGTTCACTTAAAGATTCTGGAAAGCTATCGATTAAGCAAAGAGATAAGTCTTAATTTATGAATAAAGAAGTAAATAGATATATTGATTAAATAATATCATTTTAATACTAATTTCAAATTATCTTTTCCAAAATTAAAAGGGCCTATAAATATAGAATTTTATTTTTAAAATCCAGATATACAATTTTTAAATATGCATTCTTAACCATAGATGAGAATTTCATCAATAATTATTTCCGATTGACATTAGGAAAGATTTAAGATCACAACATCTTAAAGTATTTCCAACTTGAAATCTATTAATTATGCTTTCATTGCTTTTTCTTCATTCTCAAAATCATCCAAATCAGCGAAAACTCCAGTGGCAACCAAATTGGAAACAGCAGCTACCAGCCGATAATGATTATCCAAGGATTTCACATTATTGATTATTTCCTTCGTATTCTAAAGTATCAAGAACCCGCTTCTAATAAACACGGGTGTTAGATCGGTATAAGAGCAAAATAGAACATGATCTTATTAACCTTTATAATCTAACCCAGTTGTAAGATCATACCATTCAGATTCTGGAAAGTAAGCCTTTCTGGTGATTGATTCTTCTAAAATAGGAGCGCCCATTAATTCGTTCCCAATTATGAATTAAGTATCCATCACAAAATCTCTATATGTTAAATTATCTTCAGGAAATACAAAAAATAAGGGATTGATAACTAAAATATTAAGGAATTAAATGTACTTGTCCCATGATTTTATTCTCTTATGAAAACGGAGTAAAACCATTTTAAGAGAGAATATCGAAAATGAATATTCTTTTAAGCTGTTTGAATGACCTTGTGATCAATATTATAAAATTCTTATGATCTAGATAAATCATTATTGTGATTTCGAAAGAAAGGATAAAATATTCCTAATTAAATCCACCTTTAACATAGTTTAATGTTAGTATCGCCCATAAATCCACATACATCAGCTCCAACCATGGGGATTCCATAAATTTAAAATGAAAATATCTATCCTAAGGATAAGTAGAGAAAATCCCATGATGCTCCATTATCTCCTGTCCAATGTTAAGCATATTTACCAGAGCCTGGAAATGTCGACCTTGCAATTTAAAGTGGCTGAATCTTACCCAACTCCTTCAAGGCTTGATATGTATAATAGGAATCCATGATGCCATAGAGATTATGCACATCTTTATGTAGATAATTTCCATAATGTAATAGATGAGGAGGTAGGGTCTTATCAGACAATGAAATAGCTCCAGGAATATAAGCAAAATTAATATTTTCATTCATTTTATCAAATCTTTGTTGATGATCATGTAAATTTCTGTCTAGATTACACTCTCCATCACAAAAATTAGCAGGCTCATTCATATCAACCCATAGACCATCAAATTCCACTTAATCGTAGAGATGTCTGTGCATTTCATTCCAAAATTTACTAATATTAGGGTGAAAGAAATCAGGAAAGTATGATTATCCCGGCCACACACTTCCTTAAAATCTATATCCACTCTCTGGTGAATATACAAACACATCATATTCTATACCTTTTTTGTAACCTTCATCTAGTTCACCATACTTAACACCTACTGCTACATCAACAATAGGTATATATCTAACACCCAAGCCTTTTAAGATTTCATAATCTTATTTAGTGAACCTATCTGAATCAACAGAAAATATTTATCGATCATGCATATAGTCTATGTCTGACCAAATTGTATCAATAGGAATTTTTTGAGTCTAGTATTATTGAACTACTTCTATTAATTCCCTACCTTCGTTATATCCCCATCTACTTTGATGAAAACCAAAACTCCAAAATGGAGGCAATAACCATCCCCCCAAATAATTATGATATTACTTGATTACATTTCGAGGGGATTAATCTCCTAAAAACAATTTTAAGTGAATTATTCCTCCTACCGTTATAAATTTCATTTTTTCTTCCTAATAAATAATGTCCATTGGAGATGAGGATTTATAGAACATAATATTGAATTTGTTATTGTCTTCCTTACTCAAAAGAACTGGATGACTTGAATATACATTCTTTCCTGGTCTCTCACCATCTTCTATAATGTTTGGTTCATCTCTCGCATACAAAGTATATATTCCTTATTTAAAACGAAATCCGATTTGGTTTCTTTCTCCCAACCCCCACATTTCCTAATTTTGAGGATAGTGTGTGAATTCTATGTAATTTTCACTAAAAGCCAATTCTGAAATAGTAAATATTGCTCTTTCATCTCTGTAAATCTATATTTTGACTGGGTCGTTTGTAATATTCACAGAATAGTTATAATGTTCCAAAGGCAGAGGATTTTCGACATCCTTGTAATTGAATGGCTAATGTAATTAGAAGCATTTACAGGATGTTGAGGGATTCTGAAATGTTTACGATCCTCATCATAAATCTAAATGTCAACTTATGAGTCATTTTCAAACCTAATTTCAAGAATTAAGATTTTATTTAATTTAATGGATTAACCATTCCTCACAATATTCTCATTTATGGTGTGTAATTTATATTGTTGAATTTATTTGTCATTCCTAATTTAAGTGGCAATATATTATGTATATGTAACTTAAAAGTATAAGCAGATGATTAAAAACATCTGATAATATTTATAATTAAATTTATAATATGAGAATATATTTAAATTAAGAACATCTAAAATATATAATTAAGAATATACTAAATAACATAGAATATGTTCAATCGTGTTAAGTAGATTATAATGATCAAATACTTATCTATAGATAAGTTGTGTATTCTACTTATTAAGCTTATCACTATTTTATAATTATTTTTTTTGGAATCAAGAACATATTTTTATTGGATAGAGTTAACATGTTTTTAAATTATTATCTGATAGATTAACTACCACTTTTAAGAGTATAAAGTAAATCGCTTATATACCAATAAATAACAAATAGAGAGGAATTTTATAAAATATTTAATTTATTATTTTTTTGTTATAAAAGTGGGCAGACAAGTATAATTTCTTATTAGATTAGTTTTGGTTTCATGATTAGATTGCTATGAAGTGTTTTGAAATAGTGTATGAAATTGATATATTATATAAAATTGTAAATAATGTATTGTTTGTGGAAAGAATCACAATTAATTCAAATAAATAAGCAATAATTTGTCACAAACTAAATTAAATAATTTTAATAAAGTTTGATATAGCAATGGAAGACAAAATAACATCCATAGTCACAGATGATAGAATTGACGAGATTTTACATTTGAATGCTACTAAGGAGGAGTTAATTACTATACTCAATTACATAATAATGGACTACAAAAAGTTCTCGATGACAGATAAAATCTTACTGCAGTCATAAAAATTACAGAAACTAACATTAGAAGAATGCATTGAAAATCGACATGTGTTTCTCTTCTTGCCAGGAGTAAAGAATTCTATGGACATTAAATCTTAAAAAGAAGTCAGATATACATATGAACCTAAAGAGGGGAAGATTTTGAAAGAAAAATATAGGAATGGTCGTAAAACTGAATCAACTGAGGTCACTTATGAGCAAATCAATAAAATGTTAGGATCCTTCAATCAAAGTACAGGGGCCTTCTTATCAAGCAAACCTAACTTCGCTGAAAGCAGATTCATAGCTCCACTTTTACCTTAAGAGGAAGTGTCAAAAAGGGAGAAGGTCTAAGTGAAGGGAGGACAAATGCAATTTGTGTAAATACCAAGAAAAAATAAACCTCCTTTTAAAAATTATACTGCAGAAGAAGTCTAAAAACATAATAAACCAGGAGATGTATGGACTGTGTTGAATGGTAAAGTTTATGACATTTCTCTTTACTTGGATTATCATCCTGGCGGAGTCGAAAAGTTGATGCTTGGAGCAGGAAAAGACTGTACAAAATTATTTAATTAATTCCATTCTTGGGTGAATGGACATGCATTTTTGGAATAGGATTATATTGGTAACTTAAAATATTGATAATTATATATATTATGATATATAAATTTCAATAGAGCAAATAAATGACCAAAACCATAGCAACGATAACTGCAGCGATAAATAGTTTTGTTCTTAGAGCTCTACTTTCTTAATCTTTTCTGACTTATGTTGCCTTGACTGATAATAAAATTAATTTACTGTTGTTTTCATAGCCCCTGCAAATCTAGTCATGGTTTAAGTAGTATGTACTAAAATCTAAATTTAATCTTCTCTGTCTAAAATTTGGTCTAAAAGTATTAGAATTTTGCAATACCCAAAGTCAGAGACATTTGATTCGCTACATCTGCCAACTGCTTTTATAATTTGACAATTTTTTCATTCTCTGGATCACTGTTATAATAAGTCTTTAAAATTGCATAATAATATTGATACCATCTTTGCCTTCAAGTACTCTACAAATTAGTTTTGAATTCCATAATTAACTGCTTGTCTTCGAACATTTTCAGGAAATTTCTCACAAAACAATTCTTTGATTTCTTCTAAAAACGCAAAGGCTGTAACTTTTGACAATAATGCATCTGCCAAACATAAGTAAGTGAAATCATTTTCATTTATGTAATGGAAATGGTAACTAGTATTCAATCTAAATTTACTCATTACTTTTATTCATAAACACATGTTTGGCGAGTGTTCGTTTTCAGTTTGTCAAATAGTTTCTTAGCTAAAGATGGGAAATTACTGGTCATAGATTCATAATCGACAAGTGTTACATTGTTTCCCCTTACAATGACGGCATAAATCAAGGACATAGAAAATTTAAAATTATTTAATAATGAATATTCGAGGATTTAAGTTTTTGGTTGAAGCTTCCATCATTAATGTTTAGATAGGCGTTCAATTTAATTGTAAAATATAGGTCATTCTAAAAAGAGGTATACCATTTCATACTTATTAATTCAAAAAGGATCATCGAAATTGGAAACCCAACCTACCTATGAATTACGCAAAGGCCTTGCAATAATAAATGAATCCTTAAATTTTAGCATATCAGTCAGTTTGGGATTGGATGGCAAATTTGAAGATAAAAAAACTCAAATAATTGTAATTCTAGTCACTGAAAAAGGATAAAAGAATGCAGGGATGCATAACCTGAATATATCGCAATATCTCAATCAACAGCAATTTGGTATGAGAATGTTCTCTAAAAATTACTAGAATTTTAAGAAGCTTTGCCATTAGAAAAATGTCCAGATAAAAATGCAAAAGTTTTAGTCGACTTTAAAATTAAACAAATAGGAGAAATAGATTAAGAGTAATACTAAATTTCATCTAGATTGGAAACTACAGACCAGTCACTTGATATCTCATAAGTTTCAATATATACGCCCAACAAAATACTCTAGGAATCAAAGAATGAATACAGCGATAAAGTACAATAAAATTATCTTAGACATAAAGAAGTAAGATTATGAACTAAATCTCTAAATTTAAAAGCTAAGATAGAAATTAAACGAAATGATCGAAAAAGAACATCATCAAGAAATCATACTAAATTACGAATAACAATTGTAGGAATTAAATGCAAAACTCAAAGCAGTAACTAATGAAAATACTATGATTCATGCCTAATTAACAGCCAAATCTTCTGTTATTGATTAATAAACCTAAGAAATTGCTGAGTTGAAATGTAAATTAACTGAATAAGAATTTGAATTCTAAGAAAAATGCAAAAGCCAATTGATCTTTCTTAATCAGAAAAACATGGAATTGCAAAACTAAGTAATTGAATTAAATTAATAAATAAATAATTTGAATAGTGTAATCCAAGAAACATAGAATAATTCAAAGGAGTTTTGCAATTAAAATGAGAATAATTAAATTGATTAACTAAATTAATTAATACAAAATCTGTAAAATTAACTTAAAGATAAAAATGAACACATTTAGAATTTAAAAAACTTAACATCAGGAACAATAATAGCATTATAATAGAGAAATGAAACTTTGGAAAAACGATTGAATGAACAAAAAGATATAGTTGAAAAATTAAAAAATGCTGATGTAATTACACATTCTAGAAATAGTATACAATCAAAGCCACCACTAGCAATGACTCAAGTATCTTAGTTGAAGAACTGTAATCTGCTTTAAGCATTAAGAAACAAGACATTGAGATTTTGCAATAGAAATACGAATAATAATTAGCAAAAAAAGAGGAAATTGTATAGAATTTATAACAAAAACTGGAAGAATCAATGAGAAAGGAACTTGACATTAGTAAGACAAGTTAGGATTCTAAAAATTATGTGTATTAATTAGAGAAATAAATTGAAGTCTCAATAAATCAGTAAGATAAATCCAAAGTAGAACAACTAGTGGCTAGGCTAAGAAGTCAAGTCCAATTGTGACAATCTAAATGGGAAAGCAATCTAAAGGTACTTATCAATTATTATAATGAAGTCTAACAAATGCAGAGATAAATTGCAGATACATCCTCTTTTATAGACGATCAAAAGGAACTTCCAGATCAGTTGCTGTCATTAAAAAGAACAATATAGAGCAAACTTTAAAGCTATCAACAGGCATAAATAACCTTAGAGTAGAAGGTTTTACAATTGTAATAAGAGTTAGAAATTTGTTAATAAAAATTGAAATAGGAATAAAGTTAATAAGTAATATAATAATAAATATGGAGTGTTCTGAATCCTAATTCCAAGAGTAGAAGTACACCCCTAGTGAGGAAATCTAAAAATTAACATCTGTACTTGAAAAGTATAAAAATATATTACTTTCTTAGAAAGACCTAGGAATTGTTGTTTTTCTAGCAATAATTCGAACAGCAAAAGTAGTCTGATTCGGATCATTCAAAATAACTTGAGGAAACAAAATCCTAGCTAAATGCCGTTAAGCAAAATTTAATGAAATACAAATAATAATTGGCTGAAACCTAATAAGAGAAAGTCTTGCTTCAGGCTAAAATGGCTGAATAACAAAAATCAATTAAAGAAAAAAACTCTGAAATTCAGAAGGGATAAGAATTAATTGCAGAGCTTGAATAATATAATCTTCAAATGGAAGAAACCATTTCTTAAACACTAGAATAATACAAACTATAACACTAGCAAACCAAGCAAAGCTATGAGAAAGAGAAAAAATTGAGATTAGAACTTTAAGAATAGATAAAGGAACTAAAATAGGAATTATATAAATTTCAATAAGGAATAGGCAATCTTTAATCAAATGTATCAGATAAATAGCAATAATGCTAATGCAAAGAATAACTATTAAAAAATTAATGTTATATCGAGGAATTATAATAATAGATAGCAGAATTATAGTTATTAAAATTGGAACAAGGAATACAAAAAAATCAAGAATCATTAACCAATATTTAAGCAAGTAGAAGAGAAACCTTGACTGACTTATATAAAAAGGATGAGACTAGTGCTAATTAAAAAAATATTAATTAAAATGAATTGGAGGAATAAATTCTTCGATTAACTTCTGAGAAAATTAAAATATCTAGAGATTATCAAAATGAATTAGAAAGAGTTCTTATGGCTAATGAAGAATTGGAGAAAAAATGCACAGTGTTGCTATATCAATTGGAATAAAGTAAAATAACAATAGGGGAAATATTCAATGCTGCTATTGAAATTGGAGGAACTACCTTAGTTGACAAACTTTAAATAGCATTCGGCATAATAGAATGAATAGTTATATATAATTAATGAATTAATAAATAGTCATACCCAAATCAATCTATTTCAAAGATGGATCCTATTATCTTGTTATCAATGCAAAGCCAAATTCGAAAGTGAGTCAAATTACTGGCATTTCTGATGAAGCTGTTGATATCAATATAGCAGCACCTCCTAAGGATGGAGAGGCTAATGCTGAATTATGCGATTTCATTGCTTAAACTTTAGGAGTTAAGAAAACAGCCATATAAGTTAACAAGGGAGGCAAAGGAAGAAATAAGCTAATTTCAATTGAGAGCAAGTTCAAAGATATAAACGAATTTTATGAGAAACTAAAATAAGGATTGTGAATATAACTATTTTAACATAAATATGGGTTTAATCATCATTCTATTATGTTGTTAAATATTATAGCATATGTTACTTTTCAATATTCTGAAGTATAAACATTTTAAATGAGCATCTAAACAAATTGTTATTATTAGATCTGATTATCCAATGCTTATTTAAAAACATAAAATTAGAAGCAAAAAAGTGATTTCAATTTCAGATTTCTTAAGAGATATAATCCCTTTCTCTTAGGCATTATAAAAATACATTGTAATTATTAAAAAAGTTTACACATTTATGTTTTATATTGTTGATTAATATTTCATTATTTATTATTAAATACCGCCAATTTCTAATGAGCACAATAAGTAGAGAGGAATACGCAAAGAAAATGAGATAAGCTTTATCTGACAATCATATCTGTAAACCTGATGGAACTGTTAACCATTAATATTTCTTAGTCAAAAAAGGGTAATATTGGGGAGAGGAGAAAATACAATACTTGATAGAGTAATTAGAAAAAATTGGAGTGGGAAATTGGAAATAAATGTAAAAGGGTCTCTTAGAATAAACTGTAAGCTATTTTTATTGATTTGTAGAGTGAAATTGAATTAGAATTAAGAACCTGTTTATTATTTAAAACAACAGACATTTAACCATATATGGATAAAAAATTCACAAAAATTGAAATTGAATAAATTGCCTAACAAAATATTGATAAGGCATAATAGTTAAGTAAGTTGAAATATGGAGTATTTGTTGTTTGATATTATATTATATATTAATAAATAAATGATGTTTTAATTTACTTCTCATTTTTTTGCATATTTTACTTTAAGTTGGCATTCTGGAGTTATCTTAAAATTGTTCAGACCTTTCAATGCTACAGTAGCTTGGTCATCATTCTAATATTCAACAAAGGCCAAGCCTCTTGCGCTTATTAATTTGATTAATGAATAACCAGGATATTGTCTAAATAACTCTGATATCATAATTTCGGTGACAAAAGGTGGTAATGATTCTATCAATAACACATTATTAACTTCTCCTTAATTGAAAATAGGATTGTTATTTAATTTATCTTCTAATTTTTTTTATTTCTTCTCCTTTACCAACTCAGTGGGCAAGGTTGGTTACAATTCCTTTTGTTATTTCTATTTGTAATAAAATTTGCCTTCCATCCTATCAAAAATAACACTCTTCTTGTATGCAAATTCGATAATCTAATTTAATTGGCAAAAATACTAGTGGTTTGTCATAGACTAATATTCCAGACAAGGCTGATTTGGCATTGGTGGCATAAGTAATATTTTAAAATACAATAAAGGCTTGACCTCTTAATTTTTATGTTTTTTTCATTACAATCTATAAGACTTCTCCAAATTGAGAGAAGAGAATGTATAACACAAATTTTAAGTCTTCCAATTTGATTTTATCATTTAATCCAGTGACATAAAGGGTTTCTTTGGGAGCTGAGTCCTAACTGATTTGTTGTGCAGGATGAAGATAAGGCTAATTCATAAAATAAAATCAAATTTATATAAATTATCAAGCATCAACTTTTTCCTCATCAACATCTCTTACAAACTGTAATTTTAAATCATGATAAAATTTAGTAAGATGCACTTATGCAATGGCTGTGCTATTTGCAATGGATTGAGGTTGCTCGGTTACCCTTTGCTATTCATGAAGGGGGATTGCTTGAGCTATTGCATTTTTTAAGGCATTGAGATATTGTTGAATTGGCTGAACTATTTTATCATTTTATTGGGATGTATCTTGAGGGACAGAAAGAACTGAGATTCTGTCCTCATAATACCCATCTGCCCACCATAATTCTGAGTCTTGATCGAAGTTTTTATCCATTAGACAATTTAAAATGATAATCGTCTCCAGCAACAACTTATAGTTAAAAAATAAATCTTACTTGCATTGTCTCATAGGCTAGGAGTTCCTTCTTGCTACTTAAGTCATGTGCTTGCTATTTGTATCTTAAATAATTCTCATTGTAGTATTCTAAGACCTTCTACTTTATCTTTAGTGCTTTCTCTGTGAAATCATTATAACATCTCAATATTATTTCAGATTTGCTCTCAATAATAGCTGCCATTTGATCACAAGAGTCCACCTAAATTGACTTCTTCTTTATTAGATCAGCAAGAAAAGTTTTGACTGGTTTTGTTCTCATGAAAGTTGCCAATTCACTCGAATCCAAATAGACAAGAGCTTCTTTCGACGTTACTTGATTTTGAGGAGAGGCTTGAGTTTGTGATGTGCGAATTTCGAATTGCTCAGATGGTTTGCCTTTGCGTTTAGAACATTGAATTCCCATTTATTTTAGTATCAACTTAATTTTTATAGTTTATGAGTATATTCGAATGATAATATCAATAATTTGAATCCCAATTAGGATCTCTTGCTTTTTCTTTTTTATAAGGTGCCCCGATTGAATTAATTTCTTTTGACGCCAATTTACCACTGGTGAGGGCAGTCTATATATCCTTCTCCTAAATCATTCTTGATTTCTTGGGTACGAAAGGAGCCTTGAGTTCTTTATCCATCAACTTATCCTAAGCCAATATCAAATGAAAGTTACCCAATCAAATTTATCAAACCAAGAATTCGCCTTTAAAGAAGCATACCCTCCACCCAAACGAGCCTCTGGTGTTTTCAATAGCAATTACTCAATAAACTTTTTGGCCTTCTTGTCTTTCATAAAAGGAGGGAAGGTAATCGATTTTTTTTGAATTTCCTCATAGATTTCATACGGATCATCAGCATCTTCCGCATAAGGTACTCCGCCACACATAAATTCATACAAACACACTCCTATCGACCAAAGATCAACAGTAAATGTGTATCCCTTACCTGTAATAATCTCTGGAGCCATATAATGAGGAGTTCCAATAATAGTGTATGTTCTAATGGATTTCTAATTCAAAAACTTTGCAGTTCCCATATCTATCATCCTCAGATAACCCTAATGGTTCACAATTGATAAGATACCTTCTCATCAACCATGATGTTCTCTGGTTTGATATCTCTGTAAATAATTTACAATTTATGCAAATATTCTACACATATCAATAAAGAACCGATATAAAACTGGGAATCTACAGTTGTCAACAACCCTATTTCTCTAATGGCATCGAATAATTCCATCCCCTTAATAAACTCTACCAAGAAATAAATGTAATTCTAATCCTTCATACTTTTATAAAATTGCATCAAGAATGGAAAGTTAATTGTTGACAAAACCTGTTTTTCTTACTAATTTTATATAACATTTCATTACAGCTAAATGTCTTTCCAAGTGTTATTCAACAATCTGAGCCTTGCTGATACATTTCAATGCATACAATTTTTCATCTTAAGCTGTTCTCACCAGATAAACATTACCAAATTACCCTTAACCTAATTTCTTGATACAAATTAAGTTATCTAATTTTAAGTTCGAATAATCTCTCTTTTATTATTGTCCGCTAATCTTATTTAAATACTTCTATTCATGTGAATTTTCATTCTTCTATATCATCTACTCCACACTACCTCCGATCATATCAAAAAACATCTTGATTTCAAATTCTGCAATGATTGATTCATCTGTTTACACTTAAATTGCCTCAGGAAGTTTGCTGTCTTAATTTTATGATTTCAAAAACTATTCTCCAAAGATTTTGCCTTTGCCCAATACCTATTGTTTAGAGGGCATCTATAGACCTTATAATTACGAAATAAAGTGTTACTGTCGCTATTTCTCCTTCTAAGATTATATAAACCTTAGTGCAAGGCTGTCCTGCCTTAATAATAACTTCGTTCTTCTCATAATGCACTTATCTAATGTTCTATAGAATCTTCTCAATCTAAATTGAAGTTAATTTTCCCAATAAAGGACTCTGTTACAAGGCCCATTTTTAAGTGTTGATGTACTTGACAGTCTATATTTTTTGGCCTAATATTCTCTGGATATCATCCTTTGACAAAGAGAGACATCTGACTTCTTCTTCAGCTGCCTTGACTGTAGCAGCTCTTTAGCAACTTTAATACAAGGCAGCTTCACCAAAGGATTCTCCAGAGCTCATTTAAGATACTTCTTTTTCTCCCTTGATGATTGCCACCTTTCCCTTTTTGATTATGTAAAATGAATTAGCCACATCCCCTTCAGAGACTATGATTTCTCCTTTTTTAAAAACCGAAGTAATTAAAACACTGGAAATTGCATCTCTTTATTCTTCAGTTAAAAAAGCTATAATATTAATTGATAAAAATTACAAAAAAATTCGACCTTCTTCATAAACTCTCTATTTTCTTCGTAACTCCTCTAATTTTGCTATTCTACTACCTTCCTAAAAGTGTTTCTGTCTATGGCCCAAAATGCACAATCTAATCATATATATTTTAAAGTATATACCTCCAACGGCTCTGACACTAGCACTCCTAGGCGCATTGTATAACATAGCCAATTCACCGAAGGCGTCTCCACTCTTCAGCGTTTTTTTAAGTTCGCCATTAATGATAATCTGACATTATCCTCTCTCGATCAAAAAATAGGAGCTAGCCTTATCTCCTTACTTGAAGACGAATTGGCCATCAGGAACGGTACAATAAAACATTTAATCAACCACGTATTCTATATCACTCTAAGGCACCGATTTAAAGATGAAGTGCTCATTGAAGGCATTTAACATTAATTAGTAATCGAAAGGGGACTTTCGCTTATCTAGTTTCTTGATATTTTCAAATATTTCCACTGTATCTGAGACTGCATTAATCTTGGCCTACTTCTTTTTATCGCCTCGTTTTAGCTATTGTGAATAATGGAGGCAGTACTTCGATTTATTACACTTCCTAAACCTGCTGATCATCATCTCCATCATCATCATTTTGTTTATGCGTAGTTTTTTTGGTTACAGTCGTTCCATTCTAGTGCGGAATAGTTATGGTGTCTCCTTTTTTATTTGCGACCTCACTTCTCCCTGACATAAGTTCCATATTCTCAGTAGTGAATTATTGACAATGACATGCATTTCCCATTTATTTAAATAAAATACTATAATAATCAATTTTAAGTTACACCATATGAAACATGGTTTCTGTGTTAAATCTTCTACCTATCAAATATTTGATTAAAAACTATATTTTTAAGAACATTCCTTTAAACCTTATTAAACAATACTCAAGAAGGCCTTTCATGATTGGAAATATTCACAACTTCATCCACTCTACTCTTCTTGCATATTTTAGAATATCCATCTGATATCCAAGATGAGAAGATTTGCTTAGACAAATGTAATATGAAAAACCACACTTGAGATGGTAAAATATACGACTTCAAGGAATTTAAACATTTATCAAAAGAAATCTTGCCATATATATAATGATTGTTTAGACATCACTAGTTGGATGGGAAGATAATTATTTATGTAAAAATAAATATTTTTAGTTATCTTAATATCCAGTAAAATGGGGGGGGATTAATTCATACTTATTGGGTTGCTGAAATACAAAATCTTAAAATATTAATCAAGTATCATATTCTCAAGGGGTTTAGGTTGATGGAGGCGTGTAGTCTTTGCAAGCAACACAAACACCTTTAGTTGAATCCCATATATAATTATAGAAGGAATTGACTAAACAATTAGAGAAATCCAAATGGGACACATCTTATGCTTCCATGCATTTTACTCCATCCCACATGCACAGAAGAGGACTATCTTCAATGAAGTTCTGTCTCATTAATACGCATGTGCTCTCGGAGGTGAAATCGGAACAAGTGATCATCTAACACTTATTATCCTTCCATTAACATCCCAATCCCTCTCCAAAAATGAAACATAAGTCTTCGTTAAGCAATGTGTCACAGTATCTAATATCCACAACATTACAGGTGTCATTGTACCAATAACACAGTCCCCACTAAGTTTAAAATCCAATGCAATCATCTTAAAAATTTCCACAGGGTGCTAGCTCGTAATCTTTGCAATAGTTTCCGTTTTCTGTTGGCATGCAAAACAAATTTAAATCTTGATTTCCAATTTTATAGCAATCATAAGGGTCGTTCATGTAATAGTCAGAGCATTTTGTGAATTCGCTACATGTAGAGACATTCCATGAGCAATGAGATACAGAGTTGCATTTATCCTTGTTATAAAATTGGGTACAACTTCTGTCTTGACAAATTTGGTTACTCCAAATGCAATTCACCTATTCCATGCATGTGGTTTCGGTGGAGAATTTAGAGCACGTGCATTGCTCTTTGTATGATACGGGTATTGAGTGACCTAAAAATAATAGGCATGATAAAACAAAAAAGTTCATAAAAATATATATTTAATTTAATTTTATATTGTTCGCCTATAAATACAAGGGGTACTTCTGATTAAAGACGAGTTTTAAAATAAAAGGAGTGTTTTAATGAATTTTGAATTATTATTATGAATAAGAAATAAGGATAATACATTGTAATTGAGTATAATTATAATAATTTAATAAATGTATTTCAGAAAAGAGAGAGTGAAACTTCACGGCAAAACCAACTTTGAATATAGATCTCTCGGTAGGAAAAGACCTGAGGAGGTGCCGAGATTAGAGTTTCTGTCATCAGCAAGGGAATAAAAATTCGATGAAGTAATCGCCAAGAGATTAGCAGCTACAATCTAAAACCCACTCTCTCAATCTCAGGAATTCTATAAGAGTGCTCATAAAACCATGAAACAACATCCACAAATAAGTAGGCCCAGGTACATTTTTATAACAAAGCAAGATTTGCACATCTTGAAGAGAAACCAAGACGAAAACCAGTTTGGGTTGGTGACTCGTATTTAGTCTACACAGATGTCGAAGGGAGAGAAGATCAAAGAGCTCATCAGGATCGATCATAATCAAGTACAAGTATGTTGTTATTGCAGCTACGCTCAAGGCTGATCTTGCTTAAGCCAAAAGAGATGAGCATGGTTAGGCAATACAGGAAACCTAATTGGTGGGAATGGAAGAATATGCTAAGAATACATTGGAGGGAAAAGTCGACTTAACTAAAGTAAAGGAAATTAGAAGGGCCATTAGAAGGAGATATGCAAATCGTAAGAATTTTTAGAAGATATTTACACTTTGGGATGAAGAAGGGAAAGGCAAGGTTACAGTTAAGAACATTTATCATATGATTAAAAAATTAGGCTTAAATATGAATTTAGATGAGGTTCGTGTGTTGGTAGCTAGTGCTGATGAGGATTACAGTGGAGATTTGAATCTGGATGAATTCATGAATTTGATATTTAATGACAATGAGGCCTTGAATGTTGATTTGGGAAAGCTGAAGACTCTGAATGGAGAGTAGGAGTAATTGCTATTAGAAGGTGAAGATGATTAAATACAGGATGTATTGAGGGAGAAAATGCAAGAGCAGGTTGAAAATAGATAATTCAATTAATTGAATTTGATATTGAAGAATAAGTTATCTCAATTGAACAATGCCTTTTAGGAGTTGGATCCCTCCAAATAGGGACATGTCAATTTCGAGAGGTTTAGTGAAGCTATTTAGAAGTAATTCATTATATTGAGAGTAGATTACAAATATCTGAAAAGATTGTTAATGATGATATAATCAAGAAGTTTTATGATAAATTTAAGAAGGATGAATATTAAATAGATTATAGGAACTTCCTAAAACATTTGAAAGAATTTGAATTACAAAGTCAATATGTGTAGAAGGAAGAAAAGAAACAGAAACCAGTTATGACAATCTCGTTGAATCCCTTGTAAGAGGAAGAGAAGGTGCACATTTTTGATTGCACTAAAATCAATTCTCATCACTTAAATAATCTAAGATAAAGAGCAACAAGAATGATTAAGGTATTGCAAAGATATCTGCCTGAAAAAACATAATTTGTAGAATAGATACTGAATCCCCTCAAGGAGTAATACGTAAATGCACCAGATCTCACTAATCAATTATAATCTTATCTATCCAATTGTGGAGAGAAGATTGACACTAAAGATCTGGGAGCATTGCTCTCCATAATTCAATACAATAATTTATAAGTACCAAAAGATATGGTGGGCTTTTATGTTTATGAGGAAGGAGACGATGACTTTTATGAGAGATGCTCTTAAAAGCGAAAAGGTCCTGCACCATTAAACAAGGCTGTAGAGGTATCTCTGCCAGCTCAAGACACTCAAAAATCTTCCTTCTATGATCCAGGATTCGGATTATCATCTTTATCTAACAAATTTTCTCCTGAAATGGGTCAAATGTTATCAAAAGTGGAGTAATGTATCTTTAAGGCCAGTGCTCGACAATATGATATCTATAATTCTTTCGATAAAGACAAGGATGGTAAATCTTAATTCAATAATAGGTTTTATATCTCATGAGGACTTGAAAAAGAAACTCTAAGAATTGCATATTTTGTCAAATGATGAAGAATAATTACTCATTCATTATTTGGATCCGGAGAAGAAGGGTTCAGTCAACTTTCAAGAGTTTTCATCCAAGTTGTACCCTGGAATGACATTATACGATAGCAAGGGATGTGTTGGAGTAGTGCCTTCTCTTTATCCTGCCAAAGAAAGAAATGAAAATATGAAGACTAAATTACCATAAATAACCAGATCATTCGAGGAAACTTCATAAAGCATGTAATTATTAAAAGGGGCTACTCGTTTTGGAGCAACTCCACAGCATAAAAACACTTTTTTAAATGTTTAAAGACCTCCGTAGGATTCTGCTCTATTTTTGAATGAGGATGGAAGATTTGAGAAGAATGCTCGTTTGCGATATTTGAGGGAAGACCAGGAGAAAGAGAAGAACATTTATGAGAATAAGCTAAATCGAATTCGAAAGCACCAGAATGAAATATAGGAGCGAATCGAGTAGAACTATTAAATGACATTATAGAAAGATAATGAAAAGTGTAAGGCAAAAGGTTTAGCAGCATGGAGCTATGAATAGAGAGCTCATATGCAAAATGAATGGAAATGATATATATATATTTATTCTTTATACATCAATATTTTGGTATAGAATTATATGATAACTATCAGTCCAGTTTCAATTTCATATTGCTATGATAATTAGCATAAGTATAATTGATGTAAATAATAATTGATCTGTCTTTCCAGGTGGATTTTCATTATCTACTTGGGTTGGTATGCATTTTTCACATTTTGAAGTGCTAGGATTCCACCTATATGTTGAATGACTCTTATTGTAACATCTACTCTAAGAAAGTTAATATGGGAATCCTTGAACACACTCACTTTTAGATTTCTAAATGCATACAGTAACCTCACTTTCATCAAAACTCAAGACAGGAGAACAATTAAGACTGTTCGAGCATTCTATTTTACTGCATTTCGTCTTATTAGTATCATTATTTGTATCACTAGTTTTTTCGTAAGTGAAACGACATACTTTTGATTTCTTGGAACAAGCTGTATAACTGTTATTAGCATCCTCACATTAAGTCATTTTTGAACATTTCTAATTATCGAACACGCATATTCCATCGAGTCCATCAGAATCACAAGAAGTTTCAGTAGTGTATTCATCACAATTAAGTTTATTAAGACATCTGAAACCATTAGAAATGCAGCCAGATTTTAATTTAGAGCAGGCTTCAGTTGTGGTTTCGATGTAATCTATGCAATCTTTGGCTCGACACAAATTGGTACCTGAGGATTACTTTAAGGGTAAGGCAAATATACAAGGACCATCAGTCCCTTCATAACATTCCTATTCAGAATATTGAGAGCAGAGTTTTTTATCGACACAATAAATTGTATTTGTAGTGCAATTTAATTTTGGGTTGTATGTGGAACAATATTAATAAGTCATATAGGGGACGAGAGGAATATTAGAACATTACTATAGACTGCAGGCAGGAGTGGCTTAAGATTCATTCCAAAAGCAAATACCATCTATTCCTGATGAATTGCAACCATATTTAGTCTTGTATGATTGACAAATACCTATTTCAATGCATCTTTAACCATCGGAAGTACAGGTGTCTGAATATTATTGACAGTTCTCTTTGGTGCTGCCTAAAATATCCGAACATTTTCCGAATATCTAGCATGTTGGTTCTTAATTAGTTTATTCAATGACCCATCCACATTAACCCTCTGTGCCTATTTTACAACTTGTGGAATTTGTATATTCAGAGCATTTTTAATATGAGATGCAATTAGTCCCATTGCTAGTACAGTATTAAGAATACTCTTGGCATTCTGATAGAGTCGTCTTCTATATATCTGAGCACTATGAAAAAGTGACGCATGTTTGGGTGAGATTCATCCAAAGACATGGTTTTTTTTAGTAATCTTGAGTACATTTATCTTTGACTAAGAGATCCTCACAAGAATATTCTTTATAAGTACATCCTTGTCCTGAAGTTACACAATGTGGGGATAATTCGTAACAATAAATATCCTCATTGTATTAGGAAGGTGCATCCTTGCAGTCTTTGTCTCTACAAATAAAGGGTTCAAATTCACACTTTTTAGTATATTCAGAGGAGAGAGGATTGAGACATATAGGATCAAATTCCCAAACACATTTTTTAGAATATCCCAAGGAGATGGCACTGAGACATGCTAGTTTATTGTAATATTTGTTGCAATGACTAATCTCGATACATCCATTTCCGGTGGTTGTACAATTTTGGTTCAAAGCTTAACATTCTTCATGTTTTTTTAATAGAACACTGGCATCTGAACATATCCAATCTCTGCATGATTTAGTCTAATAATCCCAACTACATTTCATATTGGAATTATTTAAACATTAAGAATATTTTGTGATTTGCATGCATACCTTAATGGTATTTATACATCCTTGTATAAATTAGCAATCAGGTCTTTCTTTACATAGTTGTTTAGATGATATCATTTCACAGGTACCAATATCTATGCATCCATATCCTGTAGTCTTACATCCAGGTTTAAATTGATTACATTTCTCATCTGTATCATAATTATTTGGTGCATCAATGCATTGCAATTATTTGCATTATTTTATAGAATCATCGACACCCTTACATGGTTTATCAAAAGCATCAAACAGTCTACAGGTTTTGACAGTTCCATAAAATTATGAGCAATATCGCTTTGTCAGACATTAAAATCCATCACTAACACATCCTTCCAAAAAGGAATTGCACTCTATAGTATTTGTACCTCTTATCATATGACTGCATTCCCTATCTATACAACTGGAATTGCTAGTTGCAGATGCAACATTCCAACAAGGTTTTGTGCCTTTTTCTCCTTTGAATAAACTGCATTAAGCCTGAGTTCCTTAATAACTGGAACATGGTTGTGTATCTTCTATGCACCCACTTCCTTTGTTGACACAACCTGGCATGAATGTATTGCAATCAGAATCATTCGCGGCATCTGAGTTGTCAGAACACTACCGATCTCTGCAGAGATGAATATCAACAAGACTATCTGAGTAACATAATCTTCCATTCCCCTTAAATTTAGAACATGTTTAAAGATCACCAATATAACTTGAACAGGGTTCCAAAGAAGAAATGCAACCTTTACCATTGGTTACACAACCTTCCAAATATGAATTACACTCAATGTCTGTAGTAGATTGCTAATCATGGAAACATTCTCTGACTGAACATCTTGTAATTAAATTCTATCCTCTGCACTTCTTTTAATTACCTACAAATTTCAGACAACTGGATTAAGAGCCCATAAAAGTGTTGCATGGTTGTGTTGAATCTGTGCAACCTTTGCCAGTAGTCACGCACCCCTTTAAAAATTGATCACATTGAAGATCATTCACTGCTGTTTAATTATCCGAACATATTCTGGCTCTACATTTCATACTATAATTGTTTAGATCCTAGAAACAAGTCTCACCACTTAGTGTAGTCACATTGAGACATTAATCACTGCTGAATCCAATGTATTGTGAACAATAATTCTAAATGTTGATGCATTTGATGCCATCATAAGTACAATTTGGAGTCTACTTGTTGTTGACGTTTTTAACAATATATTTTTGACATATATCTGAACTATAAGCATGTTATTGATTTGAACATTCCTTTAAAATACAATTGATATCCAACCCTGAAGTATTTCTGATATCATACCAACATTAATTGTTGCTTGCATCAGTCAATCCCTAACATACCTACTCAGATCCTATATAATCATTGCAGTTCGACCTTTGTTATATACATCTTGTACCATTAAATCTACAAGTAGATAAATGTTTATAACAATTTTCTGGTGAAGGGTCTTGAATCTCATTCTCGCATGATGCATTCACACAAATAGAACTCTCACCTTGATACCAACAAGACTCATTGGTTTTTGTTGTGACAACCGCACAAGCTTCCTTAGAAAATCCAACGTATTGTATGCAAGTATCTTTTGCATCTTAGCATCTGAACCCATTATATCTGCAAGTACTCAAATGGTCAATACATATCTCTGCAGAATAGAATTGTAGATTGTCTGAACAAGTACGATCTACACAATTCGAACTTTAATCCTTGTACCAACATTTTTCCTTCTTTTTATTCGTGACTTCCTTACATCCATTCAAGTTAAAATTAATATAATTATTGCAATTATCTTTTTCATCAACACACTTATTGTCACCATCAAATCTGCATGTCTCTAAATGAATTCTGCAGTTTTCATCGGAAGGATTTGTAATATTATCCGAGCACTCTCTAATTTTACATTTCTAATCATTAGAACTCCACCAACAACCAGGTATGAATTTACACTCATTTTCACTCACATTTTTATAATCATTACAATTATTCAATTTCCTTATACACTTGGATCCAGTATAAATACAACTAGGATCAAGAGCTTTACAAATATCATTTGAATACTCTGCCAATGTTTCTAAGCATGTTCTGTCTTTACATTTCCCATCCTTATCAAACCAACAACCCTTCCCTGTCTTGTCCTTTGCATCTTAACATCCCTATTCAGAAAAACCAACATATGTTGAACAACTATCCTTCACCTCCTCACAGTTTTCGATTCCATTGAAAATACAGTTTTTTCTATAAGATGTGCAATCCTATTATGATTTAACATTTTGTGCATCTTTGCATAAACGATTTGTGCAGTATTATTCTTTGTCACTATATGTACATAAATCCCCATCTGCATTAACCAGTATTTAGCATTATTCTTGTGAGTATCCATAATAATAATCACAACTATCTTCTTTTTCAATGCATTTCCCACCATCAAAAGCACAAATAGACAGATATTCTTCACATTCTTTTAAAGACAAAGGATTCTGTACATCTGAACATTTACGATCCTCGCAATAGTCTACCCTTACACATTGTAATCCATTTCCCCTATATTTTGCACATGTATCCTCGTCCCCTTCATAAGTATCACAAGTCAACTCTGCATCTTGACATCCCTTCCCATTGAATACACACCCTTACAAGAACTTGATACATTCATAATCAGTCTATGCATCAACATTATGACTACATTGTTTATCCACACATTAACCTGAAGATACTTGCTCGTACCAACATTTCTTTCCATTTCCAACAAATTTAGAGCAATCATCTATTGAATTTCCAAAATATTGTGTGCATTGAGCTGTTGATGCTATACATCCAACTCCCTTAGTTACACATCCAGATTTAAACAAATTACATTCATAATCTTCCAATGCCACTGAATTGTCATAGCAGTCCAGTGGTCTACATTTTCCTGATTCCCCTAGATTTTGCGAACATTTGTTATTCAAAGCATAACACTATTCGGTATTTCCTTAAAACTCTTCACAACTTGCATTTTAATCAACACAACCATATGTTCCTCTGAATTTACATCCCTCTAAAGTGTCATCACACTCTTTTTGACTTTTAGCAGATTGGTTATCTTAACAGGTTTTAGATCGACACTTTTAAGTCGCTGGATAATAAAGACATGGTATTTTACCATTATTACCCTTATAATTAGTACATGTATCTTCATCCCCAACGTATTCTTCACATGGAGCTGACACATCCACACAACCTTATCCATTAGTGATACAATTGGGTAAAAATAATTAGCAATCCTAATTAGTTCGATATTGCTAACCAGCATGTTTGCATTATTTATCAACACAACTTGATCCTTCCCAAAAGCATTCAACATTTGATGAATGTCCAAGACACATTCCCTTTCTTAGGAAATACTTACATTCGTTTGTCACACATTATTCTGCCCATTAACATTTATCACTTGCCAAACAAGTTATCTATTGTAATGTATTTGGACAAGTATCAGCCGTGACACATTTAGTTCCATTAGTCAAACAATAAGATTAAACACTCTGGCATTCCTAATTAGTTTTGAAATCAGCATTCTCACAAGCATTCACTGCACAATATCCATTTTCACCTATTGTACATCTGCCCTCTGTTCCTCTATACTTTTTGCACTTTTCAGCATCCCCTTTGTATTTATAACAACTCATCAAAACAGATGTACATTCAACACCATTAGAAATGCAATTAAACTAATATTACCCACATTCGCTGTCAGTTGAAAATAGGCCATCAGAACAAATCCTAGCCTTACATTGCTGTGACTGCTCTGTGTTTTAAGCGGTGCATCTTCCATCTGCTCCTATTCTTCTTTCACATTCTTATTTAGTGCCTGTATATGAATTACAATTCAATTGAATAGCCACACAACCAATCCCAGTAGTTTTGCATTTCGAAGAATAAGACTTGCATTCTTCATCTGTAGAATATTATTTTGGTGCACTTTCGCATTTCCTAGCTTAGCATTTACCCTTCAAACCTTCTTCACACTTACCACTACTCCCTATGTATTTCAAACACTATTCCCCATCCCCTGTATAAGTATTACATGATTTCAATGCCTAATCCGTGCACCCAATACCTGTTGTTCTGCATCCTTTTCTAAAATACTAGCATTGTTGATCAGTATAATATGTCAATGGGGCACTTGCACAATCCTTATATTAGCATTTATCGCCTTTCTATTCACATAAGCCATCACTCCCAATCATACCATCACAATTTTTGTCATAATAATAACAATTCAGTCTTTTGTCTACGCATCCTCTCCCATTCGTTACACATCCCTTCATAAAGGAATCGCAAGCATCATCAGTAATGAGCAACTCAGAAGCTTCATTGCATGTTTAATCTCTGCACACATTGTTTTCCCAAACACATTTCCTTGATCCGGAGGAACTTATTACTGTACTACACAATTGTTCCTTTTAATTTTTAGAGCATTCCCTTGGTTTTATACATTGCACTCCATCACTTGTACATTGTGTACTAATTAATTAGCATTCATTATGAGTAGTATAAACATAGCTAGTGCAACCACTAAAATGAACACAATTCTAGTTGTAGTAAGCACAGCCTATTTTGTTACTACAATCCTCTTGTATTCGACCTTTGCAATAAATGCTCTCTGGTTTCGTTGAAATCGCTTACTCCTCTGGCTTCTATTAACAACTTTAATTCAACCATGAACATTCCAAGTTTTATTAGCAATCATTTTAAGATAACAAATGCTAACATTTGCAGGCTTCTGATACCTTTATTTGACAGTGAGTTGATACCAAGAAACCAAATAGAACTAAATGATACAAACTAACACTCATTCTATTTAATTTAATATTAAATCAAGAACTTTACAAATCTAAGTGTCAAAAAGATCTCCCTTTTAATTAGGAATACTAAATCATCAAAATAAAGGTGCCTTGTTTATTCCAAAAAGTAAAGCATACATAATTTATTTATGCATTATCAATGTCAATTCTATTTTTAATTAGGATGTAACTAGTTTTATTTACAAACAAAAGATTTTTTTATATAATCCATAAATTGTTGTTTTTCTTAATAGATTTACAAAAATAATATATTATATTTTTTATATGAAAATTTGGATTTAAATAATACTTAACTTATCTGAATTACCAAATTCAAACAATAATAATAATAGTAAGTTTATATAAATGAATGATCAAAATTTAGAATTCTTATTCATCTCACCCTTTAGATATTATTCATAAATCATAGTCCCTTACTGTTATATTAATTATTTCATGATATTATTAACAAAACTTTATTGAAAACATCTTGATTATCATTTGAACTTTATAGATTTATATATGCATAAATTTACTCTTTTGATGTAACAATTCATCTTTGAAAAAAGGATGAATATTTCTTAATATCATTCAGGGATTATAACTGTTAAGATCTTGCACCCTTGTCTATTCCATCGATATGAGACTAGAAATATTTTTTTGTCATATTTACCACTATACTTATGATTGTATAATAATTAACTAAAGAATTAGAATAAAAAGTGTATCAAATTGGCAACTTTTTAATGTGTGTTCAGGGTATAGATATTTATTGTATTTCCCATTGCAGATAACTACTTATGTTGTGATTGTGTAAATATTAATTCAAAAAGACAGTTAATTCATTATGCAATAAGAAGATTTGATTATTACAATAACAAATCAAGGGTATTTCTTTAGAAAGAGAAAGTAGTAATGAAATTTGTGTGGTAATCTTTTATGTTATGGTGATTATTACACCCCCTCTTGTTTCAGTAGTTTTAGGATAACTATTAATCTTTTAAAATACTTCATCAAGGATTTGTATTAATGTGCTTATAGTAATTAAAATTGATGAAGTGAATAAAAATTTATTGATGAAGTAATTAAAAAGATGAAGTTTACACACTTGATTGGATAAATGACAATGTATTTTTGAGGAATTGACAAATTTGTATTAGAGAATAGAAATTGGTTTATATATTAATAAATTCCCAAAATATTATGTTGGGAAATTTGGATGTAAAAATATGCAGAACAACTACTAGCCAGTTGTCTGCATAAGATCTCGACGAGACCTACATCATTTAACGGCCTGTGGGATAAGGAAAATATGGGTGATTCAATTCTCTATTAAGTAGATAGGTCTTTAGGGCTTAAAACAAATTGAACAAGTAGATTGTTGCCTTAAAAAAAATAAAATAAGAGAAAGAGGCCAACGGAGTAAGACCTATTTAAATATATAGTTTCCGCGAACGGCAATGAGAGAAATTCATCTGCTTTCATCAATGAAGCATCAAAATATAGTGAGTTTTCATGAAGTTGTCGTATAATCTAGTAAGGATAAAGCAGTAATTATGGTAGAGAACACATATTTAGTACTGGAATACATGGACACGGACCTGCACAATCTGTTGTAGAGACGAATAGTTTTTAGTTTAGATTAAGTTCGATATTTGATGTATCAAATACTTGAAGCTCTTTCTTATCTGCATTCTAGGAATGTGTACCATAGGGATTTGAAGCGTAAGTCCACAACAATATTTTGAAGCCAATAACATACTCTACAACGTCAAGGGATAAGTAAAGATCTGCGATTTTGGAATGGCCAATGAATATTCAAAAAAGAGACCATAAACCAAGCGAATATTGGTTCCCCAATACAGAGCTCCTGAAATCTACTTAGGCGGCGTATTTTGCTTCGTATTTAACAAGAATAGTAGTACGATTGTTCGGTTGATATGTGGTCAGCTGGTATCCTCTTTCTTGAGCTAATAGTAAAACCAAGTCCCTTTGCGTTGGCGAAATCGGAATCTCAATGTTTTTCAAAAATAATCGATCTTTGTGGAACTCCTACGGAAGGTTTGAATTTTATTTTTTCTTTTATGGTGATTGGTCAGATGTGAGTTCACTTCCCCTTTACCATGAATTAATTAATGAACCGAAGGAAAGAACATTACGAAAGTACTTGCACGCTCAATAAAATGCCATACCTTAACTCATCGATCTTGTTGATAAAATGCTGACTCTGAATCCAGCAAAGAGAATTACTGCCAAAGAAGCATTGAAACACTAATACTTCCAAGCCAGAATCTTCATAATGTGATTTATTATATCCCTTAAGGCAGGATGCCCGTAATAGAATAGGATGCACAGCCACCAAAGGACCCTCCCATTCAAAAGAAGGTTAAACAGGAGCAACAAAAACCTTTATTACATGGTATCAAAATTAATAAATGTATGTGATTATATATTATATCTATATAAATATTAAGTATTAAGGATTTTATTTATTTATATAGTATTGTTGCTATTCTTCAAAGCAATAAATATTCTTTATCAAAAAAAGTTATTTTCTCCAAAAATCACTGGTAGGTGTAATAACAAATTCTAGTTTAATTCAAAAACGATGATGATGATATTTTAATTTGGAAGGATATTGACCAGTTTCTAAAGAAAATTTTAAATAATTTTGGTTCTATTACTACTTATTCAGTTCAATTACTATTTGCAAAGCTTTTAAATTTATACTCTTTAATTTATGTTGATCGATCATGTTAAATAGTACAATTACTCTTCATATATTAAACTTGATTGAAGATACATTGTTATTGATAAGACCAGTTTTAATTTGAACCCAATTTTACACTAAGATTTCTCAGTAATTCTAATATATACCTCCTTATGTCCAAAAATTCTTGAATCCTCTAATAAATTCTTCAAAGTATGATAGCTGGTTATTGTTTAAATAATTCTTCTTTCCTTTTTGAGTGGTGTATCTTGATTTTTTATTGAATAAACAGTCTAGTATTTCAAATAAAGATAGTCATGTCTAACAAAGAGATCTGTTGATAAACTTACTAATACTTTGATAAAAGTCTTAGTATAATTTAATCTTGTTCAACTTAATAATTTACATAACTGATATTCAATCTGAGATATCAGAGACAAAAACATTTATACCCAATACATCCGTTTAGAGTACTAGGATTTAATAATATCCTTCTAATTGTTTTTAAATTGTAAAATATCTAATTTGACAAACATCGTTTTAAATTCAACTTAATGAGGTGTTTCAGGGTCGTTACATGAGTGTTTGACCATGATTTCAAGTCATTTTTCAAGAATACCTTTCAATTTCATACAGAGAACAACACTCATGCTCATAGATGGCTAATATTCTGGTATTGGAAATGTTAAGTACTTCCGAACTGTACTATGTTATGAATTAAATTTTGTAATCATTTTATAAATGAAAAAAATTGGAATTAATTTGTTAACACTCGTTACTCTGATAAATCCATCTTTCTCCATCTACCAGAATTTACTACTTTCAATCAGTATCTGTATTATGCTATTTAACCAATACTTACTTTACCATCAATATTTTAACATTAAAAAATTAGCTCATGTAATGATTTACTTAAAATGGATTATGATGTATGCCTAACTATCTTAAAGTTGTACATAATAGTAAATATGTGCTCAACTCATTTTGCTCACAGAACTTGACTTGTTTATTAAAACAATCATTGGGATTGGATCTTCAATCAATTCTATCCTACAACCAAACATTTATGGATTTTACTTTACGATTCCTTATATGATAGTGATTTTGAGTGTAATATTGTATGATTATTGGAAACATCTTCAAAAAAATGAAAATAGCAGTACTTAACTGCAAAAAGCTAAGTTTATCAATTCTAAATAATTGTCAAATCAGTTTGACTAATAGTCCTCTAAAGTCTAAATTCAAGGGAATTGTGTAAAGTCTCCTGGCTTAGAATGTCCTGATTAATTAAATAGTCCGATGATTTTGGATATGCATTGTAATGAAGAAGAGGATGTTCTAGCTCACATGTACATATTGGATATCTATAATCTAGGTCATGGATTCACAATCAATCTATTCTAGTCTATAATCAAAATTTCGAAATCACATACCAAAACTTCTACTTAGGGAAACTTACAAATCCACAATTCTCAGGAGTCAACCAAAATAATGATTATGAGTAAATCTTTCTCGAATGCGTGATTGAAATAGGAAGTAGAGAAGTCAATGATTTATTTGGGAACTCAGAAGTAGACTTGGATTAAGAAGAGTACTATAACCTTTTATCAACAATAGCTCTTTAATATTAGACAGCACTGTACACAGTAGATATAAAATTAAAGGTGGATTATAAAAAATAAGATAAATGGTTGCTGCTTTATTTAACAATTATTAAAAGTATGAATATAAATTTATTATAGATGGAAATTCTTTACCTTTACACTTTTCAAAATAAAAAGCAATGAACTCGATTTTAAGAATATTGGTATCAAAGTGTTAGTCACTGAAGTGAAATCAAAGCTCTATACTCTGTTCATGTTTGAAACAATACAAAAGGAGAACTCAAAAAGAGTATTAGATGAACCGGTTTAATTTTTAAATGTTTTCTAAACTTTTCTTTCCGAATCCAACAATTACATTAATGCTATTCATTTATTACTTCTATTATGCTCTCACGATCACGAAAAGAATTCAGGTAAAATTTCAAAAGAATACTTAAAACAAATGAGAATGAGCACTTAAAAGCTTATGATTTTTTTGGGAACCATGAAAGACCTTTCTCTTCAACTCACGAATCAATTGACCTTTAAAAACTCAAGCTTCAAACTCACTGATATATTGGATGAACTCCAACTCATATACGAGGATTGCTTAAAAATTAAGGAGATCTCAATCATTCAAATAATAGAAAATGATTTGATAGTTTTCAATGATTCCGATCGAGTAAACTATATATCCTATTTAGACTAAACAAATTCTAAAATGTCTATTCGAAATAGCTATCAAATTTACTGTTGCCTCCAAAATCAGAATAGATATTCATTAGGTATCACCAAACAATTATCAATTTCAAATCAAAGACATTCCATTTAGAGAAGAAAGCGTAAAGTCTCAATATCAAACAGTTCTAAAGAATACAGCATAATTAATGAAAACTAATTGCAAAGATTTTGATATGAGCAATCTATTGGAATTGCAAATGTCAGCAATTCTAGCCTTCTCTCTTTCTGGATCTCTCAGAAAACCATTAGAGATAAGCTTTGATAACCAACTTTAAGGAACTTTCACTTTTACTGTTGAATCACTTCCAATTAATGGTAAACATGGTAATCACAATTAATAAATCAAACCTAAGCGTGCATTTGAAACATCACTATCTATGTTATTAGCATAAGCATAAGACAGTTCTCAATATAAGTATGAAGAATCAAAGTACATGTCTTTTACTTAGATATCAAAGCAATACTCACTCAAACCAGATGTCCCATTTGATTTACAGAGTGCTCATTTTTCACAAATATCCAAAATCAAATAAGAGTCTCCTTAAATTAAACCTCTAGGTTCTTAAGCTCAAATAAATTCTGGTGGAACCAATAAAGTGTAGGATTCCTTGTTTCCTAAAAGTTTAAACAATTACAATCCTTCAAAAGCGATCAAAAGTGATTCTGCTATCAATGAATCTTCCAGACCTATGACTAGTGCTTTGGATTTTGGAGAAAGTACCAATCCAAATATCGATCTCCAGGAGTTGAGTCCAAAGTTTTTACATTCTGTAATCAAGTTCAAATTAACTAATTAATGTTGTTCAAAAGTCATAATTGCAGATAACGATTATCTGAATGTATCAGTACTCTAAATTCTACTCAATAAATATGAGGTTAAATCTGATAAAGCATTTACGCAGCAGTAGACACTTTAGTTAATAAGAAGTAAGTCACTTAGTCCATGCAGATGCAAAAACGGAGCTTATTTAATTTACTTTATTGATGTCTCCTTGCCGGTATGTATTCCCACATATATAGCAATCAGCAGTGGATTTGATCAAAGAAATCAAATAACTATTTAAATCTTTGTTAGTAGACAAGGGCTTCATCATTGCCATGGCTAGTTATAGTGATATGGATTTGAAATTGAGTTGCTTCAACTCTGGAATCGATTATTTCATTACAAAACCTTTTGATTTATTTGAATTAACTGCTATTCTTTAATATATATAGTTTTGATCAAACCTAATTTATATTAAGTAGCATTTTATTTAATTTTCTATTATATATTGACATTACAAAATTCTAAATGTATAAGGACCTTGATATTAATGAATTAGAGAAGCTGAAAAAGGAGGAGGCAATGCTTTCACTTAGAAAAGCCACGACTAATATGAAGGTGAGTCATAGATTTTCTATTCAAAGGAACGATTTGGATAATCCAACTAGGACATATTGGAGGAGGAATTTAAGTAGAAAACAGTTGGTTTGGTAACGAGGGAGGAATTTAAGAGGAAGAGAGAAAACATAGACAGAATTTATGTTTAAGATCTTTAAAAAAAATAAGAAGAAGAAGAAAAAAAGAAATTGGAGCTAAAGTAAAAAAGAAAGTAGGAATATAAATTGAAAACAGCATTGTTGAGTTTCGAATCGGAATAATAAGAACTTTATGATAAGAAAAATTATGGGAAAGATAGCAGCGTTGACACATTATATCTTCCAGACATGAATCGAGAAAAAAAGATCGAAGAACTCACTAAAAAATTCACTGGTATAATTCCTTAAATTAATTAGTCGCTAGAAGAATATTAGAAAAATATGGAATTGCAAAGGGATTAACTAATTGATATTAAATTTTAGTATTGGGATGCATAAACTTGTACAAGAACATTAAGAATCACAAAGAAGACAACCATCAAAGAATTTCTGGAATTAGCGAGAAGAGAGATTATTAGAGACTTCGGATTTGTATTATTTATTAGCTAGATTATTTAGTTGACTGAATTTAGTCCTGATGATTTACTTTTTGTAGCCAACACAATGATTTTGCCTCATAAACTGAGTTTTCACGATATTATTGCTTATAAAGTTAAGAATAGATCTGGAAAGCCTATTTTCTCATTTGAATAGAGGAAGGTATTCTAAATATGATTTATTTGATTTTTTTAGGTTCAAGCTAAAGGTTAAGAATACGAAGTTGAAGTTGAAAATTCAACTACTTGCAGGATTATCGAAAAATTTAGGTATGAAAAAATCAAGCACATCTATCCGTGTTCTAAATGGGAAGTTGTTGATATTAATAAGTACTAATGAAAACTTTTGATGAGTTATTATTAAATTTAACGAATAAATTTTTAATAATGTCTACTGAGCAATAGCAAACAAAATTACATAGACTGCAAAACTACTATCATTAATTTGAAAAGGGTGAAATCACAGGAACTCAATTGAAATCTCAATTACAAACTAATTTAAAAATCAGATGGAATCCAAATTTAGAGAACATGATCCATCAAGTTGATCCATCATATACTGATTTTGTTAGATCAGTCAATAAAACCAATAAGTATGTACCAAAATAGACAACTCCTCAATTGACCGAATAAATCAATTACCCAAAGAAAATAAGAACTGAACATATGTATTTATATATTTAATTAAAATAGAGGTCATGCTGATTTACTCAAATGGGATTGATAGAATATTATATGTATATAAATAATACTAAGCATAATATACAATTACATTCCTTTATTTATAACAATTTATAATGGCAATTAACATTTTTATAGCTTATTTTTATTTCAACTTATAAAAAATAAATGAAAAATCATTAAATTCCAAAAAGTTCAGAAAGATATGGTAAACTCGTATTACCCATACGTCATTCACTTCCAGTTGGACTATTCTCTAGTTAGAATTCTCTATTCGCTTCTATTATCTCTGTAAAGAACAGAGAGGAAAATAGTAAAAGCCAAAAACAGAAGAATTCATAAACACATTTCGAAGCATCAACCCAAAGAGCTGTAACACCAAATAGTTAAAATAAATGCATACCATTTACAACAAAATATCATCTAAGTAGTCAACCACAAAAACAAAAAAAGAAATCTAATTTAATAAATCAGGAATCAATTTAATCGAAAATTTCGAATCTTATCTGTTAAAACAAAAGCGCAGATTTTAATAATATGAGTTCTTAATATAGGGATGGAGATGACTAAGAAATAACTAAAATTTTTAATAATCTCAAATGTGTTAGTCAACAGATTAATGCAATCAAGGTTAATTAATTATCTCAATAGATTTTATCGCAATGGTAAAGAGTATTGGCATCCAATTGTGAAAAAATAGTAGAAATAAATAAATCAAAAAAGAAATCTGAAATGGAATGTCCATAATTAATAAAAAGCAATAGTTCATCGTCCTAAATAAATGATGCTTCTGGGCTCAATCTTGAAAAGCTGCTAGCTGAAGAAAGGAGAAATAGACTATTAGTAGAAGAATAGACTAGCAAAATAATATCAAGTCAAGAATCTGAAATTAAATCATATGTAAATATATACTCTATATAATTAGATTGAGAAAATCAAATAATTAGAATAGAGATTAATCGAAAAGAATTCTTGGCAAACATGATTATAAGAAAATATGTGTATTATTATTTATTCCTCAATTTTATTTTATTTTCACACATCTATAAATGAGGGTAGAAAAATTAAAAAATAAATTTTGTAAAACATATTTATTTCTTATAAATGTATATAAATTTGATAATAGATACTGGAAATCCCTCTAATTTATAATTCAACTAAAAATAAAATAGTAATTCTAAATATCTTGAGAGAACTCCAAAATAAACAAACTAGAAAGATTTAATAATAAAGGTTAATATAATTTTTCAATAGTCTTTTATTTTTACATAGAATTAAAGAGAAACTAAGAAAAATAAAGGTAAAAATAAAACTATTCATTTTGCTTTGAAAGCTTCTTTAAAATGACTAATTATTTGGACCTAAATCATTATTATTCATAACTAGAAAGAATTTATTAAAATGAGAAAATACCATCATTTCAACAAATTTAACTTAAATTAAAGGGGTGAATTGATTAAAAAATAATAAATTTAATAAACCAGTTTTTAGTTTCTAATAATAGTAGGAGAAATAAATTTAAGTTTATTAAGGTTTGTATTGTTAAAGATAATAGAACTATAATATAATATAATTTAAGAATTTTTTAAATAATAAAAAATTTCACTGATATTCTTCATAATTTTAAGTAATATAAAACATTGATATTTTTTAAATAGCTCATATGCTCTATATCTTAGAATTTAAAGAATTTTAAACTCTTTTCAACTTGAGTGTTTTCAAAATATTCTTAATAAAAACCTCAGTCATTATATATGTAATAAAATAAACATAGCCAACTTAAAGATAAATTTTATTTGAAAAAATAAGTCTTAAAAAATGAACTAACTTGAATAAAAAGCTATTCGATCTCTACTTAAACTAGCAAGAGAGGAAGAAGCAATAACTTAAAGAGAATGGGAACCTTAATCTGCAAAGCCCCTAGATTTGATCTCACCTCAACCAAAAACTCTTAATTAAAATAGAAGAAATGTCAGGGTGATTCCTAATCATCAAGCTAGACAAAAGTCTTCAATTGAGATGAACTATGAGAATTAATAACATTCAGAATTATTATAAAAAGAAAATTCGCTTTAATAAATAATAGAAGAGTATATGAAATAAATAAGGCAAACTCAAAGATAGATGGAATCAGTACATCAATAAAAATTTGATTTGAAATCAGGATGGATGAACTTCAGTTCAATAATTCTCGAAAACAAATAAAAATTAACTTAGAAACACAAAAGGTCTTCATTAGAATTATAAGTAAAAGAAAATAATCAACAAAAACTATAGTAACAACAATCATTCAAAAAGACGTCGCTTCGAAAAGTATTAAATAATGAATCTTTTTTTTACCAAAATTGAGATCAACATATCTAAAATGATTCATTTAATATTTCAAGTTTGCTCAATTTGTTTTCTTTTCCTCTTCCCATTACTTATTATCCAATGGACAAGTATTTTTAGTTTTCAGCCATTATCTTATGCAATGTTCATGATAGGCATGTCCACATTTTCCTTATTAAGTAATACAAATCTCTTTTTAATCCTTTCCTTCACATTCAATACATTTTTCCATTATATGATTTTTGCAAATAGCACAATGTTCAACTTTCAAACTCCAAGCTAAGTATTAAAAAAATGTATATACACCAAAAAGCAACAGGGTACCATTTCTTAATCTCAAATCTTCCTTTTTCTTCTTATTACATAAGTATTAATTATTAATAATATATTATTTAAAAATTGACTCTAAATAACACTTGAAAAATATTTCTATTATTAAACTCAATAATAATATTATTTCTAATTTATAGACTCATCACTCATAATGTCTTTAAGACTTTTTCTATTGTATCGAAAGCAGAATTAAGTTCTTATTCATTAATGATTAAAGGTGGAGTTAATCTAAGAGATTATATAAGTTAAGTACCTCATTATGGTCTTGTGAGTGGGTTTGCAAAGAAGTCCTTCTTTTGCCAATCTAAGGCAGAAATCCCAAGCAACATCCCCTTTTCCCTCTTAGAATTGAATGGCTCCCATTAATCCCCTGCTTCTAATTTGAGTGACATTATTGAATTTCTTCAATGCACCTAATCTTTTCTCCATCACTTTGCCTAGATTGTTGGCATTTTCAATCATTTTTTCTTCTTGCAAAACCTCTAAGGCTTTAATGCATAGACTAGCTGCCAAAGGATTGCCACCATAAGTGGATCCGTGTTCGCCTGGCTTAATTTGCAACATAATCTAATCATCAGCCAAAACTGCAGATATTGGATAGAATCCTCCTGATAATGCTTTGCCCAACAACACCATATCGGGCCTGACATTTTCCTATTGTATAATTCAATATTAGATACATGTTCTACAGCTAACATTTTGCCAGTTCTGCCTAAACCTGTTTAGATTTCATCGACAATCATCAAAACATTGTATTTATCGCATAATGATCTTACTTATTTCAAGTAATTTGAATCTGGAATTATTACACCATTTTCCCCTTGGATGGCTTCAAAGAAAATGGCAGCATAATTTGGATTAGCTTTAAACTTAGATTCAATTGCTTCAACACTATATAGAATATGCAATTTTGATTACTTGTTGTAATCGACGAGATCAAAGTTCAAACCACCGAATGGTCCGAATTTATTATATCTTTCGGGATCATCACTACTACCGCATGCTGCTATAGTTCTACCCCAGAAATTGCCATTTGCAAAAAGAACTCTTGCTTAATTTTCAGGAACCTTTTTTACATTGTATGCCCATCTTCTGGCAAATTTAATTGCCGATTCTCCTGCCTCCACTCCTGAATTCATAAATAACACCTTGTCGTATTTGAATAATTAGGTTATGTACTTCTCAGCCTCTCCTAGTTTATTGTTATAAAATCTAATATCATATTTTATCTTACGCTCTTGAAGTTAAAGTCAATTGAGAGGCTTATTGGATTAATTCTTAATAGATCTTCTCATGACAGTGACCTTAATTAACTGCTGAATATGCTGCTAAAAAGTCCATATACTTCTTTCCTTCTTGATCCCAAACATATATTCCTTTTCCTTTGGAAATTACAACAGGCAAAGGATGATAATTGTGACATCCATATTAGTTTTCTAATTGTACAAAGTATTAACTATTTTTGGCCTGTGAGAACTTGGCAATCGATTTGAAGATAAGATTTTTCATTTGATAAATTAATACGTAATATTTTGATGATGAAAACTTCACAAATTAATTTTTAATAGTCATAACACATGATCTTAATTGGAATTGATGAATTTTTTCTTATCTTCGACATACAGCGCTAATATTTCTAATCCTTGTATTGGCAAGATGGAGTTTGTGATTTCATTTGGTGGGAGCAAGTACAGGAGGTTGTTTCCTATATATGCAACCCCAATCTTATTCTTTTCTGAAAAATAATCTATATATTCCTGAAATACAGTATTCTAAAGATATAAGTTAAAATCAGAACCTAAGTGGCATCGGAAGGACAGAGAATGAATTTGAAAGCCTCATAGGCTAACTTCTTGGCATCAGTAAAGTTTCCCTTATAATTCACTTATATTTATGGAGACATAGTTATGGGAGCCTATAGATGTTAATAGTAAATCCAATTACTTCCGATTCCTAACATTTGGCATCCACTCCAACCTTATGACTCTTACTTCTAAACATGAACCCGCTCCAAAATGTATCCCAATCTTGTCGCTACTATTATTGTTGATTGGTGTCAAAGTTTAAAAACCCATCAAGAATCTCTTGGTTTCCATTTAGATTGTGATTCGGTTTGAGTTTCGTATCTTATTCAAGAGGTTGAATTTATTAGGGAAGATTAAATTATGTTGGATCTACGAATTGATGATACATTCTTCGTTCTTATTTAGGCATCATGAATTGCTGCTATTTTGGCTATTAGATCATGACTTATTATGGTATGAAGAGTGGCTAATAGTTACATTAGAAGGGTTATGTGACTTGGGGTATCATCATATTGTTTGGTAGTTGTTGTTACGGGAGCATTTGGATTGGTTGATATTGTTGTGGTGGTTGTTGTTGTTGTTATTGGATGAGCTTTGTTGGAAGTGAGACTATTCCCACTTCGCACTTTGAATCACCTAGGAGGTCTACTAAATGCTATTGGAGGTAGTTTCGTATTTGGATTGCTTGTTTTGTGTCTCTGAATTGTAGAAGAGTGTATGATTTGTAATTTGGGTCTTGTTGAACGTGATTCCATAGGAGAGGTTGGCATTAATGATTCTGGCATATCTTTTATAAAATGATTTAAAAAATTACTTCAAACAAAAACGCATGATCAACTTTTTTATTTAAATTAGGAGGAAAAAATATAAATAATACTGATGAAAGTTTAGAATGTTACTCATTTGATAAACTAAAAATTCTAATAAAATTTACTTATTGCCAACAATATTGTGTCTTTTTATAGGGTCAGAAAAATAAATTTTTATTTAAGTAGAAAATTATTATTAAATACTATCCATTTCTTCATAGGCAGAAATAGCTTAATCTATCTAAATTCAAATAAAAAAAAAGTTTATACAGTAAAAAATTTTATATAACTGTTAAATATATTATGCTTATTAGGATACAGATCAACCCTCTCTATAGGGCCAAATTATGAAAAAATCTATAATTTTCACATTCTATTACCTAGCGAATCTTCAATTCATCATAATTCTTGGATATTCCACTAACAAACAATTCTCTAACAAAAAGTTGAATTTATATTTTTGGAGATGGCTCCAAAGGAGTAATGGGTCCATTAGTTAATACTTGTTTGTTTTTCTCCTAAGATCTGGATCGAGATCTAGATTTGCATCTAGTAATAGCTTGTTTATCGATTTAAGGCTTCACAGTCCAATCCCCGATTCTACCATCTTGAATTGCCTTATCAGCCGCATCATTATCAGCAAAAGCAATAAAAGCATAACATGAAATATGTAAAGGTAATCCTTTTGTCAATTAACTCCTATACCTGTAGGTGTTTTTCTGATGATCCTGATGTCTAAAATGTTTCCATAAGTTTAAAAGGCTTATTGCAATTATTAGGTTGTGACATTTAAAGGTAAGTTGGAGACGTGGATTTTTTGTCTAGCAGATATAGGTTAAGTAGGGTTTGGAACAGGTAAGGGATACTATATGAGTGAATTTTGTAATTGATGAGAAACTAAAGAATTATTGAGCATAGAAATTTAAAAATATTAATATCATTTTGATATTTTATACTTCCTCTTAAATTTGTGATTTGCTGAGTCCAGAATTAAGTGTCATGATGGAATATGCGTACACCATAGACTCGATTTCTTTTATGTGAAATGATATTCCCTTCTTTTATCTGTATATATATATATAAATAAATTAAATGAATAACAACGATGAAATTATATAGAAGTTGGATGTGATAGTTGCAAATTACTTAAATCAAAAGGATCATAATGGTTAACTATTGACTGAAAAATATTCGGAGACCTACATATATTCTTTGGTTCAGAAACATTTATTTGATTATGAAGCAATTTTTACAGCATCTTAAAAATCTGTAATTGATGTCTTTGATTTTATAACTTCCCTCTTGAAAGTAAATTTACAACCATTCAAAATAGTTTACTTCGGAACCCATTGAAGATACCTTATTCATAATTGTATAAGCCATAGATTTCTTCAAAGCAATCTGCGAAGAATATCAAACCTACACTATCAAATTTTCTGACCTTTCAAGTTATCTCTGCAAATACAATCCCAATTTGGATGAGGTAAATATCCTATTCGATTTTAATAGAAGGATGTCCCTTTACAAAACAGAACCATCACTTATCACAAATATCCTCCTTTGAAATAATTCAATAAGCCACAGAGCAGATAAGTAAGAAGCATCGATTTGGAAGCACCAACAATCCTTGGAACTTTGGGTCATTACATAAAAAGAATCAACAAAGAGAAAATATACATAGATTCCCAGAAAAACCAAAATAGTTCTATTCTAAGAATGCAATATTAGGAGTCCGAACTCAAAATTCTAATCCTCCATCAATATAGTGATTTCATTAGCATTTACAATCCTGATTGCACATTGTAAAGTAGATTGAGACCCAAGGCTTAACAACTGAGAAATATCATCCACGACTTTTATTGGTCTGAAGAACAATAACGAATAGGAATAGTGTTTAAAGATGCATGGATTTGTTTCATGGATTAGAGTGACTAATTTGAATTGGAGAAGTATTTTACAACAAAGGTCGATCAACATAGAATCTACTATGTCCAAAATAAATGGATGACCGTGGGAGTTGACTCAAAGATATCAATCTGGAATTTGGAAACTGAGAATAGTTGTGTTATTTCTCATGATCAAATTAAGAATGTAGTAAATATCATTGAAATAACATATTTATAATTAGTGTGCATAGCTTGCTAGGATAAATTGACCATGTGGGACTTGTGGGAACACAACAAACCTAAATTACTCTTCAAATTATAAGTCAATCATAGCCGATTGAACAACATAGTATTCTTTTAAGAATATCACCTAATTATAACGTCTGGCTTTGACACTAAGGTCAATCTCTATCAATTGCATAAGAAATATAACGATGGAGATTATGTTGGCTAATTGGAGGGTCATACTGCAATAGTTACTGCAATCTAGTGCGTAGAGAAATCCCCAATTGTAATTACTACTGATGATCGCTTGATTGTTAAATTATGGGATATCAGAATTATGAAATGCATATAATCCTTTGATTTAGAAATGAGACAATCTATCAATTACATCACCATAATGCAGAATCTATCCAGTGTATGTTTTGCTACGAATCGATTAATAGTGATGGCTTTTGAGGGTCACAATAAAAATCTCTCTTAACCTAAGCCTTTAAAGTAGAGGACTTTGCAATTATTCCCTAAATAGGTGGAATTGGATGCTATAAAAAAATAATTGATTGTTTCAACGAATAGAGATATTCGAATTATCAATTTATCCAATGGATAAACGGATACCATAATTAAGGCTATGATTGGTCAAACCGATGATATGATCAATCAATTTAAACGTATTATATGTCAATATTCAAAGCAATTCAATAGCATAAAAAGATAGTACTTGGAACAACAAAGGGACTTATTAAAATATTCGATACATATTCTGGCGATCTAATAAAAGAATACTAGAATAATAGTAATAAAATTACTCATCTCTCTATTGACTATCAAAACAGAATAATATCGACATCATCACTGGATGGTTAATTGCATATCTATAAAGAGAATAATTTGAATTTTGAATCCCTAAGGAAAGCTGAAAATGTCCATAATGGCATTGATTATTGTTATGTCTCCTTGTTTCATGATTTGATTATAACAGCTGGAGTTGACATTGTGTGTTTATGGAACTTGGAATTCACTAAGCCTGTCTCCACCATCAGAACAGAATCAGCCCCAAAAGGTGTTCACATTCTAGATGGCTATCGCATCATAATCATTGGGTGTAAGACTAATACATATTTCCTCCAATTCGACAAAAGTGAAGACTAATACTTTTATCAACAACTAGGATTCATTCCACAGAGTTGTTGTGCTTTCACTGATAAAAATGGTACTGTTCTATTAGGATCTAGAAGAGGTATGATTTGTAAACTCTCATTTACCATCAATAAATGTCAGAAGGCATAGTTTCACCCCTTCAGATAAAACTGGGAAGACTATAACATTGGTGTCAATAATCACAAAGTAACAAGGTTTGTTGTCAATACTACTCATGAACTGAAACTGGATTCATAAATAGAGGCTCACAAAAAAAGATTATCACACATTGATTTTATCTCTTTAGAAGGTGATAATGTAATAAAGGAAGGTCAGTCAAAGGTGATAACTACATCTAAAGATGGTTTTTTAAAGATCTTTGATTATCCATCCTTTGATTTAATGTGTGCATTGAATGTTAATCATGTTCTACCACTTAAATGGTCGATCACTATAGATGAACATGAAATTATGAAATTTAAAGTGGCTTTCGCTTTAAAAGTAATTCATTTTATCAGGTCTCAACCTAATCTAACCATTAGTCATCTAAGAATGCTTGAACCTAACTCAATATTTAAAAATTTACTTGGTCAAAAGAAATTCTTTAAATAAAACACAAATGAAAACAAAGTTCAATTGTTGTAAGACTTTTATGAACCAAGGGATTTGGTATTCCAAAAAGTTAAGGGATTCTATAAAAATGAACTATAAGGGCTTTCCTTAAAGTAAATTGAAGAAAAAAAGAAAGCTTTACTATAAGCCAAAATGTTTGAAAAGGATTATAATGAATAGAATTTCCAATCGGAATAGAAACAAAACGAAGATATAGGAAATAAAGAATTTAAAAGTTGGTAGCAGTTCCTTCATCCTAATTTCAGGAAAAATGGAGTGCAAGGGGAAATTGAATAGATTGAAAGATTACATATGGTTCATCAATTCGAAAAAAGATTAGATCAAGTCTTAACTAAAGAAGATGATACAAATATTAAGCCAAATGTTTCAGGGAGAAGGTATTCAAAAACAAAACAAGAAATCTAAAACAAAAGTGCAAATAAGTCTTCAAGATTAAGATCAACTCTTCCTTTCTTTCAATATGCTAGTGACAGAAAATTAGCATCGATTCCTGCCTCTACTGATACTTCTCAAAGATCTACTCATGTTGGATATGATACTATGAGAGAAGAATATTCAAAAAAAAGAATCTAAAGAGTTTAATTTTTGTCATAAAATATTGGCTAATTGATCTCTGACTTGGATTAGAATAAAAAAAAGTAAGGGTTGGAAATAGGTGAAAACACCATGAGGAAGACTAGTGGACAAGTATTTAATTAGATTGTTAATAAATTGAATGAGAAACTCAGAGATTCAAAGTTTAAGAAATACTCTAGAAGTATGTGTAAACAAGATCTGGAAGGAATTTTAATCGATGCTCATCTAGATTCAATGCACTCTAAACAATCCTTAAGAAAATTGCCTTGATTTCACAATTTATATTAATTTTAATTCATTTCTATTTGTATATGATAAATCTAAAGATTATTAAGTAAATAATACTTCATTCATCTATTATTTATTAGAAATAACACATTATTTAAATTTATTGTTATTATAATGGGATAAACTTGTTCGTGTCAACAGAAAATTGATGAGGACTAATATCTTGAAGATTCTCAACACTAAGCCAACTAGCAGAAGCAAACTGAATTCTCTCCAAATGCAGATAAGATTGAAGGCGAAGAATAAGAATAAGAAAAAGAACAATAAACCGTTGACATAGATCCAATACAACTGAAATCTTACGAGATTGAGGATAATTGTCCATAAGGCCTTTAACCACTTTCATTTTAAGCATAATAAGAATTCATTGATTAATTTCCAGCTATTGTGAAAAAATAACTGTAGAAACTACCGAAACTTGAAATTAAGGTCTCATTATCACCCAATTATAAAAGAATTCCTCTAATTGATACACCGTACTCATTATATCTTAATACTTAGGTATTAATTATAAAGTGGGGATGTTTATGTAGGATAATGGGCTGAAGGAAAACCCTTTGGTTTAGGCAAAGTATATTATCTTGATCACCAAGTTTATGAAGGCTAAGTTATTGATGGAGTTCCTGATGGAGAAGGCAGAAAAATATTCAAAGATGGGTCTTATTACAGTGGTATTAAACAAATTATAATTCAAAAGGGCAATTTAAAATGGGAGAAATAAGCGGAAAGGGTAAGTTCACAAGATTAGATGGTTTCAAATACGAAGGGGAACTCCTAAACGGTTTACCTGATGGCAATGGAATTGAAACATGGCCAGATGAAACCACTTATTAAGGAATGTACAAATTAGGTAAAAAACATGGAAAAGGTACTTTCACGTGGGGTAATAGGAAAAATAAGAGTACAGGCAAATTAGAAACCTATACTGGTTAATTTAATAATGATTAATTTTATGGATTAGGAAGATATGAATGGTCTGATGGTAGGATTTATGATGGAGAGTGGGTAGATGGAAAAATGGAAGGGGAAGGCTAGTTCATATGGCCAGGTATTTAGTTGTTTAAAATCTATTTTAGATAAGAGAAAATACACTGGACATTATTTGAAAGATTTCAAATCTGGTTATGGTGAATTAGAATGGCCTGATGGAAAAAAATTGGCAGGTTAATGGAGAATGGGTAAATTGAATGGAATTGTAACTCTCACTATCAAATGCAAAGTTAAGGAAGGATAAACTGAACCAGAACCAGACAAAATTTTTATATCAGAATGGGAAGACGGAAAAAGAATGAGATGGGTGGATAATTTAAATCATAGTGGAATACATAGCAATATTAGTTTTATAAGAAATTTTGATGAGCATTAAGTCTAATAAAACACTAGTCAAATTTTACATACACAAATTAAATCCGATGATTAGTAGTCATATAAATAGAATTCAGTATTAAATAATTCTAAAAACTAACAATAGCAAACTATTTTTTAATAAAATTCATATACCAAGTAGTAATAATAACAATAACAATAATAACAACAATAATAATAATAAAATCAAATTAAATAATCTATATAATAAAATTATTATGAAGTAGCCAGCTACATTATTGAAGATAATTAATTTTAATAATAAAGTGAAACTAAGAAATAGCACTAATCGCAAAATATAATAGGTAAGGAGAATAATTAACAGAACTTAAAAGAAAAAACAGAAATTTGATAATAATTTATATTTATATTAAGTATATACTTAACTATTCTGCATATTTTGTAAATGATTATGAAAAGTAGTTATTCTTATTGCTATGGATTATCTATAAAATATAAGAATAATTATATTTGTTTGGTTTTATAAATTAGATCTCATTAAGATTATTGAAATTTTTATGAATAATATATAAATTCTTTAAATAATCAAGAAATGCTGTAAGTTTTTAATTTTTTAGTTGGTTTTTTAAGTGTTTTCTTTGAATCACTATTCGCTTAAGTTCTCATTCTAATGTTTCTTTTAAATGGCAATAATGAATTGGATCTTTCATCATATTATTTTGAATAAAACTACTATACAAAAGATTTCATCACATCTTCTTCAATTAAATTTATCTCTTAAGTTTATGCATTAGTAGGAGTAAATAGATATTATGTTGAATTAAATTCTTCAGCCAAATCAATTTTTTAATGATTCAATTTTAATAACGAAAGTACTTCAGGTTTCTGTTTGATTTTTTCTAAATCTTCTCCTAATGGAGCTTATTATTATAGGGCCATAATAAAATTAGCCTCCTTTTCAATATTACTTAAGGTTCCCATCCTTCTAAAAGTTCTAGCAGTGTTTACTTTGTGAGTGTTCTCTGATTTTAATTTAATGTCCTCTTTGACAATGGGATCGAAATTAATATGCATCAAATCTTATTTTGATCCTTGTCTACTGAAATAATCCACAAGAGCATAAAATTTCATGTCACCAAACTCGAAGTATTTCTTAGGTATTTATTAACTCTCTCTTAGTTCTTATGAAATTTTTTTTACTCTTTCTAAATAACTTTTGCTAAAAACATCTAATTTTGGAGGTCTTAAAGAGTCAGCATACTTTTTGACAGCCATCATTTTTTAGAGTAACACAGCATTTTTCTTTTTTTCATATTCATTATACTGTTTAAGGATGGCCATTTCAGCAGGTGTAAATTTTTCTTTTAAATCTGTATCAATAAAAACAGTTACCTGCTGATTCCTTATAACCAACACCCAATTCATATTTCATAAGGAAACCATGCTACCAACCTTTCTCGCCTAATAGTCTGTCTGGCATTATTTTCAATATTTTGTGTCCAGGTGGTCCAATAAAGGATTATGTTTAATCGATCTAATTTAATGTGACCCTACTTTACAGAATTGTTTTCGACAAAATTTTCGAGCAGAGTTCTTCTCACAACCTTCCTCACGTAATTTAAGATACATCATTGCATTGCTGTTATAAGATGTATGAATTCGAGTACACATAGAAAATATATTAATGATTTTATGTAAATATCTTCATTAAGAGAAACAACAATAATGATGAGAAATATACATATACGAATTGATTATGATATAAAGCCCTGTTAGAGCAATTATACTATAACATAATTTATATTTTTCACAATAATTTAATAAATATAAAAGTCTTTTAACAAACAAATACAAATAAATTTAACTATTGTGTTATCCAAAATTCCTTAACTTTTTTTTTCTCATGATTACAATAAAATTATTGCATAATCTATTAACTACTTATTTAGATTATTATAGGATACTTGAGAGATATAATATTATATCAAATTTCACTTCATAATATCAAGATTATAAGTTGATATCCTATTTAAAAGGGAGTTTATGTAATTTTCCTCTATTAGTATAAATCTATTTAGGAATAAAATTTAATTATGATAATTTTATTTATAATTAATCTTTAAAATTAAAATATATGCCACCCAAAAAGGAGGAGAGAAAACCGTTGGAGCCCATTTTCCAAGAAATCCCATTGTTTTATGAATACATTGATTATTCAAATGAGTAGATGGAGTAATTAAATGAGTATTTGAATTACTTCAAACCAGAATTGGGTGCTATGATGAAAAATAACATTTTTGATAATATGGAACTACTATGTCAAACCATAAGGATAGCTATACATCCTTCATTTATTAAACCAAATTAAATCATTGATTTGAACGATTTTGATGAAAACACAAAATTTAGAAACCCTGAAGAATTCGATGGAGATTTAATACCCTAAATGATTTAAATACATTCTGTAATTTTGATATTTTATTATAACATAGATAAAAATCGATCTTTACACATTAAAATTATTGGATTATTGTGCTGGTATAAGCGGATTGACAACAATCAAATTATCAAATAACGGTTTGACGTCTCGATAATATCAATATCTAGCAGCAATAATAAACAATCCTGAAAACAAAATAAAAAAGCTGTTTATCGATTGGTAGGAAGTTGATGAAAGCTTTTTGTAACAAGTGTAATAAATCGAGTTTTTAACATTAAGAACTTGTTAACTAAGTATAACTTAGATCTTAGCATTTAGCAAATAAGCAAATATAATCTTTAACTTTGGATGTCTAGAATCTGAAATGCTTAGATCTTTATGATAATAGATTATCAAGAGAAGCCTTAAATTTGATAGGAAAAATGTTAGGTTAAAATAGTTCATTGGAATTTCTTGGTCTAGCTAAAAATGGAATTCAATCTTTCGATGATTTAGAAGGAATAACTGAGAACATTGGTAGATTTCAAATGAGTCAAGAAGAATAAGAGGAGTATAAGGCTAAAGAAAAGGAGAGGGATGCAATAATTGAAAGAAATAAGAAAGTGAAGAAAAAGGGAACAGAAGAATTGGTGCCATTCTTAGAACCAATCCAAAAAATAGATAACAACTGGTATCTTGTAAAGAATTCAAAATTGTGGTTGATAAACCTATCGATGAATTAGATTGATGATTAATCCAGAGATGCGATTGAAAAGTTCTTATTATAAACAGACGAAAACTTCTAATTAGTCTTGATGAATAATAGATTTGATAATCAGAAGGCTTTGCAGAAAAGCAAAAAGAAGTTTGGAAAGAAATTAGTATTATGATTATATTTATTTTAACTCAATGAAATCAACAAAAGCAAGACAAGTTACAAATACATCTCAAATTGAAACTACATTGAACAATTAGAGTATTTCTTCTCGTAAGGTTCCGAAATTGCCCTACTTGTACATAAAACACAATCAAGTTCTATCTACATCTCGAAAACTCTTGATAGAAGAGAATTCTGTTCTTATTCAGCTAAATGTATAGAAAAAAGAGCTGCTAAAACTGATTTATGATCGGTAATTGGATGAAGCTATAGATAGTAAGTAATTCTTACAATAGTGTAGTAACAAGAAAATTAGTTTAGTAATGTATTGCCTATGATCTGAATATATTTGGAAAGTCACTTCACATCCTGGCGGACATGTATGTATCCAATAGGGAATTTGCTAATGGATTGTACATTTACAACGTGCTTAGAGTTTTGGCGGACGTTTAGAACAATTAAGCACTTAAAATTGAAGCTCTGATTCAGATGGGAGATCTATGCAAACTATAATAATAGTATCAACTCAGCAAGATATTTCTGAAGAAAGCTCTTTAGTATGTTTGGTATTTGAATGATACTGAAAACGAAGCAACAATTTATGATTATTTTGGGGTTCTTTATTATGTTTAAGGAGAATTAAGATTGGCAAAAGAATACCATGACAGAGCTATGAATTTTATTAAAGAATCCAGTGACAGTGCAGCACGTAAACATGGAATAGAATATGTGAAGACCTACATTAAAAGAATTAATTATTAATCTCAAGTCATGAATAATATGGTATTGTCTAAATTAGGATTGATCTAAGGCAATGAAACAGAAATTAAATTAAATACACTTTTGGATTTCAATATTTTGACAGAATAAATTTTGTAAGATTACGAATTTCAAGTTGAAATGTCAACACCAAATAGACCACAAAGATGTATAACTAAGAATGGAGTATTACAAAATGATGTTGATATGTTTGAAAATGTAAAAGAATTGCATGAACGATAAAAAAAAAGAAAGTTTTTTGAAAAAAAAATACCAGTAATGCATCTAACTCGATCAGTTTTTAAATAAACTATTGAAGAACAACTTGAATAACGAATGAAAACGGATAAATAAAAAAATGTATCAATATTCATTTCATTAGTCCGTTGAAGAATATAAGAAGTAGTTATAAAAATTTCATACTTATAAAAACTTTCCAGAAAAATTAGAAAAAGTCAATATTAATCATTTGTCTCCAAACAGAAATCTTATTGGTTTTAAATATAGTTTCAAACCTATGCGTCACTCATTACTTGACTTATTTGGTGAGATTGAATAATATATGTATTTACATTCATCCTGATTTTCTGATTTTCTTCATTAATACACTAAATAATTATTTTTATTTTTTCCAAATGTGAGATATAAATTAAGCTAACTCATTCTATTCCTATATAATATCATCTAATCTATGGGAATTCTCATTTATTCATTGATTTAATTACATTTTGAATAAGGATGTAATCTAGAAAATGAATGAATGTCTATTATATTAAATATTTAATTTTGGATATGAGAAGATTAATTGTCAACCAAACAAGAAGTAAGACAGTTGCAGCTCGTCCAAGTGCTAATTTAGATAGGATCAATAAATGGTTGTAAACTCTTTCAGCTAAAGCCAATACTTTAGAGAGCAGATTTTACACATCATAATTAAGTTCCTTGTTTAATTTCTATTCTAAACCAAGCACAGGTGCAGCCTAAGTAATAGCTTTATAAAATGGTAGGAAATTGATTGGAATTACTGGAAAGAATAAATTACAACAGAAGGATTGGTTGATAAGGTATAAAAGGGTCACGAGACTCTCCTTAATAAAGAATTTGATGTTGAACGTATTTGTCATCAAGTTGTTTCCAGTTAAAGCAAAGAATTAGAAGACTTAGAAAATGAGCTCACTTTCCATAGTGCTGTTTGGAGCAATTACTATTTGGATTAGCATTTGGCATTACTCGATTTAGAGTAATATGGAGACAGAAACGATTACGTCAGTACACTATTTAAATTTATGCATAGTTCATGAGGATTACGATTTCTATCCTGGATTAGAAGCAGATTTAGAAGAATTAACAGAAACTCATAATTGGATTCCAGGATCAAAGGATGACATCAACTTGAAAGGTTACATGGTTTCTCAATTCCAATGGGGAAAGAAGATCATTTCATTTTACAGACATCCTTGTGATGACTTCAAAGCTGCAAGAGGTACCAAAAATATCTTGGGTAGATGAGATTTATACATGCAAAATATTATAAAACAATATAATATGCTTAATACAAAATATTCATTATTTATCTAATTATGATATAAAGATTTTAGTATTAGCATGTATGTGATAAGATTAATTATAAAATTAATTGTACTAGTATAATATGATATAGCGAGAAATTCAAAAATTAAGAATGTTTTTTTATTTTGATAGTTAGATTTAAGATATTTCAATAATATATATTTTCTGTTAATATAGAAACTTTATTTTATATTAAATAACAAATATATAATAATCTCTTAGAAATGTAGTTTATAATATTATATACCATAAATTTGATGATATTTAATACTATCTTCAAAACAGGTGTGATTTAGATTACTACTTCTTTGTTAGTATTGTAAACTCTATGAAATTCTTCAAAAATTATTATAAATTGAATTAATTATGTCATTTTTCCTGTTTATCATACTCAATTGGATAGTCGTCATCTTAACAAATGTAGACTTAGATTTCATTATTTTAACACCGCACTTTTGAACTATTTAAATAGACTTAGTAAGGAAATTCAGGATTGTCATCTAAGACTGTTTCTACTAATGTGCCTTTAGGAGCAGTTATAATAAATAATGTTTCACCTTTATGCTCTATTTACTGGGTTTATAAGAGCTCTTTAAAATCTTCTTGTGTTAGATAAGTGTACTTTGCAATATCAGGATCTGTCTAAATTTTCTCTTGTAAATTTTTTTACAAGTGTTCAATATAAAAGTCATATGTTTTTTCTTCATTTTATAGTTATTCTAGTTCTTCTTTAATCTATTAGAGTTCTTTCTCCAAATGTGGATCATCTGTGGCACCAACCCATTTAATTTTGTTTTTTGAGATTTTTTCAATGAAGCCTATACCTTCCAAGACATTTGTAATGTCATACATTCTTCTCTTCTACACACCCAAGACATTGACAGCCATGTTCAAATCAATTGTGAGATCATTTGAATTTTGGATGAGTTCGACAAATTTTTTTGTTAAGACAGACAAAGAATTATCATGTCTTGTTTTTAGCTTTCCACTGCTTTTTAATTCATCGTCATTCGATTCATTGAAGGAATTCTCATCATTGGAGTACTCTTCTTATAAATTTTTTTTTTCCGACTCCAATTTAATTTGTTTTCGCTTCATATTCATGCAATTATTAATTTTTTTTCGCATTATAAAGAACTCTCGATTTACCTTCACACAGATGTGGATTGAAGAGTGTTAGTGAATTTCGAATCACAAAAGAAATAATATTCTTTGTCCAAAATAAACGTATCTATAAATTCGCTAATCTCGAGACAACTAAATTAAAAAATAATAATCTAGAGTATAAATATTTCCTAAAAAAAATAATTTCAATAATGTTGAATTTATGAAAATTTAGACATGGAGACATTCTTGACATTTTTCCTAAATTTATTAGTCATTGAACTCATGAGCCAATTATTCTTAAAAACTATTCTTGGTAATTAAAATTATTTACTAAAAAAAATTAACAAAAATTTTAGAAAAGTAGCAATAATTATAATATAATATAATTTCTTCGTATTACTCGCGTTTGGTATAGGTGCGTTTCTATTTATTTTAAAGGACTTTTCTTTTAAGAGTTCAAATTTAAGTCAACAAAAACTCCTCTCATTAACAAAAATACCAGTTTTTTTAATTGTTAGAAACTTCTGGATGAGTTATCAATAATATTGATCTACTCAAATTTTATTTCATTTTAATTGTCTTATAATAGAGATGCAGACGTCTGATGCTCAATTTGAATTAATTTACCAGAACCTCTGTAAGGATGATAGGTTTTGCTTTGATTTAAGAATGCAATTCGAGAAACTTTTAAAAGCAGAGCAAGAGAGATATCGTGCTTACAGTGATTTCGCAAACTTTCTGAGTGGACTTGCTAAGGAACCTTTTTAAGAATCAATATCTATAATTGAAATGCTGGAAGAACTTGCAAAGGGCATATAAGAAGTGAATTTAAAATATATGGGGAATTACAACGATGACTAGGATAAAGGACTGATTAAGTTGTTGAAATCCAAAATAATACCCAGTTTGGTAGATGGACAGAGATCTGTTGAAGTTTAGAAGAAGGCATTAAACGAATACAAAGAGAAAGCCTTAAGATTAAAGAAATTGGAGTAAAGGAAGGAAGAGTATATGATGAAGAATGACGATAAGTTGCTCAACATAGAGAAGCAGGTATAGGAAGCTAGGAGAGAGAAACTGGAGAAGGGATAAACATTTAACTTCACGTATTAAAACTACGTCGAAGATAAAAACGATGAATTAAAGGGCCTATTCAAGCACTTCTTCAATAGGCTTCTGGTGATATCTACGGCAGGACTCCAGCATTACTCATTGGCCATCAATAAGGTTCACACAACAAATGAAATTAAGGAAATTGAATTTTAATTGGGAGAATTGGGTATAATAAAGAGGAAAAAAAAATGATTTTTGGATTTATGATTTATCTAAAACATAATAAATTTTATAGGCTTCTTTTTAAAAGAGTGTAAGTTAAATCTTAATTATAAGAGATTCTTTGTTTGAAAATACTGAATTTGAGAGGGTGCAGAAAATTGAGATAATTTGATAACAAGAATATTAATTCTTTTATTTAATGAAAAAATTAATAAAAATTCTAAATGAACTCAATTTTAATGGAGATTGACCAATATTCAGCTCGTGCTGTCAATGAGGATTAAGCCCTTATGAGTAAGAGAGGTGATTAAGAATAAAGAAAAGCAGAGTTCTTTCAACGTTGTTTATAGGATCGTAAAGTTCATACAGATTTATCCTAATCAGAAAAATTTATATTTGGAGACAAAGCAATTTATATGGGGAGATTCAAATTAGAGTAGAGATTGCAAGATATCGATGAAGTTTTTTTGCCTTTTGACAATATTGATTTGGATGAAAAGGAACGCAATGAAAAGATGAAAGAGTTATCGAAATCTTCTTAATCTGAAAATTAAAGGATTGATATTAGCAAGAGGAACAAGAGGATCGAAAATTTTTGGTTGATAATAAGTCCAGATAGTTCTATTAAAATAATGTGGGACTTCTTCTGTATGATTTTAATTCTCTACGAAATTATAACGATACCAATAAGAATCAGTTTCGACATAGAAGTGAGTGCGGAGTTTGGTTATGTGATAACAGCCGCGTTTATATTTGACATTTTGTTAACATTTAATACAGCAGTATATTTGAATGGAAATATCAATTATTCATATAAGGCAATCGCACTGGATTATTTTAAATTATGGTTTTGGATAGATGTGGTGGCATCATTTCCTTATGATATGGTATTCAATACAGTATTGACAGGAGAAGCTGATGACGAAGCGACTCAGTCTTCGTAAAATTTAAAAAAGAGTACTTAAATCTTAAGAGTATTAAAATTCTTCCGATTTGTTAAAGTAATTCGTTTGTTAAGATTGGCAAAGTTGAAGGCCATAATGGATAAAATAGAGGAGTACTTTTCAGACAGTTCAATCATATAAACAATAGGGAGTTTTTTAAAGCTCTGCGCATTTGTTTTATTTTGGTCTCATTGGCTGGGATGTATATTCCATTTTATAGGGTAAAGCGAGGACACAACATACAATTGGCTGTCTATTTATGGATTGTATGATGAGCCTTGGGAAATTAGATATGTAAATTCCGTATATTGGGCAGTAACTACAATGATTACTGTAGGCTATGGTGATCTATCTCCATAAACACCATTAGAGAGACTATTTGGAGTGTTCTTTCTTCTCATTGCTTGTGGTGTGTTCTCTTTTACTATGAACACCATCGGTAATACAATGCAATAACTCAGTCAGAAGTAAGATTAGTATCAGAAGAGGATATCTGAAATAAATATATATATGGCTAAAGTCAAGATTCCAAAGTAATTGTAAAACAAGGTTAGAAGATATCTATAGTATATTTGGGATTCTCATCGTAGTGTAAATTTGGAATCTATTTGTTAAAATCTCTCTTTATCTCTAAAATATGAGTTTACCATTTAAGTCAATGGTACTATATTGGCTAGTTATAAATTGTTGTGTGAGACATTTTCAAGGAAATTACTAATTGAATTGACTCAGATTCTAAAAGAATAGACAATTTAACCAGATGAATATGTCTTTATAGAAGATGAGCCTAAGAATGAACAAATTCTATATTTTATATAGGAAGGTCAAATAAACATTGTGTTAATTAAGACAAGACAAATAGTGGCTCGATTGAGCAATAAGTAAATCTTTGGTGAAATCAGTTTCTTTGGGAACATAGGCAGAACAGCATCAGCGAAAAGCAATGGTTTCACTGATGTATTTGTTTTGAAAAGACAAGATTTTGTGGCTCTATTAGATAAGTTTCCAGAAGACAGGGAACGATTTAATTATATAAATGAAGAAGTTAATAAACGATAATTGTAGGTATTGAATATTCATTGTTACGCTTGTGATTTACCAGGACATGTTATAAGAGATTGTCCCTCGTTACATTTTGTGATTGATTTGTACGTGTATTAGAAGACCAAAATCAGATGCATCAAGGCCATAATGAAAGACTTCGTAAGGAAAGATCGAATGAATTACAATGCTTAGAAGAATAGGGAAGAATTGGAAAAAGCAGCCAAGAGACTTTAGATGAATATACCGACTCATAAATTCTTGATGGAAGAATGCAATGTGGATGATCAATTATCTTAGGCAGTGGAGGATGAATCTATTAAAAAGGGATTCAAGTTGAGATCGAAGTTTAAAGAAGACAGGAATAGAAGAAGAAATTGGGAACAAACTTTCAAGAAATCTGCCCAGAAGATTTAGTAGATCTAAATTAAGCAATCAGAGATATTTAGTATTACCAAAAGTCTTTCTTAAGCACTATTATCTTCTCACCCTAGTGGGGAAACGAGTCTCAATCACATTGCAATTAATTAGTTCAAATCTCCAAATGAGAGTTCAGAAGATAGTGATAGTGGAACTATCTAGCAAAAGATGGAAGACATTATGGCTGACTACTAGATATTCAAATAAGAGGTGGATAAGTACAATGGGAGTCAACAATTGGAGATCAAGAAAAACTTTGTGTTGTTGAATGAATTTGAATGTGGCCAAGATTTCAATATATTTTATCCTCACAACAATCTCTCTGTTGTGTTGAAAGAATTTCACAAGTATCAATTAGGTAACTCTGTCAAACCTAAAATCGATACTGAATATGATACCAATGTATTTCAGGAATACATGGAATATTATGTAATAGACATAGAAGATGTGAAAAGATTTAAATTGGAAGTCAAACCATCTTAAATCAAACAATTTCTACCATTCACAGAACTTCTCTAATCATCATATAACCGTTAAGTAATAATAATTAATATTATTTCTTAGAAAAAAAAGAACTTTGGTTTGTTAAAACATCCCAAAAGATCGTTTAAATAAGTTGTTAGAGCAATTATATTGGCAAGAAAATTTAAATGATTCATTATATCATAATATTATTAATCTATATGAAGTTTCTCTAAATCCTAAAGTTCCTGATATTAATTAAAGACTCTTCTGCTCTCAGATTTAATAAATAATAATAACCATATCTAATGATTTAATGAATTTAAACTAACTTTGTTAATTGCTATCAAAAACATTTGAAATTCAGTTTTTATATCAAATATGTTTCAAGTTAGAAGTGTGCCAAAAATAGAATTACTAAGTGGAAATTAGGATTCATTTAAAACTTATTTAATAATTCAAAGATTTCTAGATAGTTTTGGATTCTGAACCATATTAAATCATTTTTATATTAAATAATTAATATATTGTTTTATTAAATATGTCTCTCCTTCTTTTGAATGCTAGCAATAGAATTGCTTAAGGATTCTTAAAGGTTGCTGCCGAAAGTGGTAAATATGAGAAGATCATCTGCGCTGACATTTTCCCAACTTATTTCACAGTCCAAAGACTCCTCAAATTTAAGTCATCATTATCAGCAAACATAGAATTGTTCAAAATTGGGGATCGTTAAGATTTACATGATGTAATCAAATAAGCTAACAATGTTCTATATGTCAGTCATGATTATTATTAAACGACTGCATCCAAAAAGAATTTATTGGTTGCTACTTTAGATTTGGTCAAAAATAGAAATTATAAGACTGTTGCTTATGTTGCACCAGTCGAACATGATCATCAAGAAGAAATTGATGAATGGAAACACCTAGAAGTAGAAGGACGTCGTTCCATTCCTTAATTAGTTGGAATCAGATCTGACATTACCTTTGGACCACAAAGCACATTCACCAATAAATTAGCATCAAGAATTTATAATGGGGAAAGCATCTACTTTTAAAGCACTGGACAATCATGTGCTCCAATCTTCACTGGTGATTTAGAATAAATTGTGGCCTAAGTTCTAGCAGGCTCTCATGCAGGCAAATTGCTCTTAGCAAAGGGACACAAACACATTGATTTCAAATCAATTATTCATTTGATTGAAGATAGTCTTGGAACTACATATAAAGCCAAATTAAATCAATCCTTTATTGAAAAAGTAAATATCTATTCGAATTCATTTAGGTCATCCATCCAACCAATAATTGCATCATAGGCTAATAATTATATTGTCCATCTTACATTAATCTGACCAAATTGATTGCAAATTATAAAGCATTGGAAAATACTGGGTATGATCAAGTTGTCGGTGATAAGCTAGTTGATATTGAAGAGTATCACAAGAACAATAAAACAGTAATTGATCAATCATTGAAAGCAGATTACTAATTAAGCTACTTAGTTGGTTGAATAAATGATGATCTACATTAATCAAATAAAAAATATAAAATATTCAATTTTATTATATTATATTTTTAACAACATTAAGATTAATTTAAATTTAGTAATTATATAATAATAGTTGGGTGTGGTTGTAGTAATCTATTATGTGTATTAGAATGTAGTTTAAAACAGGTAATCCTATGAAAATGAGCAGTTATGTGATTGAATTATTCTTTCACTATCATCCACTTATTAAATTATATTTTAAATACAATTTTATTGAATATAATAATATTACATAAAATCAATAAAGAATTATAGATTAATTATATTTTAAATAATATTAATTGTAGTATTTAAAAATAATCAAATTGCATTGATATATAATGATGAAGGATTGGGTAGGTAGTTGAATATCCTGACTTTACTTGCTTTTTCAAAATACTGTAGCGAAGAATTAACAGTGACATAAATATCTATATTGAAAGTGTATGTGGGAGATTTAAATAAAGAATTTCATAAAGTAAGGAATTTCGTTATTTTATAAGATTTCTACTGATAATTTTTTTGGTTTAAATTATTAATAATTATTCTTATTTTTTATTTTCAGAATTTTATTTATTATGAGATTTTAATCAATATTGTTAGATGGTAAAATTAATAAGATTTGTAGTAGATTAATATATTCTTGAAGGAAACCTAAAAATATCTAATGATTTCTTAAATAATTGTGATATATCAATAAATTTATAAATAACAATTATTATCATTGAATGTAATAAGAGATAAGCAAGGCTTCCTTTTAAATGTAATGTTAACGAAAACATTTCATAAAGGATAAGCAATATCATCTTCTTATAGATGATGATCGCATAAAAATATCGGAGGTAAGACAACATCCACCTAAAAGAGACAGTAGATTTTCAATACTCTAAATATCTCCTTGATCTAAATTTCGAAAGCTTGATTTATTGGAAGGCAGACCAGGATTAACTTGTTGCTTTTGGTGTGATGTATAATAAAACTCTGAAATGGTTTCATGCTGATTCCTTTGATTTGTAGCATCTATATAAATACCTATGTGGAAGAGTTTTCTTTGGAAACATATCATCCATTTATGAGAATAAGGAGATGTTGGGCTCTGGAGCTTCATCAAAAGTATACAGAGTTGTAAATAAATTAACACATTCTCTATACGCCTCAAAATGCATTCGTAAAGACTACATCTACAAGAGAGAAGACAAAGAACGATATGTAAACATTTAATTGATTTAGAATCGCATGATCCAAGAGATTGAATTAATGAGGAAATTGGACCATGAAACCCTCGTAAAAATGATTGATATTTTTGAAGGAGAAAAGTCGTTCTATATCATACTTGAACTATTGTAGGGTGAATCTCTGCATACGTTTTTTAAAAAACACTCTTTAACACTTACACAGATTCGATAGATCATTAGTGTATCAATTTATTTATATGATAGAGATGCTTATAAGCATTATGCTATTTAGACCTAAATAACATAATTCATAGGGATTTGAAATTAGAAAACGTAGTTTTGAAAGAACAAGGAAAAGTTGAATCTGTGAAAATTATTGATTTTGGCCTTGCAATTTATACATCAAATAATTAACGACAATTGTGTGGAACTCCTGGTTATATAGCTCCTGAGATGTTTATTGAAAAATACCCATACACTACCAAAGTTGACATTTTTAGTTTGGGAGCCATATTCTATAAACTATTGTGTAAGAAACCCTTATTTCATGGAAATACAAGTGAAGAGATTTTAGAGAACAATAAAAAGTTCCTTTGGAATAATCATCTCAAAAATTGTTCTGATGAAACTATTGATTTGATAAAACAGATGCTTTAAAGAGATCCAAATAAAAGAATATCAGCCTACCAAGCTCTGCAACATCCATTTTTTGGGGAAAGATTTATTGGTATTGATTGAATTAGATTAGAGTAGAACAAGGAATAGCTGAAGAGAGTCCTCATGAAATAGTAAAGACATTCCCACTTATAAAACCTATGTAAATAATTAACTCCAATGATAATATTCCAGAAATTAAGATTTAGGCTATTAGGGGAGGTTAACAAAGCTTTGACCAAAGCTTAGGATCTAATTATTTTCCATCGTTTGATGAGGGTTATTAGAAACCAAAAAACGGAAGCGATCATATTATTGAATGACTTTTATCAAAATACAAACTTAGTATTCATAATAGTATATATTCTTGTTTGCTATTTTTCGCTCAATTGCGATTTGTAATAAGGAATTTAATTATCAAGTAATTTGTTGCATATCTTTTACGCTCTATCTTTATTATCATCATTCATCAATATAAATTAAATTGATTAATTTAGTCTGGCTGACTTTATTTTCTATCTCTTTTACAACCTCTCCTTCGCTCTTTGACTTCCCTCTTTTCCTTGTATCTCATTCAATTTATTTCTCTCTTCTTGAAAATCAATGAGCTTTTAATGGAAAACTTATGTAAAATTTTAATCTTGAGCTGTTTCATTGATGAAATCTTTTAGTTTTCGTTCAGCATCCAATCTTAGCTCAGTAATTTATTTCAAAATTTCTTTATCAGAACAAACTCTCCTTTACACTTGTTATTTCTAAATTCCATTAATCAAACGTAATTCATCTATCTTATCAAAAGTTTAGACAAGTGTTTTAAGTTTTTATTAGATCTTCCCAGGCTTTAGTGAGATGCTTCTGACTTTTTTAAACAATAGATCTTAAACAACTTATTAGTATTCCTTGTGCAAGCAATGTTCCCAAGCCAAATCAATTTAACTTTTGGAACAATCAATTATTTGATGATCTTGGAGGATCTTTAAAAATTTTGATTTTTATGTTGGTTTCTCGATTCTCAATTAAGCCAATAAGTGATATGACTGCATTTATAAATAATTATTAGTTATAGATAAACTTATGCCCTCGTATATAATTAATTTTTATATTGTATATAATTTCAAACATATTACATCATCACTTTCTTGTAATTCATTAGTTAATTATCACTCAAATTAACTTTACATTGTTAATTAATAATTTACTGAATTAATAAGAGTTATTATAATATTTTAATAAAGAGCAAAATCAAGTATTCTTCTATAAGATAAATTTGGCATACTCCTTTAAATCCTAGATATCTTCAGGCGATTTCATTTCACCCCATTCCTTTAATCTTCTTTTTAATTTCTCAATATGTCTAAACTAATTAATTAATTTAGTTACTATTTCTATTAAATAAGCTTGTCTGTTAAATCACTTGGGAAATGATAATCCATGTCTACTTTAAAAAAAAGATCTTGTTTCATTTATTCCATTTCATGGTTGATGTAAGGTTATAGGACATCTGTAGGAACTTGAATTTAGACTTTCTTTGGTTCATCAGTCAATTAATTCTAGTTATTTAAATTCATTAATTTTTTGGTCTTCGCTTTTAGATTATTGCGTTAAAAAAACTAAATTTTTTATTTTAATTGCATAGGTTTAATAGTTTCTTCTATTAAATAAGGTTTACTATCGATTCTTTAAGAAGCCTATTCAATTTTAGGTTCAACCCTTATTTAATAATTGAATTTCAAATTGGGTTTCTTTCTCTTCTCTGGTAATATGTAATGTTTATTGAAATGCCAATGGCCATCTGGAGTATGATGTTAATTTGTTGGTGATCGAGAATGATCTGTTTGATATCTTTATTTTTCTGAATTGATCCTCACTAAACGATTCATCTGGTCCCTTTCTCTAATGAAGGGAACAAATGATGATATATTCTTTACGTCCTTGCTAAATTCTTTAATTAACTTGAAACGAGGCAAATATAAATTAGAATCTTCTTAATCATTGAAATACTCTGATATATTGTTTTTGAAGCTATGTATATAATTGTTCGACAGCATATAAAATTAAAAATGAATGATGATTTTATTGATAAGAAATTATTTATTAAAAGTATTAACTAGATGTAAAGAATTCACTTTAATAATTTTAGATTAAATGATCCAAACAAGAAAATAATGACCTAAATATAAAACAATTACTTAAGAGTACAAAAATAAATAAGATAATGAGAAAATTAAAAAATAATAAACAATTGATTATAATCATATTAGAGAATGTATTTTCTAAAGATTTATATAGATCTAAAATAAGATTGTCATTAATTTCATAATGTTGAATTGTATAGTTTTTAAAATAGTTAGGTTTATTAATTTAATGTTCAAAAAAAAAGAATATGAATGAAATTTGGTTTTTAGATACACAAAAGAAGAGTTTTTTATAGTAACTATTTAAGATTTTCTACATGATTAATGATAAATAGACAAATATCAATTACATTCTTTATTTGTTGAATAAATTTAGTTCTAATTATAAATTTTGACTATCCACACAATTAATTGAAATTATTATTAACATATATTTAAGGCCACTTGGGGATTATTAAATTAAGCGATTATTTATCTTAATATAATTGGCTAATACAATTGGTTCCTATTATTTAATTAACCTTCTTCTTATACTCAAAGAATCAAATTTGAGTATACTTATTTATTTAATAAATATTAAGTCATTCTATAACTTACAAATATATTGTGCTCATTCTCTCAATAAGGCCATAATGTTTATTGATAAATATATTTATTTTATAATAATAGAAGCATAAGAGATTTGAATTGGAATAATTTTAATAATTTAATATATGAGTAGAGGTACAAATCTCTTTGTAGCATTTTCTGTATCAGGAATAGTCTGGATAGTTACTCTATTCTTATCAACTGGATATGTGAAGTATTTAAGAAAATAAAAGTAGTGAAGTTGTTAAATCCATGCCAACATATGCTTTGATTTTGTATTTCTCATATGCACTTTTTAAAGTCGGAGGCGATTTGGCACGATTAAAGGATTATCCTGAAGAGGCTTAGTCATTATAAAAGGAGGTGGAGGAGGCAAAACGCTTCTATAAGGAGAAGGGATTAAAATTGTGAAGCATTATATATTCATATATATTTTTATAAATTTAATGAATATCTATCACCCTCGTTTGGAAAATTATGAACCGAAACAATCCTTCTATGTAATGAATAAAATACTCAAACTATTAATCGCTTTGCAAATGATTTTGGTTTTTTTCAGGATTTTTGTAAGAAATTAAGAACCATTTTTTTTGTCTGATTGTTTAAATGCGTGTATGATGATGCTCACTTATTGTTAAAAAGTATGATACTAGAGTAAAATATTAGAATTATTGTCTTGCATTAATCACAATGTTTTATATTTTCTCATTGATATATTTGAATGCAATCTTCTTTTTGTAGTTTGTTGAATATAAATTGCCCTTTTTTATTGATTATACTAAAAATTTTACTCTGATGCTGGTATTATTTTCACCTAAATTTAGATTTTCTCGACTCTGCTTTACGTTTTTGAATCAATCATGCTATACTAAGTTTATAAGGAATTCAAGGGAATAATTTATGACATTAATCAAGAATATTTAGAGAGTGCCTAATAAGATTAACAAGAACCACAAATTATGGATGAAATACTGTCTTAAAATTAAGAATAATATGTCTAACAGATTAACTAATAGTAATAATAGTAGGCCGAACAAGAGATTGAAAATTAATCAATTTAGGAACCAAACATTGCTGCTGGATCATTATAAAGAAGAGTGCATAATCAAAGATCAAGACAACAATAAGAACTTTAAGAATTACAATAATGATTTTAACTTTTTTTTGAATATTTAAATATCTATTTTTAGATTTCAATATTTAATTTAAAGATAATTGGCATGATATGTATGAATTTAAAATGAGTCAATTATGACAATTTATTATTCTTATAAATTAGTTTATCAAATAAAGAAATGCAATAAGAAAGTCGGAAAATTTTTATAAATCGTAGAGATCAAAATATATTGTTTCCTTCAAATGCAATAAAGACTTCGAAATATAACATGCTGAACTTCTTTCCAAAGGCAATTCTATTGCAATTTATGAGAATTGCAAATATTTACTTCTTAGTAACAGCAGTTTTGCAGAGCATGCCTTTGCTTTCTCCGTTAGCCCCATTTTCTGCAATAAGTAAATGTAGAATAATAATTTTTTAGGTCCTCTTGTGTTTGTTTTGGCTGTGTCATTATTTCGTGAAATGTTAGAAGATTATGTATAAAATTTGTTAGTAATTAACTTTAAGCGTAAACATCGAAACGATGACATGATTAATGAGCAAGTAGCCCTTTTATACAACAATTATGTATTTTAAAAAATATAGTGGAAAGAGATCAGGGTTGGTGATATTGTATAAGTTTTGGAGGATTTCACAATACCAGCTGATTTGTGTATTCTACGTACAAGTGATGAGAACGGCTAATGTTTTTTGGAAACCTCAAATCTTGATGGGTGAGTTACAATACTAAACCTAGTGAACGCAATCTCAAAACTAAATACGCAATAGCAGAGATCTAGGAGTAGATGATCCATGGGAAGTTCAGCGATCTCGCCGGAGAACTGCAATGTGACAAGCCTAACAATCGGATTCACAAATTTCAAGGAATGCTACAAGTAGATCTAAAACAGTACCCAATTAGTAACAACAACATTTTATTGAGAGTACAAATATAGCAGTAATAGTTAGGGGACAACCATCAAGAACACCAAATGGGTGGTGGGTTTGGTAGTGTACACAGGACATGATTGTAAAATAATTAAGAGTTAGGGTAAGATGAGGTATAAGACAACTCACATTGAGAGAGCCTTAAACATCATAGTCATCGTAATATTGATACTGTAAGCAGGTGCTTGTATAGCATTGTCCTTCTTCACTGCTTACAACTACAATCCCTTGAACTTTGAAGGCAAACCCTAGTTCATTTACATATATCCAGATTAGGATAAGTATGGACCAGTTGTAACTGCAGTAATCAGTTATTTCTCTAATTTTCTTCTTCTCAATTCTATGGTCCCCATTTCTCTCATCATCTCTTTAGAAACCTTGAAGTATTTGTAGACTACTTGGATGGAATTTGATGACCAAATGCAAAGCGAAAATCAACCTTTTAGAGTACTCAATACGATGATTCACGAGGAATTGGGAAAGATTGAATATGTCTTCACAGATAAAACGGGCACTTTGACTTCAAACAATATGGAATTTAGGTAATGTTGTATAAAGGGCATAGCTTATTCAAATGAGGATTTGCTAGAGATTTTCAAAAGCGATAACATAATGAACGATTTGGAATTGGATAAATATATAAATTTCTTCCTCTGTATAATAATTTGTCACAATGTTATTGTTGATGATAAATTGAATGAGTTCTAAGGCAGTTCCCCTGATGAAGTGGCTTTGGTCAAAGCAGCATACAATCATGGATTTAAATTCCTTAAAAGAACCAACAATTCAATCTTCATTAAAGTGCGCGAGTAATTATTGGTGTACGAGTACATCTGTGAATTTGAATTTACATCAGATAGAAAGAGAATGAGTATGGTTGTTAAGGACATGTAGACAGAATAATTACTGTTATTTTGCAAAGGAGCTGATAACATAATCTGGAGGAGATTAGACATGAGAAAACATTAAGAATAGGAGTTACAAATGAGTTAAGTCAGTCTTAAGAAATATTCCAAGGAAGGTCTCAGAACACTTTGTATGACTTATAAATAGCTCGATGAAATATAGTTTTAGGATTGGTAAAAACAGTATAGAGCAATTTAAAATGAAGTGGCACTTGATCCAGAAGCAACTAATAAATTGAAAGAACATGAATCCATTCTGGAGCATGAATTGATGCTTTTAGGAATTACCGCCTTGGAGGACAAACTCCAAGAGGATGTTCCTGAAGTCATTAAATCACTTCATGAGGCAGGTATCAAAGTCTGGATGCTTACTGGAGATAAAATGGAAACTGCAGAAAATATTGGTCATTTATGTCATTTGATTGATTAGAGTACGAAGTGTTTTAGAGTTAATCAGGAGGATCAGGAGAGCATATTGTAATTATTATATTAAATGTGTTTAGAATGAGATTTAAAAAAATCAGCAGGAGCATATAGACTTATGAGAAAATTACGAAGAAAACAAATAAGGTGAAGAAAAATTAATTGTTATAATAACAATTATAATGGTTAAGAGAATAGTCGTCTATTAATTCATAAATCAGATCGGTTCACAAAATGAAAATTAATCAAATGTCTGTGAAATCAGAGGGTAGTGATAATCTTAGCTCAAAGGAAATTAAAAGAACTTTTGCTTTGATAGTTGAAGGAGATTCAATTTATTATCTCTTGCATTCTGAGAAAATTTAGGAAGAATTTTTAAAAATTATTCCAAAATGCAGAACCGTAATTTGTTGTAGATCTACTCCTAATTAGAAGGCAGAGATTGTTGGCTTGGTTAAAAAGAACCTAAAATCAATTACTCTGGCTATTGGAGATGGTGGAAATGATGTTAGCATGATTTAGGAATCTCATATAGGTGTGGGAATTTTGGGAAAAGAAGGAAATTAGGCAGCCATGAATAGTGATTACTTCTTTTGTTAATTCAAACATTTATGGAGATTATTATTTGTACATGGAAGATGGAATCTATATCGAACCAGTTATTTTGTAAATTACTTTTTTTTTAAAAATATTTTATTCACTTTTCAACAATTTTACTTTGCATTTTTTAATGCATTTAGTAGTTAGTCTTTCTATGAAGATGGCTATTTGCTCAACTTCAATACATTAATTACAGCAGTTGCCCCAGTTTATTATGGAGTATTTGATCAAGATTTAGATGTTCAAGATTCATTTATTAAATCTTAATTGCCAAGAGTCTACAGTGAATTCAAGTATCATAAATTGTTTGGGAGAAGAGCTTTTGCAAAATGGTATGTAAGTGGATTGTTGTGCAGTGCTCTGGTCTTCTTTGTGACAAAACAGATATACTTGATATAAGTGAATTCAGAAAGTGGGAGAGTTGATGGATTATGGTAACTAAGTATTTCCAGTTATTGGTCAAGTGTTTTCATAGTATTCATGGTGATAATTAGTGATTCAAACTAATTTACTTGGGTTACTTTCTTGGCTTATGGTCCATTAAGCATATTAGCATTTTTCCCTGTGTTTACATTGGCTTGGAATGAATTCTAGAGTGAGACAAAGCATTATGCATATGACTGGTTGGGAAATGCTAAATTCTTCATTGTTATAACTTTAATAGTGGGGACGGTTTTCATTTTTAAAAGAGTAGTGAACATTTGGTAGTAGCTGGAGTACCCAACAGTGATTGACAAGGTGAGAAGGGAGAAGCAGGAGTTGGACGAGGCTGTGGAGCAATCGTTGCCTCCTGGATCGAGCAGATAGGAATTGAGTGAATTAGAATTTCCGATTTCAATTGAGAATTAAGTTTAAGGTGTATATAATCTCTCGCATAACATGGGATAATAAAGAGATATGTGATAAAATTTATTTGCACTATTTATATTAAAATGATCCGCCCACGTTATGAAAGCCAAAAGGACCATCCCTTGCAGACAGATGTGGCCTGTTTCTTAATGGTCATTGAAGTTCAGAGGTTACTGGATGAAAACACTTAATTGAAGGTGGAAATGCAAGAGATCTTGGCACGACAACTTGACAGAGCCAATTATGAACAATAGATTAAGGATCTGATGGAACGTCTTCGTTAACTGCAAGGGTATGTTGGAATTGTAATCAGGTTAGTTTGGTAGCAGATCTTACAAAGGAAAATAAGTAGCTCAAATAACGATAAGCTGATTAAGATGCTGAACTAGCAGACTTAAAATAATTTGTTGAAGAAAATAACCTGGAGGAGAAATAGGAATAGCAAGAAGCAGCTGCCAAAGAATTAGACGATCTCAAAGATTAATTAGAAAGAGATCAAAAAGATAGGGTATGATATGTGCTTATTGAATAGGATGATCAAAAGGCTTTTTATGAAGGTTTACTTGCAGATAAAGATGATTTGATAGCTGAACTCAGAAGACAATTAAAAGATGCTGATGAGAAATTCAATAATTATCGTAGAGAAAAGGAGTAGATTATCAAGGAAAAAGATTATGATATCAAGAACAAGGAGAGAGAGATCAAGGACTTACTAAGGAGATTAGCTGAATTCGAGGCAAAATTATAAGGTAAAAGACCTGATGAAATTCAGCGAGATATGGATAGATTAAAAAAGGAATTAGCTGATAAAGACAAGGAGATTGATAAATTAAAAAAGAAATTAGGAGATCTAGAAGCTTAATTGGCTCTATTGAAACAATAATTGCAGGATGCTAAAGATAAACTCAAAGATGCTTTATCTCAATTGGCAGAAGCAAAGAATTAGGCAACTTAGGCAGCCAAAGACAATGATGCTAAAAATCAAAGGAGAATCAGGGAACTAGAATAATTGGTTGAGTAATTGAAGGCTGAAATTGACAGATTAAACGCTTTGATAGATAAATTGAATTAAGATGTTGCATCTGGAATTGAAAGAGAAAAATAATTGAATGATAATTTACAAAGTAATCTCAATATTCTAAATTAGAATAACTAAGTGATAACGGGTCAGTTTCGGCAGCCAGATAAAATAGATAAGCCAAATAAGCAGAGCAAGCTTAATAGTAATTAACCTAGGCTGCCTAGAAGTTAAAGGATACTGAAAAGGATAACAATGAACTCAAAAAGAAATCAAATGAGTTGGATAGATAATTAGAAGAAGCTAAAAAACTAATTAAATAATTATAAGATGAAATTGCTGCCTTAAAGGAAAAATTATTATTGGCTCAGACTGAAAATGACGATCTCAGAAATTAATTAAATGACTTATAAGATTAGCTGACTGAGGCTTAGTTGGATAAGGATTATCTCTAAAAATCACTTAAAGATTAAGAAGATGAACTCAACAGAGTTAATGATTAAATATAAGATTTAAATAATGAAAAAGAATAAGCACAAGCTGCTGTTTTGGAGGCAAAATCATAACTTCAGAATTTAGAAGACGAAAAAGCTTAAGAAGATGCTGATAAAGAAAAAGATTAAGATAGATTAAATGAGTTGGAAGATAAGATAGCTGATCTTGAAGATTAAATCGACGACTTAGAGAAAACAAGGAATCGTTTGCTTAATCAAATTCAAGATTTAATAGATAAGCTGCATGATGAAAGAGAATTGTGTGAATATTATCATAAACTCTGTTCTGATTAAGAACACTAAAATAAATTATTATAAGATTAAGAAAATAAATTAAAGGAGTAAGTAGAAAAATTGAATAATGATATTGAACAGATGGAAGAAGATCATGATGAAGCATAGAAGAGACTCATAGAATTGGCTTCGGAATAAGAGGCCCTTAAGGAGTTAGCTGCTTCTAATTAAGATAATGTGATTGACAAAGAGGCTTATGACAACTTATTGAATTAGTTGGATGAGAAAAATAAAGAAATTGAAGATCTAAACGAATTATTAAGAAGATACGAATAATAATTCAAAATGTTAAGAGCTGAATTGGCCAGAGTGAATTTAGCTTAATTAAAGGAAAAGAAAACTAAATAAGATACTGAGGCCTTGTTAACCAAAATCATGATTATGTAGGCTGAAAATGATCGTTTATAATAGGCTGCCAAATAATTATCATCACAAGTTGCTTAACCTGAAGGATTGAAAAAGGCTGGAAGTTAGATTAATGATACTCCTTAAGGAAAACTAGAATCCTTGCAAAAGGAAAATCTCAAACTTGAAGACCAAGTTAGTGAGTATGAAAATAAGATTGCTTTGTTGACTATGGAGTTGAAGAGGTTGAAAGACTCAAAGTAATTGCATATTTGTAATAATCTTTTAGGCCTGAGATTCTCCCGATCAAATCCAATGGTAGCAACGAGCAACAACTCTAATTACAAGTTCAATAATTATAACAACAAGTGTAATAATTATAGAACGGAGGACTATTGTAATCAAATGGATAGCCTATATCGAAAGAGGATAGAAGACTATCTGATTTGTTATGCCTGGTGACAATCATGGCTGCTGAAATCGAGAACCTTAGAACTCTCGTTGCCTCGCATTGAGATGAATAAATATAAGATACATTATTAATATTTTGAGTATACATCACTCCTCGTAAAAGAATTAGGGAACTACACCCTAATTAATCGTTGTTGAATTGTCACTGAATTCTTGGCTAAATGTAGGTTCTTAAAATAGGAACTCGTCAGTCTCAAATTTTCCATTGGCTCCATAATAGCTTAAGCAACTTTCATTAGGAGTCAAAGCTATAAACTAAAAATGTAGAAAATACCAATCGTATACGGTTTGTCATACTCGATCTTGATTGCTTTTGTGAAATATATTTTTCCAATATGATTAACAAACTCCATGTCATTTTTAATTACAAAGTTGTCTTAATAAATTACTTTTTTGCTAATTTATTTATTATAATCTATACCTATTAAGATTTGATCCTTCAAATATTTGCACTTAAAATACCAACTCCTTATCTGGCCAGGATGTAATCTCATACAACCCTACACCAGAAAGCCAAATATCATGTTTCTTTTTAGATCTCAAACAAATGGCATCAGTCTCTTTCAAATTCCATTATTCATAGGTTAATTGATACCTATTTTGGCTGCTCAATATCTTCACTTATTTTTTTATCGGATTTTGACATGTTTCATACAGTTTTTTCAAATCAGTTAAACACTAATAAACTATGAAAAGATTTATTACCTTTTCCAGCCAATATTTGCTCTCTCTTTCAATTACCTCAGCCGTTTTTATGAGTTTTTGTGCCTGTTAGTTTACTTCGGTGTCTCTCAATATCCACAGTTGTCCATCGCAGGTTTTTAAAAGGGGTTCAATTTTCTCAATTGCCTGCTCAATCTACCCTTTTGTTAATTTTTCCATATTCAACATAGAAATTGATTTTTCAAAAGCGTCTCCAACAAATAAATCGGCTTCCAAATCGAGGAGTTTAATTTGCTTCTCTATTTCTTTTTCTAGTTTGTTGAGGATTTCTTTTATTTCAATTAGATTTTATCTGAAGGTTTGTTTAATGTTGTGATGTTTTCCAAAGATTTCGTTGCCCTTATTGTGCAGCTCTTATTGATTCTTGGGATTATTGGCCTTATTAAGACTTTGAACGATTGTTTTAAGTGGGAATACATTCTTGACATGGGCTTAATGAGACTTCAATAAACAAAACGAACAGATCAATCCTTTGTTTTAACAATCGACTTCTAGACAAAACAAATTGAGTGGATTATCTTGATGTTCTTTGTCTTCACAATACAAGGCTTACATTTAATTAAATGTTAAAATTATTCAACAAAGAAAAGAAGAAAGCACCTTAAATTCAAAATGTGCTTACTGTTGAGGAATTTTTCAAGAGAGACGAATATGAGATCAATGATGAGTTTTGGAAAATGAACGCCACTTAACTCGAAGAAACTTGCAAGAAACAAGAAAAGTATATAAAAAAATTGAAAACCTTGTATGCTGCAGTATGATTGATTTGTCAATAATTTCAATAGCATTTAGACTATCTTGAGCAATTGTTGATAAAACACGAAGAGGAGAAGAAGAAACTAAGAACCGAAATAGAAGAATGGCAAATAAAAAATTGTAATATTTAAATTGTATCATAAATATATAGAAAGCAATTTTGAACTAAAACAGCAGATTGAAGCCTAATATAAATAGATGTACGAATAGTTTTCTTCTCAATCTGTGCAATAAAAGTAACCTCAAATTATGGAGGAACACAAATAAGAGCCACAAAACACAGATTTGTTAGATTTAGTTGAGCCGAAGGAAGAGGAAATCGAAAGATTGCGATTATAGTGCATAAAAGTATGCGAAGAGATGAGAAGATTGCAAGAAGATAATGACGATTTGAGCACTGCCTTGGAGGTAGAGAAATAGCATAAAGAGTAATTAAGACAATAATTTGAATAATAAAAGGGTTAATTTTAAAAAGAGATATCTGAGTTGGAGAATAAAATTAAAAATGTTCAAGATGAAGGATAGTTAAATACTTAAAAGTTGGAAGATAGAATAAGGAATTAAAGGGATTTAGAATAAAATGCATCTGATTTAAATACAAAGATTCATGAATTGGATAGTAAATTGTTATAAGAAAAAATTAAGGTTGATTCAAAAAATAAGGATTGCATTAGATTGGAAGATTAAGTGAATGAATTAAAAAGTTAGATTGAATAAATGTCGAATTAAATAAATATATAAAAAAGTAAATTGCAATTATTAGAATCAAAAAGATAGAAAGATAAAGTAACAATCAATGAATTAAAAAATAACATCACTCTTTCACAGAACAACATTGAATTAATATAATTTCAACATAAAAATGAAATTTAAAATTTGAATTTGCAATTCAATGAATTATAATTAAAAAGCAATCTATATGAACAACTCAAAGTGCAGTATGATTAACTGCAAAATTAGTTAATGGACAAGAATGTAAAGGTGTAATAATTATTTCACCAGATTTCAGACATGGAATAATAGATAGAATAAAAGAATAAGTATAAAATTAAATCTATTCAAGATAGTAATAAAGTAGAGATGAAAAACTGACTTAAAAGGAAGTTGAGAGAGAAAACTTGATCTAGCATCTCACTCTTAAGAGAGAGAATGCCAGAGTGGAAATTGAATAGTTGAATGACAAGATCATATCTTTAATGAAATTAGTGGATTCTATTAAGAACAAGGCTCAGTAAAACAATGACATTTAACAAATGATTAAGCATAATTCAGATATTCTAAACAAATCTGAAGTACTACAGAAAAGCAATCGAAGAGTACAGTTATTTCCAACACTCCACAAGTGTTTAACTGAATTAAGAAAATTGGAAGATAAATGTTACAAATTATACATTTAGACTATGATTTCTGACTTTTAGAATAAAGACTCTACAATTTAGATTGAAAGGTACTTAAACGACATCGGGAGGAGATCTCAAGACATTTTGGATCTATTAGATGAAATGGGTTTGAAATGAAATAATACATTATTATTATTAACAATCATTTGTAGATTTTATAATTATTTTATTAAGTGATTTATGAAATTAGTCAGATTTCTTATGAAACTCAAGAATGAGTAGGTTATTGTAGAATTGAAGAATGGCACAGTAGTTTTAGGCACAATTACTGGAGTAGATGTAAGAATGAATACTCATTTGAGCAAAGTGAAATTGACATTAAAAGGAAAGAATCCAGTGGGTTTAGATCAATTAACAATAAGAGGTTTAGAAAACGATAATTAATATGAATAGGAAATAATATCAGATATTTCCACTTATCCGAGAATTTATAAATAGACAATCTATTGGTGGATGAATCAATATCTAAATCTAAGAAGGTGAAAGCAGGAATGGAAAAGAACGATCCAAACTTTAAAAGAAAGAAGAAGAACAAGGTCACTCGTTTACCAAGAAGATGAGACAGGATTTTATTTATTCAACAATGAAATATCAAGTTAAAATTTTTATTCTTTTCTCATTATTCTTGATTTATATGTATAATGACAATAAATAATTTAGATTTATTTATGTTTCAAGAAGTACCTTCAGATGAGTAAAATTTATCGGTATCTTAAGATAAATCTCGATAGGGCCACTAATAAATGATACCAAAGCAAATCTTGGTGAGCATTGTAAGTGCAGCATTGGATAGTCACTTTGCAAAAGAAATTGATGAATTAGAAAAAATTGGAGGTATATCAACTATAGAAAGTGGATTAAAAACCAATTTTACTTTAGGATTAAAAGGTGATGATTTTGAATAAAGAGACTCATAATATGGCAATAATTCAAAGCAATTAAATCTTACTAACACCTATATGCAATTATTTTTACAAACTCTTGAGGTTAAAATTTGTTTAATTATAGGATTGCATAATTCGAACATTATTAGCAGCTTCTATAGTTTCAATTGTCATAGGAGTTTTTACAGCAGATGATGATCATCGTTCATGTGCTTGGATTGAAGGATTTGTTATATGTATAGCAGTATTGATATCTTGCAATGTGACAGCAATCAATGTATTTAACAAATGTAATTGTTAGGATTATTGGAAGTAAGGCCAATTCTAAATTTTACAACAAAGGGAAGAGAATAGAAAGACGGTAGTAGTTTGGAGAGACGGATGCAAGATAGATTTATATTATAGTTTGGTTATGGTTGGAGATATAATTTAAATTTGTGAAGGGATGGAAATTCCAGCAGATTGTATTGTTATAGAGGCAGCAGAATTAATGGTTGATGTATACTATTTATCCTATGTAAAAGGAAAGTGTTATGACAGGTGAAACTAGGCCCATAAAAAAGGATACATATGATAATTGTATAAAGTAAAGAAATAAATTGAGACACAAAAAGTATGGGTTGAGCAGATATGATATTCCATCTCCAATTATGCTGGCTGGTACAAAAGTATTGTCAGGTGAAGGTAAAATGGTAGTAGCAGTGGTGGGTAAATCAAGTTGCTTTGGCAAAACTAATTATTAGCTTACAACTTAAGAAACAGAACCAACACCGTTGTAATCTGAATTAGAGCAACTTGCTTTAGATATTGGAAAGTTTGGACTCATTAGTGCAGGTTTGATTTTATTTGTTTTTCTATTGAGATTTGGAATAGATAGAATTAAAGAAGATTCATTTGAGAAAGAACATATTAAGGAGTTGGCGGATTTCTTTATTATTTCAATTACAGTGATTATCATTGCAATACCAGAAGGCTTACCACTTGTTGTAACAATTAGTTTGGCTTATTCTACGAAGAGAATGTTACAGGATAACAATCTAGTTAAGAAGTTAGCTGCCTGTGAAACTATGGGAAGAGTAGACATGGTATTATCTTGTAAGACAGGAATATTAACCATGAATAAAATGTTTGTGGTCTAGATTTGGAATGAAGAATTAATGGATATTGATGCTTATAAGGAGAGATTAAATTTAAGTACATACTTACCAGCTCATATGCATGAATTGTTTATTTAATCAGCCATTGTAAATGGAACAGCAGTAATTAGTGGAGAAGGATAAGGATAAGGAAATAAAACAGAAATAGCAATGCTCTTGTTTGCATAACAATGTGGCATAAATTATGAAAAGGAAAGAGATACACATTAAGCAACCAAGAAGATTCCTTTTTCGACCAGGAGAAAAAGGATGACCACCATTATTGGAAACAAAAGATTAGTTGTCAAGGGAGCCAGCGAAATCATTCTAAAAGGGTGTAATAAATTACTATCAAAATCAATTGGAATCATACCTATCGATTCTTCCATTAGAACTAGTATCGAGTTGGGCATACAATAAATGGCTTCTTAGTGTCTAATCACTATGGCATTAGCATACAAAGATATTAATGGCGACAAAGATCTCGACAATATAAATGACAAAGGAGTCTATGATATAGAAACTCATGATCTTACTCTGATTGCTATAGTTGGTATTAAAGATATTCTAAGAGCTGAAACGCCATTGGGTATTGCTGCTTGTAAAACGGCTGGAATCAAGGTAAGAATGATTACTGGAGATAATAAATTCACTGCTTTAGCAATTGCTAAAGAATGTGGTATATTAATTGATGAAAATCAATCCCTAGTTTTAGAAGGGGCTGATTTTTTAAAAAGAATTGGAGGAATAGTCTGTAAATAGTGTCAAATTTCAAATTGTGATTGTCCAAGAGATTAAATTAGTGCCTATTAATTAGATAAATAAGAAAGAGTCGATACAATAAAAAATGGGGTAGAATTTGATAAGATATATCCTTTCTTAGATGTATTGGCTAGAAGTACATCTGAAGATAAGTACGCACTTCTAATAGGTCTTTAAGAAAGAGGACATGTTGTAGCCGTAACTGGAGATGGCACCGGTGATGGTAAATTATATTATTTTATTAGTCCCTATATTAAAGAAGGCTGATGTAGGTCTTGTTATGGGAATAGCAGGAACTGATGCAGCAAGAGAAAGTGCCTCTATTGTTATGCTGGATGATAATTTTTATTCCATTGTAAAGGCAGTACTATGGGGAAGGAACATACATGATTCAATTAAGAAATTCTTACAATTTCAATTGACAGTCAATATTGCCATTTCAGTTTTGACGATTTTCTCCGCTATTATAATCAAATAAGATGTGTTAGAGCCCATCTAAATTCTATGGGTAAATTTGATAATTGATACATTTGCCTCACTAGCTCTGGTCACAGAATCTCCAACCTCAGAGTTATTATAGAGAAAACCTCAGAATAAAAATGAAGACATGATATCCCCCAAGATGTTAAAAAATATGTTTGGATAAGCAATTTATCAAATGATTGTAATAATGGTACTAATATTTTATGGGTAAAGATTCATTCCAGAGTTTAAGGGAGAGGAAGATGAAGCAACAGAATTTAAGGGTAAATTATAATACAAATATTCTAACACATACTTTGATGAGGTTAATAACCTCCACATCTGTCCTAATTATATGGATTATTGTAATCTGATATCTTTCAATACAGATTATTACATTGATGGATCAGAAAATTATAAAACCTTTTATAAAGAGACGTATATACCTTCAAGATAGTTTACAGTTATCTTCAATACTTTTGTACTAATGCAATTGTTCAATTTTCTTAATTCCAGAAAAATAAGAAATGAGATCAATGTCTTCAAAGGAATATTAAGCAATATGCTATTCCTTAAAATAGTTTTTGGTATTCTTGCTTTATAAATAATGATTGTTACTTTTGGTGGAATTGGATTCCACTGCTATTCATTCTATGGACTCAGCTTAGAACAATGGTATTCAATTGTATTCATATAGGTTAATATGTCTAACCTTTGGTATTGGAAGTTTAATTGTTAGACTATTACTCAGAGTAATTCCAGACCCAAAATATGGAAGTCTTACTAGACTTGATCAAACGCATAACACTTAAGATCTAGCATTGCCAACTGTTACTATACACGATTACAAATACCAGGTTTAATAACTTAGTCTAGAATCAGAACAAGAAAACGAAAACCTCAACAATCCAATTTAGGAGAATCAATCATGATTAAATTAATCAATTATACATAACTAAATTAATCCTCTTAGTTATTAATAAAATTCTAAATTAAAATTATGATGTAAGAGGGGAATGAAAGAAAAATATCAACAATCACAAAGAATGACAATGTTTTGGATTTAGTTAAGATCAAAGTCAGATTGGATGAGCATTTTTACATATTCTCTCGTTTCATGATAAGCAGAATGTTAACATTATCGAGAATCAAGAAATTGGATGCAATATAGATAGCTAAGGACATAAAAAAATAATTGATAGATCGGAATTCACTTGAAATCAATTCAAATGAATTAGAGGCTATTATATTTCAGACTATGAATAAATTTGGATATTAGAATAACATCCAAAAGTATCAAATGGTTTCCAAGTACTAAATCAAAAAATCGTAGTTTTTACCGACACAGAACTCCTATGATCATCATCATTTTTGGTGCCCCAAGCATAGGAAAATCGCTGTTAGCAAACAATTTAGCGGAAAGACTTAATATCTCTAATGTCTTGCAAACTGACATAGTAGAAATGGTCATGAGAAGTATTAATCCAGAATAGTTCAATTATGATGGAAATGAGGATTTCATTACCAAATTTAAGAAAGTAAAAGAATTAACATTAAATAAGAGAATTGCAGACTGATTCGAAGAGGAGTTTCTACTGATATTTCCAAATGTCTATCTGAAGGCAAAGCAGTCATTATTGAAGGAAGTGCAGCAATGCCAGAATATTATTTAGAAGCTATCGATCAATAAGATCCTGAAGATGATCAACAATAATTACAATTGATTGCAAGTTTCACATAAAATGAAATTAAACTCAAAAAACCTTAAAGAAAGGACTTGTTACTTTTTAACCAATAGAAAAAATTGAACACTTAATTCAAAATCATCTTCCCTTAGCCTGATTAAGATTTAGAAGATGATCAACAGATTCAAAAACATTTGAAGTTATGCAAAGATTTGGATAAAATTGTAAATTCATTATTCATTTTATTAGGATCAATCACATTCAATGATTTTAGGTTTCCTACCTATATTATCTAGAAATGATCATCTATACAATATAGAAAACAATACGAGTAAAAAGATACCCAAAGATTAAATAGAGGAAAAGCTTAATCAATTTTAATCCATTCAAAATGAATTATTAAAACAAAGAAGCAAATGCATTCTATTACCTATTAATTTACATAATCTAGAAGAAACCTTAGTACTATTTATTTATTATTTCAGGACACCATGCACGACATTATTTTATAAAAAATCTTAGATCAATCAATTTGATTTTATGTGTGATTTATCTATCTATATCAAAAATAAACAGTTTTTATAAAATACATTCATTCGAATTTCCGAACTGCCAATCTTTCTGAGCTGTCTTCTTGTTTTATTTATAATCAATTGAATGAATTTAAACTATCATCAATTAATTTAATTTTAATTTCTGAAGCATCAATTTACTTTTCTTTTCACTTAGGATCCAACTAAGTAAACAAATTAATAGCAAATTTTAAATAATGGCTTTCCAAGTAAGAATGGCAATACGATATATAGAATCTACTCAATATTTAAAATAATTAATTTTATCTAAAATACCATTTTCATAATAAAATAATTTTTAATACTTATATTTCAGGATCATAATTAAATGAAGATAAATTCTATAAATTTAAATATCTTATGATTTAACTTAATTATTACTAAAGAACATGGAATATATTTCTATAATATTCAATCATATTAAGAGGAAGGGCATAAAAAATGAAATTTTAATTTATTAATAATCATTATTTAATTAATATTTTAATGATCTCAAACAATTCTCCCTTTTTACAAAAATTCTATGTATTTTTCTAATTACTTGATAGCATTTTCCAACTCACCAATTTTATTCTTGCTTAGTTTTTAATTCTCTCTCTCTCTCTCTCTCTTTCTCTCTAACTTTTTAATTTTATCATTCAAATCAGAAATAGTACATTCTAGTTCAAAATTGCCTAGTTAAGCTTTTAATAATTCATCCCTTTTTGTTTTTAACTATTATTTCAATTCATCTCTCTCTTTTTTATCGTATTTTTATTCCTCTTCAAAGTCTGTTTATTATTATTCTAATCTTTCAACTAATTATTCGATTTCTTAAGTGAAATGTTTTTAATATTGTTCAAACTATAATTAAAATTAAGAATATATCTAACTAACATAATTTTGCCATTACTCATTTAAAATTTTTTATGTATAAACCATAAGTTCTTCGTTCTTGTTTTTTAATTATACTTCAAAGGACCTTTAAAGTGATAAATAATCTTCTTGTAATTATTAATTTTCTTATTCTAGGTTGCTAAATCTTATATTCATCCTATTTAATTCTACCTCCAGGATATCACGTCTTTCTGAGATTTCATAAATTTATTTTTATTTTTCAGCTTAAATTTTTTCCATTTCTGCTTATTATGTTCTTAGGATGTTAGCAGTTTACGTTCTATTATTTTCAGATAATTATTATATTTTCATGTAATGATATTTTTCCTTTTCTTTCATTTCTTCAGCTAAATTTGATAACTTCTATTCAGCCTCGATCAATTTTCCTTAAATTTCTTTGCTTAATTTAATAGCATTTCCATCTTCTTAGTATTTAGAAGAAGTTTCAGAACTATCATTTTTTAATTTTTCCTTTATTTATTTGAACAATTATTTTTGCTCAAGTGTCACTTTTTTTTAACTTTATACTTAATCTTCTACTATTTCTATTTCAAATTCCATATTTTCTAAATTATTCATTTAAAACACATGATTAGTATAGGCATTAAGCTAAAGTTGTGACTTGAATTATGACAGCTAATTTTAATATTTTTACTCCATTTAATTTAAAGTGCTTTTTAAAGAAGTAATTGAAACTGCTTCTAAATCAAATTCTTTATACCATCTTTATAATAGAGTATTATCTTAATTTATTAATTATTCTTTTTCTACTTTTATCTTTGCCATTTCTTTCAATTCTCTTTAAAGTTAATTAGCATCATAAACTTTAAAGTACATCTAATCTCTCATTAAATTATTCTTTATCTTTGTTGCCTAATATACTGTTTCAGAAATATCGATCAAAACAATTGAATCCTAATTTAGGTTATTCTTTTTTTTTTGTAATTCTTCTTTGATGTTTTAGTATTCACAATCAAGATAAATTATTTCCTTATTAGGTATCTCACAAATAATTTTACAATTAGACATTAAATATTAATGATTGTAGAATTAGATTTTTTTTCATTTTGTATGAAAAAATTTTTAATAGAATTTCTGTTATGTGTAAGGCAATTTTAATATGACACGAGAAGTTAAATATAATCTTTCGGACTTTTATTAAACTGATACTACTCAGATATGATTACAATCCTTCTTTTAATAAGAGTAGGTAAATAGATACACCTAATTTTCTTGATATAATTCAATGTAACTTTTTGAAAACCATCAAGTTTTTATTTATGGTTAATTCTAATTTGTGGATATCTTGATCCCTTTTATATTAATCAGAGATTGAGATCTGAATTGCTGGAGTGTTACAAAGAAAATTATACTATTTTATTATTTTAAAATATCTATAGATTTATTTAGAACTGAATTATTTTTAGATAAATTTTTTCAATCATTCACAATTAAAATAAATCTTTTCCTTGTTTTTTTATCTTTAAATGATTTGAAATTTTTTGAAAATAATTTATCTAAGCAAAAATTAAGCATTATCATAATTTCGATTAAACCACCAAGCTTCTACTTAATTATTTTTCTCTAAGCCTAAATAGACTTGGCTGGCTAATTGTTAGAATTATAACTTGTTTCTATTGTAATTTATTTTTTATCATTTTATAGAATATAAGTAGTTTTCACAATGCATTATAGAGCGATGGAATTGAAATTTATTTTGTAACTAATAATTTTAAATATAGAAAATCAACATTTACATATTCAAAATAACTTTGGAATTGACATCAATTGTATATTATAAATTTAATTTGATCTTACAAAATTTTCTGGAGGAAGTCTTGCTCTTGTGGCCTGTACATATCCATAATATTATTAATCTACTCATTATTATTGGTTATTTAAATTTCTATTATCCTTTACAATCTTAATTCACAAGATAACATAGGTACTGAGAAACTTAAAATTTCATCCCATAGTTATATAATTGTTCTTGGTTAAAAGAGATTTTGAAGTTTCCTATTTAAGAAATTTTAAGATTGTCATCCGTTTTCCACCTGTCCATAATGAATATATCTTCAATAACCTATTTTTTGTAATTTCGACTTAAACTTTATTATGAGTTACAACCAAGAGTGAGAAATTAAACCCAATCATAAAAACTTGAAAATCTTTATCAGTTATTCTCTAGACTTGATTCTCAAATTTATAACTTTAAATTAAACAGGATTCTCCTTTATCACAAACTATAATGCCTTCAACGAGATATAGGAAAAGGAAATGTAATTTTTTGTATGCTAATTCAATTATTTGTTCTCATAATCAAAATCTCCAATATTAAAGCTTGTTCTCTAGATTAAATTATTTATTCCTATTGCAATCATTCCTCCTATCTAGAGATGAGGAAGTGATGTTAAAAAATTTGGAAGCCTAAGAAATAAAATATCATAGATCAAGCCATCTTTTCTTAAGAACTAGAGATAGTCACAGATTTTCTATATACAAAAAGAATGAATGCTTACACTCTTAATTAAAATTCTGTATCCATGAAGAATCTCTCAATGTTAAAAGTAAGACTAATCCATTTAAATTTAAATAATCAATAAAAACAGCCCAAACAACGGTTTTCAAATTATTTTATTGGTATCCAAAAATATTTTCAATTCGCAACCTTAATAATTTTGGGTTGCCATTACTAGATGAGTAGATAATAATTGAAATTAAATTAAAAATCATGAAATTTTTATATTTAAAAAAATGTAAAATCTATTAATAGATTTGTAGATCACATCCAGAAATAACCTATTACAACAATTGTTATTCTTACACTATTCAAATTGTAATGGCCTCAGAAATTAAGAAGAATAATGAAATGATAAACAAAAAGCAATTAAAATTTTCTTATATATAAATAGGTTGATATTTCATAACTATTTTGGAAATCAAAATACTAATTAATAGTTCATTGGATAATTAATAGATTTTGAGTACCTGTTTTAAATTAAAAATAAGTAACTTGAAAAAATAAAGATTGAGCATTGTTAATTGTCTTAAATGAAATCAGAGTTTTAGATAACAGCAAACTTATTTGTATATATTTATGAAAGTTCTATCTGCTTAGTTTTAGAATTCATCTTTTGTGTAAAATAGTTCTTGTTAATAAGTTTTATATTATAATTAAAATAAAATGGATAACTCTGAAACAAAAGAAATCTAAGAAAAATAATTTATTTGCATTGATCCAAAGTGTGATTAATCAAATCGGTTATTCAAATCTAAAAATGAGAATCATTCTCATAAATCTCATGATCATCAATTATACTCTGAATTCTAAAAACTAATTCGTGCACAATTTCCATAATAGATTCGAGAATAAATAAACCAATAATTTAGCAAGGATGAATTAATCAAAGCAATCTAAACCAGATCAGTATAAATGCATGAGTCTGTCAAAAATTTTGAAGAAAATCTAATAAAGTATATGTAACTCATTATGAATCTTAAGAACTATCGAAGCCTATGATATTTTGGGCGCCGACAAAGCTTCTATTAATCAAGCTTTAAGTCAATTAAACGAACAAAATCCTCCTTAACAACTTAATATTTAAGGATTAATGCATGTACTCAAATTCAATAAATTGGGTCCCTAAAAGGTTTTGGAGAAATGGAAAAGAGAAAGCGAAATCATCCTAAAAGAACTTAGCACATAAGCAGACGCAGCCTTAAAAACTTTAGGAAATGTTACAATTGCAAGTTATATGCACATTCAACATCTCCAAAGTCCTTTGATTTTATAAAAGTAAATAATGAAACTATCAATAGAATGCACTTTGCTTGGAGTTAAAGCTATAAGGCAAGTTCAGTTACAATCAGAGAAGAGGCAGCCTATGAAAAGGCAAATTCCATGGGATTAGTGTGCATCTAATAGATCTTGGAAAAAGATTAAGTCCAGAGCATTACGGTTGATGTCAAAGAAAGAGCTGGAGTAATATTACATTATAATGTATAGAATCTATACATTGGAGTTCTAGATATTAATGAAAGAAAATAAAGAGGTAGAAAGGCATTCAGTTTTCATGATTGGAATGAATCAGGACATGGCTTATATTTAATCTATCATGGAGGATGTATGGAATTCTCACTCTAAAATAGATGTTTTTAGTTCTAATGATCCATCAATAAATACAAAGAAAGCAGGGTTTACATTTGATTAAAATGACAAGATCATCCTCACCTGGAATGGTCCCGAGCATTCTGTCACTATTCTTAAAGTTGGAAGTAGTCATGTAATAATCATAATGAATTATATCAGCAATTTACCTTTAAAGTCAATCCTGATGGACAATACCATTTTGCAGCAGGTCTATTCAAATGTGAAATAAGATTGCTTGAATGATCTATTTAATTCTAATGATTAGATATATATGAAAGTGTATTATTTATAAATTCTATCCCAAACAATTAATTGTTATGTCAAAATTATTAAAGAATTTGTTTTTAATTTAAATGCAATACTCATATTTAATAATAAAATTAATGAAATCTAAAGGTAAATCAAATAAGTGCAAGCAATTATAATCTGACATCTACACTAAGAAAGATATACTTTAAAGAATCAAGGTAACTGAAGACATTACTGAAATACTTGAATATACTACTAACGAAGATAACGATATTAGACTCGCTGCAACATCTTAATTGTGTCCCTGTAAAGTTTAGGAAGATGTTCCTGAATTTTGGGATAGAGTTTTCCAATTAGTAGATGACCCATAACCAAAAATAAGAGCAAGAGTTCTGCATATTATTTGTGATGGCTCACCCAACAGACTTTAAAATGAAGTGATGGATGCCCTATATAAATTTAACAGAGATTCTGATCAGGAAATAAGAAGACAAGCACATAAAGTACTTGCTAAAGCATAAAAGGGTACTTGGAATGTGTTGTGATTACTAAAATTAATTCTTATAAAGATCAAAATTAATTATATTTGCTTATTTTTCTTTGTGTATCCTCAGATTATTTGTAGTTATTACTTGGTTATTCCTTTCTTTTCGTATTTGAATGATACTAATGTTCGTATGAGTTATCGTTTTCTTATTCTTGTTCATTATTTTCAATTTTGAATTATTGTTATGGATAATTTATTGATAATCTATTTGATTGATAAAGACTCTTATTGTAATATGGATCTACTGGTTAAATTGTCAATGCTCTACTCACTTTCTTAATAGGACTTATTTTTGTTGATGGAAATAATGCTTCCTCTAAAGACTATTTTTTGAGTCTTTATGTTTCACAATATTACTACTCATTCGTTTGCTCATTAAACTTTGTGTTTTCAAGTAATTTGTCTATTCGAGATTATTATTTGATATTTAATTGCTTCAACTCTTTATTTTCACTTTACAATTGAATCAAATCTCTATGTAATTAATTTAATATCCCACTATCTTTTAATGAATTAGATTAGTTTTATAATTTCTGAATTTCTTGCTTTAATCTCTCATTATCTTAACATTTAATATCAAAGCGATGATTTAGATCTAATCTTATTAATCTCTCTTCCTTAAATTCCTTATGAGTTTTTATAAGATCATTTTCTAATTCCAAAATTTATTATTCTTTAAGTTGCTTATATTAGCTAAATTTTTATTTCTCTAATCGTAATTGTTCATCCTTTCCTTATTCATCAATTGTAATCAATTGATTTAATTAATTTCCACCTCTCTATAGTCTTTCTATTTCATTTTATAGTTGCTAAATCTCTAAGTTAGCCATCTTTTGAGCTTCTGCCATTCTATCTAATTCTTGGATAAGTATATTTATTCTCTGTAAGCAACCCTTATGTTTTGAATCTGTTAATAACGAATCAGATCTTGGAACATTTAAGGTGTTCCCTTAGGATTTAATTCTATCCATTTCTATTATGGAGCCTCTTTGAGAAAATAAATTAAACATAAATAAATTTAATTTCTAAATAAGTATACTAATTATCAATTAGTAGTATATATTAATATTGAAAAATATAAGAAATTAATTTCATTCTGACTGATTATCAACAATATTTAGAGATCTTGGCGGAATCGTAATGAATAATCTAAAATACACAGCAAAACTAATAGTTCAAAAATAAATAATAGAGATTTTCAATGTCTTTAACACTTCGAGAATACTTATTTGTATCAATTAAATCAATAGATGAATAAGTATTGTGGTTTGGTGCATATTGTATTTTATAAAATATCAAATTTTAATTATTTTATTAATTGTTTTTAATATGGCCGAAGAGTACGATGAAGAATTTGGAGAGGTGAAATATTATAAAAAATAGGTAGCTTGGATTAGTGATTGGTGATTTGAACATCCCATCAAGGGCTTCTGATCTACCTCCTCAATTTAAGGACCTTTTAGTTCCTAATAAAGTCTAATATGTATTCTGCACAGGAAATGTTGGGAATAGAGAAACCACAGATTGGTTGAAGACACTATCTGGAAATACTCATTTTGTTAAAGGCGATTTCGATGAAGCAAAAGATATACCTGAAACAAAAATCATATAGATTGGGGCATGGAGATTGGCTTTAGTGCATGGACATCAAGTAAAACAGAATATTCATATTGTAGATTATCCCTGCTGGAGATGATGAGTCTTTGTATACATTTTTGAAAGAGATGGAAGCTGACGTGCTTATTACAGGTCATACAGGTGTTGCTAAGGTTTCAGCAGTCGAAAAGAAATATATTATTAATCCTGGATCAATTACAGGAGGTTTCAATGGTTAATAATAGTATTTTAAATTCATTATTTAGATCGATTCCATCCTTTTTAATATTGGAATTTAAAAAGGAAAAAATTTAAGTATTTATTTACACCCTTGATGGAGAGGTTAAAATAGATAAGCAAGAATTGCCATTATAGAAATGAATAAAATAAAATTAAGTATCATTAATATTGTTATGAAAGCCAATAATCTTAACCTTTAAAAATGCAAGCTCTCTATCTTAAGATATCTAAGGCATCCCAAAAATCTTAGTCAGCAATATCAGGATTTCTAGATTCAAATTCATACTAGGACTGTCTATAATAAAAAATTTTGTCTTGTGAATTTTCTAATTACTACTACCAGTTTTAAAATAGTCTCTATATTTCCTTCTATTTGATTCTGAATTATTTAAAATAATTAAATATAGCTATAGCCATCCCAAATATTAACATGATAATGATAAGGTAGAATACCAAACCAAGGCCTTTTTCATTTGAGATCATAAAACAATAAAAATTATTAATATATTTATGCAATTTAATAATGACACTTTGATGTAAAGAGAGATTGTGCTATACTAAATTACAAGAATAGAATCAGAAATAATATCAATTAACTACAGAATTGTGTAATAAATGCTGTTTTAGTGTATTTAAATGAATTAAATATAAGTAAATTAATAATTAGGATTATGTAAAACAATCCACAGTTTCTGTTCAAAAATGGAAGTTATACTCATTAATTTTAATAAGAATCAGAATTAATTATTATTATCCACAAAAATAGCTTCACCTTTAGCAATTATAGTCAGAGCCTTGATAAAGAACTTTTTATCTATAAGTATTAATTCTGCATTCAAATCTGTCTTAGATTACGCTTTATTTTACAATATTGCATTATTCAATCTGTTTAATCTTAAAAACAAGTTGTCTAATTTAAGGTTTATTCTTTCTGGCTATTCAGCTTCAAAATATTTCCCTCTGCATTCTGTAATTATTTCACCACATTGTATTGTGGATTTTGAATAGACTTTACCGTCAATTATCTGTAATTTTAGCATATCGGAATCGCAAATGATATATTGTTCTGGAATTGGTTTTTGTTTTTGTTGTTCCCAATATTCAAAAAAGTTTTCTCCTTTGTATGCCTTCATTTAATCATAAAATGACTTCCAATAAGAAAATGAATAATCAAAAAACAATTCTTCTCCTGCTTTAATATTCTTTGATGACACCAAAAATGCTTTATCATGCCTTATGGAGAGCTCAACGTTATGTTTTAAATGCTCATGAATAGGAAAGACGCCGAAATTCAAGCTTAACTCTTCTGCAGGTGTTAAAAGTCCAAATCTTACAATATCGTTAAATCTGGAGGATAAGGAACGACCAATAACTGAATATTTTTCATTTATTTGAAGCATTCTATCTTCAAGCATAAAGCATTGTGCCCAAGAGTATTTTGCATTAATTACTAATATTTTAATGAAATTTACTTTTTCCTCTATATTCTACTAGAATCTATCCTTTTGAAATATCATTTCTTGCAAATACTCCCAATCCAGAATTTGGAATTGTAGAAGGTTTAGTAAATAATTAAAGATAATCGCTTTTCATTATTTTAATATATGATAATAATGAGATTAAGAGAGGAATGTTATTAAAAAGTAATAAAATCAAAAATATTAATAATCGGCAAAAACCATAAATGACAATCGTTAATCTTGTTTTTTTTGCTTAAGTTACTAGAGTTTAGTAAAAAGACTAAAATTCAATTTGTTAGTTTTATTCCTAAAAATTACATTAGTCTATTTTTTTTTTGATGAATTGGCTCTTTGAAAACTATTTGCTCTTGAAGATTTATTTTAATTATTATAATCTTCCGAGCCATTTTTTTCTTAAAGTTAATTTTCATTTATTGAACAATTATGGAAGTTTGTTGCATCCATTAATTAAACTGAGGCTCTTTTTTTCCCTTAAACCTTAGATTTAGAGATATTGGTTTAATTGCAATCTGAATTTCTTTCAGCAGACAAAGCACAGAATTTTACCTCTGTTTAATACAGTTTTTTCAACCTTTAATATGAATTCTGAGAGTTGTGAGAACAGATTAGGCTTTTTGACAAGCCAATTTACTCAGCCTCCCCTGAGATTCTATCAGTGATAGAATTTTGTTTTGATCTGTCACTAATATAGGACTTGAGCCTGTTTAACCTTGAATACAAACTCAATCTAGTTTTGTATTCATCCTCGAATTTGTTTTACCTTGATGATAAATTGTTATCTTGTCCTTGTTCATCTGAATCCCTACAAGTTTCAGCCATGGTTTATCTTCGAGATGCCTTCAAATTAGAGTTGAAAAATTTTGTATTTTTGATCACTTCCTTCTCAAATGTTTCATATATATCATAACATCTTGGATAAACATAAGGTTTTAGACTCATTTTCTTTTTTTATAATTTGCCTTTACTAGGGTTCATTATATTAATTGATCTTAGTTATAATAAAATTATATATAGAAAATAATATTATATATTGCAATCAAACAGAAAGTAAAGATATCAAACTTGGCTAAAGTGGATTCACAAAATTTCAGACAAAGAAAAAATAAATAGATTTAAAAAACAGTTCACCAGCAGAATCACAATTGTTTAAAATACGTATATGATTAGAATCATTATTCGATTTCCTTAAGTATTTTTTCTCCTTCATCTAAAGCTCTTTTCATGTTCTCCTTAAATTAATTGAGAAATGTTTTGAAACTCTAAACTACAGATTGAAACTTTGACTATGATTTATTCGGTTTTGCTTTTATTTGCTTCTGTGCCTTTTATCCTTCATGTTACGATTATTTTTGTTTTTTTGCAGCTGTAAATTTTTTTTTAATCTTCTTCATTATAGTGTTTGCCTTAGCCATTTTTGCTTTTGAAGATCCAATCATAATTATATCAGGGCTCTCATCAATTTTTCTTTCTTCTGTAGTTTAAGTTTTTTAGTTTGGAGCCTTTTTTTTTTATTTGGGCGGTCTTCCTCTTTTAGTTTTTGTACTGACACGAGTGTGATTTTAACTTATATGTTGTTTTTTATTTTCAGTAAAATCATTATCTCTATCAACATTTGATGATGTTAACAGATCAATCTCTAAGTCTTCAGATATCATATATTAATAAATGGGCTCTAAAACAAATATTGCATTTAAAGTAAAAAGACAAAAAAGCCTGAAAAAAATTGGCTAATTATAAATTATTAACAAATGGTGTGTCCAATACTCTATAAAATATCAAAATTTTCAACTGAATTTAAGAATTTAATCATCAAAGGCATCGACTTAAGTTCATAAAAGCTATATCTAATTGTTTTAGGCAGTAATACAATAAAATTTATCCAAAAAGAAATTTAATTATTATCATAAATTGTATTAATAATTTGATCTTTTATACAGGTAATTTTTATTAAACTTAAATACAATTACTTTTTACCAATTATTTAGTTCTCATATTACAGAAATTCAAATTGAAAATTAATTTTAGTAATCAATATTTTTTTTAAAATAGTTCCGGATAATAACAATGAAGTAAATACATAGGAAATAATAGTATAATTCCTAGGTTCTCAAATTAAAATGAAATATATTTATTAGAGAGATCAATAATACTCAAATTATCTATTAGAACTTTAATTGAAATATTTTCTTAATGGGAAATTGATTGATATTTTATAATTTAAGGTGCTCATTTTAGTTGAATTTATAATAAAAAATTCAAATGAATAATAATCGAAGGAGATAATCTCACTCTGCCGAAAGAGTTAATCAACAGTCTTCAATAAAGGTGTAATCGGAATAAAAGCCTCCTTTTCTTTTGGATCTGTAAAATGAGATGGAGTACATCGAAGACATTTTGATTTTGATGGCGCGAATAAATCGAACTCAATTTTAAGAACCTCAATAATTGAAACATGCCCTAAAAACATAGAACTCAGTATATTTAAGTATTAAGATACTCTACAATCACTAGACATTTTATAACTAATTATGAATGTAATTGATCCTTACTTGGAAATCAAAAGTTTTTCTGATGAAAAATTTTAGTTATTATTAAAGAGACTTGGTTACCCTTGCAAGCATATGTCAAAAACAAGATTTATGAGCTTAGGATCCTCACATACTTATTTGCAATCACTTCATATTTTATCGTGGCTTTGCAGACAGGCTTAACAAATCATACAAATCAATGAACGCATAGAAAATGGCTAATATTAACCGATTGAGATAGAAAATGAATCCTTTTCCAACAAAATCAAAAAGAAATTAGCAGAGTATCTAGTTTACCTACTAAATTAGATATTTACAAGATGGTTATATAGGTACAATTGATGACTCAGCCCTGGAGAAATGCTATAGGGATGCAAAATAAAAGTTGACACTTGAGTTGATGCAGTTGCAAAAGGATATCTCCAAGTTGACTTGTGAATTGAATGTCATTAAAACATAGGAACCAAACCTCCCTGAGATAGAAGAATAATACAAAAACTTAGATGCCGAATTAACGTAAGTGACTTAGGAGACACAAGAAAACCAATAGATTTTGGAATCGACTCGGTAGGAAATTAACTAAAATATGAATAAGTATCTAGAAGTTGATAATGAAATCATTAAGGTGCATAAACTTATAGAATCTAAACGATAATACATAGCCTAATAACCAATTAAAATTGACAAAGCCAAAGAGATGGAGGCAAAGGATTATTAGTTGACAATTTAATCGTAATAATTGTTGAATGAATTGTAAAAGTATTAGAAAGAACTAGATAAAGCAAGACAAGAAAAAACAGAAATGCTTTGCAAAATATCAAATATCATTTAAATGCTGAATTCAGGAAAAGTCAAATTTGATAAGGATTATGAAACATTTGAAAAAAACCTTTATTCATACTAATAAAAATTAGAATAAAATAATGGAATTCAAATTGGAGAAGATGAAAATTTATTGGATATGGAACTAGATGCATAATTTGAATAAAAAATAGCTAATGAATAGGTAGATTATAAAAGTAGAAAAAGCTTAGTTGCATATGATTTGATCTAAAAATAGGATACAGATTCTATTCTAAAATTGCTATTGCCAAATAAAGAGCAAATTCTCTAAGATCTTAATTAATAACTACAGGACATTTTAAATAAACTAACTGTTAGCAAAAAACAAGCATTGGAGATGAAAAATGAATTAAATCAAAAGTTAAAGTAATTAGAAGACATTGAATGTGCCAAAAAAATGATTATTCAAGAGATCAGTTAGTTAAATGATTCTACTGAAGAATTAAAAGTGCTCAAACAAATTTATTTAGAACATCAGGAAAAGTAGTAGATATTACTTAAAGAAATGGAATAGAAAAAGTTGGAAATCAAATTTATAGTGGATAGAAAGAATTTAGACGTTATAGAGATTGATAGATTGAAAAAATAAAATTAAGAAAATTAAGAAGTTATATTAAGTATGTAGTAACAAGCCGAGATAATTGAAGAAAAAAATACAGCATTATAATAGTAATTTAAGGATTGGGTAAAAGATAACTTAGATCAATTTTTGTCTTTGATTTAAGAGGTGAAAATATGATAAATTAAAAATATTCAATTAATTAGAATCATTTAATTTTTTCATTAATTAGAATTGTTGCAATATTCATTTGTTTTCGTCTTCTAAAATTCATTGAAATAAATAATGAAGATAATATTTTTAGTTTTACAGGCCAATTAGATTAATATTTAAATTTAACAACAAATCTAAGTATCTTAGAATAAATAATATTATAATACAAAATTAATCTAACACATATTATATGATCTAAAGTATGCAGTTCAAAATTGTGAATCTCATAACATTTATCAGATAATGTACATCTTGAAAATAAATCTAACTCTCTATTTCTAATTATGGTATATATTTAATTTATTAAATAACATGATGAAGCAGAAGAGAATAGAAAATTATCATTCATGTAAATGTAATTGCAATACTTATATACATCCACCATTAAATTGAGTAATAATAATGAATATACTATATTATAAAGTATAATTAATATTTATAATAATAATTTGTTAATATGAGTGTGTCTGAAAATTAGCAATAAATATATGAAGAACTAATGGTAATGTTATTGATATTCTATTTCAGGATAAAATAAAAAAAAATTCAGAAATAAGGGAGAAATTTGATAGCAGAACATAAAGTGGATTATTAGATAAGGATTATGCTCATGAAGTCTTGATAGATTGGAGCGATTTACTAAATTATGACCTAAGTGATGCGATAACTTATTTTGATCTCGATAATCCTGATATTCCTCCTGAAGAGATCAGATAGCACCTAGATTTTGACAGTTTCACTAATCTTGTCAACAAATGGTTATAGAAGCAATTATTGCAAACATCTCCCAAATAAAAACAAAGTACAAATCAGGATCAGTATTGGTTTAAGAGTGAGCCTGGAACACTCAACACAGAACAGAGTGATTTAAAGCATTAAGAATAATTAATAAAAGCAATTTTTGAGACTCAAGAAGCCAAGACCAAGAAGGTATTTAATGAGTATGCAATGATGAACGATCAAGCTGACACAATCAGCAAGTAAGATTTTCCTCTTTTGCTTAAAAATTTGTTATATCAACATAATGCATCGATTTATGAGAAATCTGGTTAAGAGGATTANCTTAAAGAAATGGAATAGAAAAAGTTGGAAATCAAATTTATAGTGGATAGAAAGAATTTAGACGTTATAGAGATTGATAGATTGAAAAAATAAAATTAAGAAAATTAAGAAGTTATATTAAGTATGTAGTAACAAGCCGAGATAATTGAAGAAAAAAATACAGCATTATAATAGTAATTTAAGGATTGGGTAAAAGATAACTTAGATCAATTTTTGTCTTTGATTTAAGAGGTGAAAATATGATAAATTAAAAATATTCAATTAATTAGAATCATTTAATTTTTTCATTAATTAGAATTGTTGCAATATTCATTTGTTTTCGTCTTCTAAAATTCATTGAAATAAATAATGAAGATAATATTTTTAGTTTTACAGGCCAATTAGATTAATATTTAAATTTAACAACAAATCTAAGTATCTTAGAATAAATAATATTATAATACAAAATTAATCTAACACATATTATATGATCTAAAGTATGCAGTTCAAAATTGTGAATCTCATAACATTTATCAGATAATGTACATCTTGAAAATAAATCTAACTCTCTATTTCTAATTATGGTATATATTTAATTTATTAAATAACATGATGAAGCAGAAGAGAATAGAAAATTATCATTCATGTAAATGTAATTGCAATACTTATATACATCCACCATTAAATTGAGTAATAATAATGAATATACTATATTATAAAGTATAATTAATATTTATAATAATAATTTGTTAATATGAGTGTGTCTGAAAATTAGCAATAAATATATGAAGAACTAATGGTAATGTTATTGATATTCTATTTCAGGATAAAATAAAAAAAAATTCAGAAATAAGGGAGAAATTTGATAGCAGAACATAAAGTGGATTATTAGATAAGGATTATGCTCATGAAGTCTTGATAGATTGGAGCGATTTACTAAATTATGACCTAAGTGATGCGATAACTTATTTTGATCTCGATAATCCTGATATTCCTCCTGAAGAGATCAGATAGCACCTAGATTTTGACAGTTTCACTAATCTTGTCAACAAATGGTTATAGAAGCAATTATTGCAAACATCTCCCAAATAAAAACAAAGTACAAATCAGGATCAGTATTGGTTTAAGAGTGAGCCTGGAACACTCAACACAGAACAGAGTGATTTAAAGCATTAAGAATAATTAATAAAAGCAATTTTTGAGACTCAAGAAGCCAAGACCAAGAAGGTATTTAATGAGTATGCAATGATGAACGATCAAGCTGACACAATCAGCAAGTAAGATTTTCCTCTTTTGCTTAAAAATTTGTTATATCAACATAATGCATCGATTTATGAGAAATCTGGTTAAGAGGATTACTTTATGAGAAGTAATTCTTATGGAAATTTAAATAACTTTTTGAGAGATGATTAAATTAATTATTAGCAATTCAAGGAGGCAGCAATCCAATTCATAAAAGGAAATCAAGATTTAATTCTTTTGGATCATGAATAAATTAGTAAGAAAAAAGAAAAGCAGCAACCATAAATTCAGCCTAATTTAGAAGAAGAACTACTATAATAAATTGACAAATATCAATAGATTTTATAATCAACTGAACCTGAAATAGAGAAACAGGTTCTTAGGAACATGATAACAACATTGGTTCGTTAGTTAGATTTAATTAGAGACAACACTATGAGATTAGACGAAACTCAAATTAATTCCACTATCAAACCTAAAGCAAATTTATAGGTCTCGTTTTCAGGTATTGTTAGACCTGAAAAAAGAGCTAAAACTAAGGAAGAGATAGAAATTGAAAAAAGAGACAATTAAATATTGGAAATATTTCTATTCTTTGCTAAATAATAATATGTCAATGGTGTTGCATATGAATTTGATAGATACACAAAAGAAGCTTAAAGTTTAAGTCTAGGTATGTTCTTATATTTTTGTAAATGTTTCAATTTGATTGAAACTCATGTCAGAAGACCAAATGAAGAGAATCTATTGGAAAGAAAAAAGAGAGGAGAAGATGTCAATATCACTCGATTAAATCAAACAATAATCAATAAAAGCTTATAAGAGGAAGAGAAATAAGTAGAACAAATGTCAACAATAGTATCTCCATAACAAAAACCTCCTACTGTTCCAGTCAATATCCAGAAGGTTGAAAATTTGCCTAGAAGAAATAAATATTCTCATGTCCCTTCTAAATTTGAGTAAAAGTTCTGTTTCTATATCATAGATGGTGGAATGATGAATTAAAGTTTGACAAATACTACAATCCAAATCAAAATCCCTTACCTCAACAGATTTTGGATGACATGAAATATTTAACTAAAGATGAAATCAAGAGTTTGTTTAAAAGAAGTGCCTTTGGAAAAGATGTAAGACTATTAATATATACATAGCTCGATTTTGAAGAATTCAAATGTCTACTAGGATTTATGGCCAATCTTATGTTCAAAGAAAATGGAGAAAGACATCCTCATGCCTATTAATTGATATTAAGACTGATGTATATTGACTATCCAGAGGAATACAGAAAAAGATTGACTCCTATTAAAATACCATTTAATTGCAAAGAGAAAATTGGTTTCAGATAGTTACCAGGTTACGAGCATCATGAATATAAAGGCAGATAATTGTCGTAATAGGAGAAACAACAACTACAAAGATTAAAGCAAGAAAGGGAGAATTAATTAAGAGAGAGACTTACTGAAAATCCAAATCAAAGCATAAGATCTATAGGGTCTATGGGTTCTCAATCTATTACTAATTTACCTTATAATAAATAATAAGGCAGATTCTTGAATGGAAGAATAGATTTAGACAGAGAAAAAGTTTCATGGGCAAAACTAGAGAATTTAAATCCTAATGACTTAAGTGGTCATGGTAGAAATTTTAAGCCTCAGGACTTGATTGATGAATTTGAAGATGAAGAAGATAGGTAATTTGCTGTTATAATCTTTTAGATTTTTTTTGAAAGAATTCTCACTTGAGGAGGATAAAAAAAACCAATTAAAACCTGAGGAGGTTTAAAAAAACCTAGAAAAATATGGTGCTTATAAACCTGCAAAGAGGCCTACTTAAAAACACTAAATGAGTTAGCCTTAACTGTTAAATCAAAGATATGACTAGAAGAGTGTTGACATGAAAAATTAGTACTTATAAAGAGCTAATCAAATTTAGTAACTACAAAATAAAAAAGAGTAACAACTACTCTAAAAAATAAACAAATAATATAAAATTTGATTAATTTACAATAATTATAGCATTTAATCTTCTGTTATTATGCAATTATATTAATAAAAAGAGGAAGAGCAAAAATTATAACTCTAAATTCAGTTATAGTCTTTAATATAAATAAAGACATATATTACAATCATAGTTTGACAAAAATTTTGTTTCAGGATTTAAAGACATAAACATTTAATTGGTATTAAAAATTTATCTTAAGATATTGATATAATTGAATTGAAAGATTCATTTCTTTTTAAACTCAGGCGATTTGTCATCGAAACTGGCATCGTTATCAGAAAAAACATTTCCTACAGGTTGTTCTTCGGAATCGTCTTTTTTGAATAGAGTATTTTTGAATGTTTTGATTTATTCAGCTGGGGGTTTATCACCTTAATTGATTAAGGAACTCAAGATATTTTTTGCCTTTATTTATTTCTTCGATGATTTAGTTCCTCCAAAAAACTGTTCAAGTTCATCCTCTGAATTATAATTGTAAACGTCAGAATCGGAATGATTTTCAAGTTTTTCATTCTATATTCTGATCTTCTCTTATAGTTATATAACACTAGTGTCTGAATTAATTGTGAGTTATCTTGACATCTTATTATTTTATGAATGGATTGAATCTTTCATCATTGATTTTTGAGCATCTGATAATTATTAGATTCCACTGTCTCCTTCATGAATATTTTCTATAATCACTTTATCTTCTTCTTCAGAACTCCCATATCCTCCGTTATTTACCCTTTATATTTATTTTTCTAATTTCTTTTTCCTTTCTTCTATTGCAATCTAAGCCAACTATTTATGATGCTCTATAAAATTGTTTATGTCAATATACGTTGGAGTAGACTTTGGATTTTTATTTGATGTCTCCCTTACAGCAATACAATTTCCCATTATAAATAAATTAATGAATTACCCTTTTAATCCATCCCCTTCCTACTCATTCAGCGTTGCTAAAAAGTACCAATAGTATAATCATTAGAATACAATCCCACTTTTTGTTGCCTTAAGTGAGTATGGGGCCAGGTCAATACAATCCTAAAGTTGAGAGGAAGGGAGGAACCCTCAACTTTGGATCATACAGTTAACGCAAAATGGTATTGGCATAAGATACTTTAACTCCTGGACCCCTTCATTATACAATAAATAGTGTTAGAAGTTAGGGTGTTTCCTTTGCAAATTCAAAGAAAGTTTTACAGAAACCGACTCGAAATCCAGGGCCAGGGTATTTTTCCACAAAATTAGGCAATATCTACCTATAGACGAGCCTCATAGTAGACTTGGAGGATCTATTTCAAGGACGTCCAGGAATAACAATTTCGATAACCAAATTCCTGGAGCTGGGCATTATCCGATAAAATCAACATTAAAAGGTCTAAGCTTCAAATTCAAGTAATTACATAAGAGAGCTAAGACTGATTATATGAGTCCTGGTCCTGGATCCTATTCAATTTTGTCGGATTCTATGAATCATGGTATCAAAATGCATAACTCCAAAAGAACTTGGTCTTACATTTTAAAAACCGAGACTCCAGGTCCAGGAACCTATTAAAGTGAGAGTTTCATTCAAAACAGAGTCTCATCAAAACATTCAAAAACCTCTTCTAAGGAGTAATCAAAAATCTTAAATAAATGCTTCTCCCAACATGAATCAAAATAATCAAATAAATTAGGATCCTGTACTTAATCTAAGGGTAATCTTGATTCTAATGGAATTTTATCGACTAGACAAAAAGTTAAATCAAATCCGTTTGGCCCATAACAAAACATTAGCGATGCCTATAATAGATTAAAGGAATATGGTAAATTAAAAGTAACTTTCACAAAATAAGTGAGAAAAGAGGAATTCCTAGATGAATTTTCAACTGGTAATCCGAAAAAGGTTGAAAGATCTCCTGGTCCAGCTGTCTATGCTGATATCAAATTCAAACCGAACACAAAATTGGGTTTTGTTCCAACCTCAAAAAAAGGAGAAGTATTCAAACCAAAAGAAGGACCTGGTGTGGGAGAATATACTAAAATAGCCCCTTTTGGAAAAGTTTACAATAAACATATAACACCGAAGAGATCATTTTTCAAATTCAAGGACCTTAATTAATTTGATTTTGACTAATGACTATTTCTATATTGATATATTATTCAATAATAATTTCTAAAATTCATAACTTAAAATAAGTGGAGTTTTTTCAAAAGGAGAATGTTCTTAATAATAATATTAAATTGTTAAATTAAGATAAAAAATATGGAACTAAATTAAACTAGGTTAAATGAACTATTACAATTGAGTAACTGCATAATGAAGGCAAAAATATTGTATTAGAAATAAAGAGTAAAATTAAAATGAAAAACCTTAAAATAAAAAAAAAATTATTAAATTACGATTAAATATGAGACAGAGGATAGAATCTAGATAATATTAATTGATATCAAAACAAGAGAGAAGTTTAATGAATTAAACTAAAAACCATCATCATAATCTAAAGAATCTATATCATTCAGTCATATTTATTAAATGGGAATTCCAATTTTAATAGATGGTTAATTATATCATTATTTTTAAGTATCTAAACAGTTTGTATCTACATATGAATCTCTTTTAACACAACCTAAAGCTACCAATAATTTCTGCATAAAGGTTTCATTTTTTTATTTCACTGTTTGGGATCGTATCTCCTTTTTCTAGGATTCAGAATGTCGACTACGACGATATTATTGCTTGTAATCTTGAACTGAGTTTTCAGTTTGGGTTTAAAATGTTAGGTTTTACCTGAGAAAGGATTGTTAGGAAGTAGCTGTAGATTTAGAGAGATATTAATTGTCTTAATGCATCGTGCTTCCGTTGACTCTAGTTCTATTCTATGAGACTGATAACATCTCTAATTCGAATTCATTCTTTTTGAGCCATCTATGATTCAAGATCTATTTCATGGTAAGTCTATCTTTTTGCTTATATTTGATAAGACCAGTGATGAGATCCTTAACTTCAGGACTCAAACTATTATCGGTGATTTAGTAGTTGATCTTCACAATATTATTACACTTTTCGATATCGTTTTTTCCTTTGAATGGTGCTTCACCATGCAATAGTTCATATAAAAGTATTCCTAAACACCATACATCCAGAGTGTGATCATGAGGTCTATCTTCAATCATCTCAGGGGCCATGTAATCTATAGTTCCACAGAAGGTGCTGCGCTTTTTAGAACCTAAGTTTTCAGCTGACCATCCGAAATCACAAATCTTGACATTGTCAGCCACATCCAATAATATATTTTCAGGCTATAGAATATTTATAAGTAGTTACTTTTAGATCTCTATGAATTATATTTTATTGATGTAGATAATCTATTCCTAAACATGTTTACTTAAAAAACTTTAAGGCTTCGTTTTCGTTTAATTTTCCTCTTCTTTTCAACAATTAGAATAGGGATCCATGTTCTGCATATTCCAAAATAAGATAAACCTTATCCTTGTCTTCAAAATAGTGAAACAATTATGTGATATTAGGATGATTCAATTTCCTTTGTATTCGAATCTCTCGCTTGAGATTTTCAATTGAACAATACTCAAAAATGTCCTTCTTATTCATCTAAAGATGATAAACAAATGTACTATCTTCATTGCATGTAACTATCCATTAGTTCTATCCTTCACTAGTCTAACAGCTCCAAAACTGCCTTTGCCAAGTTATGGGTAATCATAGATGAGTTCAAACTCTTCTGGACTTCTTTTCATCTATCTTAGAGTTGACACTTTGTCACTATAGGCAATTTCCTATGAATTTAACATGTTTTAAGGAATACATTGATTTTTATGTCCAGATGTCCTTACATAATATATCAAATTTACCAATCAATGTCTCGACATCGTTGAGAACAATAATAGGCATGCTTACAAAAGGGACAATACACTCTATATTTTGGTATTGGAACCATTTAGGAGCCAGCCAAATTATATTGGCAGTATCGCGAACTGCAAACGTTCATCAAATAATATATTAATATTATGTAATATTCACAATCAATATAGAAGTATAGGAAATCGACTAGCTCTCCAATTCTTAAACCGCAGAGTCTACCTACAATAAATGAATTGAGATTTGCAATGAGAACCAGAGCAGGAAGTGATCAATAGCATTCAGTCAAGATTAACTAGGACAGTTTTATTGCTTGTAGATTGTATAAGGAATAATAATGATAGTAATGGCTATTAATTCTTTGCTATATGTGATGGTCATGGTTAAAATGGGCATCTAGTATCATAATACCTTAAGAAAAACATCCCAAGTATAAATCATAAGAATTAGTCATTCTAAGGAATTATCTCAAGGACATGTCATTAAATTCAGAGGGGATCAACTAAGCAATTATTCGATCATTCTTGAAAATTAATAAGGACCTATTTCAGACCAACATAGACACCAATTTGGCTGGATCCACCTTGGTCTCAATATTGATGAAAGACTAACAAGTAGAATGGCCATTTATTCCTTAGATATTCTGTGCAAATGTAGGTGATTCAAGAGCAATTATCTGTCAAAAAGTGAATACTTGGATGGCCATCTAAATAAGTGTTGATCACAAGCCAAATAATGCAAAAGAGAGAGCTCGAATAGTAAATGCAGATGGCAGGATATCATAAAGAAAGACTTCAGAAGGATATCCTGCCGGTCCTGAAAGAGTGTATCTCGCTTTTTCAGACACTCCAGGATTAGCAATGACAAGAAGTTTTGGGGATAAAATTGGCTCTAAAGTTGGAGTCATAGCAGAACCAGGTATTGGTGATTTATACTAAATACAGAGATATTGGAATTTAAGAAAACTAAAGCCCATAAATTTATAGTTCTAGCCTCAGATGGCGTTTGGGATTAATTGACAAATGACGAGGTTATGGATTTGATACTGCCTTATTTCAAGGATAAATAGGTTGAATTGGCCACTGAAAGAGTTGTGAGAGAGGCCTTTAATAGATGGAAGCAGTTTTCTGTTCTGAGAGATGATATAACTTGCATAGTAATATTTTTATGATTGATATTATCCAATATTGTTAATATTAATTAAATTATATGCTAATTCCTTTTTTTACTTTCATTTTAGTCGTCTAACTTATTCGTACTTAATAAATGGATAATATAACTGTCATTTTTAATGCAGATAACTCATGGAAAGCAAATATGAATACTGAAAAAGAATCCATTTTTTAAGTTAACAAGTTATACACAAAATATTGTTATGTCAGGATTAGTTTATTAAAAAGCGATCCTGGTCTACTTATAATCGCAGATTATCAAATTTTACCGAATACTAGCTTTCATGAAAATTATAAACAAGGAGAAAAGATAGATAGAATAAGGTAAATTATTTTTAATTATATTCTATTTTAGCCAAATCGAAAATAGAAAAACTAGGTTTCTTAAATTAAAGACTGGAATGGGTCAAATCTATATTTATGTCAAGGCAAACAATACAAATAATATATACAACATTTCGATTATTGGGAGTAATGAAGAATATTGTGACAATGACTGTAATAACAACGGAATTTGTTAGGTATACTTAATTACAATTATAAGGCTAAAGGATGTATTTGTAATAAGTCTATTATTGGGAATGATTGTAATCTGATTGCTGAAGAAGTGTTTGTAGGAACATCAAAATTACTCAATATATCGACTGAAAAATAAATAAAATATTTCTATATAGATATAAGCCCTTTGAAGAATTAAAAACTTAAAATTGATTTTAATGTGTCATATCCTTTGAATTCAATAGACGATATGAGTGATCTCTGTTTAACTTTTTGGTCTACTCCAGGAAAAAGTCTAATAACAAAAGATCATTATGATTATGAAGATTAATTCCCCCTTTACTATTATGTTTACTGGCAATTAATAGGTATAAAGCAAGGATTTTCAGAAATTTTTTATGAAATTCCACCTAATTTAGCTGTTTTTTAAAATTAATTTTTAACCTTTGCAGTAACAAAAGATTGGGATACAGATGACAATACTATATTATAGATGAATTTTATTTAAGATGGTATTACTGATGATGATGAAATGTTGTATGAGGATGAGAATGATGATAGCGATAAAACTAATAAGTTACTTTCCATCATCATCCCAATTGTCGTTGTTACACTAATAACACTTACAGTCATAGTTTGGTATCTGAAAAGGAGAAAACGTTTAGTTAAGGGTGTAGCTAAATAGAACCAGTAACAATAAAATGTTCAAGAGCCTGAAAAATGTGGGATATGCTTGGAGGATCTTAATACTGCATATAAGGCAATAATCAAGATTTAATGTGGGTAAATAACATTGAATAATTTAGTCATCAATTCCATCTCGTATGCATACAAGATTGGGGTAAAAAACAATAAGGAGAAAAGTAATGTCCATTTTGCAGAAGACAGTTTAATCCTGATCAACTTTAATGATATATTACTTATTTTTTACCAGTGAATATATAGGTATTTATGACTGTTACAAATCAACCAAAAAAGACAATATCAATTTAAATTACTATAGAAAGGTTGTAATTTTAGTATTAAACTTATTATAAATGATTAATGTTATGTTTTTCGTCTCATACTGCCTAGCCTAAGTTATTGAAGTTAAGTTCAATTAATAATCAAGCTGGTCAGGTGAGTTCAAGAATTCAACAAACAATACCTTTAGGATTACACCTTAGGACAAGGTCGAATAATTTTACTATATTAAAGTTGAACTAAATATCACAAATCCAAAATTTATGTTGTTAGCTCAAAAGAATTACCCGATTTCAAATCCATTTTCGCCAATACTATTGGATGGAGAAAATATTGATGCAACAAAGTACATTACCTTCACAATAATTTTATAGTCAATATGAAAACCGTGATTTAAGATATCTCAAAATTGCATCTATTGATCAACCTATTTATATTACTACATTGGGTGAATAGGTTGATTATAAGATATCAATTGAAAAATCAGAGAATCATAACTTTTGCTAGAATCAATGTTCATATCAAGGCGATTGTCAGGTATCATTACACTTATTCTAGAAACAAGGTTGTTTTTGTCTACCCGGTTATACAGGAATAGATTGTAGTCAAAATGCCATTCCCATAATAGATAATATGTCACTTCATGGAAACTAAAGTGAATAAACATACTTTTCATTATTATATTTACCTACAACTTCTCTTTAGGGTTATTAATACGCTCTAAAATTTAAAGTAATTTACTCCTTTTGAGTATTAGACAAATAACTATGTTGGTTTATAAATTATAGTCTACAAGACTTCAGCTATCATTAATCCAAAGGAACAACTCTTAGCTGACCCAAATTTATGTGATATCTACTAAGTTTCTAAAAATAAAGAATTAGAACTACTTCTGAGAGTACCTGATATTCCTTAGCAAAGAAATAGATTAAATTTTGCAATTAAAACTATTTCTGCTGATTTTTTATCGCAAGATCTAGAGATCTCTTTAAAAGAATATGTCGAAGAGGAAGTTACTGAATTATCAGACACTATGATAATTATCATTTCGATTGGGTGTGTTGTTTTTGTATCCTTAATCATAATGTTCTGCTGTTATAAACAGTATAGAAGAAAATAAGCACAAAGTAGAAGGATGATGCAGAATTAAGAACCTCTGCATTCAGGACATGAGAACCATCCTATTATACAAGAATAGATCAATCTTGACGAAGTTTGTTAAAAAAATTGCTTATGTAAACTTTCTTCAAAGGAAATCAATCCAGAGGAGTATTGCTCTATTTGCTTAGAACCTCTAGATTCAACTTAAGAAGTCAGATAAACTAGATGCCAGTAATTATTATGAATTATTCTTAGTCATAATTTTCATATCAAATGCATAAATTTGTGGTTGGAGAAAGCGAAGCATGAATGTCCAATTTGTAGATAATAACTTGAACTTAAACCCTAAGATGAAATTATGAGAACTTGAAGAATTTAATCAATATTTGGTTAGACTAAATTATTGATTTAAGTGCATTTATATTTAAATATGCATTTAACTTATTACTTTCTTTAATATTTTATATATCTATAGGATAAAAGATATTCATTATCTTTTATCAAATTTTTCTGACTTCGCCTCCTTCTCTTTGAATTCTCTTCTATCCATTTCATACTGTTTTTCATTAAAGAGTTAACATTCCTAGAATTCCCCCACTTATTATAAGGCACTTTGAATCTACTTCAGATCATATTCCTAATTGAACTCAATGTAAATATATTTATAATGGATAATACGATAAGCTGATATGTCAAATTGTTGTTGTTTTAAAGCATTAATAATATTGTCAAAGACTTACTTTTAAAATTATATTCTTTGAGTTTTCTAGACCTATTATTAATTTTTTCTCTCTTCCTCTGGGAATTTGATGTAAATTATGTATTTCTATGTTAACTTAATGTCTTCAGCAGCATTCAAATTAATACTGTAATTGTTTTTAAATTAATTTAGTTTATTCTTTTGACTCAATAATTCTTGTTGGGTAAAGTCCTTTGTCAAATTGATAAATATAAATCCAGTCATATAGGCATCAAACCCAGCAGTATGATAAGCATTTTAATCTAGATTCACATCTATTTAAATGTAATTCATGTTGTTTTTTATGAATTCAGCCAGATTTTCAACAGAAGTTGATGTCTCAAATTTACTTCTGATTTTTTCCAATGGCTAAGCAGATTAAATGATGTATTTTGTATCATATATTGGTGGCCAATTCTTAACAACATCCTCCTTAAATTCTTCCCATGATATTGGAGGACATTAAACAAAATGACTGTAACAAAACATGACATCTGCAAAACAATTGTGACCTACAATGTACTTTTTAGAATTCAAAATGCATTCCCAAATTTAATAGAATCCTGTTTTAGTTTAAAATCTATTTGTTTTGAGTAAGTATTTTTCCTCATCTTTAGCCTATTTTTCTGCATTTGTTAATTTGGTTATCTTCATCTCTCCTTTCAATAAAGATTCCCCAATCATGTTTTTTTAATACGCCTCCAAGTAAGTATACATAACTTTCCTTTGATACCCATTTGTTGTTTCTATTGTTATCTGCTTCTCGTCTGACTTATTGAATTTCTCCAACTTTTCAATTAACTCTCGAATCTATCGAATAATGTGCATGTCTTACTGTCTTTTTGTCTATCGGTTTGACATCATCTAAGATCTTTTCAAATTGGTTCTTCAACTCTTCCTAATCCAATTATTGGAAGTCTTTGTTATAATCATCTTGAAGCTTCTAATATTGTGCCCTGTTTAAATAACCTATTCCTTTGTTAATCCACCTATTCCAATCCATGCCATGCTCACTATTAAAAAATACTGCTCCTACTTATAAACCCACGAAGTCATCTAAACTAATAATTAGAATATTTTCTACTCTTGAGGAAACAAATAGAAAGTATATGGAAATGCGACATACCCTTTTTATTTTTTGATAAAGATGCACAATCCAAATTGAATGATATTATATTTCATACTTACTTTTCGTATCTATATGTCATTAAAAATACCTTTAAATATCTTTCAAATGGTAATTCTTCAAATGTATCTTAATACTCCCCTTTTATTCCAGTTAACTCAAGATCAATCCCCAGAAAGTCACATAGCTTTATCTGCTCCATTATTGTTTATTTGTTTTGCTCAAAATTATCAATGTCGATAAACATTTTTATATTTACTATTATTAATTATATGAAATCATTTCTTAAACAATATCTAAACAATCCCCTTCTTTTTATCAGCAGGCTTTACCGCCAATTCGTCTAGAATTTCTTCCTTTTCCTTTTCTGTGAATTCCAAAAACTAAAACAAAGTATTCAGAATCGCCTCTGCTAAATCATAATTTAGATTTTTAGGCCCACAAGCAGTGAGAAACTTTTTTAAACAATCTCGCAAATGAGCCTTCGCATGGACCGCTTGAGGATCAACCGAAGTCTTTTGCATAGCCATCATCTTATGTTTATACTACAATAATTTAATCGTTTACATCTCTGGCCAAATTATTTAGCTGCAACATCTACTCCTCCTTTGCAGCTATCCTTTCTAATAAAATTTAAAACTTAGCGATAATCTTCACATTCTCTTCGTTGGCCGCCTCCAACTTTGATTTCAAAATATTAACCTCCTCTGTGTGCGACAATTATTACTTATTGGAAGTTGAATGCTAAGTGATAATCGATCATTTTACTTCTTTCTTGTTTTTATCATTGTTGACAATCACTGATATGTCTAAATCCCCTATAAAGTCACTGATGTCATTTTCATTGATTTCTGGCTATTGTCCATTTGATGAGAAACTAATGTCTTCATTCTTCTCCTCCTTTATATTACTCAAAGCTGTTTTGACTGGCAACTTCGCCTTCATCAACTAAATATCCTTCTAGTAGGCCAATAAATTGTTTTATTCTTGTTGGGACAATTTATGCTAAAAATTTATCTCAATTCTTTTACATAATTCTAGGCATAAAAGGCAGCCTATTAATTTCTGAGTAATTCATCCATCAATGACTAGAGACATTAGTAATAGGTAAACTTTCTCTCACATTGTTTTTCATGTTAAGATTTAAATTATCTTAAATAATCAAGGATATTATCCTAATTAAATAAAGATTTTATCTCTTGTAAAAGAAATTAGTTTTAATTAGAATCAGCTACTATTTTATCAATCTAAATTTATTTTGCCTAAATCACATTTTATAATTCAGAGATTTCAGAATCTTTCTTAGCAATTAATGCATCTATCTCCTTCTATGGATTTTAAATTTCTTTACTATTTTATTAAGTCAAATCTAATTACGTTTTTAACTATAAGATTTCTTCATTTTTTTATTCAAATAATTTCAAAGTCTCACTTTCCCTCCTGCTATATTCTGCTAATTCATTTTCCTTTAACTATATGATTTCCTATTATTAATCCAATTGCTTTCTCAAAACTGAAATTGTTGAATTTAAATTTTCAATTTAAGAATTTAACTTATTCTATTCTATTTATAGAAAGGATTCTGAATCTTTTAATTATTAATCTAATTGTTAATTTTATTATTCTTTTTATGAGAAGCTTTAATTCAAGAGTGCTAATTTCTGCTCTAATTCTATTTTTTAATTATTGATTTATTATTTACTTTCAATTTCCTATTATAATTCTAATTATAATCTTTATATATCCTATTACTAGGAATTAGTCTATAATTATAGTTAATTATTTTGTTGTTTTATTTTATCATAATCTATTTTTTATAATGCCATCAGTTCCCCATGATCTTGAGAAAGCTAATTATTTTGTTACAGCAATTTTTATTCTTAAGCTTAGTTTTCTTAAATTGAATGTATTATTTGATCTTCCTTGATTTTTAAATCGTTTTCTAGTTGAGATATTTTTTATTCTAAATTATTTATCTATTCTTATAAAGAACCTATTAGTCTGTTTTATGCCTAATCTGCTTCATTCTTATTAGTTATTTAAACTTGATTTTCAACTAAATCTTTATTATTTTTTTTCAAATCCAAAATCTCATTATTCAAAGTAGTATTTCTTTCCTATAATTCGATATTTCTTTAATTTAATTAATTATAATTTTACGCATCTTGATTAATTTATAATTACAATTTCTTATTATTTTACTCTAACTCATGATTTGAGTGTTGCAATTAATTTATTTCTTGTTAGATTTACTAATTTATTTGTATTCTTTGCTGAGTTTAATTCTCAAGCATAGCATTTTATTATTGTAATTATAGAAGCTTGCTATTACTTTTTTCAATTTCTTTTATTTATTCCAGGATTTTATTTGACTTCTCTTTTAACTCTTCGTTTTTTTAATTTATTGTTTTATCTAAGTCATTTATTATATTTGTATTATTGGCTATAATTATCTCTCTAGCTTCTAAATTCTTTTACAAATCATTATTAAACTATTTGAAATGACTATTTTCGTTTTGTATTTATTTGATTTCTATAACTTATGAATTCAACTAGTTAGATTTCTCTGTTAAATCATTTCTTAATTTCACACATTTTTCTTATTCTTACTTTAATAATAATGTTGTCTCATTAATTTTGAATTCTTGAATTAGCTTAGTTTATTCTAAATCTTTTATTTTATTCTCTAAATTTTAGATTTATTGTTGATTACTCTGAGATTTTTGAGTTAAACTTTATATCTATTATTTATACTCTTCATTCAAGATTTTGAAATTATTCAATTACTAATTTAAATCATCTATAAGCATTTAGGAATACCTAACTTCTTATTCTTAAGTCTCAGCATGTAACATCTATGTTTAAAGCTTAAGGTTTTTTTCATTTAATTCATTTTATAGATTTGATATTGTCAAATTTTAAGTTTAAGTAAGGGAATTTAACTCTTCAATTTGATTCTAAATCAATTATTAGGTTTTAGATTCTTCTTGAAGAATAATATATTTCTATTCCTAATCAAGAAGTTATTTCTCTTATTCTTTAATAGTTAATTTGCTTTTCTCTAATTATTCTATTAAGGTACCAATTTGAATGAGCAATTTATGAGTTTCTTAAGATTGTATAATCAGATTTCGACATAATTCGGCTTCCCTGAAAACTAACTCTGTGCTAAACTATGCCTTATTTTCTTCAATTTATTAATCATTTTATAAATTTCTAAGTTCTAGTTATTTATTAAGCTCTGTAATTGTATGTAACTATTAATTTAGCATTTCTGATAACTTCGCTTTATCTTAATTGGCCAATTCTTACTTTTAATTAAATAATGATATTTATGAATTCAACTCTGAAATTTAGAGATGATGTTTCTTGATTATTTCTTTATTTTGATTTTCTGTAGCTCTTAGATTCTGAATTTCTTAATTAAGATTCAATTAGATTTTCCTTTAACCTGATTATAATTATTCTATTTCTTCTAATAATTGCATGTTCTTTTAAGTAAGATCTTGATTTATCTAAACTAGCTCTTCATTTTCTTAATGTTAAGAATTCAATTCTTCAATCTTTAATTAATTTTCTTTTAAAAAGTTTGATCTCTCTAGTTTAATTTCTTTTTGCAATTCTAGAATTCTAGATTCTAATTATTATATTTAATCTTAGGAAGAGATTAATTCAGACTCTAATTCACTCACTTTATTTTAAGCATTTTCAAGTGAGATTTACTTTTCATTTAATGAAATCTAAATTTTTTCAGCCTCATCCAATTCCAAATTTAATCTCTATATTTTATCATTTAATTATTTCTTTTCATCCTCTGAGTCTTGTTTATGTTTTCGCATCTACTATTCTAGCTACTATATTTGATTCTAAAGGATTTCTTCTTGTACATTTATAGTGATTTCATCTTTTTATTTTGCAATAATTTATTCTTCCAATTACTTTACTTTGTTCTGTAATTCTTGGTGTTCAACCTTTGCTTTTTGATGTTATTATTCAAATAATAGACTTTATTACTTTTGTTGTTAGATGTGATCCTTCTTTTAATTCAACAGCATCTCAATTTCATGTTGTTTTCCTAATAAGATTTAATCTTTGAAATTTAAGGATTCCTATAATTTTTATATGGTTTAATTTAATGTCTATACTTGTTTTTCATGATGATGGATTGCTCTATCTTACACTTAAATCTTTTAGTTTAATCCTTACAGATCTTTAAGCTATTATTGTAGTTATATGACTTCTTAAGTCTTTTATTTTAATATCTTATCTTTGTTATTAATTTAATCTTAATACTCATTATTAACCTTTGTTAAATCTCTTATTTATTGTTCAAAGTTTGAGAGACTCTTATTCAAAGAATCAATCTAAGACTTCAAATGTCCTTAAATGGTAGTTTATTCAACACTTTTGCTTCGGAGTTGTTCAGGAGTATCATTCAAAATCCTACTATTACTTTCATATTGCTATATGATTTAATCCTTACTTTAAATGGTGTTATCCAAAATATGAAGCTATTCTGTATGCTCTTCCTCGAGTCTCATGATTTAGGTCTTAAGATTGTTAATTTCATCCTCATAATCTAACAATTTAGTTTCTTATTGCTTGTATGCGAATTAGGCTTAGTGTAAATCACTCTCTAATTGCTTAATCAATTGTTGTTATGTTTCTAATTCTTGTTAAGACACCAAATCCAAATGGAAGAGACTTTATTATCCTGAATTTCGATTGTCAAAATCCTCTTTTTGTGTTTATAGGGATTAGACAATTTACTTGTTCATTTATTGATCTCTTTAATATTAATCAGATAGCTCTTAGTAGGACTGTTTTAAATCGTTGTATTTTGATTTCATCTCTTGAAGCTTGATTTGATTCTATCCATTTTCCCTTTCCTTTTCTTCTTTTTCGGATTTGAGTTTTGAAATTTATTAATTAAGCTATTCAACTTCAGAGTTGCAGTCCCGTAAACCGAGTCTAAGATAAAGATTGTGTAAATGTCATACTTATTCTGTTTTTACTTGAGATCCACAATTTCTTGACTTAACGATTTTAACTTTTAACTTGAATCATCTTTATAATGTTAATACTCAGAATTCACTTCAGATTTTTATTTCTGCACTAACTAATTAATATATTTTTACGTTGTTTCTCACTTTCTACCATTTTAGAGAGTTGTAATTTAAGTAATTTATTTTCATTTTCCAATTACTTAACCTTTTTTTAGTGATCTTGGATAAGTTCATGTTCATCATCGATTTATTATTTTAAATTACTGATTTCACTCTCTTTTTCTGCAATCAGTTCTTAGAATTAAGTGAGTTAGTTTTCCAATAATTTGTGTTGAGTGTTCTTGGAATCAAGACTGGATTAGGATTCCACAAGAGGATTTTTGAGTTTGAATTTATCATTCTCAGAGTAAGTGTCATAAGGTCTGTAGGTACTTTGATATTAATTAGAGATTTATTTATTTGATAATTCTAGTTATTGTTTTTTATTTTACAATTTATTTACTTTAGCTTCCAACTTTGTGATAACAGCAAATAAATTTTTATTTTTCGTATTTAAATCTTTATTTTAAATTTCTTACTAACGCAATTAAGTGTTTATTTCAATCAACTTATTGTGATCTAAATCCCGACTTTAGAAAGTATTGGCTATAATTTAATACAGCTATTCAAAGGATTGAGGATAAGAATTTTAGTGTTTCTCCACCAAAGAGTAGAGCTTATTGAGTTCATCCCTCTTGAATAATTGACTGATATTTGTGTTCTAAAGTTGATGAATAGAAATTTGTGCAGATTAACAGATTTGATTAATTAGTTGCTGCATGTTATTCCACCCTGTAACGACCTCTCGAATATCTTTGAGTACCTTCATCTATAGTTTTTGTGAGGATCGCTAATTCTGCAATTTCTTGGCATTTGTCGATATGAAAGAGAGCTCTTAAAGAATTTCAGTCAGCAAATCATCCGCCCTATATAGGTCAAAGGCTAGTCATACCTTATTTGTTCTGTTTTGTGAGTGCCAGTGTCATCCATCCTCCTAAGCAACTTCTCCAAAGGTTTTGATGCAAATTAAAAGTTATCACTACTCATTCTACTCTGAAGTAGATTTGATTTTAGGGCAGATATTTTTTTCTCGATTTACTAGTGATTATCCTTCAGCAAATTAAATCTTAGGGATGAACCCATCAGTCGATCCGAATCCTAATCTTGATGCTTGGTAGTATAGGAATCAATTAGAAAATTTTAGGAATTGCGAGGGCCATAAATGCCTGGAGATATAATTGCTCTCAAAGGTTGAGTTGAACACATTCCAGGTTGAGGAGAATAAAATGCTGTCTAAGTATTTTATCTGCTTTATTTTTGCATTATTCAAATTATAAATAAATTTATAATAACAACAAATTCACATTTCCATTAGATTATTTGATATTTCAACCCAAACTGTCTAATATTACTGGAAGGATGAAGTCATCAACTTCACCATCTTTTCCAAGTACTCCTTGATTTATAAAGAAGTGTAATTAATAATCTAATCAACAGTTTGATAAGCTCTCTAATTGAAAGCTCCGTGTTGATTCTTCAATTGCAATTGCTATGCATTCTCCTTAAAATACTTGAATTAAATAAATTACAGTCTAGCACATGCATTAGAATGCAATTTGAGGATTTGATTTTATTTAATCTATTTTGAAATGATCCAAAAAGCTTTCATCCAAATCCCACTTTACAACTTCTCCAGTTTGGTACAATTTCTCTTTTTTTAATTTTAATTGTTGAGAAAACTCCTAATACGAGTTCAGAGATTTCTCTCTCAAAATTAGTAGTTCTTTGAGAGGTTGTGTTTGATGATACTGAAATCTCTATTGTGGATAAATAGTCTCATTCAAGATCTTAATTTGATTAGACTCAAATTTCTAGGAAGATTCAAACAAGTCGTTCAGATTCTTATAGCAATCTTTAAGTCTAGTATTTTGAGCTTTTGATTCTCGAAATAGTTCCTTGTACACCTCAGTTAATTGAATTAAGGTTTGGTTTTTTTATTGCATCTATTTCATCAATTACTTGATTAACTTATATGCCTTTTTTTGAATAGGGGATATGTTAGTTAAAAAGTAATCAGACTATTTAATAAAATTAGTGATTTATGAATTTATTCTAACGCTAACTTCACCACTCATACTTGAAAAATTAATCTATTGATTATTTGTAAATTACTCTGCTGATAGAAATTCCTAAACAATTGTTAAATTTCTTATTTCGCTGTCTCCAAGGATGAAATTGAGAAACATTTGCAAATGTCTTAACTGCTTAATATAGGTAAAATCCACAGGAGACTTCTTTTGATTCGGGATGTTGGGTACTGTAAAGTATTTATTCAAAGTAGTTTTGAGCTGAATGAAGTCATCATATGTTCTCTTGACCACCCAATTAGTGGGTTTGGTTTCAATTTTAAAATAAACAGAAGTGTTCTTAAAAATGCCTTTTTAAATCTTCTCATAACCAACAACTACAGCTTTTGCATCCTATATTTCTGTCAGAGCATTAGGGATAGTCTTGTTGCATTTTAAAATTGCAGCATAATCATTTTATGAATCCTAAAATTTCTTAACAAATTCGATTAATTCATCATAATCCCATTGTTCAAGATCGTGACGTTGATCAATGCTTTTTTGGAAGGCTTCAATGTTATACCCCTTTTCAATTATTTCCTTGACTAATAAATTCTGTTTCTATTACAAAGACATCTCTATTAAATATTTATTATTATTTATGTATTATTGATCATTAGATTTACTTTCTCTCCTCCAACGATTTGGCATTTCCTAATCTAGAGAAGAATTTAAGAACTTCATCAACTAAAACAATATGTGCAGAATCTCCAATGATTAAATCCTAAATTAAAACAAAAATTGTAAATCAATATTAGATGGATAATGGTACAGTGTTAAAAGATGTTCTCAAACAATCGAACATAGCAGATCATGCAATGGAGAGTCATTGAACCAAATATAGCCAATATCGAATATGGATTGGCAAAAACTTCAACTTTCAATAATCATCCATCCTAGAAAGAGTTTAATACAATAAATATACTTCAGATAAGGCATTCAAGGCATTAAACATGTCAATAACAACCAAATAAGAAAGACTTAGAGTTGAAGCCTTTTATTTACCCCAAGAGAAATACAAGCATGAATCCTTAGAGAAATCATATTTTTCAAAGTTAGCAACCTTGAATCCTTCCCAATGATGGCATTCAGCCCAATTTCTCAATTGATGGAATGTGACAACTGGATGTCCATCTCCAAACATCTATCACAAGTTCTTAACGTTAATTTTATATATCGTACCTTAACTAAAACATCTATTTATATACATACTAGTTATCAATATTTATTTACTCTTATTGTTTGTTTCAGATAATATTTATATTATTTGTTAACATAATATTGTATGTAAATGAAATTATAAGAATTAAAATAAGTCTAAAGTTAAATAATCTAAATTTAGCCTATTTATACTTAATAATGTAATATCAAACATATTAAATTTCATAACAAATAAAATCACAATATAAATTGTTTCTCTATTTCAAGAGCAATATTTTTTTTCAACCCTGAAAGCAGGATTGTTTTAATCCAAAGCAGAACTTTTAACCTTTTTTGGATATTAATCTAGAGTTCCCTAACTTATGTTACCTTTTTTCTCAGATGGCTCAATATCTTGAGATTTTGCAGTAAACTTAGAACTGGAGAAATGAGTAGAATCTGATACAACACTAAATCTGGTTGATTCTTAAGCACTTGACCTACACTTAATTGGAGTTAGTTAAAGAAAACTGGAATTATTTTTACACCTTAGCATCTTGATTACCCAGTTCGAATTCAAGACTTACTAGATATTAATTCGTTTTTAATGTGCTAGCATTTGTTGCAGCAACAATAGGCACTCTTTAGATACAGTTTCATTGAATTTGATTGGTTATTTACTACATATTTTTTCATACAACTCCTCTTTTTATTTGGCTCTAAATAACAATTCACCATGCAACATATACTGTAAATTATTAAGGAATTTAGCTTACATATAAAAGAACTCCCAAGGCCCAGATGTCAACTCCTTTGTCATGAATCTCCTTTCTTATGACTTCAGGTGGCATGTATTCAGTTGTACCACATATGCAAGGCTTAGCTTTACCACCATTTGGCAAAAAGGTTGACCAATTAAAATCACAAACTTTCACATCGCTATTTTACAATAAGATATTATCAGCCTTTATGTCTCTATGAACGATGTCTTTTTCATGCAAATAGAGGATAGCTTGTGCTATTTGGTAGAAATAATGGAATGCATCTTCTTCAGTTAATTTATTTCTTTTTCTAATAAGATCGTTTAAGGTTCCATGTTTGCAGTACTCTAACACTATATAGATATTATCTCTGTCTTCGAAATGTTCGATGTATTCCACGATATTTTTATGTTTGCATCCTTGTAAATAATTTAATTCATTTAATATGTGCTAAGTGGCAAAGATTTGTTTCATATAACTTTTTGATATCTATATATTCCATATAAGTACTATTTTTATTGCAAACTTCTTTTTAATCGCATGATTTAATGCCAGTTTAACTTTACCATATGTTCCACTTCCTAACTCAATTTGCAGAACTTCATACTAATCCTTAAGTAATTTCTTTTGAGTTGGAGGTGCATAGGACTGTGGTTTGGGTGGCAAGTTATAGTAATATTAATTCATTTAAAATGAAAATAAACAAAAATAAATATTAAGTTGATGAATGAAAATACCAATTCTATTTAATTTATTCATTTTAATTAAACTAAATAATGACTTCAATAAAACTCATAGAACTCTTACTGATTTATATATATTTCTATTTGATTCAACAAATCAAGGTATTCAAAATTTAAGTAGTATTATTATATTAATAAATTTAATTTATGAAAATAATTATCAAAACCTTAAGTGGATAAACCTTTGATATTGAAGTACAACCAACAGAAACAGTAACTCTGATTTACAAATTAGGTTCTAAACATCAAAGAAAAAATTGAATAGAATAAATAATTCGAAATAGCCTAATAAAAACTTTTAAGAAAAGGAACTCTTTTGCAAAATGAATAAACTGTTGCTGAATTGGGACTTTAGGAAAAAGACTTTCTGGTAGTCATGGTCAACGTCAAAGTAACTAATTCAACTACATAAATCTAGAAAGGACCTCCTCAACAACAGCCTGTTTAATAATAAGTGCAATAGCCACCATAGTAACCACAACCAGTCTAAGCATAATAACCAATATAAGCGCCTAAGCCACTCGTTGCTCCTGCTCCATAAAATTTGGTGACTGGCTCCGAATATGATGCAGCCATTCAAAATTTGATTTAAATGGGATTTGCTAAATCTGAATGCGAAGCAGCTATGAAGGCAGCCTTTAACAATCCGGATAGAGCTATCGAATATCTACTAAATGTAATTTAACATTATGCTATTGAAGGGTATTCCTGTAGTTAATCAGCCACCTCCACCTCCATAGACTTAAAATGAAAATCAGGAACACCAAAATGCATTTTAATAATTGAGAGATTAATTTATTTAAAATCCAGAGGCAATCCTTTAGTTGCTGCCACAATTACAATAAACAAATCCCTAATTATATTAGGTATTTAAAATATTTGAGTTTGAATAGTAAATTTAACAGAATCCTGAGGCTTTGGTTTAGTTAATTTTGGGCGGTCATCAGGGAGGAGAAGATGAAATAGAGACCGAGATAAATTAGGAGGATGAATAGCAACTCAATTAGTTAATCATGATGGGCTTTACTAAGGAGGATGCGCTCGAAGGATTTTTGGCTTGTGATAAAAATGTGGAGACTGCAGCATCGTATTTATTTGAGAAACAAGCAAGGGGGGACCTATTAAGTATCAAATCGCATTTATATGAAGGTCAACACTATGAGAGAGAGGAGAACAATCCTGACAATTATCACGACGAAGGGGATGAAGGAGAAGATGATAATGATGATGATTAATATTTATGAATTCATATTATTAAATCATTTAGACCACCATACTTCTTCGGAATTACTGATATATCAATGTCTCTTGTTAGGACTTCTAGTATTTCTTTTTGGTCTTTCCCAGCAAAAGCCATTTTCTCTAAAGTCCTCTTTGGTAGAAATTTCTTCACTATGTTGTATATCGATTTAGCCAGCCAGTCAGTATTTATCACAATATTCCTTATCTGTCGTTCTGGATACTTCATAAAAACGTATGTCATCAGAGCTTTTATCAGATCCAAGCTAACATTTTTTCTACTCAAGTTAAAGCAATCAATTATTAAGATTTAACAATCAATATGTCCTCTCATACTGTTATACATTATTACACATGATTTATTACTTACTAATGTTATGTTCCATCAAACAGCAAAAATATTCAATAAAAGTTTCAATCGTTGGATTAGGTTCCTTATATTCATCAGGCAATAGATTTTCAGCTCTTATGTAGAATATTGGATGTCCCACCTATTCGCATAACCATCAAACATTACTTTGCCTTCCCCCAGCATGATCAAGATATTCTATTTTCTAAAGTAGTCGTACTTCTCCTTTCGATGGTCATAAGAGTTGATATTGTTTTATTTTCTCCATTCTAAAATATCAGTAAGCATCTTTTCAGATGCACTTAAATCAAATTGTCTTGCTTAGAGGTGACGAATCAATGCATTATCATTCAATGCCAAATTTTTCATTTTGACTCTGAATTGATTCAAGATTTCCTTTTCCTTATCCTACATTATTTTATTACTGGTTCAATACGTTCAATTAAGTAAATCGTAAATGTTTCTCTTCATTTTGCAAGGCAGGATGGTTCCTGTTAGGGTTGACATCCTAAAATCCCAGACGATCGTTAGGTTGAAAATACATTTCTAAACCATTAACATTATTTTGCTGTTGCTTATTATTTTATGTCACTTACACGACTTCAGATTTCTCTTGAATTTTATCAATTATCTAATTAACTAATGTAATTAAATAACTACATGATCATATTCATAGTTTATTATTTGGTGATTGATTATATACTCTTTGGCAAATTTATGCATCAATTTATCATTAGACTTCTTAAGAACAATAATAATCTGACATTGTGTCTAATTGGAATGTCGATCATTTTCAAATAATTAGAAGTTAATCTACTTTATTTAAGAATATCTTACTGTTAGCAATTGAGAATTTAATACATTTCTTTAGATTATAAAATAACTGGACTTCATTTATTATTTTCTTTAGTAAGTGAAATGAATATGAGTTTGATGTCTATGCTTTTTTTATTTCCGACAACTCAGAGAGTATTATTGAGAATATTGATTTGAATTTATGGTTTAATGATTCTTTAAGCCTGGCTAAAAATATATCAAATTGTTTTCATTCATAAATATTTTCTTAACCATTTTCATAGATTTCGCAATGGTCCATTCACCCTTCAGAAAATGAAATTTGCTATCATCTGAATAATACAATCGAAGTTTATCATAGATCTTGTGCAGTTTCCAATTTTAATGTTATTATAAAAGTTCAATTTCATCATTAGCCTCATCCTCAATTGTTGTATGCAATGTATGATGACTAATCAAAGCTGGTTATGCATCTAATAGCTTCTTTTGTAAGAAATATAATTACTATTGATAGCTTAAGTTGAGCAACCCACTCCTCCGCATCCTTCAATGAAATAGCTCTGTATACTGTTGAGTATTCCCTGTGAATCAAGGTGAAATAAAACAGTTCATCTACCTTTTCTGGGCCTTCCACTTTGGCTTATTCCAAAGTAATAACTTCGATTGGAGAATGTGACTGAAACTTGTATTAATTTTTACCTAATCATTTTCAAATTTAAAGAAGTGCTTATGATCCAAATAGTAATAATTAGAAATCCAAAACAATTATTTGGTTTAAAGATAACCATGTTTATACGAGTATTGATTCATTAATTTTATTATTACAATTTCTAATAAATGAAAAAAACCATTTTCATATAATTATAACTTAATAAAGAATAATCCTTAATTCTTAAACATTTCATACTCCAGAGAGCTTGATAGAAAATGCGAGAGATATCTAAGGAATTTCTATTACCACAACAATACGGACTAAAATGATTCTTATAAACACTTTCAATTCTTATTTTCCATTAAATAGAATCATATTAATATAGCTTTACTAAAGGTGCTATGTTGAGATCTAACAGATAATAAGGTTTAAAGCATATCGATAGGTACAGTTCTAATAAGCGATCACTATACCAATAAAAATATGTAATATCAAATAAAAATACAGTCTTTTAATATATCAATATACAACATGTAACAGATATCATTTCAAAATGATGTCAACATTGTCATGAGCACCTTTTAAAAGCATTTAACCTTAAAAGTCAAGGACATTCTACTTTTTGGCCGCTCTCAATGTACCAACAAGAGCCATAGAATATTGATATAGAATACTTCATAGTATTGTTATGTTTTCTCGTCATTGAATAACACTCCGAATTTAACAACGTATTTTCCTTCTGCATTCTTTGTACCCAAGCGTTAAATATCCTTCTTTAACTCCTCAATTTCCTCTTAAATTTTTTCTTACATTAAATATTATTTAATTAGAATACTCATTTCGAAGAAAATAACTGAGCGATTACATAAGATAATAACAATAACGATATAATTTAATTAATGATTCTTTTATAAAGAAAATCAAAAGTAATGAAAAATTATAATTCTCAATATGAAGATTTATTATTTTACTATCTGGTTAAAAAAATACATTATGGTAATTAAGAATGTTGCTGATTAGACTTAGTTGTAGTAAATTATGTGTTTTCTGTGGTCTGAATATATAAGAACTTAAAGAATACCTCCTAATCAAGGATTTCAGACATCAAGATTCTAATGTCTTAAAGAGTGGGTACTCTAAATTATAATATTGAGTTACAATTCATAATTTGGTAAACTAGAATTGTATGAGAAAAAAGTCATAAAGAACATTCTAACTATTAAATTTGAGAATATTAAAGAGCCAATTCAACTGATAATCTAATTTTATATTTATACTTCAATCTGTAAATTCAATTCATATGCAAATTAGATCCAAATACCCTCCAATGAACAATCAAATAATAATAGGCTTGTGAATTAAGAGAGAAAAATAAAAAATTATTTCTGGTCTCTGCTATTATATTATCTTCCATTAATAATTAACACTTATTTTAAATACTAAGGGACAGTCTTATTCTCTTTGAATTAATTTACTGTAGATCCAATAATATTATTATATAATTAATTCAATATAATCAATTTAATTTATTTCTAGTTAGAGTTTGCATCATTTATTTTTACGACTAAGACATCATCCCTTTGGTTAACTACGATATCAGTTGCTTATTATATGTGCATAATATACTTGCTGTTCTTAATTAATTCTTTTATTTTCGATGCATTCAGCTAGCATTGCTTTGATGCACCTCCAGATTTATTTAAGATTAGGCATTTGATCTGCCGAAAAATAGTCAGGAGGGGAGCATGACACTACTAGGTCTTTTAAACAGGAAATAAATTTATTTTGTTCCTTGAGTTTGAGTTTCTGTTCGTTTATTTTGATTAGGCAGAGTGAATGCAATTTGGGTTCAAATATATTTTCCTTGTTTATCACTCCAATCTCATTAAAGACTTATGACACAAATGTTTATAGTCTTTGTACGTTTGCATAATTTGCAATCATCTTTTCAAGTACTTCAACTTGATGTTGCAGCTTTTGGATTTATTCTTCCTGTTTCTTGATTAATTCATTCTAATCATTGTTGAGGGAAACTTCATGCACTGAAGAGTAATTCATGTTCTGAAATTGCAACATATCTATGTCCTCTGATTTAGAACTCTTGTGCTATCGAAATGGATGAAGACGGGGAGATTATAATGTTTTAAAAGAGTCATAGTTATCGTATGTTTTACATCTCATTTTGAATTATTGAATTTAAAACTATTTGTTATTTTTATTATTATTTTAACAATTTAAATTATCATAAAAAAACCACAATAAAAGAATATTTTTGATATATGTGACCCAGTGTTCATAATCTAATTTTGCATCTTTATTTGTATTAATTTAATTTTTAATTAAATTATAATGTCACGGCTAATTGTGAAGAATATCCCAAATTTGATTACAGAAGCCCAATTAAAGACAATATTTGAAAAAAAGGGTGAAGTCTCCGATGTTAAAGTTATTTTTAAAGGCAATAAGAATAGAAGGTTCTGTTTCATAGGCTACAAGAATGAATCAGATGCAATCAAAGCAAAAGAACATTTCGATAAAACATTCGTCATGATGTCCAAAATATCAGTTGATTTTGCTAAGACAGTCGATGATCCAGCCCTCCCAAGAGCCTGGTCAAGACATACTCCAGGATCATCAGCATTTCAAAAAGTTCACAAAAGCGAAGAACCACCAGTCACAAAAAAAGTAAAATAAAATAAAGAAGACCAATAAGAGTAAGAAGAACCTAAGAATGAAGTAAAATCAAAGAAATTCCAAGAGTTCTTAGAATTGATGAAAACTAATAAGAAATCTAATTAGGAGATATCGTGGAATGATAATGTGAATAATTAAGTTGACGAAATCTTTGAAAAGATCGAAAAGGAAAAGCCTAAAGTTGTTCAATAACCCAAAACAAGCACCCCAGCAAATGTAAATGAAAGAAGACTATATGTTACTAACATCCCATACACAAGTACAGAATAAGAATTAAAGACTGTATTTGAAAAGTATGGTACTGTTTCTAGTTTAAAGATACCAAAATAAAGAGGAGGGTCACTTTCTGGTTTTTGCTTTGTGGAATATCAATTACCAGAAGAAGCAATCAGGGCATTTAGTGAATTAGATAATAAGATTGTATTGGGAAGGATTTTTCATGTTAGACCTGCATTTAAGGATGACAAGGAAGAACAATTAAAATAAGAATAATAAATGAATTAAGAGAAGATGATTGGAGAAGAAAAATCATCATATAAGAAATTTAAGAAACAATAAATGCTTGAGAGACTCAATGATACTACATCATGGAACACATTATTCTTAAATCCTAATACCATAATTGAGGGCATTTCTAAGAAGTACTCTTTGGATAAAAAGGAAATCTTATCAGAAGAAAATGATGACATGGCTGTTAAAATGGCTCAAATGGAAACCTAAGTTATCAAAGAAACTAAAGATTGGCTTAAGAGCATTGGTTTGAACATTGATTTTTTGAAAGTTGAAAAGAATCAATGTGAAAGATCAAACATTACTATATTTGTTAAGAATATTCAATTTAGAGTTAATGAAACAGACTTAAATGAACTATTTTCAAGATATGGCTAAGTCAATAAAGTTTTCCTTGCTCCAAATAGATCAATTGGTATTATTACTATGTAAGATGACAAGTAGGCTAACAATGCTTTTACTAATTTATAAAATTATAAATTTAAGGGATGCATCTTGTATTTAGAGTGGGCTCCAACCACTCTGATGGGAGAAACTAATAAAACTAATGAAGTCAATCAATAAGTTGAAGAACAAGAAAATGAGTTAACTCGTATTCTTTATGTCAAGAATCTTAATTTTAGTACAACAGAAAAAAACTTACTTAAATTTATGTCCTCTAAGGTCAATGACATCAAGAAAGTGACAATTATTAATAAGGAAGGAGTCTCCTAAGGTTATGGATTTATTGAATTTGATAAACCAGAGTCTGCCCAAAAGGTATTACGTTTAAATAATTTGATTTTGGATGATCATTTACTGTAACTAAGTTAAAGTAAACCAAAACCCAAATAAGGTATGAATTAGTTATATTTTAATAGATTTGAATAAAAGAAAATAAAAACAAGAAATTGAACCTACAAACAAACTTTTAATCAAAAACTTACCTTTTGAAGCCAATGCCTAGGAATTGAGGAGATTAATTAAATAATATGGAGAACTGAAAAAATTAAGGCTTCCTAAAAAACTTGATGGAAGCATCAGAGGTTTTGCATTTGCAGAATTTCTCAATAACGAAGAAGCATAAAACGCAGCTGAGTCATTATAGAGTACTCACTTCTATGGAAGAAGATTAGTTATTGAATATTCAAAAGAGGAGTGAGATTATTTTCTTGTATATTATATGTATAATAAAAGAAAAATGTTTTTTAAATTGAGGAATAAACTTTGTTATTCATCATTCAAAAACGTTTGATTTCGTCTTCTCGGTAATGATCTAAATCCACCCTTTTCCTTTAATCTGAAATCCAAAGTTGTATTTTTCAGCACTAATTTGGATGTAATTGTCATAATAAAGATAATAGTAATTTTGGAACTCCGTTTTAATAGGCAGAATATAAAATCCTTCAGCATCATGGTATAATGTTGCATGTATAGAAGGAATGGTATCTGCTAATGATTAACTCGAATTTTTCATATAAAACTCAAATGTGGACCCTTTTGATGGTGTTGTCTATTGCTAAATTTTATCATTATTCACAGTTTACTGTTTCTTTCCCATCTCTGTATCGATTTCTTAGAACCAAAATTTAATATAACCATAATTGGCTATTTAAACATTTTGATTTAATGGTTCATCATAACTTTAAGTCACACCTTAAAAATTTTCCTTGATCTCACTATTCAAATTTGTCTCCAAAACTTTTAGAGTCTGATTTGGGAAGAACTTTAAGGTCATCTCTTTACAAAGGTATATTCTGTTCTATCCTGGATTTGTAGTGATGATGTATGGATTGTTTTCCAATAACAGTGCAAGGAATTTAGTTTCTCTAGCATAACTTACTTTAAAGACAAATTGGTTAGTTTTTTCTTTATCAAATTATTCCAAGTATTCATTCTAAGTTTTAGTTAATTATTATTATGCTTTATCCTTTATCTTTTTCATTAAGTCTTTTTTGTACACATCTAGTTCATAAGCATCTGTGTAACGATCTTTTTTTAACATCAAATTCGCTTTAGATTTTATTGGCAGAAACTTTGGATGATTAACAATGATGTTGGTGTCAATGTTGATGTGATCCACATCTATATACTATTTTTCTCTAACAAAAGCACTTGAAGTTATTAGAGAACTATCTGAAAAGTATAAATCGATTTCATAATACAATTCTGATATTTATTAACAAATGCATTATATCTTCTCTGGAATTTCATCCTTCTAAAATAATTTCATGAATCCTCTCTTTTATTTATTCAATTCAATTATCTAAATCAAATCATTCTCTATTGATTATAATTTATCTTCTATTTCCATTTCTTTTCTTTTAAATGAAACATCTTAAAATTTAATTAAGGAAACACAAATGGATTCTATCATTGCCTTTAGATCAACCATTTTTTTAGGAGTCATCTTTGAAATTTAAAGTTTATCTACTATGCTGGTTTAGAGAACCTTGAACCTTTCATTCATGTCTTTATCGGGTTTATTTTCTTTATTTTCTTAATTTTCTTTTTCTTCTTATTTTTCTTATTCTTCGTTATTTACTTAATTTTCTTTATTTTCTTATTCTACGTTATTTTCTTTGTTTTCTTAATTTTCTTATTCTTCTTTTTCATTTACTTTTTCTTACATTTTTTAATAGAAAAATAATATTTTTATAATTAAATTGGAACTCTTAATTTTCAAAAAGTCATGCGATTGCATATGACTATTGATTGAGTAGCAAAGTTCGTTGTAAATTAGAATATAGGATAATATAAATATTTTGTTATTCTATTTATTAAATCAATTGATGAATCCCAAAGCAAATACCCAGAACATCGCAATGATTGATGAATAAGCATTGAATTGGCATACTGGACTATCGTCAGTGCAATTAATTTAGGCTAGTTGATAAGAGCAGGCAGCCAAAGTCCAACTAGGACTAATTCCATTGATACTTGAAGGAGCTTGCACAATTGAAGTACTTGGAATATTATATCCATCATATATTAGCATATAGACATAGGTTCCCATGAAATACAAATTACTTAAATAAGGATTATTTGGATAAGCTTCTACAGCCTATTACCAATTTAGATTAGTGAAACTCTACAATTGAGCAAGATAGCCTTATTTGTTGAAAGTGGGCAAATTAAAGAACTTGGCCATGGTGACGATGCCGTTGGTTCCGTAGATAGTTTGATTAGTGACAGGAGGCTCGTAACTTTAATTAATGCTCGTAGTAACGGTAGTGTTTAAAAAGCTAGATATTAATTATTAGCAAGTGGCTAGATTTCCCACTCCTTAAATTTTGTAAAACTTCTCTTCAATAGTGACATTTCCACTATAATCTTTTTAAAAGCAAGGAGAATAGATGGTATCATCCCCTTATTGAATAGATGACTTTAGGATGCTTTACCTAGCTTGGTCATTTCCATAGCCCAAATAGGACACGGAATACAATGAGAAGTTGCTCACATTTGGTCGAACATTCAAGAGAACGAAATCTGGACCAGTATTGTTGTAAGGGAAAGCATTTTGAGTTGAAGCACCACCAAGATCAAGAGTCAATAGGGATTTCACTTATTAATTGAGTAAATAGAAGACGGACATCCACATATACATACCCTTAGAATATGAATTGAACTAATACTTCTTCCTATCCAGTAAGAACTCGTACCCAATCAGGACTATAATAGAATTTTGTACTGTTGAAAACCTATTGGACAGTTTGGATGATTTGATTTTATTGGACTTGAGTCAATTGCCTTAATCCAGCTGTGGCTCCAAGCATGATGGGAGTGAATTGATACATGTTTTCTGGGACAACATTGTAAGTGAAATTAATTAAAGGTTCTAAGTAGGCTTGAATTTTGTCTAGGTTGTTGGCGAATGTGGCAAGGCCGGGTTCTTATTTTTTATCGTTTGACTTTGATGATTGAATATAAAAGTTACAGTTTCACTGAGGTCGATCATAGGTAATGTCCATCCTTCTCTGCAGCTCCACTAATAGACATAAACTCGTGTTCCAGAAGATCCTGCATCAAATATGGCACCATAACATTGTGGTGTGCTTTGGAGATTGTCATCTGTTGCCAAAAATCTAAATGAATATACAGCACTAATCAGAGTTGCCACTAATAACATGGAATCAAATATTGAATTAATATATTACACTATCACTTAATTATGAATTTATATTATTATTGTGATCATGAACTTCTAGATTGTTCATCTTTGTTGCAAATAAGATAAATCATCGTCAGAATCCAAATGAATATTATGAAGTAGGTGACGACCAAATAGCTTAAGATGAACATTCGCAAATGGGTGCATTCTTCATGTTGCAAATAGGCGTACTAGGAGTAACATAATGAGAAATACTGTGAGTCCAATCAGAATCAAAATGTTAAAGAATAACTCCACATAGTCGACCACGTCAAGCAGTTTTTCTTTCCAAAATCCGTTGGTTTAATATTGAATTGGCAATTCAATGATTCTTTATTTAAAATTAAGTTCTTACAATTTGTATCCAGCCATCAAAAACAAAAAGATCTCAGCATACAATGACCACGCATTGATACTATCACAAGACTGATCATCTCTTCTTTAAATAAATCAGAAATTACTATAATGTCTAAACAGCATAAAAAGTAATCCCCAACTAAAATTGTAGATAATGGCAAAGACAGTTGATGAGAGAGTTCTCCCAGTAAGTTCTGAGTTTCTCTTAGAAGTAGGTATGTCAAATATTTCAGCATCCTCCTGATGTTAATTCATAAATAAAACGAATATATATTATTTATAATTCAATCAAATAAGGAATCTACAGTTTCAACCATCCAAATTGTATTCTGTTCTTTTCCTCCTACCAACACAACTTCCCCTTGAAAAGTGGTTTTACTGGATGGCCTACTCAAAGCAGCCAAGTACTAGGAGGTTTTGACATGTTTGAGTCTAAAGGGATACTCAAGAAGAAGAGTGTTCAATTCAGGGATGCCCATGTCGACTCCTGAAAATGGATTGTCATTTAAATACCTTCAATTTGGAATTCAGCTTCTTCTTAGACTCCGCAATTGACTTCAAGATAATCTTTCTTTTTATTTCTAGCACCATTGATATGCATCAATCTCTTTCCTGTTCCAGTGTGAGTCAAAAACAAAAGAGATTTATCCTGAATTTGACTGGTGATGTCTGAATTTCCATTGGCCAATTCAATCACCCACCAATCATTTTGATCTCTCCTAATGGAGTATCTCCAAGTTATTTCCTGTTGTTTATTTCCATGTGTATATGTACTAGTATGAGAATGTAAGGATCCTCCAGTGAAGCAATTTCTAATAACTAACTTATCCATATTGTGAATGTATTTGTAACATCTTGGTCTCACTGGTTTATCGACATCTTGTTGTTCCTTTATGAAGATGGACTACCGAACATTCCTAGACACCTACAATCACTTGATTAAAATACAGGTATGATTGACCAATAGTCATTTTGGTCTACGCCTGTAAAGCCCGTGACTTCATTGACATCTTTGGGATTCTTGTATTACCTATTGTGAGAATGCAAGGCATGATTCTCATCGAGGACATTGACAAGTCTGACTCTATTTAGATTTATTTCATCAAATTTATCGAATATCAATAGAAATTATTATTCCCCTGTCCCCTCATATTGATTGGCGACGATCATCTCTCCTTATTTCGTAACTAGTGATTTGTTTCCTATGTTACTAAAATTTGATGTCTTAGATACCAAGTGATTACATTCCCAGTTTTGCCATTCCTGATAACCACCATATCACAAGGCCATATTTCCACCTTTGTGTAATTGGGCTTTTTGAGGCCTTGAACAGGAGGACTGTACTTTTCTATGATCCATACAGAATTTTGATCTTGTTCCTTTTTGGTGCCCAATATGTAGCTAATCATTCCATAAATTAGCCATACCCATTCTAATAGGAAACTCCAGTGTCTGTCAGATAGCCATTGGTTTCATTATGTCTTAGGTAAACAATGTCTTTGTGAATCAGAGGCTCTTATTCCATCAAATTTATAATTAAAAATATATTATTATTATCAATCAATCAAGCATATATTGAATCAACATATTCAATGAACCAAACCGCATTCCAATCAAACTTCGAAGCCAACACCATCTCTCCTTAGAATGTACTTTGACTAGATGGTCTCTCCAGAGCTGCCAAATATTGTTATGTGGGGATATGGACTATTCTAAATGGTTTTTCCGTAGTTAAATTGTTAGATTTTTCATCAATGTCGATCACTACTCAAATCATACACTTACATTCTATTTTGAATTCTTCATTTGACTTTTTACTACAACACACTTGAAGATAATCACCATTCTTCACTTTGCATCCTGAGGAGTGAGTCAACATTTGTTTTGTCTAAACATGCAAAAATGAAACCAATGAATTGTTCTCTATAAACTGCGAAGATTCACCAGATCCCTGAGATAAATTCTTCATTTTATAGATGACCCACCAATCATTCAAATCTCTCGGTTAGATTTTCCAAGTCACTTCCTACTCTTTGGTTCCATATTTGTAATGAGCGGAATGAGAGTGGAGAGCACCTCCAGTGAGTCCATTCCTAATAATCACAGAATCTGAAGAACGGATCGTCTAACACTTTCTTGGCAGAGGTTCTGTCACTTCTTGTTAATGGATGCCTTCTCTCATCTCTTTTGAAATCCACTCTATATTCCATGCATCATTATCATCTCTATTTTTGTACCCTGTTACTTCATTATTATTGCCGACCTCCTTCAATTTCGATGAGTGAGTATGCAAAGCACATCCAGTTTCAGTATTCACCAACCTCATGTATGGTGACTCATTAGAAATCTTCTAAAGAACGAAAACTTATTCTCCCCCATTGTATTTAACTTCATTCTGCTTGGCTAATACCATCAACCCTTGCTTCGTTACGGGAGACTGTGCATCAGGTATGCTAGAGTCATTTTAATCTCAATACCTCGTCACATAGTAATTTGAACAAAAACTCTTTATTCGCAATAAATCTCCCTGAATTATTGGAGTATTGTGATAGTTTGGAGTCTTAAACATTGAAAAAGGGGGACAGTACTTCTCCAAAATAAATATAGTGTTAGGTGATAAATCTGGTTAAGCACTTAAGATAAGTCTGCAATCTAATTCCAAATAACATACCCGTATTTATTCTCTGTGTTGGTGTCTGTCAAATATACCTTTTATTGCGGATGGAATAGAGTCACAAATTCTTGATGTAAAAATAGTCTCTGCTTCTCTGCTTCTTACTACATTTATTATTAATGATAATACGGATATTCAAAAAAAAAACATTTATTCTATAGAATTCTATCTTTTTATAGAAATAGAGTGTTTTTATTTAAAAGATTTTTCATCTTTATTTATTGAAGTTTTATTATCAATACATACTGTGAATTCTCAAAACCTCATCTAGTGCTACTTGTCATTTATCTCACCAATGTGGAAGCCTCATAATGATTGGGATCCATTTGTATCACCTTCTCAAAATCCTTCAAAGCCATCTAAGGATTTTACAGATATAATAGGCACTTGCCCCTCTTGAATAGAATGTCAACTGAATTCGCCAATTTGATGGCTTTGTCAAATGATTCAAATGCTAATTAATATTGTTTTTTATTGAAGAACTCAACGCCGAATGAATGATGAATGATTGCAAGTCTTTGTGCAACAGTCTCATTCTTCTCAATTTCATAAGCCTTGTTGTAATCGCAAATGCTTTCCTTGAGTCTTCCCAAGTACTTAAACGCATCACCTCTATTAACCAGTATTCCCCAATCCTGCGGTTTAAATGTTAACCTTTAAATTATATGTTACTAAAATACGCTTCATTCAATAATGTCAATGCATCCTCATAATTGCCCTTCTCAAACATCACCTAAGCCATCTCATTGTAAGTGATAGCCAATTACTTTTTGATATCTTCATTTGTTGGTTGCTAATCATATGCCTTTTTTAGTAAATTTAAAGACACATCATATTTGATGTTGATTCTACAAAGGTAAGCATTCAATAACAGCAAATCAACGTTATTTGGATCCAACTCAAGTCCCTTGTCCACATTCAATTTGCATCTCTCGTTATCTCTTTGTACTAAGTATAACTTGGCGTCGTTGGTCAACTTTTGGATCTTCGGAGTGATGTAGAGGATGAATTCTTTAATCTCTTGCAATTCCGGATTCATGGCTTTGGAGTTTAAAATCAAATTTTACAATAAACCTTCCAATAATCAGAGTTCCCTTGAGCTATTTTGCCTTGAGCCCAATACAGTTTGCCTCTTAGGAGTAGGGCATTGATGTTGAGGGGATCATTTGCAATCACCTTTTACACTTCTTGGAGAGTATAATTGAGGTAATTGGTTAGTAGATAACTATTCGCTTTTTGAAGAGAAGGAACTGTGAAATCTATCAGGTATCCGAATTGTTCAAATTCAGTTCCTTCTAAGAAATTAGTTACATCTCCTTATTCCAAGAGGGATTATCCTTTTAATAAAATTAAGGACTGCAATTCATCCTCCACCAAAATATCTTGTTTGACTGAGTAGGAGTATTGCAAGCAAGCAATGGCAGGACTGTAATCACCTATTTTTACATACAATTGCGCGAGGTCTTAATAACTTTATAGATGATCTAACTACTATACATAAATACTTTTGTTCAGAAATAATATTTTATAGTATTCCTTGATTGCCTCGTGGACATCTGTTTTGACCAATTGTTTAGCGTTTTGTAAATGTTTATCTATCTAATTAATATTTATTTATATATTACTTTTTCCTATAAAATTTTTTTCATTTATTTTAATAATTATTTAACTCCACATGGACACACATAAATATGTCAAGGCAGGTTTATAATTTCACTCTATTTTAGGTGAGGTTTTTGTGAAGCATCACAAATTCGGCGTCGAGAAAATCCGATTGGTTTATATCATTGATGACATTCTCTATTGGACCAAGCCTGAGGACTTTAATAAACAGAAGCCAAAAGGAAAGATCAAATTAGAAGTTTGAGTTAGTAAATTAATTTAAGGATATATTGTAAATAGAAAATGGATTGAAAAAAGCAAAGAAAATTAAAGATTTAGAGAGAGCATCAAATTGTTTTTCAATTATAACTAAAGAGAGAACTCTTGAACTCGAAGCATCGAACATTTAAATCAAGAATTTGTGGACCAACATCATAAATAATATTTTAAAAAAATATTCGACTCCTCAACAGTGAAAAACAAATTTATTTCATTTATTTTATTTAATGTGTTAATATCTCTAGGGATTTGGGGCACAAGTGAGGAAAAACATCTGATATCCATCAACACAAACTCACAATTCTTATTATTGGAAACTTTCATTAATGATTAAGGGGAATTCTTAAATGACTCGTGATTTTTTCCTACCTTTTTTGTTAAAGTTAGTAAGTTGATGGCTTATTTTTAAATTGAATTATTAATTTATATTCGATGCAATAAACTATTTCCAATAAAATACAGGGAAGACCTTCAAGAAAGGATTTGGGAATCAATAAATAAATTGATATTGTACTGAAGAGTCCATTGCTCAAGAATTCCATTAGATTGAATCTAGAAAATATTCAAAGGTCGACATCTGAATAGTTTGTTACACCTTTGAATAATAAACAATAATATAAATTGACCTAAAATCTCTCACATTTGAGTAAGGAGGGATTATCCTTTGGGTTAACAGAGAGGGAAATGAATTTATGCGCAAATGAGATGTAAATAATGCACTCTCATTCTAAAAACCTATTGGGTGCTACACTGTCAGTTCGAACATCACAATCAAACTAACTCTAATCCCTTAAATTTATTGAGTTGAGTAATATCGAATATGACAGTCCCAAAATAAGGAAAGATTTTAAATTCAAAGACAAAGAGAATTAAACAAATTAGGAAATTCAGTAGAAAGTCGAAGAAATGAAAGTTAATTACATTAAATCGAGTGTTACACTCAATCAATAACTTAATGATAATACTAGATTATTGTAAAAAATTGACGAGTTGAAGAGATTCCAATAAAATTTGTCTCTTAATTATTAATTTAAAAATAAAGAATTGAGTAACAGAAGGAATAAGAAAGTTACGATGAATTTGAAAATAAATAACAATAATAAATAATTGACAAGCCTAAAATAATAGAGTCTTGTTGATTTAATAGCCAAGCAGTAGCTCATAATTTAAGATTTAGAAAGGAAACTCTAAATTGAGAAAACTGAAAAAGAGTGCTTAAAAGTGTTCTGCTAATCGCCTAAATCACAATAGCAACAAGAATTAGATCTAAAACAAGTGGATATTCAGAAAAGCAAAACTAAATTTCATTTTAATACTTGAATTATCTTCGTTTGATTTCAATTTAATTTATATATATATATAATGATAATGTTAGGATTCAATTCAATAAAATGAGTCAGAACAGGGTGTGTGGATTATTATTTAATTTGAGAATTAAAATGAAAAAAATTCAATAAATAAAATATATTTATGAAGTTTCATTTAATTTCACCAACAACTACATCTTTTACACCCATATGGACATCGTAATAATAGAAGCGTCCGTAGATTAAATTGAGTGAGTTGGCAAAGTTTACTCAACTGCAATTACCCAAATAAGAAGATAGTCAAAAGGCCCTAGAATATAAATAAAGATAACAATAATTGTTAAGATAATCGAAGAATAAGCCACTGTTGAAAGTGTTGACGAAATCCTAATTGCTTTAAGGTTACTTGTCAATGAGACCGTAATAATAATAGAAGAAATAAATTAAATCTAGATCATCATCCCTAATTAGTAAATTAAATTCTTCAAGTCCTGTTGTTTCAATTAACGAATCTCCGAAAATTGTCAAAGAGGGAAGCTAAATTATGAATTAACCAATGTAATAAATTCAACTTATTGAAGAGCAACAATTAAGTCCAAAAGTCTTAAAACCATTAAAATAAGAGGCTTTTGCTAAGGCTTTAGATTTCATCAGACCAGAAACCCCTCTAAACTTTCGATGCTTGGTTCAGGATATCTCATACAAAAAACATAAAATAAACACTAAAGCAATAATAAGAGATATAATAAACAAATTAACAATATTAAAAAAACTGGAAATCAAATATATAGATAAAAGAATATGGTCGAATCAGCCATTTTAAAAAAGAAGTCAATACAGTTTCATCAAAGCTTGTAAGGCAGGTAATTTAAATTTAGTGAAGGAATTGCTTGAATAAGATAGGTTTTTGAATTTTGGTTTTGATTATGTAAATTAAAGTAACATTCTTTTAGATTCATTAAACAGGATTGCATTGGGCAGTCAAACGATCTCATTTATAGTTGGTTAAATATCTGTTAAAAATAGGATGTGATGTTGATGCATAAGATCTAATTGGTAGACCTGCTTTGTATTTTGCAATAGAATAAAAAGATGCGAATATCGTTAAAGTAAACTCATTCAAGATCCTTAATTTAGTTACTATTGGAGAACAATGCGATTCCTTGGAGTACTTAAAAAATCACTTACTCGAAACTTTGTAATGACGACCTCCAAATAATGTTACTTTTAAATAAGGCTCGAAAGGTGCATGTTATTTATCGGATGGTGGATGCGAAGAAAAGAATATAAATTAAGTAGAGAGCGTTGACTGGATTATTCGATGTTTGACTATATATTTATAAATTAAATATGTATAATTAATTTATTGATGAGGAAGGTCAAGAGAGATAAATATAATATTTGGTGGACTTAGGTATTTAGTAATTTAAGAAAAGGATTTCCCGAAAGCAAAGCAAGAAGGGGAGTTGAACAATTTGGTTACACAATAACCCTGGAAGATTTAATTAACAGAATCTTAGACATGAGTGATGACAATTCAAAAAAATCAAATGGAAACAAAATCAGTCTAATTCATTTTTCAGATTCAAGCAGCGAAAAAAACTCACCTTTCAATCAACCCTTACAACAATCATAATCTTAAAAATAATGTTAGACTAAATAGAATCAATAACCTTAGAAACAGGCCAGTTCGCAATTTTAACAACAATAGAAAGTATAGTAGCAATACTAGCCCCAACAATAGTTCTAACAATAGAATCAACATTAGCAGTAGGTAGAACAATAATAGCAACCATGTTCATTCCAAAATATATAACTGTATTAATAACCAAATGAACATGGTGAATTCCCAAAATGTTAGGTCTGTTATACCCAACCAATATAATGGCTTCATTTCGAATGCAAACATCAGTTCTGTTAACCATGTGTAATCAAGAATATAAAAGCTTCCAGATTAAGGAAGATTGAAGATGTTACCTGTTTACAGGAAGATTGTCATTAAAAATTAGACAAAGGGGAGATCCATCTGGTGAGTAATGAGTTACTCCCTTAAATTGATGTATTCTCCTTATCAAAATTAGATTGAACTATATAATGGACCCATATGCACCAAATGTAAATTGCCATAAGTGGCTCACAAATTTAAATTGTTCTCTAATGCTTGTGACAATGCAGAGTTCACAATCCTGAGTGCTTGTGTGAAGCACGACGAAGAAGGTAATCAACTTCAGAGATGTCCTTAATGCGGGATTTGGGTTTAAAAATCTAAGGGATGCAACTCTGTCTTATGTTCGTACATTTATTATTTTATAATAAGATTAGCTATTGTAAATTTAATTGGTGCTGGTTATGTAGAAGATAATGTGATAGCAATCACTATGTATTTTTCAATCCTACTGGCTGTCCAGGTTTGGGGGCGGAGGAATTTACAATTGAATAGTATCCGTGTCACAAAATTTGCTGGATTAGAGTAAAGGTGATTCTAATATATTTCCTTCTGATTTTGCTCTGTATAATAGTCTACCCTTTTTTTGTTGCGTAAGTAGTGATAAGGAGAATGAAAATTGACACTCAAGGAAACATCTGTTACCGCGTTTTCATCTATATAGGCATAGCAATTTTATTTTTAGTGCTCTCATGTCTGGCTATCTTTCCAGGTATCATCATTTTCATAGTTTCATAAAAAGCAAGATTATCAGTGTTTGCTAGATGACTAATATTTTAATTTTTATTATTTAATTAACGAATAAAAATGGGGCAGTAACAATCTACAGGATATGACTTATCATAATATTCATATATGGATGAAGTCACAGATCCAATTTATGGAGAAGGCAAGCTATTCCAAAAGCATGAGACAGGAGAGATCATCTGTCTTATCGAAAAAATGATCTAAGAGGAAACTAAAACTTAAGAGATGTCACTTAAGTTAGATCACCCAAATCTATTAAAAATCTATCATTAATAAGTAAGTGTGATGAAGGAATTATGCTCCTCCATTACTAAATTAACTATTGTCTATGAATTTACGAGTCTAAATTTAATTACCAACATCAATCATAGAAGAACCAAGAACATTCCATTTACTCAATAACAATTATGGGGTCTTTTGCTTCAATCGTTGAATGCCCTCAATTATCTAAAATAATTCGATATCTACCCTATGGATTTGAAGCAAATGATGATTTCTAGTTAAGGTTCTATTAAATTTCACTCTATTTAATCTAAATAAATGAGTAATTACAAAAAATTGCTTTACAATTTGACTGATGATATCCACATTTCCCCTGAGGAGTTAGTCTGTCTAAAGAGAAGAGACACTATTCTAAATTTAGATTATGAAAAGTGTGAATTGTTTCAATTAGGCTTAACATGTTTATATGCTGCTTCCTTAGTCGAAACCAATGATATTTTTGATCTAAAATTATTTTCATATTCATAGAGCAAGATTCAATAGAGAATCCAATCACTGAAATACTCAACAGATTTCAAGAATACATTGAATCAGTTGTTGCATCAAGATCCCTAAAATCGAGGTACATTCTATACTTGGTTAAACCAATTGGCATAAATAGATGCTGAAAATAACATGTTATTATTGTAATCTTAGAATTAATCCAATAATCTTAAGATTAATAAATAGGTTAATTAATTTGCAGATTATCAAATAGAATATATGCCTCAAAATCTTCCTTAAAGAATTCCTGAACCTGCTTAATCTCAATACTTAATTTCATTATAGTCAAATAAACCAGCTTCAAACCTTCCTCAAAGAAGTATACCACAAAAACCTTTTCACATAGTTACTCCTGATTAATCGAGAATTTCTAAAGATATTAAGAGATCGCAATTATCTCTTTAACACCCACATGATAATAATAAAAGTGAATAACAATTGTACCAGGATTCAGGACCAACAATTTAAACTCAGAATGATGAAAACTTTGACAATGATTAATTCAAACTGTAACAACCATAACAGCAATTCGATTAAAATTATTTTTCTAACTTACCGGCAAATAATAACCTTGTTAAGAATTCTCAATATCCTATTAAAATGCCAACATATCCTTCAAATATCCAATAGCAACAACCCCCCAATTCTTTTAATGTATTAAAATAGAATAATTAATATTCATAATAATTATAAGCTCAAAAACAATCGTAGATATCCTAACATAGTAACAAAAGTCAAAGAGAGGAGAGGATTGAGCAGGCAGTCAAGTCATCCAAAATGGCACTGCAACAATTTGAATTTGCTCTATAATCGGCATCAAAGGGGCAACCTCCTGGTAATCTATGATCAGATTATATTTATTTATTTTATCACTTATATTTTTATTAATAAAAATTGATGTGGTTGGAAAATAATGAAGCTGAAATTCCTTAAGATTATGGCAAACTAAAATAATAAAACATTAAACTAAGAAACGAGTTGAAGCAAATAAACGAGTTTCTTTCAAAATAAATCGAGAAAAAATAGGATCAACAAATTAGTTAAAGACATTAATTGAATACTACTGTAGATTTAAGAGAAGGTTTGTTTCATTACTAATTTAGACACTCTCAAAGCAGAATTACTCAATGCTTAAAAATAAATAAAGATTCAATTGAAATAAATTTAAATTCTATAAAATAGACAGGAATTACTATCATTGGATAAGTAAGCATAAACAATTAATTGTAGCATTGTTCAATTGCAATCGTAAGTTAAGAAATTAATGGATAAAGTAAAGGAACTTGAACAAGAAAATAAGATCTTGAGTAGCATAAATGGAAAACAGGAAAAAAAGTTAATTGAGCTATCTCAAGATGATTATGTAAAGAATCGAATCGATTAATTGGAATCGGAAAATTAATTTCTAAAATAGAAAGTAATTGCCCAAAGTAAGGCTGAACGATCGTAATCTGTTTAAGTAACCAAAATTGAACCAATCTTGAAACCTATTCAATTAACTTAGAAGTAACAAGAGTTAATGAAAGAAAAAGATCTCTTTATTGTATTATTTAAATGATATAATCCATAGAATTAATTGCAAACAAAATTATAGGAATAGGATAAGCATATCAACATTTTGAAAAACCTCAAAACCTAATATGATAAACAAATTAGTCAAATGGCTCATAGAATTAAATAACTTGAGACTCAATTGTTGATATTAGGTCAACAATTATAAGATAAGGTAATTTCAGTTACTTATTCCATAGAATTCAGAATTGAACAAAAAGAACCATTTATTGCCAAATCTAAGTGCTAGAAATCAGAGACATCAATAACAAAAAATCAATTTGAGTGTTGATAATGGTTTATTAGTTGATTAGCCTAAAACTCAAGTTTAGATAAATTAACAATATTCAAAATTGCCCTCTGAAGTCTAATCTAGACGTTAACCAGCTTTAGATTTATCATCGTAAACATTACGAAGCTAAAATTTCATAAATAATGAATTAAATCAGGATATAAAAATACTCAGAATAGAATAAGTAGGGTAAAAAAACTAATAAGAATTTCATTTTGACATACCATAATATTTTAGATTACATAATCTAAAATTATGGTGGAAGGAGGATTATTTATAAGGTTTACAGGCTTATTATCATTCTGCTAACTAAATCGTGAATGGTTAAATATTCTGTTAGAGCAATTTAGAAGAATTAAATCAACAATCCTTTGAATTACATTAATCAGACTGGATCCATTAAATTGGAGTTGGTTTTGAAAGCAATAAAATAAGTACAATATATAATTTAATGTCATATAGAATTCGTTAAGATAATTTCAAATTAAAATTGTGTTTTGAAATTTGGTTCTGAAATGGAGAAAATTCAAGAAATTTGTTCTGGGAAAAATGAAATAATGGGTACTATTGAAGTCTCGTTTAATTAATGTAAGATCTATATAGCCATATTATAGTGTTTATAGCAAGTATAGGCCTTAAGGTATACGATGAGAAATTATTTGATAAAATATGATGTAAATTACTTTCTATTGCTTATTAATTAATCTTCTATTACATTATTCTAATAGATAAGAGGTAAAATTGTCTGGAAAAAGGAGAATCTTTGGGAAATATTAAATTGTATTATTTTGATAATCTCAAATGATAAATCATTTTAGATTTTCTCCAATAAATCCATTGGCTGTGTTAAAAAGGTTGATTGGATTTTTGCCATCAGTAACCAAGAATCCTTTAAGTCCTAAGCCTCCTAATAACTTAGCCTTGGTTTCTGGTCCAGCCTTAGCCATAGCTATGATTGTTTCTTTTCCAATAGCTTAAATTTATTGCTTGAATTTCTTGATTTCAATATCTGACAACTCTTTGGCTTTCTTGATTTCTAATTCAATAAGTTGCTAAAATATAGAAATATTAACATACTCTTTAATAGTTTAATTCAGCCTCTTGTTCTTATCTTTATTATTCTAATAAAGCCTCCTATTCAATTTATAAGGCCTTAGATCTGAGTTCAGCTTGATTGACTTCAGCTTCAGCTTTGATCTTCTTTTCCATAGTTTCAGCTATGGCTCTAGCCACAGCCTCTCCTTCTGCTCTAACCTTGGCACTTTAAGCCTATTGCTTTAATAACTCAATTTTGGTTTCTTCTGCCTTAGCTTAATCAAGAAGCTTTTATCTAGCTAATTGACCTTTAGCCTCTTATTCTAACTTTGAAGCCTAATGTCTAGATTGCATTTCTTGACTCTTTGAACTGATTTCAATAGCCAAATTGATACTCTAACTTAATTGTCTTCTGGTTGCTTCATCTGTAATTTCTTAGCCTTAAATATCAACAGATGTAATGACTAGATTGTTGGCTTCAAAGGTGAATGAGGTTCTGATTTCACTTCCCTCTTTTCCAAAGACAGCTTCTCTAATTTTCATGCTGGAATTGTTATGGAAATCTTCAAATGTAATGGAAGAAACAGCTCCTCTGACTCTGGAGGCAATTGATTTGCAAGCATCTCCAACAAAATCTTTGACTGCAAATAATTTTTATGCATCATTAGGATCGTCCTTATTAACTTTAAAGTGCCAATTGTAACTGAGTGTTAATTTTAATTTGGCATGATCACTAGTCTCAACAATCAATTAATCAGTCATAAAATCTGGGCCTAAACTTAGAGTTAAAGTTTGAATGAGGTTTTCTACTTTAGGTTTTCCTCCTGACAATTTAATGACTGTGAATTATTCATCAGGTCCAAGCATCACAAGATCTGGTCCAAAAACTACTCTTGACTTTTTGAGTTTGTAATCATATAATTAAATGGCTGAATTATGAGGTGCTTTGAATGAGATGATTTTAGTTTTGTCTCTTGGCTTGAGTTATTCTGAATCGAAATTATAGGTCATTTTTCCTGATGCTTACACTGATGGTGGAACATATGGTTAACCACTTGCTGCCCTTTAAACAAGAATTTCAACATTTTCTGGTAAATGCTTTTCCCATAAGGATTCATGGGCTTCCAACAAATAGGTTTTTCCTTTGATTCTAAGAATAACTTGATTATTATTACTCTTTGACTTCTCCAGTGCGATTGTCTCTAACATATATACCTTCATTGGCATCCAATGGAATGGCTCTTCTTTTTTCTATCACTGAAACCTTCACTCCTGGGATGTATTCTCTAGGTCCTCTAACTATCCATCTTTATCCAGCCTTTCTGAATTACCCATCCTCTTCTTAATGATCATAGATGGCCTAAACCAAAAGAGCTTCTTCTTCACCTAGAATGGCAATCTAATTTTAATTAACTTTTATTACATCTTCAATTTTTCCTCCCAATAATTCCTCTCCTGGTTATAAGAAGAAAGTTGTTTCTCCCTTGATGAGTACTTGAATTCCCCAATCGTTTTGTTAAAGTTTTGGATTATAAGGGTTTAGAATAATACAATAATTCCTTGAACCAAGTGTTATAGCCTATTCAACTGCTACCAATTATTCATAAACATCTGTAATATGAACTTAAGCCTATTTATTAGTGATGATCCATTCATTTCCTGGTTTCCTTTTGATGCCATAAACGTCAGTAAATTCATTAAGTGCTCTTAGATGAACACATACTTTATCTGTGAGAACAACTCCTTTTACTACTTCAGAGACTCTCTCAAATGTATCCGCCAAATATGAACCTGTGGTTCTGATGAGCCATTCTTATCTATAGAATAAATCAAAATATAAATTACCCAGCTCTTCTTTCTTTGCCATTTTTATCAATGAAGGTTTGGGTTGCTTTCAATTTCAAAGCTGAGTTTGGTTTAATTACTTCAGCCTTCACTACCTCAACAATTTATTCTTCTGCTCTGGGATAGTAAGTAAATGGTCCGTTGCGTTACCTAAGTTATGTTTAAATGAAATATTACCATTCTTCGCCGGCTTACCTTTTCTTTCCTTCAACTTCGAAGTCTCTAACAGCGACTAGTCTCAAGGCTGTATTTTGTTAGACGATAAGCAATGTTTCAACTCTACCATCCAACTTCTCCCCTAAATTGTTGTTATGTTAATAATTTACCTGGAAACAAAGGAAAAGGATCTGAATAGTCATCAGCAGTTCTATATTCTATCTCTCCCCTCTGAATTTCCACTTCGCCGTAAGCATTTTTAACAGGCAATTTTCTTACATCTCTCAATATGGGATTTTGGATCTTGCAATATGTTTTTGGTGGTAAGCTTATCATTTTGCTTGGACCTTCAATTATGCTTTCATGCTCTTTTCTGATGAATGTAAGAGGTCCAACTTCCAATCTATAATATATTCAGATTCATCATTACCTTGCTGTGTTAGTATTTTAATCTAAAACATGAATGTATTAGTTAGGAGGAATTCTTGTGACATACTCTGCCATTGTATATGATATTTTAATTAATGAATTAAATAATCATTCTTCAAATGGCTTTGAGATCATGATATATATTAAAGATTTAATTAATTCTCATTTTTTTTTTGGATACAATTTAAAAAATCGGTGTTTTATTCTAAATTACTTTAAATAAATATTAATGTTATTTTAAATTAAGTTATATTAACAATTCAAGAAAAATTAAGGTCATCCATTTTGATTTATTTGAATGCTAACATACACTTATTTAGCCTGTGCACTAAATTAAGACTAAGTAAAAACTTTTATATCCCTTAATTGAATTAATTTTATAACTTCACTTTAAATTATTATTAATGAAGAAGGTCGATTATGATCTTTTAGTGACTGACAATGTCAATGTCACTAAATATCGTAAAATAATCAGATGTAATGGCGATGCAACTGTACATAGTTTAAAATAAAAACTATCACAATCCATCAAATGTAGCTTTGAAATCATACTTAATGATGAGATCTTGATCGAAGGAATGCTCCTTAAAGACATTTTATCTAAACATCTGTAGAATTGCATCATTCTTAATCCAATCAAAGAGCCTATACCTGATTAAATAAAGAAACACGATTTTCAAGTCAAATGCATGGCCCAATACAAGGAGCAAGATTAATATACGGAAGAAGTAATAGACCAAGCTTAATTAAACAAAATTCTAGATAATCCAAATGAATTTTAAACTAAAGAGGATAGTAAGACACAGAAATGTTGTCAATATTGTCAAGTAAAAAAATAAATTCTTTCTAATTATGAAGTTTCAATGGAAAGTCTTTTAAGTGAAAATGCTGAATTAAAACATTAGATATCAGAGTTAGAAAAATAACATAGAATCAGTACTTATAAGCAAAAACTATAATAATTATAATAACATAAAAAGTGAATATCAATACACTTAATAATCAATACATTTAAATAATAATGTTTCTTATAAAAATAATACCTGTTAATTTTAAAAGAATGCTATTCTTTCTAACTAATAAACAAGAGCTGAAATGTTTAGAAAATCGATTAAACAATATAATTTTCAATTAAACAACTCTCTTAATCTAATTACAGAGGCAACCACCTTATCTCTAATAGTTTTTTATGTTAAATGAAATCCGACCTTAATTCCAAAATCAGCATCAATATATCCTTTAATCGTTAAACTAGACTTATCTTTCTAACTAATTTTTAGACCTCCTAAAGTTAGATTGCCCTCCTATAATTCATTCTAATACTCTTCACTAATAATAAATTGATTCAATTACAATTTATCTTGAAATCTCACTGATTAGAATGCAATATAATACACTTCATCTATTTTCCGAATGGTTTTTAAATAAGTAAAGTATTATTGCTTGATCATCCCTTGTCTATTCAATGTAATTTCACCAACAGCTACTTCTTCATTTAGTTTCTCCAAATTATAGGTGTTGATCAATTCAAAATCAAACAACTTTTTTTCATTTGACCAATTTAAGAATGTCGTAATATCAGTATTAAGATCAAAAGAAAATCTAAGATATATGAATAAATACTTGATTATTAAAAACATTTTTTTATTTCTCATTTGATGTGAAGCAAATAGGTCAATGTCAATTCCATTTACGAGATACTCACTCTCACCGTTATTCTCATCTTCAATCTTCTCAATAAATGATTTCATAGTCTCTGAGGCATAAGAATTGAATTCTGATTGATTGATATTATTGATGCTCGGTAACGTTATTAATTATCCTTGTTTAAGAGAAAGGGGATATGGAGAGTCCAAACTAGGATTGGTTTTACACTCTTAATTAATCATGAATTATTGTGATTCATTTTGATTTTAATTTGAATTCATCTATGAAGACCTAAGAGCAGATAATTATTAATTGGAAATCGTCTCAAGTGTAATGTCATTTTCATTTTTTTCATCTATTTGTGTAATTGTTTTTTCATTTGATTAAGTTCTATCTTGGGTGAAGCCTAATTGATGAAAATTGAATTCACTTATTTGTTGAGCATTTATTTTCCCTTATGTTTCCTCCTCTGGGTTATTCGACAAATTGACCAACTAATGAGTTTATGTCTGAGAGATGGGTTTTGGTTTGAACAATTGAAAACACTCTTTGCATTTCATTATTATATTTCCCATTTACAATTTGTGTATAAAATTTTAGTTTTATATTTCTCTATTAACATTAATAAAATTACTTAAAAAATCATTTCATCTTTCATATTGAATTTAGGCTTAATCAATTGTAAAATTGTGAAAGATAACAAAAATCAATAAAAATAGTAATTTTCAACGAACGTTTTAGTCTATCATCGCATTAGAAATAAAATATTAATTCCATATCGAAATTTATATAACTAAATATTGAAATAATACAAGTCTCATAATTCAAATGACTATTACTTTCTTGCCTTGAACGGATTTAACCAAGTTCCGTAATCATTCTGAGTAGTACTTTAATCGCCTCCAAATTTTAATACTGTCATTGGACCTATCTAAGGAGATTCGCCGATAGTTTATTAAAATATAATGGCACTCTTTTTCGGCTTTTCACTAAAATATCATTTTTTATCTACTAATAATCTTATTCTTTTTTTGCAGGGTCAGTCTTGAACTATATTCCCAAAGATCTGAGATATGCAACCACTCTTCTCTCTACTTCCAATTACTCTCTATTTTCGCAATGGAATTAAGGCAAGAAGCTGTCCAACGACTCCACTGACTCGGCTACTCTTTAGTAATCTTCCATTATTTCTATTTTCGACCTTGATAAATCCTCAGCAAGCCTTTTACCGTATTGCATGTATAAATATGATAATTATAAATAATTTTTCAAAACTTATCAAATCACCTTAAGTAGCCAAATAGTTTGGTTGGAAATCCTTTTTTCTAGGTATTAAATATTTGGTGTTTCTAATCTTCTTTTTTAGACGTATATTTATTTTATTATTTAATCAATAATATATATTTCCTATATGGACTCCTATCTCACGCTTGAATTAAGAAAAAGATTCAACTCTTCTATGACTTATCAAGAATATCTAGATGCTTATGATAAACCTCCTCCAAAACCTAAGTTAAAGTATGAACCTCAATCATTTTAATTTAAGACCAAAAGAATCACCCGTCGTTGCTGAATTACTTCTATTGGAACCCCCAAAAGGGCCTAAACCTTAATCATAAAAATTAGAGGTATACGAACCAGATGAAATTATCCTGGAGGAATCAGAAACAGATGAACGATCAAGAGCACAATCCCCAATACAGAAACCTCCTTGTTACAAAGCTCTAAAGGCTAATGTAAATTAGATCATGTTTTAAATTACTAGAATGTCAGAGTAAGAAGCCAGAGTGAAAATTTTGTGTTTTCAGTGTATCGTTTCTTGTAAAACAAGCAGCATGTCCCTAAATAATGATAAAACTAAATTCATAAAAACTAACATCTAAGCTATTTATAAGTATGTAAGCTCTTCTTAGTTATTTCCATTTCCCAAAACCCTCCATCCTCGCCTCTCATTTCACTTCCTCCTCTCTCTAAACCTATAAATTTAACATTTAAAATAGTAAAGCTTATACAAAAAAACTTTAAAATAAACCTTACTCTTACAAAACTATATAAATCATACAGACTCACATTATTATAATATGATGATGACATTTTTTAAAATATTTCAATCCCTTAACTGGATCAAAAATAATTATTTTTTTATCTGATTCATCCTTAATATATGCCCTTGACAACGGAAATGGGTTCGTAAAAGTCTTGATTAATTATATTTGAAACTTTTATTTCGAGAAACCAGAGAAATACTAAAGAAAATTATATTGTATAAATTTGTAATCTTTTGAAGAAGTTCTATTGAATATCTTTTGACAAATCATTCATAGAAAGATATGAGATTTAAAACATTAATAATTATCAAACTCATTTATATTCTCCAATATGTAATTAGAAAGAGAAATTGAAAAGAAATTAAAGTTAAACAATTAATTGTTTTAAATTTCTAATTAAATTATCACTTTAATTTAATTGAATACTGACGAGAATATTATTATTATTGCATTTACAATTAAAGAATGGTTAACATAATTTATGTAATATTTTTGATCTTTATCAGAAATAGTTACCAAGGAACTTTTATTCCCTTTTGAAGACCATTTGAGCAAAGAAGACAGCGTCTGTCAAACATTATTCACTTTGAGAGAACACATGCTTCTAACCTTCGAAATTAGGATGATCAAAGATTGTCAAAGTAGTTCCAGATGGTATTTATAAAGATCTGATCTCATATTAGAAATCTCTAAATAATATTAAACCCATATATACTTCATTTAGCTGAGATCTCCACATGTTTTCATTGATTCACCTTTGAAATAGCACTAGTTGTATATGATGACACAATCATTACCATCACTATTATTAAGATTACAGAAATTTTTACTTTACTAAAGCATCATTATTGTCTAAATTAATATCATTTGGATCAGAACTGTTATTAGACTCTGGTTCAATTGAGTTATTCTCATCAACCTAGACAGTATTTGATTCTGGTTCTGCTGAATTATTTTCTTCAGTCACTTCTTATGTCTAATTTTCAATGACGACAACTTATTGTTCATCAACAATTTATGCCTCTGCATTATTTGATTCTTCATCAGGAATCAATTTAATTTCTTAATTGACCAAATTTTAGTTTGATGGTGAGTCATAGAATTAAATTGTCTCCTCTTAGGCTGAAAGATCTTATTGATTGTTCTCTTACTCAGAATTGACAACTTCATTTTATTGAACATCCTCTTGTTAAGCTTATGGGACATCATCAATATAGTTTTCACTTTCTTGGTTATCTTGTTAGACATCTTATTCAGTTGTTGCTTCTGCATTTGAGTCATTCTCAAATACAACTTAAACATCTTGTGCTTCAGTATCTTGTTATTATATTTCTTCGTTTTAAACTTCAGATTATTAGACTGAGTCTGTTTCAGGATCAGCATACACATCTTCATTTTCAGCCTATTGAATTTCAACATCACTTGAATTGTTGACATCTTAATCATAGACATCAGCATCCTATTGAACTTCAACTTGAGGTTCATCAGTATATTAATCAGTTTCTTATTACTCTTGTACTTCTGCAGGCTCATCAGTTTAGGATTACAGTTAAACATCATCCTAAGCTTCAACCTAATCATAAGCAACATCTTGTTCATTTTATGTATCGTCAGTGTACTCATTGTTTTATTCTGATTAATCATAATTGTTGTCTTCTACCTCTTACAATTATTCTGAAAAGTCTTGATCTTATGATTGAAGATCATCATAATTTTCTTACTCTTATTCTTGGACAACCTAAATTACATGAGGTAAGTACTTCAATATTGTTTTATGGAGTCTCATCATCTGGATTTAACATTTATTGTGATTCATCGGTAGTGTTAATGTCGGTGTTCAATTGGACATCATCTAAATCCTACAATTAAGTAACAGAAGCATTGTCATCCTAAGACACTAAAGTTGTTGCCTCGACTTCAACATCCTCATTGCTTAATTCTTTTGTATTCTCAACTACATTAACAGCATCCTCTCTAACTATATTTATAATAATACTAGTTAGTTTGTAAGAAGGACAAGACAACAGTCATTTGCTATGTTGCCACCAATGCTAACAATAATATGTAAATTTTCATAAATATATATTATTAGTTTTTATAAAACGGATCCTTAAAATTTGGAGTTCTTAATATATCTAAATTGAGTACTTAGAATTAGGAAATCCTTAAAACTAGAAAGAAACTTAATATCAAAATAAATGAGAGTTGGTCATCCCAACATGTTATCAAAAAGTAATATTTAGTTTAACTATATATGACACATCAATAATAATTGTATCTCAAATAAGTGAATCTTCATAGGTTTCTAAATTCATCCAATATTCCTTGGGCTTCCAATAATTTGATTTCCTTCTCTTCATACCATTTTATTCTGACTCCTTCCTCCCAATATCCTATTTTTTCCACATTCTGATTTGTTATATAAATACCAACTCCATGCTATTTGTTTTATCTCCAACAACCAGCATATTTACGACCATCTTCCCATCTGAATACTCCTTTCCCATGCTTTTTATCGTTGTCATATTCCTAAATAACAATAAACTTTTGATTACTTACTCCTTTATATATTTTTCCATCTGGCAATTTCAATTCCCCAGTTCCATTCATTTTATTATTCATCCATTCTCCTACATAGATTCTTCCATCCAACCATTAGTATGTGCCTTGTCCTTAAATTTCATTTTAATAAAATTCTCCTTATCAAATTGAAATCACTGAAATACCTTAATAATAAGAACCATCAGCAAATACAAGTTTACCATTCCCATGCTTTTTACCACATTAATAATCTCCTTCATACTTTGCCCCATCTGGCCATTCTTCTATTCCTCTCCCATGCTATCTATCATTCAGCCACTAACCTTAATGATTACACAGTACCTCCCCAATATACTTAGCCCCATTGTCATGAGTGTATGATCCCAAACCGTTAGCTTAATCATCTAACCAATCTCCTTCATAAATATCTCCATCAGCATGTATAAGTCTTCCCTTTATATTTAATAAACTTTAACAACTTTTCCACAAGATTTATCATTTTTCCATTCTCCCTCATAAACAGAACCATCCGGCCATTATTATTTTCCATAACCTTCTCTCTTTCCATCCAACCATTCTCCTTCATATGTAGCACCATTTTATAGTAAGATCATCTAATGAATAATAATGAGGCAACTTTACAGGAAGTTTTATTTTTTCTTGCTTCCCTATAGTTTTCCTAACCAAAGGATGTATATTTTAATTATCGGTTTGACTATTCAAATTTTTTTCAATCTCTTTTATAGAGACCTTGCTATGTTAAGATTAAATCTGTATATCATTTTAATTTGCGTCTTCAACTTATCCTGGATTAGTATTTTTATTAGTTAAAGAATGTTTTGATTTTTTCACTGAGATTTCAATAGAACGATTGGAATTCTTTACAGTTTATATTTCCTCTTTTGCACAACAAGTGTTTATACTACATGATTAACCCATAATGGAAACTTTTAAATTTCTAAAATTAAAATCATTAACAAAAATTAGAGATCTTAGAAATCATTTTCTTTATTATTATATCGGAAGTTCTAATGCAAATAAAATAGTGTTTTTTTATTATATTATGATATTTAAATCATGAATTAATTTACCTTACTATTCCTCCTGTTAATCCTACAATACCAACTGCAATCCCTATCAAAATGGAGCCATATTATTGTGATCTGACAAGCTTTTCCCAATTTTTTGCTCCAATTTGATATCTATAGTGCATGGAACCCAAATATCATAATTACTCCAAATATCTCTCTTAAAAAACTACATATAGCCCTGATTTTATATATACATTGATTATTTAACATTTGGATATATCATTGCAACGATTCAAGTTGAAAATTATAAAGCCACTGTGCTAGTTAAAAAGCTAACAAACTGTTTTACCTTTTAGGCAACTGCTAAATAGTTATTCTTGATAGGTTTATTTGATTGGAACTGAAAAAACAAATTAAATTCAAATTATGCTTAGGAAAAATTCTACATGAAATTTATTTATATATCCATCAATAATAAATAATCTAATAGGATTTATTATTATAAGGATAAATAACGAAATTATCATTAATATTTAATAAATAATAAGTTCTCATATCTCTAAGAAATGCACAACTTTTTGTGAAGATTTACGAATGACAAATAAATCCAACAATGTTGAGCAAATGTACTTGCCAATTCAAAATTGAAATCAAAACGCAATATTTGATCCTTATCAAATCATTTTCGATGAAAAAATTATATCATTTTATCACTAAACTATATGAAATGATAGTTTATACTACAGTAAGGTATCTTTTTAAATATATATATATTCATCATGATTAAGAGGAGGTTAGGAATCATAAACATCTTCTCTAAAAATCTGAATTAATCATAATGGGATTAATCAAATTCAATTATTATAAAAGGAATTATAATAAATCATAACCAATAAATATTTTTTACATTTTAGAACAAAAGTATAATTTCATTTATTAACCATATGATTGTCAATTATGTTTGAATACTTCCTTAGTATATTGAGGGATTATTGTTAATGTATTCAGATTAAACAGGATTTACTGTAATAATAAGAATAACACCTATTTACAATCCTTTTGATAGTTTCAAAAAACAATAGCCCTTCAAGTCCAATAATTATTCAAATATATTAATTAAATTTATTCTGAATCGTCAAAATTTGTTTAGTTTAATTTATTGCCTTATCTTATAACCGTAAATAGACATCATCGTCAAAATTCTCATAATTTCATATAATTTATTGGACTTTCACAAATTTCAAGCCATTTTATCTTGATAGATCTGATTAATTAGAAGCTCACTAGAGAGTTATAAAAAGAAATAATTCAGATTCACTGTCTAAATATTCATATCCTAATTTAGTAGTTTATATCAATAATTATATTAATATATTTGGGCCCGGAAGAATTAATAGACAGCAGGTTATAATTCTTTAGATATTTCTTTTAATTAAGTTTCTTTAGTTAATATTGTAATCAATAATATTCCTAGATTGATACATAATTATTTTCCCATGGATAGCAATTTATTCAGATGAGTAATTCCCTTAGTAAAAGAAAATATCATGTAACAAAGGTAACAATAATATATAATTATTAATTATAGCGATATTACTGTAATAAGAAAAGTACATTTATAATTCTCATTTATGTTCTCCACTTTTTACATTGATCATTACTTTTGAATGCAATCTTTGCGATGATTTTCTTCTGAGTTAACTTGTCAATGTAGCATCCATATTTTCCTCTGCAATTTCTGTTTCTTTAAATAGATGTACTCTTCTCCAACAACCCTCAGGTATTAATTTAAATATAATCCCAGCTAACATTCCCAAAACACCAAATCCTGCACATATCGAATGTTCAATTATGGTTAATTGTCTCACTTTAACGTAATTAGCAGCAAATTCTAACAATGCAAACTAAATTGCAAGTGTTATGAATTAAATCAACCAAAACATTCCATTATTGAATAAATTATTAAATGGATTAAGTGATTGATAATCCAGCTGCCTACAAGTTATTGAGTTGAAAACCTACATAATTACAAAAGTTTAAAAAAAGACACTGAGCTTTGTCAACTAAGTTATAGTAATTAAATATATACCTCATCAGAAGGATAAAGAAATAAAATGCAATTAAGAACAGCCAATTAATAGAGACTTTGACAGCAAATAGTTCTATACATATAAGCTGACACTATTGGTTAGGTTCTTTTGTATGGTTGTCTGTCCAAGAGTGCTGAACTAGGTGGTTCTGTTGCCAAGGCTAAAGAAGCAAAAGTATCCATAATTAGATTAACCCACAACATTTAAATAGTATTAAGAGGAGATTAATTTAGAATGACAGCTCCTAAAAAGGCCATAAAAAGAGCCACTATATTAACAGTCAATTGGAATTGGATGAACTTCCTAATACAATCATAAATGTTACGACCCCATTTGATTGCTAAAAATAATAACATGGTTTACCTGTTATAATACTACTAAAATTATCGTCGACTAATATAATGTCAGCGGCATCTTTTGCGACATCAGAACCAGATTCACCCATTGCGAATCCTACGTCTGCCTTCTTTAAAGCTGGAGCATCATTTGTTCCATCTCCTGTCACTGCAACGATGTTTCCTTGATCAATTAAACCAGTTACTAACATAAATTTGTCTTCAGGAGTAGCTCTGGCTAAGACTTTTAACTATTTGCTAATCTTATTAAATATTTCCTAATTGGCAATCCTTAAGACTTTTTTACCATCTACTTGCGATGTCACAAGTCCTCCAATACTTTCTCTAAAGTCCTTTCCTTCCATACACTCATATTCCTTAGGTTATGCTGAAGACAATATTCCACTCTCCTTAGCAATTGCAATTGCAGTTAATGTATTATCACCTGTTAACATTCTGACTTAGATTCCAGCTTTATTACATGCTTTTATTGAATTAGGAACATCTTTTCTAATTGGATCTTTAATACCAGCAATTGCAATTAAAACTAAGTCTTTTTCCAACTCTTCCTCACTTAAATTAAAGGCTAATTCCTTTAATTAATGTTAAGTTCCTTTGTAGTTTGTATCCTTATATGCTATTGCAATGGTTCTTAAAGATCTAGATGCGAATCTATCAATCACATCTTATTTTATTTATTTTTTTTTATTTTCATCTAAGTAATGTTCTTGTCCTTTTGCGATTAACTTGGTTGATTGATTCAAAATGATTTCCGATGCTCCTTTAACAAAAACTCTTAGAAATCCTTTATAATAGATGACTGTAGCCATCTTCTTTCTTCTGCTACTAAAAGGTAAGACTTTGACAATTTTATCAGTTGGTCTGTATAAGGAAATACTATATCCAAATCTGTCTGTTAATTCAAGCAATGCACATTCAGTCTTATTTCCAGTCTATAAAAAGTTTCCTGATTCAGTTTTGGTGGGATAAGCAGTTGAATTGAATGTTACACTTTCAGCTAGTAATTCTTACATTTATCGAGGTACTTAAGCATCCTTCTTATCATAAATAGCTTAGTTCATAAAAATATCATTTTCTATCCATAATCCAGTGACAGTCATTTTATTTTATGTCAAGGTTCCTGTTTTATCACTACAAATTGTATTGGCTCCTCCCATAGTTTCACAAGACGCTAAATTTTTGACCAAGTTATTTTCATCCTTCATTTTATTCACAGAATATGCTAATGCTATGGTAACTGCCAATGGCAATCCTTCTGGAACTGCAACCACAATTATAGTTACTCCTATCATGAATGATTGTATAACAAATTGTAATGTTTCAATACTCAAAATTTTATTATAACCCATAAATCCCAAAATTAATTAATGAACAGTCAATGCAAAAAATGTGATAATAGCAACAAAGGTGCCAAACTTACCAATGTCTTCAGCCAATCCTTCCAACTTTTATTATAATGGGGTGGGAGGAGTTTCTTGATCAAGTAATAACTTTGTTTTTCCAGCGCATGTATTTTATCCAACTGTTAATACTAACATAGTTCCTGTGCCATCCATCACTTTAGTTCCAGAGATCATAAATGGAGATGCGTTTTTTAACTATTTCTTTAATTAATTGCTGTTTTTCATTTATTAAGATTGACTGGATTTCATCATCAGATACTCGGTTATCTCATTGTATGGTAATTTGCGGATAGAATCTGATTCTCCTGTGACAGTTGATTCATCCATCTTCACCTCTGATCCAGAGACCATTAATCCATCCACTTATAATAAATCACCAATATTAAAAAAGAGAATATCTCCCACAACCAATTCTTTGCTATCAATTTATTATACTTTAGAATTTCTAATAACTTGCTGCTTTGATTCATCTAATTTATGGTATAATTTTTGAAATTGTCTTTCTTTAACATAATTATTCCCAACAGTAATTGAAACTATTAAAAATACTGCAAAGAATATTGTTGCTCCTTCACTCCACCCAGTCTCAATACCTTCCTTGTAGATTCCAATCCCAGTTGAGACTAATGAAGCTACCAACAATATTTATAACATGGTGTCTCCGAAACACTCAATAATCATTGAAAATATAGATGATAATTCTTTCTCCACTGGTAAATTCTCCCCATACAATTATCTCAGTCTTAAAACATTTTCATTTGAATCAACTCCATTCTGTTATAAATCAAAATTAATACATTAACATTAGATTAGAATGCTGTTAATAAACCTTGATCACCTCCTATTTCAATTAATTTTTTCAAACTCTTCCCTTCCATAATATTATTCATCTCGAACAAGTTACTCAAAAATTCAATATCGATTTTTTCCATTTAATTACTTTATAAACTTGAATCTCAAAAATAAAAATTTATCACTTTTTTATAGAAGATCATCATATTAATTAAACTATTTTATCTTGAAATAGTTTATAAGATTTATTCAAATTTAGATATTAAAGGTTAAAACACATGATATGATATGAATTAATGAATAATTGCTAAATAACTCAATTCTTAATTTGCTCTAAAATTTTTCATGCCTATTAAACAAAAGACATTTTTTAAATTATGGACTCTCTCTTTTTGTTTGGAGGTTTTCCTAATATCAATCTTTCATATGTAGTCAAACCAGTATAATAATTTCTTATCTATGTAAGAATCAAATTTAATAATGGAATCATGAACAAACATTCTATTACAGTGAGAATAATTAAAATCGTAAAGCTATTGGAGCTCAGAGTGGCGTTTTGATCTGCCAGTTCCAAAATTCCAAGTATTATAAGAAGAAGAAAATCAAGAAATAAAAATAAAAGAAACAACCAAAATAGGGATTAATTGTCATTTCCAACCTGAAGTTAAATAACTATATATACGCAATTATTAATCCAAGGACAATGATGATCATATCTAAGAACACATCTTTTACAAAATTCACAGTGCTTCGAACTATTAGGAATTTAAATAAAGCAATCATAACAAATTTCATAAGCTTCCAATTTATGTAATATTTCCTTCAAATTTTATCTAATTTTATGATCAAATTATACTCATTATTTATTTTAGCATAACCTGGATTTGAGTATGATACCAAAAAAAAACAAATAGAAAACAATGTTACAATTACGATGAATAATATAAAACTTCCATTGCTTTTGTCATTGGTTTTTGCAATTTAAACCAAGAAAACAGTCCCAAAGTTTGTGATTGAAAAAAATACTAAAAATATTAAAGCCTACATAGCCGATCTTTTTCCTAAATATAATAATTTATACTTGGTTTCAAATTTAATTGAAGTAATAGAGATTTCCAAGAAAATCGAAAAGATTTCAAAGCATCAAGAGTTTAGGGATCTGATGTCAATTCTATTGGTAACTAATTATTATTGTTCTTAAACTTAATGCTCCCTCCTCTCTAAATTAATTTTCTTATTAATTTATAATTGTTATTCTTAGCAGCAATATGCAAAGGGGTATTGCCATTTGCATCTTATATATTCAAAGGGTGTTTCCATCGCATTAAAACTATTGCAGCATAATCACTTTTAGTATAGCAGGCTAAATGTAAAGGTGTTACAGAATCTTGATATTTACTGTAGACCTTTTCATCTTCCATCTTCTCCCTGATCTAAATCATAGCCACAACATCATTTTTATATGAAGCCATTCCTAATAAATTTTTAGGCTTATAATATCTCGATATTTCATCTAACATCTCAATCTTACCTGAGTAAACAAAATAATGAATCGCTTAAAGACCATATTTATCTTCCTTTAACAACCATTATTATGCTTGAGGCTAAAATTTTATTAAAAGCCTATTATATATAAAAGTATTAGAGTTTAATGCTAAGTAATGTAAGACAGTTCGTTTATCAGCATCTTCAATATCATAGATGTTTGGTACAGTATCTACGGAAGCATTTAATATTGGCATTTTATTTTTTTTTGCTGCTTCTATGAGATCATTGCCACTCTGAACTTGAGTTATATCCATAAAATTGTATATAGATTTGTTCTCTGATTCTTAATATTAACCTATTGTTACTACTGCTATGAAAAACATCTTACATTAAATTAGAGGTTCTGCTGTTGCTGGTGATTCTTCCATATTATATTTACTAATGTTATAAAATAATTTCATTTAATATATAATCAATCATCTAAGTAGTCAGATCATTTTGTTTATTCTTCATCACTCGTTTTCGCTTCACTAAGTTTCGATTTTGACATAAAGTTTGAATGAGGATTTCCATTGTTTTGATTGTTTCTATTTTATTTCCTCACAGTAATTTTTTTTTTTAAAGCACTCATCTAATTATCAATATCGTGTTGAATCAATTCAGCCTAATCTCTTTATTGCATTTCATAATCCTGAAATTATACAAATTTATACTTCCTGCATTGTTTTTATCTTTTCAAAACTATTGTTAAGATCTGACTGAACTTGTGCTTGTTTTTCTAATTTTAATACTGGCAAAGAAAAATTATGCTAATGTCTATGTACTATGGGGGTTTTATTTTATTTTGAAACGTATTATTCTTTCAAATTCAATATAGTAAATGGTCTCGAGAGGATGAATTACATTTTTTCTAAGAAATATTGTTTTATTGGGTCCTTTTTTAAATCATAAAACATCACAAGCTCTCCAATACTTAAGATGAGTTGCTCTAAATCTTGTTTATCTGCCTCTTCCTAATAGAATCTTTATTCTAAATTATTTAATTTTGTGTAAAAGTTAGTATCAAATTTTTGTTGATTATTTGACATTCAATATTTTAATTACTACGCTTGTAAATATCAATAATTAACTTTAATCGAAGAATTTTATCTGTTATATAAACCAAGATTATTATAAAATTAATTAACGAATTATGAAAAACATTAATCCATAAAGTCCCTCTCCATACAAATTAAAGGATTCCAATTTAAACTATGATACTTAGTAATATCAAGAGTTGATGAAGAATTTTGAAAATTTAATCAAAGTTACTCAAGACAAACTTTACTCCAATTAAAAAAAAATAGAAGAAACTTGTAAGTGTTCAATAGAGGATCAATATTAGGCCTTATTAATAGAAAATGACAATCTAAAATAACTGCTCTCAGAATTACAAATGAAATTATAACAAGATAATTCAAATGTTAGACCGCTTGAATAACAATAATAATTTGAATCCTTCATGAAAGAGGCTGTATTAAAATCAGAACAATAAAATGAACTTATAGAGAGATTATAGTAGCAAACTTTGGAATTTCAGCAATAGTTGTTAATTGAAAAAGGTTAACATTGTTAAACCCAAAAATAACTTTCAGACATTTAGGAAGAATTTCATAATTATAAAAAAGAAAGGACTCTTTAATAGTGTTATGATTTTGAAGTAACTGAAAAAATCACTCAAGGCTATTCAGAATTGGTTAAAGAAAATCAAAAATAGAAATAGGAATTAAAGGAAAATTAACAAGAGATAGACAAAATAAGAATTGCACTAAATTAAGCATACATTTCATTATCAAAATAATAGTAATAACATAAACTGCCTTTAAAAATTACAAATCAGGATGAATTGCAAACTACAGGAACTCAGACAGAGACCATTATATATTAACAACATGAAATTTTAAAGGAAAGAATAAACAATCAGATGTACAATTTAGAAAAATTCATTTCATAATATTTGGATAAAAAGAAGATGAGAAATAAATCAGCAAATGAAAATAAATTTTATAATGACCTAAGTTGTTGGGTTGAACAAGCAAAATTTGAATTGATTTCGTTAAAACAATAAATTACAGCTTTGGTTACTGAAAAAGAGCATTAAAAGGAGTAACTGATTGCAGTAAAATAAGATTTTGAATATGCGTAAAACTCTTTGATTTAAGAAACATTAGTATTAAAAAGTGAAATAAAGAATTAGAATGACAAGTATTAAATATTATTAGAGGATTTCAACAAGGCTTAAATGAAGTATATTGAAATTACAGAAGAGAAAAAATTAATTTCTAATGTCAGAATCTAATTGGAAAGCGAGCTTAATTAATTAAAATTATAATATGAGTAACTACAATTTGAGTCAAACTCTTATGATACATAATTTAAAATAATAACTCAATCTTATTAAAGTGATAAAAAACTATTTGAAGATTAATTAGAGAAATAATAATAAAAAAATCTATCCTTAGAATCAGAACTTTCTTAAACTTTATTGTAAAAGGAACAAATAATTAACTAACTAAACTTAGCAAATAATAATATTTAACAATTATAATAATAATTAAAAGAAGCTTAAGAAAAGGCCAATCATTCATCAGAATATTTTGAATAAACTTAAGAGAAAATCACTTAAATATTAAAGGAAAAAGAGTAGCTTATTACTTCAAATCTTGAATTTGAATAGAATGAATAAATTTTGAAAGAGAATATTAATAAGCTGAAAGAATAACAGTCCAAATTTGAGAAAGAAAGATAAAACAATTAAAACCTCGTTTATGAAATGGAAAAGGAGAAGGAAGATTTAAAAATTTATTGTTAGAAACTTTAGTAGGATTTAACTGAGCGGAATGTTCAATTAACATCTTTAAAGGAGCAATTGTCAAACATGGAATATTAGTTATACCTAACTCCATCTGATGATAAGTCGAGAATTGAAAATACTTATATGTCTTCAAAGATAGAAGATTTAGAAAGTATTTTGAAAGAAAAGGATCAAAAAATTGAAGATCTTGACAGGTTGTACCATTTAACTAACTATGAATTGAGAATCTTATAGGATTATTAATCAACTGTTGAGAAGGACTTGGAATTTTATAAAACTAAAGTTTAAAAATTAGAATAAGAACTCATAGAATAACAAAATGTATTATCCATTTCCAAAGCTTCAGTTAATTCTAATATACGTAAATTATTAATTTAAAATTTAGCAACTAATAAATTTGATGAATAAGTTAAGATGAGTTCTTCACCTATTTCTTCTTTAAAAATAGACTCCCAAACTACTAACGGATCCCCTTAGATTTAAGTTAAAATATTATCTGGTGAGATTTAAAGACTAAGTCAAATTGTCAAAATACAATAGAAGAAATTATTGGATTTATAATATTTTATTGAAAAGATGATTACATCTAATGAATAAAATAGATTATTAGCAAAGCAAATTCTCCTCTAGGCTAGTTAATGTGGAGAAATTAATGGATATAATTTATTTGAAAAGGTAAATCTTAATACTCAAATCGGCGTTAATTCATGTGAAACTTTTGGTATTAATGTTCAAAGTATTGAAAAGCATGAATTTTGATTTATTTTCTATTTATATAAACACTTATATTAATTTATCTTGAGAACAGTATGGGGATGACAGAGTGTAAAGAATGCAATTAGGCTTCTGTAGAAGATCAATTACCATAACCTTTTTAATTATCAATAAGAGGAAGATCTCATTTAATTTCTATTACTTCTTACTAAGGAGAAGTTAAAACAGTAATTCTACATTATGATTTAATTTAGTTATCTATGGAACCAAACTTAGAGATTGCTTTTCCACTTACATAAGAAGAATTAGTTGAATATGAAGAATAATTGAAAACCCCAATTAAGCAAAGATTATAAGAACTTGAACCTTTACAAATCAGACCACTTAAATCAGTAAACAAAAAAGTTTGTATGATAGTATGAATATTCGGAAAGAGCATATAAATTAAAAAAAACATAATCAATATATTTAGGATAATGGAGCAATGGCATACCTCAAGGTTTTGGTATTTTAATAAATCCGATTGAAAATTCATATTATGAAGGATCCATTTTGGGAGGAAAACCTCATGGATTTGGAAGAAAAATTTATTCGCAAGGAAACTATTATTAAGGTAAACTTATTGTATCATTTTATAAGGCGAATTTGAATATGGAAAAATATCTAATCAAGGTTTGGTAGTAATAAGAAAGGAAAAAGATGATACAAAAGAATAAAATTAAATCGATTATTAACAATCAATAAGTCAAAACATGAAAATTGATTCTATATAAACAGAAAGATCATAAGTAATGAGTTCAATAAAAAAATGAAATTGTATATAATTCAAATTTCAATTTACTAGATATTCTATTTATTCCTAAACCCATAAATTCTTTATGAAATGTTATTATAATTTACTGTTTTTAGTTATAATATTAAACTTTAATCTTTTAGGATGAGAGAAAGATATTGGGGGAGAATAATTATAGTATTATTTGTCAGGTTATAGTCAGATTAAATTTAGATTCTAAATTAAAGAAATTATTTGAATCGTTAGACTTATTTTAAATTAAATTTATATAAAATGCAGCAAAAAAGCATAGAAATATTTAGCAGCAAAATCTTTATTATAGAAAAATTATATATTATAAGAATTCATGTAACAAGGCAATCATCTCTAACAAAAGAATAAGTGCTTCGAACATAATGAAAATGCAGTTTTTATTAGGACATCATTTACAAATAATAAAAATCTCAAATTATGCTATAAGTGCATAATAAATTAGAATAAAAATCTTATGCTCATAGAAGATGTAGAAAAATAGTTTGAACATTCGAAGATTCAAATAATGAAAGAAATAAAAAGTAAGAGAGAAATAAATACTAATATACTTAAGAATCTAAAAGAAAACCTTCTAAAATTTGAGACATCAATTTAAGAAAAAATAAAATAGATCTAGTAAAGCATTGATGAATAATTGAAATTAATTTCAAATACTAATTTGGATACTTTGAATAGTTTAACTATTTATAATTTTGATGAAATAGAAAAACCATTGATCTCAAATACAGTTAATTTTGAAAAAATGAAAAATATGCTTATCCATCAATATTAGTCATTATCTACAAGCTGCTTTTTAAAAGTTAGCGGACAACTCTTAGCAAAAATAGAATTAGAAGAAGAAAATTATCAATTTAGATTAAACTAAGAACTTACTAATTGTAAGATTTAAAATACTATTACGCTACCAAATAATAATTTGATTTGTGAAAAACATTAATGCCAGTTGATGATGGTTGACATAAGTGAATAATCAAATGTACCAAATAGAATAGCATGTTATTATTGTATACCAGAATATGCAGCAAAATATACTTCATTTGAATAGTTTTAGCAGCTGTGGATGAAAAATAAATCTAAATTTCAAGAATAATTTATTATTCATTAGAAATATGTAAACACTCAAATAGAAAATGCTATTGATTTAATAAATAATTTTAAGGAAAATCTAATTAAGTTTTTAGATGTCCATCAAACTGCATTAATCTAGATCAAGAATAAACCTAATTTAGAATCAGTTTATAATATTTACAAGTTAGTAGCAAAAGAATGGATTAATTTGACTAAATCAGAAATCATAGAGATTGTCTAAGCATTAAGTTAAATAAAAAATGAATAAATGGTATGTAATGATATAAAAGAAGAATTCGATTAAAAATTATGGAAATTTCAGGAATATTCAAAAGTTTTACTTTATTAATTTGAATCAAGGTAAAAATAATTTGTTATGGACATTCAAAATATTTTAGATGCAGAAGAAGAATATAAAGTTTCTAATTGTAGATTTTAGGATGATTTTGATAAAGATACAATTTCAACTTTTACCAAAAACCTAATTAACTACGATATTATTGAACAAAATCCAATGTTAGATCAAAATATTAATTCTATTCTATTCAGTCCTGACTCCTCAACTTTAATTGCCGGATGCTCCGATGGAAAAGTAAAAGTGTTTGATTTTAAATCAGAAAAATTAATATTATTAGAAGTGCTACATGAACATAAAAAATAAGTAGACTGTTTATTATTTATGAAAAAATCAAAGAATTTTTTATCTGGGAGCAAAGATGAATCAATCATTATATGGTCTGGGCCTCATAAAAATAAAGAATGGAAAGTTAATATAAAATTAAGGGAAAGTAATGGAATGTTAAATTGCATGGCACTTAATAAAGATGAAGATTTGCTCGCAGCTGGTTATGGAAGCACTTTAAAATTATGGTCTAAAGAAAAAGATTGGAAATTTTAATATTCTATTTTAGAAGAGAAAATAGATATCTCAAGTATTTGCTTTAGTGATTCTTAAAACCTATTAGTTTCTTCATCTCAGAATAGTAAATAAATTTCTATATTTCAATTAAGTAAACCTAATATATGGGCAAGATTCTAAATCATAATGACTAATGATTGGGGATCCAATATAATATTTTTAAATAGCACATCCTTTCTATTTTAACCTTCTAACTAAGATATATTGGAAATATATGATTATAATGAATAAAACTAAAAATTCGAGAAATCAAAAGAAATTAGAATTGAAGTTGGTAATCAGATTAATGCTTCATCCTTTAGATAGATTATTAAATCTCAAGACTAACTCCTTTATAAAGCTGGATGCAATCTTTAACTTTTGAGATACTAAAAGAATGGATAATTAAATATTGAATGGTCACTAAAACTTAAGGATGAAAGTTCATTCTGTACACTGAGTGAAAATACGAAGTATCTAGCAACATGGAATTACAATACGAAAGAATTTGTAATTAGAAAATATAAGGAATGACATATATTAAAATTATAATAACATTCTGAAACAAATTATAGTATTAATCTTTGTTATGGCTTTTTCTATTCGTTCTTCATCTTGATAGCTCGGCTTTCTTCATTTTACCCTCAATGATTTCTAGAAATTATTATAAAAAAATGTGTCGAATTTCTTTTTAATCATATGTGAATCATTCAACTTCCACATGTGGATGTTGTATTTTTTATCGTTTTAGTAGTATAATTCATTAAGTTTTAGAAACCTGACTATTCCTGTTAATTTGATGAAAAATTCAAAAATGAGATTTGGTTTCAAATTTAGGTAATCTGGTTATGGTCATCAAGTACTTTCTTTATAGTTTTATCAGATAGTTCTTTCAGATTTAAAGTGAAGTGTTTAGATGGTTAAATTCATTGAAATCCTATAATGCTCATCTACAGGCTTAATATTAGGATAGGCCAGAATTAATATTTTGAAAGATTCTCTGAATATAAAGTACTCAATGGAACTATTAATCTTAGTTGACTTTCTATTTGCATCTAATTTAATTAATTCTAAGGATATCCAAAATTGGTTACTATATTATGAAGTAGAATTTTGGAAAGAATTTAGGATTCACTGACAAATTGTAATTTTTTCTTGATCTTCATTTCTTGCAAATCAATTTTAATTTATAACTCATATGTAATTCGAACTATTAGGTTACTTAAATTTGTCTAGATCTAATTTGATTTAATCAAAAAATTTCATATTATAATCGAATGCTTTTTGAAGAAAAAAAAAAAATTTCGAATGTAGAGAAATAGGTATAATTCAGACTCTAAGAGAGTCATTCCCTATTAGGTTAATCAAGGTTCAACATCAACCTAACAGTCAAAAAATGAAGACTTCTGATGGCTGAATGCCTGATTAGGACATCTATAGAATAGGTGAATATGGAGGATCAGATTTTAAAAACATTATTCATTGTAGAGTCACGACCTAGAGAGGAGGAAACGGAGTAGGGTTTGTTGTTTAGGAGGCTAAAGCCTTGCTGCTGGACAGAAAAGAAGGACAAGTCATATGGAATAAAGAAACTTTTGAAAATTAAAATGAAAAAAGTAGGAATCAATACGATGACTTAAGTTTTCAGTTCTCGATTCAGGTATAGGGATCAGCGAGAGTGTATTCTTGAATATAAAACAAATTCTCAGTAATGATTTGATAAGAATACTTATGATGATTAATATATTCTTTTCAACAACTAATACTTTTAGTATTAATTGAAAATAAAAATAACAGGCTATGAAATATTATCAAGATAAGGTTAGAGTAATGTTAAAAATCATTCATTCTCAAATTTTTAACTATGTAATATTATTTTTTAGATTAAGCTTATTTTTTGTTTTAATTCTTAAATGTATCTTTCTTCTTAATTGTATCATTACGTTTTTATTAACTAAAGATCTAAATTTTACTAGACTATTAATAATCTTTATTACGACTAAAACTGTTTACTCTGTTTTTATTATTAATTTAATAGTGTATTGTAAGTCTATAAATATTAATTTATAACCATTGTTTCTGACATCTTAAATAGTAACAAAAAACACATATTATTAAAAAAGTAATAAGAAAAAGATTAAAATTATAATTGTAATGTTTTTAATGAATATTCAAATTCACTTTTACTTTAAGTCTTCTAAAAAGAAACTTCCTTTGGATTTAAACAATGGTTTTAAATCTTTCCTTTAATGATTAATGAATTGTCCTTATAGGATAAGTGTTCCTGATGCTTCAAATAAAGGATTCTAACATAATCTAAGTATTGTAAAATCAGGATTAACTAAATAATAATTAATAATAAATACCATTTGGCAATAAGAAGCTATTTTGAAGAGGTATGTTGAACTAGGCAAGCAAATCTTTATAGCTACTATCTGATTGAAGTATTTCCTCGGAGGTTTGTACATTCCAAAAACGAATAGAGTTATCATCACTACCAGAAGCTAATGTATTTCCATCAGGGGAGAAATTGACTGAATAAACTGTTGATGAATGACCATCTAATTTGGCTTTTTATTATCCTGTCTTAACATCCCATAAACGGATAGAGTCATCTCCACTACCAGATGCTAATGTAGTACCATCAGGAGAGTAACAAATTGAATAAACCCAATT